TCAATGACACACACAAGCTCATTGATACACAGTCTCATAGACAAACAATCTTACTGATATACATCAGCTCATTGACATAAAAACACAAGCTCACTCACTAGCAGGCACACGCATGCAAGCAAGCTCACTCACTAGCAGGCACACGCATGCAAGCAAGCTCACTCACTAGCAGACGCACACACACAGCTTAATGTGGTGGTACTGGTGTCTATAGCATGTCCCTACAGGCTTTTCAACGTAAACACTGACTTTTCAGACAAAAGGCAGTGTTTACATTGCTTTAAAGTGACACTGCTAGTGACAGTCACTCAGACGGTCACTAGAGGTGCTTCCTGTGTTAGTGCACCTACATTCAGGGCCTCCACACTCTGTAGGTGCTGAACGTTCCCCATAGAGATACATTGATTCAATGCATCTCTATGAGGAGATGCTGATTGGAGTGGCGTTTTGCAGCCAATCCTATGGCAAAGCATTGGATTGGCTGAGATCATCAAGCTTGATGATCTCAGCTATAGAGGCAGGGCCAGTCGAGGGGAGACCAGCACGCTGCGTGGGGAAAAAAAAAAGGTGAGCAAAAACACTATTTTTAAACACACATTTACACCATGACAGACACAGAAACACACATATACCATGACAGATACACACCCCATGACAGACACACACACACACACCATGACAGACCATGACACAGACAGACACACACACCATGACGGACAGACAGACACACACACCATGAAGGACAGACAGACACACACACCCCATGACGGACAGACAGACACACACCCCCCATGACGGACAGACAGACAGACAGACAGACACACACACCCACCCCATGACGGACAGACAGACAGACAGACACACACACCCCATGACGGACAGACAGACACACACACACACCCCATGACAGACAGACACACACACACCCCATGACAGACGAATTTTTACACCCCGCGGCCGGACAGACAGACACACACACACCGCGGCCGGACGAACCAAACAGACACACCCCATGGCGGACAGACAGACAAGTACACACACACACACACACACCCCATGACAGACAGACAGACACACACACCCCATGACAGACAGACACACACACACACACCCCATGACGGACAGACAGACACACACCCCATGACAGACAGACAGACACATACACACCCCATGACGGACAGACACACACATCCCATGATGGACAGACAGACACACACACACACCATGACGGACAGACAGACACACACACACCCCCCATGACGGACGGACAGACAGACACACACACGCATGACGAACGGAGCAGACACACGCACACACACACCCCATGACAATTTAGACACATACACACCCCGCGGCCGGACAGTGCACACACACATCCCATTGGACGAACAAAACAGACAGACACACACACACCCCACGCCAGCGGACAGACAGACACACACACACACACACCGCGACGAACACACACCGCGACAACCAGACACACACACACCCAAAGCGGACGAACAGACACACACCCCCATGTGGACGAACAAACAGACACACACACCCACACCCCGCGGCGGACGAACGAACGAACAGACACACACACACCCCATGACAGACAGACAGAAACACACACACCCCATGACAGACAGACACACACACACCCCATGACGGACAGACAGACACACACACACACCCATGACGGACAGATAGACACATACACACCCCATGACGGACAGACAGACACACACTATGACACAGACAGACACACACACACACACACACCATATAGACAGACACCATGACACGGACAGACAGACACACACAACAAACATACAGACAGACACACACACACCCCGCGACGGGCAATTTACATACACCGCCAGCCGGACGAACACACACACATCCCATGATGAGACGAAGACGAATTACACACACACACACACCATGGCCGGACAGACAGACGCACACACCCCCATGACGGACGGACAGACAGACACACACACACCCCATGACAGACAGACAGACACACACACACACACACACCCCATGACAGACAGACACACACACACACACCCTATGACAGACAGACAGACAGACACACACACACACACCCCATGACAGACAGACAGACACACACACACCCCATGATGGACAGACAGACACATACACACCCCATGACGGACAGACAGACACACCATAAAGACAGACACTATAACACAGACAGACACACACACACCATACAGACAGACACCATGACACGGACAGACAGACACACACCATACAGACAGACTCCATGACACGGACAGACAGACACACACAACATACATACAGACAGACACACACACACCATACAGACAGACACCATGACACGGACAGACAGACACACACACCATACAGACAGACAGACACATTACTAATACCTGCCACCAGGGGGAGGTCTTCTGGCAGCTGCTGGGGGAGCTGCGCTGTCTGTGCTCTCCCGCCCTCGCGCCCTGCTGAATGAGACCGGGGCCGGAATATGACATCATATTCCGGCGCCTGTCTCATTCAGCTGCGCGCTGGGGAGCAGAGCCAGCGCAGCTCCCCCAGCAGCCGCCAGAAGACCTCCCCAGCGGCAGCCAGCAGACCCAGGTGTCTGCCCGGCCCCAGGTGCCGACGGCCCACCGGGAAATTTCCCGGTATCCCGGTGGGCCAGTCCGGCCCTGACTCTACCTCATGAAAGCTCAGTTAGTATGATGAGAGATGTTCTGCAGTCTCTATTAAGCGTCTTCATGCAGCTTCGTCTTTCTCCAAAATTATTTTATTGTGTGTGTACCTGTGTCACAGTGTATTTGTGTCTGAGTGTGAGTGTGTGAAGGTGCGGCAACAGTACATACAAAGCACCCCTACATGTACCCACATACACTATCCAAAAACATGCTTAAATTCAAACGCACAAACACTGCTCACAAATACAACCCAGTAAGGATGAACAAACAGTAGATCCCCAGGTGGCATAGCTTCGTGGGAGTTGTACGACAGATGGGGATCTACCTTTTGGCCACCCTTGCACTAGAGGAGGGCCCCAAAAAACTTCTCTACATTAGTTCCGCCACTGGTCCTACACTAATTTTAACATGGTAGATTAACATGCTGACTGCAATACTAACTGCTTCCAGAGACCCTTCTCAATCTATCCACCTATAGTGGATTGGTGGGCTGCTCAGCTAATGTAACTAACTGAACCCCCATATTTGTTTGCTGAGATAGGTGGTTTTAAGAATCCTTGTAAAATTGAAAGCTGTGTTTTTGTGTTTGTATCTGTATTTTGTATACATTTACGGTGGCATCATTCTTGTGAAATTCATGTTCCGGGTGTCCCCTCAATCCCCCTTTTTATCAGTATATTATATGTTATATTATATATATTATATGTCTTATGTAAGAGATCAAGATTTCACAGCCTGCGCTACTAGCGAGGCCGAAAAGTTTCTTGCCACAGCAAGCCTAGAGAGTCCATGGATCATTTACCAGGGCTGAATTTTTACTAGCCAAGGCTGAATTTCTACTAACTAGGGCTCAATTCTTCTCACCAACAGCAAAAGCAGAATGGACTTTTAGAGCCCTTCATGATAAAATATTCAGTTATATATACAGTAGGGATGTGCATGGGCAAAAAACCTGGTTCAGTTCAGCTATTCTGGACTTCGGCAATTCGACACTTCGCTTCGGGTTTGGCACTTCCAGAATTTGGGACTTCAGGAATCCGGGACTTTTGCACTTCGGTTTGGAACTTCCAAAATTTGGGACTTCGGCTATTCGGGACTTCAGCAATTCCCTAACCCTGACCACTAACCCTAACCCTAACCTTACCCACAACCCTAACCCCAACCCCAACCCTAACCCTACCCCCAATGCCAATCCTAACCCCAACCGTTACCCTACTCCCAACCCTAACCCTACCCCTAACAACTACCCTACCCCCAACCCTACCCCTAAACCTACCCCTAAGGGTTGGGAGTAGGGCTAAGGGTAGGGTTAGGGTTAGATTCCTGTCATTGTTAGCGTAATTTACCCTCCCTCTCTTGTTTTGCCACTTTTCAGAAATCCGAAGCACTTCGGCACTTCTGAAATTCGGCACTTCGGCAATTTGGTGTGGCACTTCTGAAATTCAGCACTTCGGTTCGATTCGGTACTTTCAAAATTTGGCACTTCTGAAATTTGGCAATTAGGACATTCGGAAGCATCCGAATGTCCGAATTGCCGAAATTCGTCTGAATTTACATTCGGAACGAAACGAATTGCACATGTCTAATATATAGTTTGTATTAAATTATTTTTACCGTTGACCCCCAGCTGTAACAGGTAAAAGGGGAAGGACACAGCCTTATCAGCTTCTATTTTATTATTCTATTACCTGAGAAAGTTGGTAGCTGTTTTAGTTTTTTTTTGTTGTTTTGTTGTTGTTTTTTTTATTAAAAGGGGATTTTAAAGCAAAGTCATTAAATTTATACTAATAAATGAGAAATGAGTAAAACTGCTAGATGGAAGTTGGAATGGTAAAGGAAAGTTATAGGACGAGAAGCTGAACTGATACATAACATGTCATTGTGGCTACCTGTGTGAAAGCAGAATAAAGAGGGCTTCTTGTGGCCACAACCCTCCCCTGTTCCCGGAGAATAATGTGATAGTTTCTGTTTGAGTAAAATGTCCTTGGGTTTGGAAGCTGCGTGGCCGGTGGTTTGTTGCAGACAGTGTTAACTGTAACGATACATTATTACATTAAAGGGATGATAGTGCTCCCCCATCAATATATCACAGTACACCCCTAAAATAGACTCACCACAGCAAATGTTTTAACAGGGAATGGACATACAGAGAGAAAGAGACCTTTATAAATATTGGCAGAATCCATTCCATGTTTGTGATCAAACCAACTTCTACGTGGGGTGTCCATCTCATATATTAATTTTTTATTATATAGATAATGTATAGATGTGTACAGATACACAACAGGGTAAAGAAATAGTACTTTTTTTTTTTTGAATTTGACAATTTTTATTTTGTCGAGAAAGGGGTGGGGGTACAGAAGGTAAATAGGGTGGGTTAACATCACATAAGGCATTGCAGTTTGAATACAGTAGTTTGTCAGGGTTTGCACAGTTGTAGTTATCCCTTAGTAACAGCACCTTGTTGGTGTGAGGGGCGTCTTGTGCATAGTGTCATCCTTTTTAATGGTGTAGTATGAGCTTTCTCGTCATGGGGTCGTGCGGGCCGGGCAGAGCTTAGCGTGGCCCCGGTTATTGCGTTGCATATGGTTATGGATGTCTCGTCATAGCGGTGGTAGGGGATAGGAGGGGAATTGGGATGAGTGTGTATGCCGTGTGGAGTAGTGTGGTGAGGTATCAGTCTGTCATTTGCAATGAGTTCAGCCTCCTGCCGTGGAGGTACCGTTTCCAGCTTCAGGGTTGTGTTATATATGGTTGGTGCGGCCTAGTTTTGTCCCACAGGTCCCATGCTTCAGTCCAGTAGGGGTGAGACTGTCTCGATTTCCTTGCCATAAGTTCATATATTTTGGTTGATTCTATTACCTCAATGCATTGGTGGAGTGTTGGGGTGATTTGTTGCTTCCATTTTCTGCTAATGACTGTGAGGGCTGCAATGCAGATGTGGTACAGTAGATACTTCAAGTGCAGGTGTGGCAATTGTGGGAGTGAGAGTAGTAGGAACGTTTCTGGTGTGGGGGTTATCTGCACCGTGGTACATTTTGTAGCCAGGTTCGCGACTCGTGACCAGTATCGTTGTAGTAGCGGGCATTGCCACCATATGTGTAGTAGGGTGCCTCGGTGCGCTTGGCATCTCCAACATGTGTCCGATGTATCGGGGTAGCTATGTTTGAGTTTTGCGGGGACTAGGTACCACCTGTAGAGTACAAAGAAAACAAAAACTATCCCTTACTGAGATAGTGAGTGATATACTAAAGTGCCTGAATAAAAGCAGCTCAACACAAAAAGTGGAATACCTTAATCCACAATGAAGTGCAAAATACAAGAAAATGCAAAATACAAGAAAAAAAGGTATAAACAATATACCAGCAAGTGGAGCGCTATATTGAATATATATATAAATAATGAGGGGGTATACTCACCCCTCCAACATAGTGATACAATGTGTCCAAATGTACATACAAAGTAAAACAACAAAAAGAGAGAATATAGTGCAGATGGTTTACAAAAAAATAAAAAATGAATAATGGTAGCAATTGGTTGAAACCACTCACGTGGGTTGGAGCCTATAAGCTATTGGCTCCGTAATTGACTCCTTCTTGCTCTTGAGGCAGCAACACACCCCTTTATCCCAAACGATATTCTCCCGAAGATATGGAACAAACAGAGAGAGAGAACCTCATAGATGGTATTGTACAGATGGTGTATACAATATAGTGAGATAGTAATAGATATGCTCACCTTAGACAGAGCCTTGAATTCCTGGCTCTGAGGTTTGTTGGCAATGTGCTAATTTATTGGGATAGCATTCCCCACATGGTGTTCCTGGAGGCTAGAAAGGACTATATGGACTAATATATAAAAAAAATAACAATTTATTGTAGAGATAAAAAAATAATAATAAAAACAATATTTAGACTTCTCAAAAGCACATAAGCTAAATGATGGAAAGTCCAAGTATAAAAGTCCAAACTCCAGCTAAACGCGTTTCACTCTTGTATGAGCTTCCTCAGCTACTGGAAGCTCATACAAGAGTGAAACGCGTTTAGCTGGAGTTTGGACTTTTATACTTGGACTTTCCACCATTTAGCTTATGTGCTTTTGAGAAGTCTAAATATTGTTTTTATTATTATTTTTTTATCTCTACAATAAATTGTTATTTTTTTATATATTAGTCCATATAGTCCTTTCTAGCCTCCAGGAACACCATGTGGGGAATGCTATCCCAATAAATTAGCACATTGCCAACAAACCTCAGAGCCAGGAATTCAAGGCTCTGTCTAAGGTGAGCATATCTATTACTATCTCACTATATTGTATACACCATCTGTACAATACCATCTATGAGGTTCTCTCTCTCTGTTTGTTCCATATCTTCGGGAGAATATCGTTTGGGATAAAGGGGTGTGTTGCTGCCTCAAGAGCAAGAAGGAGTCACTTACGGAGCCAATAGCTTATAGGCTCCAACCCACGTGAGTGGTTTCAACCAATTGCTACCATTATTCATTTTTTATTTTTTGTAAACCATCTGCACTATATTCTCTTTTTGTTGTTTTACTTTGTATGTACATTTGGACACATTGTATCACTATGTTGGAGGGGTGAGTATACCCCCTCATTATTTATATATATATTCAATATAGCGCTCCACTTGCTGGTATATTGTTTATACCTTTTTTTCTTGTACCACCTGTAGAGTAGTTTGCGTGAGAGTTCTAGGTGGGTCGTACAGAGGGTTAGTCGTTTATGAGCTTGGTATATATCTTGCCATTGTTCATTTGAGAGTGTGTGTCCGATGTCTTGTTCCCATGCCACTTTAAAGGAAGGTGGGCCCGTTAGGGTCTCTATGCGTTCCGAGGCGTAGAATGTGGAGATGAGTTTTGTCGCTGGTTTTTCCCTTGTGCAGATCTTCATCAATTTAGTCCAATGGAGGTCTGGAGGATCAGCAGGTTGTGTCGGAGTGTGGAGACGTATCCATGATTGTAGTTGGAGGTAGGAAAAGGCCGCCGTGTTAGGTAGCTTGAATTCTGTGCAAAGTTCTGAGAATGATTTGGGGTTATTTCCTTGCATTACATGCGATATTGTGGTTATGTCGTGCCTTTGCCAGAGTTTATAATTGAAGTCTGGGATAAGCTGTTGGAGTGTCTCCAATGGCATCGCCGGGGAGAGTAGGTTTGTCGCACCCCTTTTTTTCCGGTAACTGTCCCATATGGACAGGGTTAGTGCTGTGGTAGGGAGCAATTCTGAAGCTTTGGGTCTGTGAGTTTTTGGTAGCCAGGCTAGGGTCTGGATTGGGATCTTCCGGGCGTGCTTTTCCGGTTTTCAGTTTTGCCCATGCTGTGGGGACCTGGCTGTGTGTTGCAGCAATGAGTGGAGCAATGTGCGCTGCCCTGTAGTATCCCGCCAGTTCGGGCAGGCCCATCCCGCCCTGGGCGTGTGGCTTGTACATTGTGGCTTTGGACACCCTTGGTTTTTTATTGTCCCAGACGAAGTCGTTTATAACGTTTTGTAGTTCCATCAGATACTTTTTGGGGAGTCGGAGTGGGAGTGTACGGAACAGATATTGAATCTTGGGTAGAATCACCATCTTCACCGAGGCAATTCGTCCAGTCCAGGACACATATTTCCCCCTCCAGCTTTGCATTAGGGATTTAACTTCCTTAAGCAGTTTAGTATAGTTCGCTTTGAGCAGTGTGTTCGTTGTAGGTGTGAAGTTTATTCCTAAAAATTTGATATTGTCTTGTCTCCAGTCGTAGTTAAAGTTGGATTTAAGGGTTGTCAGGACAGGGCTCGGGATATTAATCCCCATGGCTAGAGTCTTAGTGATGTTCAACTTGTAATATGAGCAGGCGCTATATCTAGAGAGGATTGTATGGAAATTGGGCAGGGAGATATGTGGTTGTTCCAGGGTTAGTAAGATATCATCCGCAAATAGGGACAGTTTATACTCCTGGTCCCCAGTCTTAATACCGTGGATGTTCGGGTTGTCCCGTATGAGTTGGGTAAGGGGTTCTAGCGCCAGGATGTACAGCAGTGGGGAAAGTGGGCAGCCCTGTCTAGAGCCGTTAGTTATATGGAAGGGTTTTGATATAAATCCCCCGTTTACCACTCGGGCTGTTGGCAGAGAGTATAGTGCTTTAATGAGTGATGTAAACTGTGGGGGGAATTCAAATTTGTGGAGGACAGCCAACAGGAAAGGCCAATGGAGCCTATCAAAGGCTTTTTCGGCATCTAGGGATAGTAGGACGCTGGGCCTCTTTTTTTGCTGTATCTCGTATAGTAGGTCCAGGGTTTTTCGCGTGCCGTCCGCTCCTTGTCTACCCCTCACAAACCCTACTTGGTCTTCTTTAATAAGTGAGGGAATTATGGGAGCTAGCCTGTTGGAGAAGATTTTTGCTATAATTTTCACGTCCGTGTTTAACAGCGAGATGGGGCGCAGGTTTTGGCATTTGTTTGGGGGTTTCCCTGGTTTGGGGAGGGTGGCGACATGGGCCATGAGCATTTCTTGTGGCATGGTCCCTGTCTGTAGGATGTGGTGGTATACTCTTTGTAGGTAGGGAGCTAGGGTAGGCGCGAACTGTTTGTAATATGAGTTGGGTAATCCGTCTGGGCCTGGTGATTTTCCAGGTGGTAGGGAGTTTATGGTGTCTATGATTTCTTGCTCGGTGATCTGATGTTGTATAGTGTGTTTTTGTGCTGTCGTTAGAGTGGGGAGTTCCACAGTGTGGAGGAATTCGTCTATTTCTCGTGTGGTAGGTTGGTGTAGGGTGGGATCTGTTTTAAGGTTGTAGAGGGAGTGGTAGTAGTCGGCCATATCGTCATTGATGTCTTGTGGGTTGTGAATTTTCTCGCCAGTTTTGGTGATTAGATGTGGGATTTTGGAGTTGGCCTGCTTTTGTTTAAGTAGGTTGGCCAAGTGTTTCCCTGCTCTGTTACCTTGCGTGTATGTTCGTAGTTTTAGTTTGGTAAGGATGTGGGCCGTTTTCTCAAGAGTTAAGGTATTGATTTGTTTAGTGATATTTTTTATGTCGTTTGCATGCGTGTCCGATGGGTTCAGAATATGTGCAGCCGTGGTGTCTCTTAGCTGTCGAAGAAGGTCTATGTGTGCCTTGTCCCTTTGGCGTTTGAGGTATGATGCTCGGCTGATCAGCTGACCTCTCAGGACGGTTTTATGGGCCTGCCAGATACTGTAGATGGAGGTCTCCGGGTTGTCATTGGTGTGAAAATAGTCTTGCAGGTTTTCCATCAATTTTGTTGTGAACACTTTGTCCTGAAGGAGTGTTTCGTTGAGGCGCCATGGTGGTTTACCTCTATGTTGGTAGTTGGATCGCAGGGTCAGTGTAATTGGGGCATGGTCAGACCAGACTATGTTGCCTATTGAGCAGTCCTCTATGAGCGGTAGTATCGTGCCTGAGGTGAGGATGTGGTCTATTCTTGAATATGTCTTGTGTACGTGCGAGAAGAATGTGTACTCTCTATCAGATGGGTGTCTGGTTCGCCAAACATCGTATAGGCTATTTTCGTGTATAAGCTTTGTGAATGCTTTGTTGTTTGGACCCAGTGTGAGGTGCCTTGCTGATGTGACAGGGGTTGTTGTGTCTGTTCGTGAGTCCATAGTATGGTTGTAGTCTCTGCAGATAATCTTGGGGTCATTTGAATCTTCTGGCAGTTTGCTGAGGACCTTATGAAGGAAGTTGCGCTGTTGGTAATTTGGGCTGTACAGGCATACTAGAATGAGTGGGTCATTGTTAATTATGCATTGAAGAATAAGGTATCTACCTTGGCTGTCCGTTTTGACTCGCAGAGTCTCCACTGTTAATGAGTTATGTAACAATATGGAGACCCCTCTGGATTTAGAAGTGTGCGTGGCATGGTACTGTGTGGGGTAGTCTCTAGTTGCGAAGGTGGGTATTCGGTTAGTGACAAAGTGTGTTTCTTGAATGCAGACTATGTCTGCTTTCGTGCTTTTTATATCGTCCAGTAGCACTCGCCGTTTGTGAGGCGTGTTGAGCCCCTTTGTGTTGTGTGAGTAGATGATCATGGTTATTATGGAATGTTGCGTGAGTTCAAGTATTGTATGTGGTGGTGGTTTGCGTAGGATGGGAGGTGCGTGTGGCTGCCGTGTCGTGTAGGTGCAGGGAGGAGGTAGGAAAGGCTGGGAGGACGGGGTTCTGTCGGTGGTTAGGGTGGGTTATATACAAAAGACCGTGCGGTCTGGTACGCTAGTCGTACCGTGGGGCTGCGGAGCTGGAGCTTCCAAATACGTGGCTAGTTGGGCTCCTGTCTATGATATAAACAAATATTTGGTAGAGCTGAAACCTTGGTTATAGCGTGGATTAACAGTAAAACTTTTCAACACAACTTTAAACTTTGTTACTGGATAGGCATGCAGGTATCATTGCGATAATCGATGCTGTCTGTTTTGGCCGCTGCTGCTGTCATTATGCAAGAACATTGGTTGTATCCTCCCTTATTAACCACAATCTTAATTGCGCAGTGTGGCGCGTATTTGGGCTTGGGCTGTGCTAGGTTCCCCCGGTGCACTTGTGAGCATTGGAGCGTGCTTATCTAGTAGTGCTAGATATTGGGTAGTGGGATAGATTGTCCCGCTAGGCTCATGCTTTAGTGACAGCGCCCTATGCTAAGGTGTGTCCTGTAGTGTCACTTCATTTAATAAATTCTATGCATTGCGCAGAGTGTGCATCTAAGGGCTACTCAATCTTGTTTACAGTTGAGTGGGCCATTAAAGGGAGTACGGTCAGTGGTTAGGAGTTTACCCTCTTGTAGCATGAGTGCATATACATTGCATATTAATCAAGAAAACATTTGAGCAGATATAGCATTATTGTGATACTTGCGCCAGCATGCCATTCAATTCCGTTCTTTCATTTTAGTTCATATTTGTGTTATGGCTTGGTCTTTGGGGCTTGGGTCGTGCCTCTGTCGGTGGTGCTGTCGTTAAGCCCCATGCCTCCAGGGCCGCCAATCCGTCCTCTGGAGATAGAAGGAAGTGCGATTTCCCGTTTCTGGTGAGGATTATCTTCGTGGGGAATCCCCACCTGTAACGGATCCCATGGTGGCGGAGTGCGTTTGTGACCACGTTGAAGTCTCGTCTGCGTCGGAGGGTAGCTGGCAACAGGTCCGCCATGATGCGTACTGTCGGGAAGTCTTCATGCGGATTTGCTTTGTTACGATGGGATCTGAGGACCAACTCTTTCACATGATAGTAGTGGGCCCTAAGTAGGACATCGCGTGGGATGGAATCTGGTAGGTTTCTTGGTTTCGCTACTCGGTGGACCCTATCGACAAGCAGCATGTCTGCGGGGATGTCCGGGCCGTAGGCGCGTAAGAGGCCTCTCACATAGGCCTGCAGGTCCTCAGGTAGGACCGTTTCGGGGACTCCTCTGAGTCTTAGATTGTTTCTGCGCGCCCTGTCTTCATGGTCCGCCATGCGCGCTTCCATGCTTTCCATTTGTTGTTGTAGGGATTGTAAGCTCCCTGAAGCCGTCGTTTGCGCGGTCTCGAGGGTCTGGCAGCGTTGTTCCACCGCGGATGTTCTGGCCGATAGATCTCTGACCTCGCGTTTGAGTTGGTCGGCAGTTGTTTGCCATGTGGTAATTAATTTTGTCGCCATTGCCTCCATAGCACGTTCGAAGTAACTTCGTGTTAGGCAGTCTGTGGGCTGGAGCTCTTCAGACATTGCCGGCAATGAGCTGGATTCCAGCTCGTCCACGGTCTCCTGGTCTGTCGCCCTTGCTGTCTCCGCTGTTAGGGAGGATTTTTGTCCAAAAAAGTTCATTTTTTCGGCTTTTGCAGCCATTTTCTTAGATTTGGATGAGGCCATGGCTTGCTTGGGTGTTAGGGTGGTTTCAGCTCGAGTTAAAAGTGGAGTTGGTGGAGCCCATGTGCCGGAGCAGATTTCTATGCGGCCATCTTGCTCGGCAGTTAGCCACGCCCCCAGAAATAGTACATTTTAGTAGCAGCAATACAATATCTTATAACAATATTACAAAACATATACAAATATTACAATATACAAAATCTTTAACAAGGAACGATAAACTCCGCTGTCACTGTTTTCCAGGAATTCTTGATATAGTGATCTTACTACCCAACTCAATGGTACAAGAAAAAATATATTTTAAAGCTCAAGAAATAATGTATTTATTGAAAGAAAGAAAGAAAAACAATAAAAATGTATATAAGTATCACTGCACTGATTGCCTCCTGGACCTAGCTTCCAATATGCCAATCATGTTTTGTTAGAATTTAGTGTTTGTTTTGTTAACCTATGTACAGTGCTGCGGAATACGTGGGCGTTATATTAGTAATTGTGATTGAGTGATTGGATAGAACTAATTTATTGTCAGAAAATTTGAGTCTACAGTTGTGCTCAAAAGTTTGCATACCCTCGGAGAATTGGTAATATATGGACCATTTTTAAAGAAAACATGAGTGAGCAGGCAAAACATTTTTTTTTCCTTAGGGGACTCATATTTAATTGTAGGTTATAACAGAATAGCACAATCATAAAACAAAACATGGCAACAAAGAAAAAAATGAAATGACCGCTGTTCAGTAGTCTTTATACCCTTAGTTCTTAATACTGTGTATAATACTGTGTATTGCCCCCTTCTGCATCAATGACAGCGTGCAGTCTTTTGTAATAGTTGCCTATGAGGCCTCTAATTATTGCAGGTGGTATAGCTGTCCATTCTTCTTGGCAAAATCCCTCCAGGTCATGCAAAGTCTGTGGTCATCTTGCATGAACCGCGTGTTTGAGATCTCCCCAGAGTGGCGCGATGATATTAAGGTCAGGAGACTGTGATGGCCACTCCAGAACCTTCCACTGGAGGGTTAACTTGCCTTGTGCTTAGTGCCATTGTCATGCTGGAAATTCCCATGCGCAGCCTTCGTGCAGAAGAATGCAAATTGTCTGCCGGTATTATCTGATAACTGCATTCATCTTGCCATGAATTTTTACAAGATTCCCCGTGCCTTTAGAGCTTACACCCCCTCCCCCAATACATCAGTTAGCCACCACTATGCTTCACAGTGAGGATGGTATTCTTTTCACTATATACCTTGTTGACCCCTCTCCAAACATAGCACTTATGGTTGTGACCATAAAGCTCTAATTGATCTCGTCACTCCAAATTACAGGGTGCCAGAAGCTGTGAGGAGTGTCAGGGTGCTTTTGGGCATATTGTAAAAAGGCTTTTTTGTGGCATTGGCGCAGTGAAGGCTTCTTTGTGGCCACTCGACCATGTGGCTTATTTTTGTTCAAGTATTGTGCTCCTTGAAACAACCACAGCGTCTTTTTCAAGAGCACCCTGTATTTCTCCTGAGTTTACCTGTGGGTTTTCTTTGTATCCCGAACAATTCTTCTGGCAGTTGTGGCTGAAATCTTTCTTAGTCTACCTGACCTTGGCTTGGTATCAAGCGATCCCCGAATTCTCCACTTCTTAATAAGTGATTGAACAGTGCTGACTGGCTTTTCCAAGGCTTTGGATATCTTGTTATATCCTTTTCCATCTTTATTAAGTTCCATTACCTTGTTACGCTGGTCTTTTGACAGTTATTTTCTGCTCCCCATGGCTCAGTATCTAGCCTGCTCAGTGCATCCACGTGAGAGCTAACAAACTCATTGATTATTTATACACAGACACTGATTGCAATTTAAAAAGCCACCGGCGTGGGAAATTAACCTTTAATTGCCATTTTAACCTGTGTGTGTCACCTTGTGTGTCTGTAACAAGGCCAAACATTCAAGGATATAGAAACGTTTGATCAGGGTCATTTGGGTGATTTCTGTTAAAATGATTTAAAAAGGAGCCAAACAACCATGTGATAATACATGGCTTCATATGATCACTATCCTTCAATAAAAGACATGTTTTTGCCTGATCAGTCATATTTTTAAAATTAATGCCAAAATTTCACCATTTCTGCCACAGTTTGCAAACTTTTGAGCACAACTACATGAATTCTGGATTGTATATACATCTGTTGAATTATACAATTTATTATTTCCTATCCACCCTCAGTAATCACACATCCTATCACAAAAATCCATGGGTCCCATGAATGAGTGGTAGATGTTGTACCCCGTTCCCACCAGCAGGGGGAGCAGTGAGCAGGCTGGTAGTTACAATGTCTGCAGCTGTGAATACATTGTCTCAGGATCCTGCACCGTCCCTTTAAGAAGGAGGAGAGGCTGCTGGCAGGGGGGAGGCTGACCCCAGGACACATCATTAGAGAAGAAGCAGTACCTGTGCCAGTCCATGTGTCAGCCTCTGCCATGGGGACCCAATAGCTGCCCAGAGCATGGCTGCCAAGGAGGACCTATACAGCAAGATAGTGCCCAGGAGGGGCAGGCAGAACCGGACAGGGACCATCAGACATGGATCTTCCCTGGAGATCCTCCTCTCCATGGGCTTCCCTAGAGCTCGGGCGTAAGTCTCCTATTTACTTACCTTACAGCAGGGGCTGGGGAGCTGGTACACTCCATGTACTGTGAGAGCTGGAGAGAGGGTACACTCCATGTACTGTGAGGGCTGGGGAGAGGGTACACTCAATGTACTGTGAGAGCTGGGGAGAGGGTACACTCCATGTACTGTGAGAGCTGGGGAGAGGGTACACTCCATGTACTGTGAGGGCTGGGGAGAGGGTACACTCCATGTACTGTGAGGGCTGGGGAGAGGGTACACTCCATGTACTGTGAGGGCTGGGGAGAGGGTACACTCCATGTACTGTGAGAGCTGGGGAAAGGGTACACTCCATGTTCTGTGAGAGCTGGGAGAGGGTACACTCCATGTACTGTGAGAGCTGGGGAGAGGGTACACTCCATGTACTGTGAGGGCTGGGGAGAGGGTACACTCCATGTACTGTGAGGGCTGGGGAGAGGGTACACTCCATGTACTGTGAGAGCTGGGGAGAGGGTACACTCCATGTACTGTGAGAGCTGGGGAGAGGGTACACTCCATGTACTGTGAGAGCTGGGGAGAGGGTACACTCCATGTACTGTGAGGGCTGGGGAGAGGGTACACTCCATGTACTGTGAGGGCTGGGGAGAGGGTACACTCCATGTACTGTGAGGGCTGGGGAGAGGGTACACTCCATGTACTGTGAGAGCTGGGGAGAGGGTACACTCCATGTACTGTGAGAGCTGGGGAGAGGGTACACTCCATGTACTGTGAGGGCTGGGGAGAGGGTACACTCCATGTACTGTGAGGCTGGGGAGAGGGTACACTCCATGTACTGTGAGGCTGGGGAGAGGGTACACTCCCATGTACTGTGAGGGCTGGGGAGAGGGTACACTCCATGTACTGTGAGGGCTGGGGAGAGGGTACACTCCATGTACTGTGAGGGCTGGGGAGAGGGTGCACTCCATGTACTGTGAGAGCTAGGAGAGGGTACACTACATGTACTGTGAGAGCTGGGGAGAGGGTACACTCCATGTACTGTGAGAGCTGGGGAGAGGGTACACTCCATGTACTGTGAGGGCTGGGGAGAGGGTACACTCCATGTACTGTGAGAGCTAGGAGAGGGTACACTCCATGTACTGTGAGAGCTGGGGAGAGGGTACACTCCATGTACAGTGAGGGCTACAGAGAGGGTACACTCCATGTACTGTGAGGGCTGGGGAGAGGGTGCACTCCATGTACAGTGAGGGCTGGGGAGAGGGTACACTCCATGTACTGTGAGGGCTGGGGAGAGGGTGCACTCCACATGTACTGAGGGCTGGGAGAGGTACACTCCATGTACTGTGAGGGCTGGGGTACACACTCCATGTACTGTGAGGGCACAGGAGGGGTACACTCCATGTACTGTGAGGGCTGGGGGAGGGTACACTCCATGTACTGTGAGGGCTGGGGAGAGGGTACACTCAATGTACTGTGAGGGCTGGGGGAGCTGGTACACTCCATGTACTGTGAGAGCTGGGGAGAGGGGTGCACTCCATGTACTGTGAGAGCTGGGAGAGGGTACACACTCCATGCTTATTGTGAGGGAGCTGGGGAGGGGTACACTCAATGTACTGTGAGGGGGCTGGGGAGCTGGTACACTCCATGTACTGTGAGCTGGGGAGAGGGTGCACTCCATGTACTGTGAGAGCTGGGGAGAGGGTACACTCCATGTACTGTGAGGGCTGGGGAGAGGGTACACTCCATGTACTGTGAGGGCTGGGGAGAGGGTACACTCCATGTACTGTGAGGGCTGGGGAGAGGGTACACTCCATGTACTGTGAGAGCTGGGGAAAGGGTACACTCCATGTTCTGTGAGAGCTGGAGAGAGGGTACACTCCATGTACTGTGAGAGCTGGGGAGAGGGTACACTCCATGTACTGTGAGGGCTGGGGAGAGGGTACACTCCATGTACTGTGAGGGCTGGGGAGAGGGTACACTCCATGTACTGTGAGAGCTAGGGAGAGGGTACACTCCATGTACTGTGAGGGCTGGGGAGAGGGTACACTCCATGTACTGTGAGGGCTGGGGAGAGGGTGCACTCCATGTACTGTGAGAGCTAGGAGAGGGTACACTACATGTACTGTGAGAGCTGGGGAGAGGGTACACTCCATGTACTGTGAGAGCTGGGGAGAGGGTACACTCCATGTACTGTGAGGGCTGGGGAGAGGGTACACTCCATGTACTGTGAGAGCTAGGAGAGGGTACACTCCATGTACTGTGAGAGCTGGGGAGAGGGTACACTCCATGTACTGTGAGAGCTGGGGAGAGGGTACACTCCATGAACTGTGAGGGCTGGGGAGAGGGTACACTCCATGTACTGTGAGAGCTGGGGAGAGGGTACACTCCATGTACTGTGAGAGCTGGGGAGAGGGTACACTCCATGTACAGTGAGGGCTAGGGAGAGGGTACACTCCATGTACTGTGAGGGCTGGGTAGAGGGTGCACTCCATGTACAGTGAGGGCTGGGGAGAGGGTACACTCCATGTACTGTGAGGGCTGGGGAGAGGGTGCACTCCATGTACAGTGAGGGCTACAGAGAGGGTACACTCCATGTACTGTGAGGGCTGGGTAGAGGGTGCACTCCATGTACAGTGAGGGCTGGCGAGAGGGTACACTCCATGTACTGTGAGAGCTGTGGTGAGGGTACACTCCATGTACTGTGAGAGCTGTGGAGAGGGTACACTCCATGTACTGTGAGGGCTGGGGAGAGGGTGCACTCCATGTACGGTGAGGGCTGGGGAGAGGGAGCACTCCATGTACAGTGAGGGCTGCGGAGAGGGTACACTCTATGTACTGTGAGAGCTGGGGAGAGGGTACACTCCATGTATAGTGAGTGTGAGTTCGGGTATTTGGAGGCTGGAGCCAACCCTGTAATGTGAGTGTAAGTTGGGGTATTTGGAGGCTGGGGCCCTGGCTGTATTCTGGGTGTAAGTTGGGGTATTTGGAGGCTGGGGCCCTGGCTGTATTCTGGGTGTAAGTTGGGGTATTTGGAGGCTGGGGCCCTGGCTGTATTCTGGGTGTAAGTTGGGGTATTTGGAGGCTGGGGCCCTGGCTGTATTCTGGGTGTAAATTGGGATATTTGGAGGCTGGGGCCCTGGCTGTATTCTGGGTGTAAGTTGGGGTATTTGGAGGCTGGGGCCCTGGCTGTATTCTGGGTGTAAATTGGGATATTTGGAGGCTGGGGCCCTGGCTGTATTCTGGGTGTAAGTTGGGGTATTTGGAGGCTGGGGCCCTGGCTGTATTCTGGGTGTAAATTGGGATATTTGGAGGCTGGGGCCCTGGCTGTATTCTGGGTGTAAGTTGGGGTATTTGGAGGCTGGGGCCCTGGCTGTATTCTGGGTGTAAATTGGGATATTTGGAGGCTGGGGCCCTGGCTGTATTCTGGGTGTAAGTTGGGATATTTGGAGGCTGGGGCCTCTGCCAGGGCGCATACTAATCTGGTTTGTCGCATGGCTGTGTCTACAGGTAGAGCACATGATCAGATATTGGGGCACATTAAAAGTCTGCGGCCAGTGGCTCTTACGGGTTTATATCGTACCCACATTGGGGCCATACAGCGTATGAATGGGCCCTTAATGCAGCCTTCTGTAGTGATACAGAATATCAGCCATTAGGCATGGTGGGAGTGAAACATATAGGAATTAACTGATGCAGAAGCTCTTTCCCGTCTCAGTAAAGTGTTACTGGGCATGTAGTCGGCGTCGTGCTGTGTCAGAGGAGAGGACTGGATGGCTTTATCCTCTGTAATATTGTATTAACACTGGATTTTGTAGAGTGCTCGGCCTACTGGGCCATATCGGATGTTAATGCACGCCTTACGTTCTATGGTAGTCTATTTTTATTAGTGGGAGTTTCGATTATCCTTCGGCATGTCGAGCAGGAGACTGAAAACAAAAATACATGTAATTAGTTATTAACATGATTGTTCTTTTAGATCTGTAGACGGTAATTATTTTCGGTTGTCTGGTTAATTTCCACGTTTCCTGTAAATTTGGTGAAAGATTTTTCTACAGTGTGTTTTCTAACAGAAATGGATTTATTACTTGTAATTTACAGATAATCTCTTTATCTGTCTTTTCGTGACCACAAGGACAAACACAATTTAAAGATTTGTGCTGACTTGAGTTGTGTTGGTATATTTAGGCAAAAGTAGCATAATTTTGGCCAAAATGTATACAAATTGTTTTTCAGCTCTTCGCAATGTACAGTTTAGTTATTAAATAGATTGAATAATATAATTCATTAAACATTATGGATTGATCAGTTGAGGAGATCTTAGTACACATAATATTTTAACCCCTTTTTGTGTCTGTTTTTTGACAGTTTTTTTTCTCCTGAATCCATCAATCAATTAGAAAGTGCCATAACTTGTCATGTCAGGAACAAAATAACTTGAATTAGAACGTTTTCCGCATTCTGAAATAGCTTACTGCTTCGAGTATGTGTTCAAAGATATAAACCACACTCAGATCTATAAATGCGTTAACAAAATGTGTGAGAAATATGGCAAAAACAAGCAAATTCTCGTTAAATTCCTCCTATCGTGACCACCATAATCCAATGTCTCTTTAAAAAGCCCAAAACCACCACGTAAGCAATACATTGTACCAGCCAAATCAAATGTGTAGGTAAAAAGAACTCCAGTACATTATCCGGAATTTTACTCGATTTACTGCTGTGCTAGATTGTTAGCTCATATGATCAGTAGCCTCTTATTGTGGTGGTTTGTTTCTTTGTATGTTTTCTGTTATATCCCCACATTAACCCCGTAAGGACACATGACATGTCAGACATGTCATGATTCCCTTTTATTCCAGAAGTTTGGTCCTTAAGGGGTTAAACCAACTGTGCTATACTTCTAAAACAGGCGCTATACTCCTAGCTATTCTCAATAAGAAGCAAATACCATGAAAACCGACAGAATGTGTCTCAATAATTCGCACGCCTGTAACAGCATTTGTTTTACCTTGAACCACACGTGCTGTGAACTTAGCGCAGTGTATGGAGTGAATCTTCACTTTAAAATTGACAGATTTACACGATTTGCAATGAAACACATCGGGGATTATTTATAAACGGTGACGTGCTCACTTTTAGGCTGTTTTGTTCCCCCTTTTGCACCAAAGTTACTACGCCTTTTTTTTGTTGTTGTGTTTTTTTTGTTTTTTTTTCGGACACAGCTTTCCGCTACCATCAGTTAAACAGTATAAGTAGCTTTAACTTCCTTCAAAGAATAAAAAAAAAAGAATGCAACTTTTTCCCCAGTTATATTACTAGGTTTTCTTATTTAATAAATGTAATCAGGGGTGCAAAAAAAAAGGATGAAAAAACCTGTAGCTTGAAGGGTGCAATGAAATTCGCCCCACTGCAATCACAAGCACGTCTTTAAATGACGTCTATAGATAATGTATTTATGTATTGATTATATAAATTGAAACCAATAAAAAAATAACTGATACTGTGAGATTCCTGTGTTTGCTGCACATCTCAAAGATTTGCAGCTTCTGCAGTGAGCTCCCTGCAGGCATGTACATATCCCATAAACCCTTGCTCAGCCGTAGTTTACTTGTCAACCTGCATTTGAAAATTGTACCTGGCCACAGGTAACTTCTTTTCTAAAAATGGAATTGGATGCCGATTTTTTTTTTTTTTTTATGGTTTTTATTTTTTAAATGAATTCAGTCTCTCTACACACTAGTACGCCACACTGTAGGCAACAAAAGCGTCTATACACCCTATCGGCATTGCGTAGCTGTTGTCGATGACCTCACATTTTACTGTACTATTGACGCAGAGAAGAAAAAATGGCAGATCTGAATTTACAATATTCTGAAAAAAATGACATTTACTTCTAAACTGCCCTGATCTTGTATTGGACCCAGAGTGCAATTTTAGGCTTTTACTGCCCTTATGAATTGATGTAAATCATTATAAAATATCATATAAAAGAATCACTTTTATTAGAATTGCGTCTAGCTGACCTCACCATAGAAACGACTCACTTCTCAGGGTTATCATAAAATTGTGGATTATCAGGCATTCAAAGCCTTCTCTCTCTCTTTTTTTTTTTTTTACATTCTTTATCTTAAATTGCTGTCTAAATACACAAGGTACATATATCATATCATACAAGGCCATAACATCCGACTTTCCAACACCGTGTAACGTATGGTAGCCCATGTGTAACCGCGATATCACATCATAGTCTCTGACTGGCGTTAGTAACACTGGTATATCTGATGACAAGGTTTTTATAAATATATACGTAAATAATGTAGCATTGGTCATAACCATATAACCAGCCCTGCCCTACCCACTTGCTGATAACAAGTATGCACGTATAATAAGAGACTTGCTCGTAGGTATTTATGGGACCGATGGAACTAAAGGTACTGGCCCAACCAATGAGCAAGAATAAGTAAACGTGTAGATATAATAAGAAGGGGAGGAGGGGGGATAGGGTAGGGAGGGAGTGGGAAGTCGAGGGATACTAGTGATGTATTCTTTGTGAAAGTTATCCGCCAAAGTTAGGGTCTCCGTCCTGGGTGTCTGGGAGTAAATATCACTTCAAGAGTGCTTTCCTTCCCATCATTTACGGCTCGCCGGGGGTGGGGTTCGGGATTCTGTTTACTGGGTTAGGGGGCAAAATTTCTCCCCCCTCCCAGCTCCCACCTCCCCAATCCCCTGTCTCTACATCTCCCAGAACCGAGGATGTCTCCCGTGTGTAAGTCCCTAAGTATATTGGTTCTCAGTGGGTCGTAAGCCCCCCCCCCAGGAATCAAAGCCTTCTTTAAAGTGAAATATTAGCAGGATGATCCGAGATGTAAATTTGATGCGTGAAGTCACATGACACAAAAAACATTGTTTAGTGACAATTCTATCTAAACCATTTAAAAATTCCCTTTTTTTTTACACTTCATAGCTTCAGTGTTGCTGTCCCAATATCTGTCTGTTGAAAGCTCTGTGCAATGTGTTGTAACAACTAATTATTAATATAAAATAACGCAGGATACCAGGAATAAAGAGAAATTATCAGCAAGATAATAGATTTTATAATTCTGACCGCAATAAAACTGAGGGGCCCAGCTTCTGTTTTGAAAAAAAAATATTTTAACAATGTTTTAAAAGTGTGGTTTAAAAAAAGTTTATTATAAATAAATGTTGAAATATTCCCTATATGTAATATATATTTAACTATAAATAGCTGTTTTTACTTTTTGTAAAAGTTGTTTGGAGTAAGATTTCTTGGCGCTATATGTTAGCAAGCCAGGATAATTTATATCCTTTCCATGTGCCTGATCGTCTCGTCGAGCCTTATTTTTGCCCGAGGTTAAAACCCCAGATGAGTTTTTCAGTCTCACAGCTTTTTAATAGGCCTGCCATTGTCTTTCTCTTAGCTATGGATTTACCAAACTGTTTTAAAACTTTACAGACACTAACAGGGCAATTAACTAAAGCGAGAATTAAGAGTTAATTCAATTGAAAGACCAAAATAGTTGAACTGGAAACATTCTCCAAGTCAGCTCTGTGATTATTTGGGCTACTCTGGCCTTAAATTTGAAATATCCTTTGAATTCTGACTTCAGAAAATAAGCCGATAGCTGCCATGCTGTGAAAAAGGGATGTTTACAGAGCACCAACACATTGTGTCGCGGTGTACAATAGCATCATGACATTTAGTTTAAACACATGTAAAGGATTAAACTGCGATGCCATTGTAATTATAGCTTTATGTAGATCAGTGGTGTAACGTAACAGAGGGTTAACCCATTGACCACTCACTGACGGTTAATATAGTGGTGTTTAAAGAATTAACTCAATTAAATTCCACCATTATCAGTTGTATAAACACACATGTATACACGCACTCACCTTATACATACATACGCACATACACACACACATACACACACACGTTAACCTACCCGTTTAAATACATACATACACACACACGTTAACCTACCCATTTACATACATACACACACACACGTTAACCTACCCATTTACATACATACACACACACGTTAACCTACCCATTTACACACATTCATACACACATGTTAACCTACCCATTTATATACATACATACACACACACGTTAACCTACCCATTTAAATACATATACACACACGTTAACCTACCCATTTACATACATACATACACACACACGTTAACCTACCCATTTATATACATACATACACACGTTAACCTACCCATTTACACACATTCATACACACACGTTAACCTACAGATTTACATACATACATACACACACACGTTAACCTACCCATTTACACACATTCATACACACACGTTAACCTACCCATTTACATACATACACACACACGTTAACCTACCCATTTACATACATACACACACATGTTAACCTACCCATTTACACACATTCATACACACACACGTTAACCTACCCATTTACACACATTCATACACACACGTTAACCTACCCATTTACACACATTCATACACACACGTTAACCTAAACATTTACATACATACATACACACACACACACGTTAACCTACCCATTTACATACATACATACACACACACACATTAACCTACCCATTTACACACATTCATACACACACGTTAACCTACCCATTTGCACACATTCATACACACATGTTAACCTACCCATTTACATACATACATACACACACACACGTTAACCTACCCATTTACATACATACACACACACACACACGTTAACCTACCCATTTACACACATTCATACACACACGTTAACCTACCCATTTACATACATACACACACACACACATTAACCTACCCATTTACATACATACATACACACACACACACACACGTTAACCTACCCATTTACATACATACATACACACACACACACGTTAACATTCATTGAATAATGAATTCAATTCAAAATTGTAAAATCAGCTGTGACTAGAGCGGAGTTGGATAATTTCTCCAAATCAACTATTTTAGTTTAAAATGTGCCAGTCAGATTTACATTTTCTTCAATTTGGGAGTTTATGGAGTAACCTGATGTGCATTACATGTGTGACGTTGTTATCTCTCATTTATCTTCTCAGGTTTAAACAGAAATATTCTGCTGTTAGAATCCTGTCCATTTCAAGATTAAAAAAATATATAGTTTTGTTGCTGCTGCCTGACAAACTGTGTGTGTGTGTGTGTGTGTATATGTGTGTGTATATATATATATTGCTGTTAGTATATAACTCTGAGAATATCTAGATATAGTTCACGTACACAAATCTGTTACTACCTGCTTCTTCTCGGTTAGCTCTATATAAAACTCTCTGCTACACCCCCCACACACCCAATTTCTCCTCTAAAACTTTGATTACTGGTTTATTTTATTTAAAGAACTAACCCATAAATGGGTGCATGTTAGCTTTTACTTTCTGCTTTAATTTAATCTCGTACCTGATATGAGGTATTAATTGATGACCCCACTAAATATTGGGCAACTTTCTTAAGACAATCAATATTTCGCTACTGTACTCAGTATCAAGATTTAGAGATTGGCTGCCGGAAACCTGCTGATCTTTATTTATTAAACAATTATTTTCTTGTGATCAGAAATTGATTTGCGACATTTGACAGTTTTTTTTTTTTTAGAATTTTTCTATAATAAATGTGACCCTCAAAGTCTGGCTGAAGTATTTTGGGATGAGGCAGTTGGACATTATTATTATTCTTTAATTTAAAGGGCGGTTTGCGTTGTGATTCCTGTGTCTTTAATAAAACACAATATATTGGTCCCTGTTTACATAAGCACTATATAATGGGTTAAATTACACAGAAATTGACAATTCTAGATAAAATGTTCTAACGGTGATAATATTGAAATCCGTAGCCGTGGTTTAATTGTGAGAGTGATCTCGTCATTCACCGATATTGAAAGGGATGTTTCTACGGTAAGAATCGGTTACTGGAAATTAATATTATGATGCAGTTTATACGGCTGCGTGACGTTTTATTTAATAAACTAGTGTTACAGCGTGGCGATATGACAATGTCTGAAACCTTTCAGTAGACAGCACGGTGGCGTTTTTTTGTATAAATTATTTACCATGAGAGGAGTGTGTGTGACACATACGTGTAATGTATTTAGTCTTCACGTTTTTTCGGGTAACCCTGTATTCTAGTGATACACACATTATATTCAGGTTCTGAAATGATTCACTGACATTTGGAAACATTGAGAGTTGATACATGTGCGGTTGTTTGGAGACATACTGCGCCTGGTCGGGGAAGGTGTTTAGTAAATGATTCATGGTGATAAAAGCGGTCATGGTTTGAGAACTGCTATATGTGTAGAGACAGTCTAATATATGGACTTTAGGCACTTTTTCAGAGTATTTGGTAATGATTTAAGATACGCAGGGTTGTTACATTTAGCTGATGTTGGCATATAGCAAGAGCAAAGCTGGCACGTTCACCACGCATGGTAATATGGGCAAGCATGGAGTAGAAGACACTTGGTCATAGGTTGAGATAGGTAGAGGTCTGTCTATATTGGGAGTCTGAAATCCTAGTTAAACATAGCAATGGAACGTTTCATCCTTTAAAGGTACTCTGTCATAGGCTGACGAAGTATTCTTATACAGAGTAAGTTCTTGTTCAGTGGGATACAAGTCCTATGTTGTGAGGATCTAGACCACAGGTTGCACATTTCATAATTTGTAACTGGCCACCGTTTGTGCATCCTGTTTTTGTGTTCCTTTCTGTTTGCGTCCATTCAACTAGCAGCGATCAAAGAATGAATCCATCAACGTAAGGAATATATAGCAGTATTAGCTGGATACCACGGACGGGTATTCCCACATTAGAAGGAATATATAGCAGTATTAGCCGGGTACCACGGACGGGTATTCCCACATTAGAAGGAATATATAGCAGTATTAGCTGGGTACCACGGACGGGTATTCCCACATTAGAAGGAATATATAGCAGTATTAGCTGGGTACCACGGACGGGTATTCCCACATTAGAAGGAATATATAGCAGTATTAGCCGGATACCACGGACTGGTATTCCCACATTAGAAGGAATATATAGCAGTATTAGCTGGGTACCACGGACGGGTATTCCCACATTAGAAGGAATATATAGCAGTATTAGCTGGATACCACGGACGGGTATTCCCACATTAGAAGGAATATATAGCAGTATTAGCTGGGTACCACGGACGGGTATTCCCACATTAGAAGGAATATATAGCAGTATTAGCTGGGTACCACGGACGGGTATTCCCACATTAGAAGGAATATATAGCAGTATTAGCTGGGTACCACGGACGGGTATTCCCACATTAGAAGGAATATATAGCAGTATTAGCTGGGTACCACGGACGGGTATTCCCACATTAGAAGGAATATATAGCAGTATTAACTGGGTACCACGGACGGGTATTCCCCCGCATTAGAAGGAATATATAGCAGTATTAGCTGGGTACCACGGACGGGTATTCCCGCATTAGAAGGAATATATAGCAGTATTAGCTGGATACCACGGACGGGTATTCCCACATTAGAAGGAATATATAACAGTATTAGCTGGATACCACGGATGGGTATTCCCACATTAGAAGGAATATATAGCAGTATTAGCTGGGTACCACGGACGGGTATTTCCACATTAGAAGGAATATATAACAGTATTAGCTGGATACCACGGACGGGTATTTCCACATTAGAAGGAATATATAACAGTATTAGCTGGATACCACGGACGGGTATTTCCACATTAGAAGGAATATATAACAGTATTAGCTGGTACCACGGACGGGTATTCCCACATTAGAAGGAATATATAGCGGTATTATTAGCTGGGTACCACGGACGGGTATTCCCGCATTAGAAGGAATATATAGCAGTATTAGCTGGGTACCACGGACGGGTATTCCCGCATTAGAAGGAATATATAGCAGTATTAGCTGGGTACCACGGACGGGTATTCCCACATTAGAAGGAATATATAGCGGTATTAGCTGGGTACCACGGACGGGTATTCCCACATTAGAAGGAATATATAGCGGTATTATTAGCTGGGTACCACGGACGGGTATTCCCGCATTAGAAGGAATATATAGCAGTATTAGCTGGGTACCACGGACGGGTATTCCCGCATTAGAAGGAATATATAGCAGTATTAGCTGGATACCACGGACGGGTATTCCCACATTAGAAGGAATATATAACAGTATTAGCTGGATACCACGGATGGGTATTCCCACATTAGAAGGAATATATAGCAGTATTAGCTGGGTACCACGGACGGGTATTTCCACATTAGAAGGAATATATAACAGTATTAGCTGGATACCACGGACGGGTATTTCCACATTAGAAGGAATATATAACAGTATTAGCTGGATACCACGCACGGGTATTTCCACATTAGAAGGAATATATAACAGTATTAGCTGGATACCACGGACGGGTATTCCCACATTAGAAGGAATATATAGCAGTATTAGCTGGGTACCACGGACGGGTATTCCCACATTAGAAGGAATATATAGCGGTATTAGCTGGATACCACGGACGGGTATTCCCACATTAGAAGGAATATATAGCGGTATTAGCTGGGTATCACGGACGGGTATTCCCGCATTAGAAGGAATATATAGCGGTATTAGCTGGGTACCACGGACGGGTATTCCCACATTAGAAGGAATATATAGCGGTATTAGCCGGATACCACGGACGGGTATTCCCACATTAGAAGGAATATATAGCAGTATTAGTTACCACGGACGGGTATTCCCACATTAGAAGGAATATATAGCAGTATTAGCTGGATACCACGGACGGGTATTCCCACATTAGAAGGAATATATAGCAGTATTAGCTGGGTACCACGGACGGGTATTCCCACATTAGAAGGAATATATAGCAGTATTAGCTGGGTACCACGGACGGGTATTCCCACATTAGAAGGAATATATAGCAGTATTAGCCGGATACCACGGACTGGTATTCCCACATTAGAAGGAATATATAGCAGTATTAGCTGGGTACCACGGACGGGTATTCCCACATTAGAAGGAATATATAGCAGTATTAGCTGGGTACCACGGACGGGTATTCCCACATTAGAAGGAATATATAGCAGTATTAGCTGGGTACCACGGACGGGTATTCCCACATTAGAAGGAATATATAGCAGTATTAGTTACCACGGACGGGTATTCCCACATTAGAAGGAATATATAGCAGTATTAGCTGGATACCACGGACGGGTATTCCCACATTAGAAGGAATATATAGCAGTATTAGCTGGGTACCACGGACGGGTATTCCCACATTAGAAGGAATATATAGCAGTATTAGCTGGATACCACGGACGGTATTCCCACATTAGAAGGAATATATAGCAGTATTAGCTTACCACGGACGGGTATTCCCACATTAGAAGGAATATATAGCAGTATTAGCTGGGTACCACGGTTGGGTATTCCCATTAGAAGGAATATATAGCAGTAGCTGGATACCGCGGTGGGTATTCCAGAAGGAATATATAGCAGTATTAACTGGGTACCACATTCCCTTAGAAGGAATATATAGCAGTATTAGCTGGGTACCACACGGGTATTCCCACATTAGAAGAAGGGCGGTATTAGCGGGTACCGCGGACGGGTATTCCACATTAGAAGGAATATATAGCAGTATTAGTTACCACGGACGGGTATTCCCACATTAGAAGGAATATATAGCAGTATTAGCTGGATACCACGGACGGGTATTCCCACATTAGAAGGAATATATAGCAGTATTAGCTGGGTACCACGGACGGGTATTCCCACATTAGAAGGAATATATAGCAGTATTAGCTGGGTACCACGGACGGGTATTCCCACATTAGAAGGAATATATAGCAGTATTAGCTGGATACCACGGATGGGTATTCCCACATTAGAAGGAATATATAGCAGTATTAGCCGGATACCACGGACTGGTATTCCCACATTAGAAGGAATATATAGCAGTATGTATCAGGTCTGATTTCTCCCAGTACTAGTCGGGTGTGAGAGCTGATTACTCCCGCCATGGAATTACTCCCCAGTACTAGTCGGGTGTGAGAGCTGAGTACTCCTGTCATGGAATAATACCCCGGAGTATTAACCCTGTTCTGATGTGATGACGTGGCCCGGTTGTAATAGAGTTTATAGGAAAAGCCTCTGTGGTTCAGATGTTGCTCTTTATCTTATCGAGATGCAGTTTAGTTCCTCATTATTTACATTCTCAAAGTGTCAGGAGTGTGGCCTTTAAATCTGATAAAAAAAGAACAGGGTTTGTTAAACACTTCCCTTTTTACATGAAAATAGCACAGAGTGGCTAATATTTACACACAGAACCAATGGCCACTGGAGGGAATGCCCACTTGCCAACGTCAAGGCAGACCCCCCTAGACAGGTCCTACTCTGACCCTTCAACTTGCTTCCATGAGCTTCTGGCAAAGATCTCTAATGAGACAGAGAGGAGTATTTTTTATATACACCCCTATATACTTATTAACCCTTAATAGGGGACACATGGGATGGGAGGCTGCATTGCAACATAGCTGTGTGATACAAATAAAAAATAAAAGTCCTGCACTCACTCCCTTCACTCCTGGGCGGCAGCAATGACCACAGTACACATCAGGAGTGATGGGAGTGAGCGCAGGACTTTTCTTTTGTATTCACTTTTTGTATCACACAGCTATGTTGCAATGCAGCCGCCCATCCCATGTGTTCCCTATTAAGGGTTAATAAGTATATAGGGGTGTATATAAAAAATACTCCTCTCTGTCTCATTAGAGATCTTTGCCAGAAGCTCATGGAAGCAAGTTGAAGGGTCAGAGTAGGACCCGTCTAGGGGGGTCTGCCTTGACGTTGGCAGGCGGGCATTCCCTTCAGTGGCCATTGGAGTAACTAAATAACCTCCATTTGTTTAAATAAACATAAGGATTAAGGAGAGAGCGCAGGTAACTTTTTTTTCCTTTGGTTTTTACTATATGTATTAGAGCTGATGTTTACTGTGGTCATTGCTGCCGCCCAATGAGCGCATGACTTTTCTCTTTGTATTAGTGTTTCTATATGTTTCTGACTGTCTGTTAGCATTGGTTTGTGTGTGGTTTTGTACAAATGTCAAAATATGGCTGTGAGTGTATCTGACTGTGTCTGTAAGTGTTCCTATGTTTCTCTGTCTTTTACCACTGACACTGTGTGTGTGTGTGTGTGTTTGTACAAATGTCTAAATATGTCTGTTATTATTTGTACTAGTGCTTATAATGTTTTTGTGTCAATATTATCTTTTTATAACAAAACGGAATTTTACAAATATTAGAGCCAGATGTCAGTTTAGGAATAATATTCATATTAACTTCCATTAAACAATAATCAGTCATGGTGATCAGCTGGGCACAGGGCGGGCACACTTTACTACCTAATGCAGACCCTACAGCCACTTACCTTCTGACCTGGAAATGTATCTTCATTAACGTTGTGTCCTGCATGATGACACGATATAATCAATACATTGATACATTGTTCCGGCCAAATGCAAATCACAGGACTTGAGCCTTGAATGACAGGACAAATACGTTAAAGTCTGAGCACAGGACGATTTTTAAATTAATAATTGCAGGACCTCTTCTATTTTCATGTAAGCAGTTTAGCAAAACCAAACTAATCTAAGCAAAACTATTTACTGTCTAAATAAAATATAATGGATGATGTCTAATAGACTGTCTGTTTTTCTGCTGAGCGTAGGGCGTGTATAAAATATTACATTTTTATATAGTGCTTTTCAATCCACTTACAAGTCATCCTTGGGGACATAGAGATCTCTAAACGGAATGTTGACAATGTAGGTCATGCTAATTGCTGATTATTTTGGGAATCTGAGGTTTAGATCTGATTTAACCCATAGAGCATTGTTACTGTAATTTGGGGCTGATCCAGGTGTCTGCCTGACACAGCAAGGCATTAAATGGGCCAGGTCTGTCGGTTTATAAAATGGATTTTGTTTCCTTAACAATTAAGTTGATTCAAGTATGTCTCATCTGGCACAGAAAGTGGTGCAGTCGGCGATGGAAATCACAATCGGCGATTGAATGTTTGTGGCGATTGCTCAGTTGTTTTCTAACGTGTGCATAAAATACGAACATACTCACCCTGTCCCGATCATTTGCCTTCCAACATTAAGAAATCTGCATTTTATGACTTGAAACATGATCTGTCCCTTTAAATAATGATTTAATAAAGCGTAGACGCTGCTATAGATAGAGTGGAGTTAATGGAAAGGAAGTTAAATTATTAATGGCTATAATGCAGAGCGCAATGGAGGTTTTAACGTCCCATTTTAACCTGTTCAGTGTACCCTACATCCACTCTCTGGTACTTGGTTAACCGCACAATATTTTCCTGAGTCTTCGGACAGACTCCACATCTCGTACTCTGTACATTAACTGTATTGCAATTCAAATTCAGACGAAAGAAACACAAACACGTTGAGATATTGGAAAATTAACAGATCTCGTCAGTCCTGACGTGCGTCATTTCTAATCCCAACATTATTTTACAAAATATCTCCTCAAATAGAGAGTTAAACTAGGGATAGCGTGGGGCAGAGTTTGGCAAATAATCGTGGAAATGGGACCAGATTTGGACAGTGCCAATTTAGATATATTTACCTATTCTGCAATGAACTCCGATAGACTGTAAGCTCGTTTGAGCAGGGCCCTCTTCAACCAATGGTTCCTGTAAGTTTTCTTGTAATTGTCCTATTTATAGTTAAATCCCCCCTCTCATAATATTGTAAAGCGCTACGGAATCTGTTGGCGCTATATATATGGCGATGATGATGATGATAATAATAATAACTCTCCTGGCTCCTTAAATCCACAATGGAAGAGGATTCCAGCACAGGCAGATTAACAAAAATAGAAATTGGGCTTATACTGATCATCCAACTACCTGCGCCACAACCACGCCATTAAAGTCAGTCTGTATTTTAAAAGAAGATTTATTTTAAAAAAAAATTTATTTCTCTACTGCACCCCCTAAAAGGCCCCTTCTAGATAAGGGGCTGCATATTTATTGTTATTCCATTATTATTAATATATGTTCTATAGCACTCTCTATGGGGTGGTGCAGCATGATGGGATTCTGACATAAGCAGTGGAGGTGTACAAGAAATACAAACTGATTTGTTTGCTAAACCAGGAAATACGACAACTGAAAAGATAATTAATTACACATTTTGGCCCAAAACAGCAATCTTAGAACATTCTCTCCATTTTATGTTTTAGTGAATAAACCAGGAAGTGATTTTAAGGAACTATTCGTGATCTAGACTGACAGTATTACTGTACATAATTGGCAGCAAGTTGGATCTTATTTCCTCTGAGCAATTTCTGTTTAGGAGAATATTTGTATGAAATATCTGAAATAAACAAAAAAAGTCAATTTGTGACATATTTTTAAGATCTGAAAACTTAAATATATGTGAATTGCTGTATTTCTATATCACTGTTACTGCTTCCACTGGAAGGCTATTCTAGGTATCTACTACCCTTTCTATATCACTGTTACTGCTCCCACTGGAAGGCTATTCCAGGCATCTACTACCCTTTCTATATCACTGTTACTGCTCCCACTGGAAGGCTATTCCAGGTATCTACTACCCTTTCTATATCACTGTTACTGCTCCCACTGGAAGGCTATTCCAGGTATCTACTACCCTTTCTATATCACTGTTACTGCTCCCACTGGAAGGCTATCCCAGGTATCTACTACCCTCTCTATATCACTGTTACTGCTCCCACTGGAAGGCTATTCCAGGTATCTACTACCCTTTCTATATCACTGTTACTGCTCCCACTGGAAGGCTATTCTATGTATCTAGTACCATCTCTGCATCTTTGACACTTCTTTATTGTTTTTTATCTCATTCCTTTTTCATATTTCCGTTCTATATTTGTAAAGGGCTGCTGCATATGTTGGAGCTATATAGATAATAATTCCTTGTTGAGTGGTCAATGATTTTCTTGAAGCTTAGAAATAGCCGGATGCCAAGTTCTGTTAGAGATTGCCAGTGAGTGTCATACGGGGCCGTATTTACCATCTTTTGTGAGCAGATTATGGTTAAATAGGAGATAAAGTTACTATTTGTATAAAATGAAATCAATGCATCGAGAACGATTTTACTAGCGCAATGTGGAGGTGAAACGTCCACCGCTACAACAGGATATTTTATTCTAACCTTGCTGGACAGGAGCATTGTGCTTGAAACATTGCTGAACTTGCTTCCAGCCCTGTGTTTAACCCCTTAAGGACCAAACTTCTGGAATAAAAGGGAATCATGACATGTCACACATGTCATGTGTCCTTAAGGGGTTAAACATTTTGTTCTGTTTTTTTTTTATTCTGCTTAACACAGTTTCTTATTCTGTATTTTGTTTGGGTAACTTGTCTAAATCATACCCGCTTTGCTTTCTTTTTTTTTTATCCAAATTGAAAATAAACTGTATTTTTGCAGTGAAATTAATGATTGTATTTAGATATGGTGCATAAAAAGCCCAAAATATCCTATCCAACTTCTGATTCTGCATTTTTTATTACGCCATGCGCAGCAGAGGAAGTTGCATCTCACAAAGCTATTTCAGTAATGATGTCGCCACCTCCTGAGAATTTTGGCAGATAGCTTCTTATTGCAGACATTGCGCTGTTACTATTTCTCTGACACTGTGATGTAAGAATATAGCTTTATTGAACGCTTTGTGATAAATAAATGGGCTACCGAGGGATTTATTCACTAAACTCTGAATGGTGGCAAATATATACTAAATTAACTGATCTGTAACCACTTGTCCAAGCAGCTATAGTTACAGTTTTGCATGTTTAACACTAAATGTTGCCATTTTCAATTCAATTCCCCACAATTTGAAGTTTAGTGAATAAACGTTAGTGTGACAAGATAAATGTGCCCGACAGAAAAATGAAAGATGCCTATTAGAACTCATAATGCGTCATTATGTAGAGTTTGATCTGTGCACATTAAATCGATAAGATGTTTATCAGTGAAAGTGCGTGTCGGGCCGCTGGTTGTAATATAGTTACATAGTATATAGTTACATAGTTATATAGGCTGAAAAGAGACTTGTGTCCATCAAGTTCAGCCTTCCTCACACTTGTTTTTTGCTGTTAATCCAAAAGAAGGCGCACCCCCCACCCCCCAGTTTGAAGCACTTACAATTTTGCCACAAACTAGGAAAATAATTCTTTCTTGACCCCAGAATGGCAGTCAGATTTATCCTTGGATCAAGAAGCTATTACCCTACATTGAAAGATTATATCCTTGAATATTCTGTTTTTGCAAGTATGCATCTAGTAGCTGATTGAACATCTGTATGGACTCTGATAAAACCACTTCTTCAGGCAGAGAATTCCACATCCTGATTGTTCTTACAGTAAAAAAAACCTTTCCTTTGCCTTAGACAAAATCTTCTTTCTTCCAGTCTAAACGCATGGCCTCGTATCCTATGTAAAGTCCGGTTTGTGAATAGATTTCCACACAATGGTTTGTATTGGCCCCGAATATATTTGTATAATGTTATCATATCCCCTCTCAGGCAACATGTTTCTAAACTAAAGAGGTTTAAATTTGTTAACCTTTCTTCATGGCTGATATAGCTAAAGAGGAACTTCGGAGGTAAAGCATATTTTAACTTCTAACCGAAAATATGCAATTTTTGCTTTTTCCCGTTTGTTTTGGATTTAAATAATTTGTAAGGGATGCCAGTTTGGCCAACACAAAGCTAATTCAAATAGCCCATGATTCCCTGTGCGTTGCCCACTAATCCTCATGCGTCTGCAAGGAATGGTGGGAAGTTGATGCCTATAGGGTGTAGTCTTCAGATTCTAAACTCGTTTGGACAGGGACCGCTTTATCAAATGTACCAGCATGTCATATGTGTCTTGTTATAATGAAACGTTTGTCTTGTTTTCTGATGTACAGCGCTGTGGAACATGTTGGCACTCTATAAATACTGGTAACTGTCTGGTTGGAGATACATGAGTATGGCTTCCTATGATTATATGGCGAGCATTGTGGGGGGGGCACAGTTAGTCTCTGACCCATTGTGGGGGGTCACTGATTGTCTCAGATCCATTGTTGGGGATACGTGGGTCACTAGTTGTCTCTGACCGGTGTAGATTTCTGACTACAAAGTGTAGAGGTATAAACTGGAATCCCTCATCATTCAACCACTTATACCCCTGGCATAGTTTACGCTGCAGGGAGGTCCCCAGTTTCTCTGTCTGTACATTTCACTACAAATAAAGATATTTTGAGAACCCAGCAAAGTGCCCAGCCCCACTATGTGACATAATTCAAGCCATTAGTGTGATCTCCACGGGAGAGTCCACAGAGCCACTTTATGGCCGCCAGTCACATATATCAGCTAAAAAAAAGTGCTATATCTTCTGTTAGTTTGTCACTAGTCTGTATCTGAAATACGGAACAGGAGTGAAGATATCAATGGCTGCTTTACACGGGGGTTGAAGGTAGTAATGGTATGAGTGTTACATTGCTCACTAAGTATTGCTTAAGGGAAACATGGACCAAGATGCAGCTATTTGGGTGGCCAAAGCATAATGATGTGGAAGTTCAGATTCTAAACTTAGCACCATACAGGTTCAGGGAAAACCTGAGAGAACTCGGAAATCTGTATATTATGTTATGTCTCACCTATATCATCTTACAGATCCCTACGCGTTTCCCCCATATTCCCCGAGCAATCCCCACCAGCTGTGAAATTACGCCAAGGTCAGATCACACTCAAAGTGTCCATATTTCCTAAACTCACCCTAAAGCAAACACTGTCATATCCTAAGAAAACATTTTATTATAAATATACAACATCCTACAGAAACCTTCAACGTAAAAATACATCTAATAAAAACCATCTATATAGAAATATCAAATATATTATAAAAACCATCTATATAGAAATATCAAATATATTATAAAAGACATCTATATAGAAATATTAAATATATATGTAGAAATATGAAATATTGTTAAATCCTTTTGGCGCATTGTGTGAAGATGAGCAATCTGTGATAATTAATTTCCCATATTTGGGGCCCGGTGCAGGTAACTGTAATATTCAGATGGGAGGGTTGGCTGCACCCTGGTAAATCCCCCACTTCCCCCCCCGACTGCGCAGGCACCACAAGGAAGGGACGGAATGATGTACTTGGAGCAGGAGGTGAATGGCGAATCTCACCTTAAAGGCTGCCTTTTGATTACTTTGATTGTAAAGAATCAAGTTTCACTAAATATGTCTTGATCTCTGTAGAAATGATGCAGCGCAGCCCGAATCTCTCCTAACTATGTCAAATGTTCCCTTCTAGCTCCACTAATCTAGCTGTGCCAACACACCCCTCTATCACCCACGCCTCCCCTCTATCACCCACGCCTCCCCTCTATCACCCACGCCTCCCCTCTATCACTCACGCCCCCCTCTATCACTCACGCCCCTGTGGCGAAAGTAACCTCGCCACTGGTTTTTGGAGGGGCCTGTTTGCCAGCCTCCTGCCCTGCGACTATGGCCCTGGGATGTATTGCCCTTCTAGGAACTGATTTGGGCATACTTGATGCTTATATTGCTGTTTCTGGCCCTTTAATTCCCATTGAAAGGATTTGTACTTTTAAACTGGCACTTGGGATGCAGTCGAAGTGCCGAAGTCGTTGAAGTGGCCGCCATTCGAATACCGAACACGTGGCGGCGGCCATTTTAACTCATTCGAACGCGGTCAGCGGTGTGTGCAGCCAAATCTATGGAACTGTTTTCGGCTACCCAATTGCACGAACACCACTGACCCGTAAATTCTACTCTACTTCGACACTGCGGCTGGAGACTAAGTCCCGTTCGAAGATTTGAACGCTCATTCGAATGGGACTTAGTTATTTTCTCGGTGTAAAATAGACCGACCGCACAGCCCAAATCCATGGAACTGTTTTGGGCATGAAAATGTGGTCAAAAGTGACTTATACCTATCTCCCGAATGGCTGAACGGAATGTTTGTATTTGTAATGTACTGATTAATAATATATGTTTATTAATATTGGATGTATAGTTTTAGAGTTATGAAAGTTGGGTAAAAACTATGTTTTAAATTGTACGGATAATTGTTACCTCTCAGGCTAAGGGGAGGAGATGTGTGGGATGTAACCATTGTGTGATTGGGTATTGTATAATTGTCTGTGGGTGTCTCTCTTGCATGGGAGAATTGCATAAAAGCAGAGTGTGTGTCATTAAACCTCAGTTCTTCTTCACCCTCAATCTAGAGTCCTGTCTCTTATTGGGGGAATTGCTATATCACTACAAGGGATTGCTATGCTCTGCATGCTCCCTTGGATAATCACTGCTAAGCTCTTTTAAGAGCTTGTTCTTGCTTCACTCTCTTGGAGGAGAGGTTCACCCACTGGAACCTGGAGCCTTGTCGTAGGTCCAGGGTGGGTAGGAGACGGCGAGACCCCAACCAAGCTGCGGCAGTGCGTGGTCTGCGGTGGTTGTGGTGTCTGCGGAGCGCTTGGAGCCCTCTGTAAACGCTAGGAGCATCCTTCAATGGAGGTACTCAGTCGGGGTGCCAGGTGATCCGTTACAGCCCCCCTCTATCACCCATGCACCCCTCTATCACCCATGCACCCCTCTATCACCCATGCACCCCTCTATCACCCATGCACCCCTCTATCACCCACGCACCCCTCTATCACCCACGCACCCCTCTTTTACTCACACACCCTCTATCACCCACGCCCCCCTCTATCACCCACGTATCCCTCTCTTACCCACACCCTCCTGCCAAGCCCATGTATCCCTCTTTTACCCATGTTCCCCTCTCTTACCCACACACCCCTGTCAATCCCATGTTCCCCTCTCTTATTCACGCACCCCTCTTTTGCCCATGCACCCGTCTCTTACTCATGCACCTCTGCCTTGCTCACATACCCCTGCCTTGTGCACGCACCTCTCACATAAAACATTGCTGTTTAGACATTTATGGAAAATGTTCGGTGTCACTGCCATAGAAAGGAACATCTGACGTAGTTTATAATGAGTTTCTGTCTTACTTTTATTTACTATTTATTTAATTATTTGCACTTATTTATTTAACATAAATAATATCTCCAACATTTCCAAAATAACCGTATTATAGAAACCAATTCACCCTGAGTGTGCAGGCTGCGCGTATTCCCAGATAATTCTGGTTTTTGTATTAGAATTGTGGGTTCATGCTAGAATTTATGCATTATTCTTGGCGGATAGTTTGGGAGGAACTGATAACTGTTCTAGTTTAATAGTGACCTTTATCAGTACATTCAGTTCCCCATCGAAAAGAAGGAAGTGATTGTTTTACATAATATGAACAAGGAAAACCATAGACTTCTACTGGTGCCCAAATACAGGAACCGCATAAATCTCATAGAAATGTTAACCATATAAACACCTATCTAGGAGGGACAGTCCCTATATTTTGCCCAAATCCCTCTGTCCCTCTTTTTTCACCTTAGAGTCCCCCTTTTCTATGAGCTCCATATTGTTGGTGTCTGAGTGTATAACAGAGCTCCACAGCAATAATACTTTCAGTAATGTGTCTGAGTGTATAACAGAGCTCCACGGCAATAATACTCCCAGTAATGTGTCTGAGAGTTCTTTGAAACCGCAGTGGCAGAGCAGACAGCCCCCTGGGTGGAAGACGGTAACCTGTGTGGGCACAATTCATATCAAAGAAAGGGCACGTTTACTGTCTGTGCAAGCTGTGCCGTCTATCTTACAGTGTGTTTTATACATCGGCGTGAGCAGAAAATGAGCCAATTGTGGATTAACGCAAGAGTTTCCATGTAAAGGCTGATTGTCTTATCTTAGCCATCGATAGTGAGTAATGAACTTAATATAATATTCTATGCAGACTGTGCCCGGACACTCTAATATTCTATACAGACTGCGCCCCGAGACACTCTAATATTCTATGCAGACTGAGCCCAGACACTCTAATATTCTATGCAGACTGAGCCCGGACACTCTAATATTCTATGCAGACTGAGCCCAGACACTCTAATATTCTATACAGACTGTGCCCGGACACTCTAATATTCTATGCAGACTGTGCCCGGACACTCTAATATTCTATGCAGACTGTGCCCGGACACTCTAATATTCTATGCAGACTGTGCCCGGACACTCTAATATTCTATACAGACTGCGCCCCGAGACACTGTAATATTCTGTGCAGAATGTGCCCAGACACTCTAATATTCTATACAGACTGCACCCCGGGATATATCAATGCTCTAATATTCTATATAGACTGCACCACGGAACATGACAACGCTCTAATATTCTATACAGACTGCACCACGGAACATGACAACGCTCTAATATTCTATACAGACTGCACCACGGAACATGACAACACTTTAATATTCTATACAGACTGCACCACGGAACATGACAACGCTTTAATATTCTATACAGACTGCACCACGGAACATGACAACGCTTTAATATTCTATACAGACTGCACCACGGAACATGACAACGCTTTAATATTCTATACAGACTGCACCACGGAACATGACAACGCTTTAATATTCTATACAGACTGCACCACGGAACATGACAACGCTTTAATATTCTATACAGACTGCACCCCGGGACATGACAAAGCTTCAATATTCTATACACGCTCTGATACTGATTTTGAGGAATAAATAATTAATTATTCTATGAATATCCTACAGACAGTCCTGACATATCATGGCATGACACATGTATGAAGTACATTTTCTGGCATAACACATGTATGATGTACATATCCTGGCATGACACATGTATGATGTACATATCCTGGCATGACACATGTATGATCTACATATCCTGGCATTATACATGTACAGTGTGGGGAAAAGGTATTTGATCCCCTTCTGATTTTGAACGTTTGCACACTGACAAAGAAATAATCAGTCTATAATTTTAATGGTAGGTGTATTTTAACAGTGAGAGACAGAATAACAAAAAAATAAACAAAAAAGTTATAAATTGATTTGCATTTCAATGCATTTTTCTGGAAAAAAATTTTTTTTTGTTATTCTGTTTCTCACTGTTAAAATAGACCTACCATTAAAATTATAGACTGATCATTTGTTTGTCAGTGGGCAACCTTTCAAAATCAGCAGGGGATCAAATACTTTTTTGAAGTACATATCCTGGCATGGTTCTCAGTCATACAAACAGCTATATCAATGCATGCAGTTCCAAGGGTAGTGTGGTGTTGGTGTGATGGATGTCATAGGATTGGCGGTGAGGCAGTCGCCTAATCTGACCTGATGGCGGGCCGCTCGGAATGAAAAGACATGGAAATCCTGAGAACTCACTGCTTTGCTAATAATTATTCTATTTAAAAAAACAATTATTCACAATAACATTGCTAAAATTGTTCGCTAATAATAATATGAGCATGTTCATTCTCTTTATACACCAAAGCTCACCAATAAAACAAGACAATCATTCATTGAGCAGAGCTCTGGCCAAGTTTCCGCTCCGGCCTTTTATCGCAGATTCTTTTGCAGCAAGTTGCAATATTGTAAGATACAAACGTTGGGATAAAGGGCTTTTATACACAAGATAATCAAAGCAGGAAACCGTTCAAAAATTTATAAACAAAAGCATTCTTTCATGGTGGGAATAGCTGCTAGCACCGTGTCCGAGCAGCACAATATGTTTACAGACAGGAGCACAGACCCAAATAGCGAATATCACTTTCTTAAATACGGTAAGAGAAACTGGGAGACCTGTTGATGTAAGGAAATCATTTTTATTGGAGCAAAATGGTTAAATCATTATTTATGCACAGCTAGCAGAACACAAGTTCAATTCATGAAAATTGACAAACAGAAACCGATCCTTCAAACATCTATCCCAAAATTGGACTTGGATCTGCAACTGATTAAAATGTATGATTCATTAAATAGTGAAATGTATTGAATTTCTAAATCTAGGACCAAATATCCGCGTTGGAGAAGATTTGCATGTTTAGAGTATAGACGCTTATTTTTGATTCTAGATCTTCGAGAGAACTTTCTAAATTCCGCAAACAAAATGTAAAAAACCAACCAAAGGAATCTCCCCGAAACCATGAGCACAGAAGTGGGTGTAGTTTGGGGAGCCCCACGCCCTATACCACACGGCTTCTCTTCATGTAAGGAAGGAGTTATTGTGCCGACGATCACTGTGTTTCTCAGCACCAACAAGAAAAACATTTTTAAAATTTATTTTCCATTCGTTCGAACCACATCAAAGAAACCGTTTTCTTTCCTAAGAGACAGATCAGAAAAAAAAATCAAAAACAGATGTAAATCGAAACTGTTTCAAGCTAATCAACTTTTTCATTTACTTTTACAATTATTGTCAAACCACTGAGGAAAAGTCTTAATTTTAGTTTCCTTGTATCGAGATTATTATCTCTCTGACATTTAACCTGCAGCTGTAGGAGAGATAATGCGTTATGTGTAGCCAACAGCTCTGTTCCTATTAATTTAGGGCTACTCACTAAACTAAACCATGACCTGTCTGAAATTTCAAAGCAAAATACTAACGTAAGTCAGAAACAGCTGAGCTAAAAATATTACTGAGAATTGTTCCTGTGCGGGTTTTTTGGCCTATAATTTGACATACAATGGTGACTTCTCGACTATTAAAAACAAAGGGGTTTTATTCGCGAAACATAGTTCAGACAGCTATGAATATACAGCAGAGTTGAAGATTTTTCCTAAATCAGCACTTTTTGCCAACATTTTGCAATTTAGTTTCAGTGAATAATCCTGATGTTTTGAAAACAGAAGCTCGGACGCTGTGAATCCATGATGTTGCGACATACTAAAAATTCTACAAGCAGCAAAGTAAGTGAAACCGTAAAAACTGACTGGACGGTTTCATGATTGTGAAATGCGGTGACATTTCTGTGAATATCGCTGATTGCAAACACTGGAAAAAAACTGGTTGCTATTTTTTTGTTTTGTTTATACGATTTTTATTGTAGGTCAAAAGCTATACAGAAAATGACACTGCAATAGTGTTGAATTGCATCATTTGAAAAAAAGTTTCCAAACATTTCTGCTTCCAACCTAAAAATAGTTTTCTAAACAAGGGCCGTTTACATATTAAAAATACAAATAGCAAGTGAGACGCTTTAAAACGGCAAACGTTTTCTTGTAACAGAGTAAAGCTTCCTCCTTCCTGTCCCTTTCAGTGACATTATGCAATAAACAGACGTGGCCCTGTAATTAGCAATATTTTATACACGTATTAGCTGTTTATTCACAAAGCTGTGATTTGGGATGAAATACACGATTTAGACCAAAAGAAAAAAGCCTTTAGCAGTTATTTGTCCATTATCAAGGAAATTGTTAATTTTGGACCAAAATAGCCAAACTGGTGGAATATGGTTTTTAATAAAGCAAGAATTGCAGAAATTCAACATGGATTTGGAATTTAAGGCTGAACTGGGACCAGATCTGTTTGGAGAATTGTTCCACTTTCTTTGTTTTTGGCCTAATTTAAAATTCATTTTGACTTCTTAATAATTCTCAATTTAGTGACTAACCCTGTAAATGTTTCGCACAGCAATGTCACCCTAAACCTGATTCTTGCTGTTAGATTCCTGACAAATCACAGTTTAGCAAATCACGTTGTTTTGTGAATAAGCCCCCTTTGTGTTATATTTTCTGGGGTTTAGTATATAAAACCATAGCTCTCGTTCTACCGAGGATAACCCGTCACAGAGAGAGAAACCTTTAGGGACTGTAAAACCGTTCTCCGCACTATGTACTATTCCGCTGGGAGAAGAGATGTGTAGTTGGTAATTATGGGCGCGTTAAAGGTCCTAACAGGCCAACTTCTGAAAAGGAAAGGGTTGGATTATTTTTTTATTTTTTTTTGTATTATTTAAACCAGGGTGTATAAAAGGTAGATCTCCAGGTGTTTCAAAACTACAACTGCTATGATGCTTTGTTATGCTAAAGGTCTTCTAAGGACTTGCAAAGCAACATGGGAGTTGTTCTATAACATCTGGGGATCTACCTTTTGGACACCCCTGATATAGACTGACAGACTGAATACAGACAGAATGAGCACAGTTTGGACCTCACAAGCTTCTTTAAAATCTGAGAAGTTATCTGTTGCCCATGCGGTGGTAAAGAGGGGTGCTGCACCCTAAATATGCATGACTTGGCATGTTTTCCTGGAAGCACACATACTGGTACTAATATCCCTTTCATAATATTGTACTTTGAATGGAAGGAGTATTCAATCAATACCAGGGATCGTGTTGCAGGGAATTGATTCAATGATTTCAATATGAGCCTGTCCCAGTCCGATCAAGAGCAATGCTGTTATATTACAATAGCTCCCAGCATGTAACAAGCTGCTCAGGTTAAAATCTGAAACAAATTACATTTGCAGAACAGGAATTAAGAAGCACAATGGCTTCTCACATGTCACGTACGTTTAACTCATAATGTATATATTACATACAGTATACAGGGTTTATTTCACAAGGGTATAAAACATTTTAACTCCAAATAGTGCAGTTGGAGAATTCTTCCAATTTAACTGTTTTCACCTACAAATTGTAATTGCCTTCTCAATTCACCACAATTACCATTTATCTAATTTATTGAATCCTGATTTAATTATTTCTTTAACCCCAGCCGATCCTCCATTAGCCGAACGTCTCCCTCAGCCGAACATCACCCTGGCCGATCCTCCATCAGCCAATCCTCTCCCTCAGCCGATTCTCACCCGATCCTCTCCCTCAGCTGAACATCACCCCAGCTGACCCTCACCCGATCCTCTCCCTCAGCCGAACATCACCCCAGCCGATCCTCTCCCTCAGCCGATCCTCACCCCATGAAGTGAATAGCACAGTGAGGACAAGGGACCAGGATCCGCATCCTTTACACAAACTGCAACAAAAAATCACTATTTAAACTGGCCCAAGTCTATGAGCAGTGCAGACTGGCCTTAAAGACCAGTCTGATTAAAACTGAGGCACCCACTGACTGTCCCCTGCTTGGTATTGCTGAAAAGGAATTTAAATATTGATTTTTGCCATGTTTGGCTGCATTGACAGACTGATATTGCTGAAATAGACCCATTAGCTATGGGCGAACAGGGAGCTAGGTGGCAGCTACCTTGGTGTAATCACCTGAGGGTCCCGTCACTTCCTGGTTCCCTTTAATGTGATGTCATGTTTTCTTAAAATGTAATTTGCAGTGGTTATGGTACGGAGACTTAACCAGTTCATCAAACAGAAACCTATCTGTCTCTGCGCTGTACCCCTTCCCTACTGCAGCCATGTTGCAGTCTTTATATCCGCTGAATTCCTATATCTCCCTGCAGTGCCTGGGGCCCTTATCGATGGCTCCGGACTCCCAGACACCAGGCCAGGATTGCAATTTGAATACTGAAGTAATAAGATGAACCCCAAGGCCAGTGTCTGTATATTTACCTCATTACGGCATAGAAAGTGCGCCTCACATACACTGTGGGTGCTTTTCTTATCACAAATGGTCAGGAAGAAAAGCTTTAAATTGACATTTTTCATTATGTCAAATATAATATGGCCAGTTTATTGGGTTCTGTGACAGGTCTGTGAGTAGGCCTAGGGTTTGCACAAATTTAAACCACAAACCATCTCGAAATGTAGAAAATTACTCATCTCCCCTCCCTCCTGCAGCTGATTGTATACCCTCCCCCACCCTGTCTAGTGCTTAGCACAGAAAGGGTTAACGTTCACAGACTGAAATAGCGGTTACGGCTTATACGGCGTGAATCAATGGATGAGCCCTAAGTTTTTTTTTGTCAGTCTGCATTTGGCTGTGAATTATTTATTAAGCTGAAAGTTCTGTATGTTTTAAAGCTCTGGGCAGATTTCGGTTGAAAAACACCTTTCACAGTAATATCTCATCTACCCGGCCGCCATTGGAACCTGCGCAAATGGCCATAAATAGCAAATAATATTTAAATTCATGTTGAAGCTGCATAAACACATTCACTTATCATGCACAAAAAAGTGTGTGTGTGTGTGTGTGTGTGTGTGTGTATATATATATATATATAATAAAGTGTTTGTGTATAGCTGCAAATGACTGGCGTCAGATATATTGTGGTAAATTGGCTCACGAGGCATGGCAGATTAACAGACATGAAATGAGGACTCTGGAAAAAGATGGCCCCATAGCTTTCATTTCACCCAGGAGTCGGACGGACCCTTTCTAGCAGCCCGGAGAAGCAGTGCATTCTGGGGAGCCTTCCCCATTTACAGCTGACACATATACCATAGCCATAAGTGTGAATGTTCTGTCACTAATGTGTAAATTAATCCCGAACGCATCGCTCCGTCCGTGTGACAGAATAAATTAAACCCCATCACTGCCCCTCATGACTCCTAATACTCTTGTCCGTCATCAGAAGAACTTCTGTTACTTTCAATAACGTTACTTTACTAATAATCTATTATAAGTTCTGATATTGCGCTTCCTTTGCGCCGCACTGTGCAGGGAAATAGGGAGTCAGCCGTGTGATTCTATTACAGCAATTTAATATAAAGAGCAATATTTACCAAACTCGGAACTGACCGTAAAATGCCAAGTCGTAGAAGTAAGTTTAGTAAATAGCCAAAATATCATCATTTTTAGTCACGTTCCGAAGAAAATCTGGAGAATTTTCTTGATGATGTTTATTATTTTTGTAAAGTTTATTGGCTGTAAAATTTCATCCAAATAGTAAAATTGGGATATTTTGAAAACACCGAACTGCCTGTAAATTGGCAGATGTAGTGATAATCTTGAGAAATATAAATCAGTCTATGATTGTCTAAAAACTGGAATTAAATAAAGAGCCATTCAAATCTAATGAATGCACACTAACAATCCGTACTGCTGACCTTAAACTGAATAGACCGGGTGATGGTTAGGGATTTAACCCTCGGTGTGTATGGATCAGAATAATATGCATCATTTAACCCTTACATTGCTCAATATCACCTTTCAGGAGCCATCAGTCAATCATTTATCCAACTGTTTCACTGGGAGATAGTGAACAAACTCGAAATCCTTTATTCATTATCCACAGTCTCTGCTTTAGTAAAAAAAAAAACACTGATGAGTTAGGCAAAGAAAGAAATTGTGATTTATTAATAATAAAAAAAAATCTTCAATTAAACTGGCTCCGTGAATGTATATGTGCAATTATTCCAATTGTAATTTAACAGGAAAGCCTTTGCTAAAACGATTGTCTTAAAGAGGGCTGAAACTCAACGTTTTGTTTGTGACTGTTCCCTCGAAGAAAACGGACGGCGCTCGCTTACTTCCTATAATTCTGTGCCCCAGTTTCCCATTGCGGTCCATTCTCTGGATTTGGCGAGTGGAGCTGTATGTATGCAAGGAACCATGTCAATTAGCGCTCATTAGCCTGGACTGATCTTCTAGGCGGTTTGATGAACAGTCTCTACCTAGACCGTGTGGCTGCATGTAGCATCTGCTGGGCTAAATAAAAATAAATTGTCACGGCACATGTCACAGTTCCTCTCTAAGCCCCTGCCAGTAATTCTAACATAAGCTTTTTGCTGCAAATAACTCGATTTGTTTTAGAATCCTTTCCACTGCCAGAAAATGAGTCAAAATAATTTGACAGCAGACACACGTGTAACAGCTTGAATGGCAATATGTCTGTACTGGGGAAAATCATCTTCCCGCTACAACGTTTGAGAACAAAAGACAACTCACTGCTATTCCTGCACAGAAAGATGGTGACAGTGACACAGGAACAACAAACGTCGGTAGCCCTGAATAAGGAATTGGGGCATTGGACCCTTCAGCTCATTCACTAAAACAACACAACGTGGGGCCAGGATTGAGAGCCTTCGGCCACTTCCCGTTTCAGAGAAGCTGTAAATTTAGAGCAAATGAGGAACAGTCAGAGTTGAGAGAGTTTATTTTCTACATGAAATAAATTAAGTAAATAATTCATAAAATGGATGTTCATCAAAGTAATCACTGTCAGAATGTCTCCATGTGACCTGCTCGGTTGCTCCCTATATTAGGGGTACAAGTGATGTAAGCAGAGTATTCTAGGGGGTCAACCTTAAGTAACTCTTTAAAACGTGTGTTTACATATTTATTTGCTTTTAAGATCTTGTTTCCAAGATTGTTATCAGGAGGGCCCTGACTTGGTTCAGGCCTACCAATCAGCCCCCAATTTGAGTAATATCATAGAGTGTGCACTACAATAATGTGCAATCATAATTAATACTTTATATCACGTTAATAAAGGATTAGTGCATCAGGAATATCACGCTGTGTCATACTGTTTCTTTGAAACAAAACGCCATCAAACACTGTCCTGTATGTATTGTCACAGCTGCCTGTTACAGCCGTGGATGCCACCTTAAACGCAGTAATGTTATATGGCAGTCATGGTTGTTTTTATACAATAACCTTATGTAATGGGGCACATGAAAATACAGGGCATTAATTAATACTCAGCTGAAGTCAAGTATTTAGAGAGCATGCTAATTAATGTCACATTGTGCAATGGGCCACATAGCATGTGCCACTGGATACAAGGTAACATTACCCAATTTAAACTATGTTTATAAACCTGTCAGATGTGTATTCACTAAACACAGCACACAGGGTCTGCAGTCATCATGCACCATCCGCGAAGTTCGAGTTTTATTGACCCCTGGGGTCAGTAGCCGCGGTCACCCTTGTCTAGTGCCTTACGGGTGACTGCTACACAACGATGGCGGCGACTTTCAAAGGCGATTTCTCGTTAGGGATGGCAAGAAATAAATGTCACATTTTATTTTACTGACTGTTTTACGCTTTCAATTTCCATTGTGTGGGAGGTAAAGTGGTCACATAGTGGTTTTAAAGGTGCAGTCTTAAAAAAAAGAAATAGGAACAAAGTCTGTTATTCGGTTTCTAGGGTGGGAACTTTGCATTAACCATTTGAATGGTTAGAAGGGTTAGAATTCAACACACATTTATAAGGATTCCAATGAGAAAGCGGATGTTTAGACATTAATTTAAACAAATATTTTTTATAAATTTAATAAATCCCAGCAATATACATGGTTTATCTATCAAATGTAAAATTACCTGCTTACACTTTTATTCATGTGCATGTGAGATTGCCTATTTGTAAAAGTGCATGTATGTGAGAGTGCGTGTGTATATGAGAGTGTGTGTGTGTATATGAGTGCGTGTGTTTGTGAGTGTGTGTGAGTGCGTGTGTATGTGAGAGTGAGTATGTGTTTGGGGGCTGCGCTGTCTGATTATATATGGGGAACTCCAATATTTGCTGATATTTCTATAAATCGCACTAATAAAATGACAGATTCTGAGAGATTTTGATTAATAATAAAGACTTGCTTGTGCACTTGAAATGATAAAAGCATAAAAACCTGTTGGGTTATTTGTGTCCATTTATGTATTTTTAGTTTTTAACGATTATATGCGGGGGATATTTTTAGATCTGTCAATGCTGGTTAACATATTCTGCGCTATGGAACGAGAAGTGCTAAAGGTGACAATGGAAAAAGGACTGAGGTGTGCTAGCAATACATGTATTGTGGTAAAGACTACGCAGAGACTGCGCAGAGGGCGGGGCACACACCCACATAACTATCTCTCATGGTGATCACTCTGGACATTAATCATTAAGCTGTTAAATGTGTTTTTACAATAAACACAAGTAAAGTGTATACATTTAGTTCTCCCTAATAACGCATATTAACATTGCACAGCAGGCACACTGACAAATGGACTTCATTCACCCCAGAAGTAGAGTCTGAAGATAATACTTTATATTAAAGGGACTCACAAAGCACCACAACCACTACAGTCTATAATAATATTACGTGAAGTTTGTGGGTGCTCCCCCAAACCTATTTGGAGCAGTGCGAGAAAACTGGGTCAATCCTGACACTCAGAGAATGAATAAAGTGAATCTATCACTTCTATATAGTCCACTCTGAGAGTTCACCAAGTTAACCCACCACAAGTAACCCCTTCCCATATAAATCACTACCATTCAGTCTGCCCCCATCTAACCCATTTCTACTATCCTGCCCTATCTAACCCACCCCTGCTATCCTGCCCTATCTAACCCACCCCTAGCTATCCTGGCCCATCTAACTGCCCCATCTAACCCACCCCTTTCTATCATGCCCCATCTAATCCACCCCCTGATATCCTGTCTCATCTAGCCCACCCCTGCTATCCTGCCCCATGTAACCCATCTCCTGCTATCCTGCCCCATCTAACCAATCCCCTGCCTTCCTGCCCCATCTAACCCATCCCCTACTATCCTGCCCCATCTAGATGCCCCATCTAACCCAACCATAGCTTCCCTGCCCCTTTTAACACACCCAGCTATCCTGCCCCCATATAACCCACCCCAGCAATCCTGCACCATATAACTAAACCCCAGCTATCCTGCCTCCATCGAACTGCCCATTCCAATGAACCCAAGCTATCCTGCACCATCTAACCCACCCTAGCTATCCTGCCCACATATAACCCACCCCAGCTATCCTGCCCCCATGTAACTAAACCCCAGCTGTCCTGCCTCCATATAAGTGCCCATTCCAACGAACCCAAGCTATCATCACCATCTAACCCACCCCTACCTATCCTGCCCTAGCTATCATGTCCTATCTAATCCAACTCCTGTTATCTTGCCCCATCCAACCCACCCCTGATATTCTGCCTCAATCTAAGTGCCTCCTCTAACCCACCCCCTGTTACCATGCCCTATCTAACCCATCCCCTGCTATCCTGAACTCCATCTAACCCACCACCTGCTATCCTGAACTCCATCTAACCCACCGCTAGCTTTCCTGTACCCATATAACCCACTCCTAGCTATACTGCCCCTATATATCCTGCCACATCCAACCCAAGCACAGCTATTCTGCCCCATCTAACTTACCCCTGCTTACGCATCACCAGCTCTTTCCCTGGGCTCACAGTCTTTCACTGCCCTGCAAGGCTGGTTGGCTTTGAATGGATCATTCGCAGCTTTATGTATGCAATTCGAGAATACTGTGATTATTTAATTCAGCACAAAAACCATCATCACTACGGGCGATATATTTAGGGGTAAATAGGGAGCTGCTAGCCCTGCCAGTATATTTAGGGGTAAGAGGGAGCTGCTGGCCCTGGCGGTATATTTAGGGGTAAATAGGGAGCTGCTGGCCCTGCCGGTATATTTAAGGGTAAATCGGGAGCTGCTGGCCCTGCCGGTATATTTAGGGGTAATAGGGAGCTGCTGGCCCTGCCAGTATATTTAGGGGTAAATAGGGAGCTGCTGGCCCTGACGGGATATTTAGGGGTAATAGGGAGCTGCTGGCCCTGCCCCGAACTTTGCTTCGAACATGCCGGGTTATACCCATCGGTTTACTCTACCAGCAATGTTGTCTCTGTACTTCTGGGATCAGCGCAGGAAAAGGCTCTGTATTCCCACAATGTGGATTGGACCTGACTCGCTAATTACTCTTAATGAACGAGGTATTACAGGATTGTATGGGGAGCAATTACCAGCAGCGTTATTTCAGGATGCCAGCCTTAATTGAGGCTTCCATTGAAGGACAAATTGCACGTTTTGCTGAAAGTAAAGAGCTTGGATTCCGTAGAAACTGCAAATTGTATCAGTGTCACTCGGTCAATGAGTCAAGCTAAAAAAAACAAAGGAAATGTTACAGCAAAATTCTGATTATTTATAACCCATTGGTGTTTTAATTAATTAAATGATATAACGATAAGCGACACAAGGGAAGCAAGAAACAGAAAAGTGCGCTATCGCCATGGAAACCAATGGAATTGCACAGAAATATTTTTGGGGAGTTCTCTGTATCTCAGTGGTTGTATGTGGTATATTCTCACCGTAGCGCTGCTTAGGAAGCTGGTATGTCTACACTGATCCAGGTCAATATCTGGGGGAGAATGACTATAAAACCTCCGCAGCTACGGAAATTCATTGGTGAGAGATAAGGAAAATTCACATTGACCAGCGATGCAGCTTTATTATTTCCTGTAGAATCCAGATGAAATATCCTGCGGGACGATATTTGTTAGAGATAATATAAAGAATACTTATTGTCACAGCTGGGGAGCCATCCTTACCAAAACCACTTCCTGGCAAGCAAAACCTGTTCATCAATGAGCCGAGACGAATGGGGAGATGATACATTTCACAAGCTCTGACACGTAGATTATACAGAAAAAAACACTTGTAAAACAGTCATCTGCATTTTTACCTTCTGTGAATGGAAGACACGTCTAGACAGAGGATTGAAATATGGGATCATCATCTTTTAAAAAAATCAGTTTAAACCTTTGTGAACAAATCTGTCTGGTCCTCCGTTTAATAGATCCTCTGTGGTGAGGATGACAGTATTGGATGAATACAGCGTTACGGAATCTGATGGCGCTATATAAATAATAAAATAAAAAGGCTCCGGAAGGACACAGAACGAATTTACATGAGATGTCTAGTAATAATAATGATTCCGTAACTGCGATAATATAGGTTAGATGGGAAGGGCTTGATAATGGCTGATGCTTTTGCAGAATTAATAAATACAGGTGATTGCCTCGGGTCATGCTATTTAGATAGGTATGGGCAGACTACAGGGCGACTGCTGTTTATCTCTCAAAATAATCTATTTCAGTTGGACTCTACTGCGGTGCATACTAGGCTACGTTGCTAAGCGCCTTCATATATATATTTGTTCTATGTGTGTCATATTAACACAATTACTGCCACAATAAGCCAAGCTTCAAAAATACAGAGTGACATGGACCCTGTGTCCATCTGCCAGGTGTACCCCTCGAGTGTAATATTCCTAATTCAATCTGTATATTGTGTTGTCCAAAAGCACACATAAAACTTTATTTGCTAAGGAGAGACACCAATAATGTCTATAAACACCAGGAGCTGACCTAGACCTTCGGATTGAGTTCGGATGTATTTTTTTTTTTTTTTTAATAATATTTATTTTTCATATATTTTATACTTTTTGTCCAATAAACTGGTCTTTATTTCTATCCAGTTTCAGAACCATTGCTTTTTATCTACTGTTGTTACATTGTGTAACAATATTTTAGCCTACAGTTCCTAATACTGTATTGCTACAATATGAAATTTTTTCTATGTGCGTCCTTCATTTGGTACAAGTACCAGTCATTCTGCACTGCACATTTTTGTTCCAGACATATTTTAACCTTTTTACCTATTTATTTATTATCCTTTATTTATTATTTATTATCTACATATCTGATTATATTTATTTATCCTGCTTTTACTTTCTCTTGTGAAATCCAGTTCTCTCTTAAAGGCACAGCACCACTATATTCATATCCTCTCATGTATCCAGGCATATGCTCATTTTTAGCCATATTCTAGGTCAGCTCCTGGTATTTATAGACATTATTGGTGTCTCTCCTTAGCAATTCTTTTATAGGTTTTAGTGGATCCCTATTTTTTCCAGTTCTTTTGAGCAGCCTAGTGCCAGTCCTACTCCCTCACTCCTGGGTAACACATTAGGTGTACCAGTATCCATCATTTTATAAAACTTTATTTGACCTTGAAATACATTCACTAATCTGAGAATTGTTGAGAACTAACTCCAAAAAATAATAATTTTACGCCAAAACAGCCCGACTGGAAACCTGTTCCAATGTAAAATTTTGCCCTAAACTTTGCGATGCGCTGGTCAGTTCTCCAAGAATGTATGAAAAATGGCCGCTTTGTGCCCAGCTTCTCGACTAATTGGAAATGGCGGCTGCAAGGAGCTCAGTGATGGTTTAACCATGTGGTAATCAGGCCGCTGTGACGCGCTGTCTGTATACTGTGTGTAAATGCTGTCTGAGCGTTCTTTAATCATGCTGATACAATGTATTTATTAATGTGACATTAAACTCCATCTCTGGAGAATACAGTAATTACAATGTATTTATTATAACTGCCTTTATTTTTAATTTCTATCCTAATTAAATATTTGCAAACCTGATGCTTCTTGTGAGTACTGTACATTAAGAATGAATTTCGCTGCTAGATTCAAACAGTGACATTTTAGCACTTCATTCGTGGAGTGGCATGTTTCTGCAATTTAGGTAAAATTAAGGGATTAGAGTCACATTCCCAATTCTTTCATTCGTGTGAATCTGCCAAAACCTGCTTTAAATAGAGTGGGCGGATGCCCAACCCTTAACAATTATTGGAGGCACCATCCATGAGAGTGTTTTATTTCGAAAATTAGGTCTATTTAATGAGGTGCTCAGAATGATCTGCTGATGTAAAAAAACATATTTCAGACATTGATTTAGGTGCTGAGATACACCCAGGTCCTGCTTCCATGCTTAAAGAGATTAAATAAAACCATTGGCTAGGAGCCGAGGGCGAGAGAAACTAGCACAAATTTCCTTCTAATAACTAAAGAAATGTCTAATCTGTTATTAGAATCTGTTAATATAATGTTAGTTCAAACAGTAAACGGTCTATGAGACACAGAGGAGGAAGTGGGATCTGCAAGGTGTGTAATTTGATGAGTATACATTGTAACAGTGCGACATTGTGTCTCCCAGCACAATTTAACACTACATGCTGTGTTATGAGAGGAGCAATGATCTCTATGCTAAGACAGATGTTAATAATATTATTCATAGCATGTCCATTTAGCAGTTAAAAAAATATATATATATATATATATATATATATATATATATATATATATATATATATATATATATATATATATATATATATATATATATAAATAAATAAAAAATCGACTTTAGCCTTCTGGGTAGTATTTTGTGTACTCCTTATACGGCTATGTGCCCTTAATACATATATATATCTCCTGTGCCATGATTCTTATTTAATCACAAATAACGCTTACTTAGTGTAAAACCCATCATGTGGATTTTAATTGAAATAAAAACAAGACAGAATGATAGAAACCAAATGAAAACCAAACTCCCAGCATTGGGCCATCAGTATCTGCATAAATTCTAGTGAGTGTAGATTATTCAGGGCACCCTTAAAGTAACCGTCCCCAATGTCTGATCTGTACCAACCCTGTAATGGCATAAAAACAGAATATTCAAGGATATAATCTTTCAATGTAGGGTAATAACTGCTTGATCCAAGGATAAATCTGACTGCCATTCTGGGGTCAAGAAGGAATTTTTTGCTAGCTTGTTGCAAAATTGTGCTTCAAACTGTTTTTTTTTTTTTTGCTTCTTTTGGATCAACAGCAAAAAACAAATGTGAGGAAGGCTGAACTTGATGGACGCAAGTCTCTTTTCAGCTATGTAACTATGTAATATGCCTACTGTGCCAGGCTTGTCATGTGAAGATATTGTTAGTAGCGAGAGCTCAGGGTTACGTCCAATCCTATACATTGTGAACATCAAATATTCCATTAAAACTACGGGCTCTCATTTTACATGTTCATTCACCGCAAACAAAATAAATTAGTATGAAAAAAACACGGTGGGTACAATATCGAGTTGAAAAAGATTAAATCTGATTATTTTTTGTGTCGAGTATTCCATTACTACATTGTAGTTTAATCACGTTTTGCTCCTAATATATTATCGCAGTCACATATTGTGTGTATGTACAGAACACATTGTCTAAATGATACAAAGCTTTAAGAAACCTCAACGCCTACACAGGAAGCTCGATTTGTTTGTCTTATCAGACCTTTTAAAACTTCAAGAAAACATGTGAAATTGATGGCGGTTTGTTAAAGGTCATTGTGACTGAGCTGACCCAAACAGACAGCATGTAATAGGGGGTTTGATTCTCTAAAACCTGTGCAGTAGAAATTCACATTTGCTTTAATTTCACTGAACTGTTTGGGTTAGTGTTAAGTCAATGCACATTTGATATTCTATTGTGAATTAGTATTAAGTCTGCAGCTTTAGATCAGTAAATATTTATCTAAACATGTAATTATAATATTACACATTGCTGCACAGGATAATTACTGTATGTAAACACCATCAGACTATTAATTTAACGCCTTCACTATAAGGTGGATTAACATATAGACTGCAGTTCAGGGATATCTGAAAAATAAAATCGTGCAAATGCACCTATTTATTCATCCTTTAAAAAACATATTGGGAGGATAACAATTTGTAGCAATATTCGTAGAATTAATATTCTTTGCCTTGCAATATGTCAGACAGAGACATAGACGTTTGTCTGATACACTACAGGAGGGTAAAATTAGTCCTATCCCGTTTATTTAGCAATTTGAAGAATGATGCTTTCTGATAGCTCCTCCAGAATGTAAGAATAATGGCTAGGTGGATGGATATTATGACTACATACAGTAAGTACTGATCCTTGGCAAAACCAGCTGTTTCCTTGTTAGAGCAGTACTCGTTGCTCACAGGGACAGTATTTACCGTATAACACTGGATGTTTGTCACTGTGTCATCAACGCTTACACTTGGTCCCATTAAAGCCCAATCCATGCCCGTTTACCCCACGTGATGTGCCAGGTGAGGCAGTATCTGGGTCAGTACTGTAAAATCTCTCTGAGAATTCCCTGCACATTGTATCTTAGTGAATATCCTGAAATACAGGGGAATTAAATGGTGTGTTCGCCATTAAACGCGCTTCTTGCTCGTACTGATCATCTCTTGGCGCCATTCTTTGACTTTGATCACGAATGAATATTAACTCGTGCAGTTCTACTTGTTACTTTATAATGGATGGAATGTCTGTTTCAGGAGCGAGCGAATGCATACTAACAAAACCTTTTACTTTAACGTTGAAATATTATTCCTCATTCCTCCTCGCCACAGTAAACGTTACTGAAATATTTACTGCAGTGAAGAGTGCAGCAATATGGAGAATTCTGGTCACCCCCAGCACGTCATGCTCACCCCAACATCGACAGTGAATTGATGTGGGATGCATGTGCACTCAGACATTCCTTCCTGCTCACACCCATGGCATTGCAAGGGTTAATTTAATTTGCACGCCATGCCCTGTGTGGCATGTAAAGTAAAAATAAAATAACATAAAACCTGTGGCTAAATTTTAGATATTCGTCTGTGTAGATATTAGTGATTTTGACAGCTGTGCTTAATGTGTTCATTCATTCTTTTTCAGACAGAAAGCCTTGGCGTCAACGGGTGGGCGGAGCGTCCAGGCTGCGTGTGATTGGTCAGTACCTGCTTTTTGTTACTCATTATTGATAAACGTTAAGTCTGCCTTTCACATAGTAACAAGGTAACCAGGTGCTTTGCTCGAGGCTGAAGGACCAGGGGCGAAGATGCATTCCTCTCCCCCCAAAAAAATTAAATTTTCATCTTTGTGTCTTTTAACCTCCCTTTTGTGTTTCTTAGCCCCTCTTTTAAATGTAGTACTCCCTTTAGTGTATCTTATCTCCTATTTCTTTCCCCATTGTGTCTTACACCTCCCTTGTGTCTCTTACAACCCCCCTTGTGTCTCTTACAACCCCCCTTGTGTGTCTCTTATGTCCCCTCTTTGTATGACTCTTACATCCTTCCACATTTTGTGTGTCTTACTTTTCCCAGCCCCCTTGTGTGACTCCTTCTCTCCCAGCCCCGTTGTGTCTTTTACTCTTCCCAGCTCCTTTGTGTGTGTCTCTTTCACCCCCAACCCATCTGTCTCCCCCACATCCCCTTGTCTTTTTTCCCTTCTGAAGCCCCGCTGTGTGTTTCTTTCACATCCAGCCCCTCTCCCCTCCCCGTCCCTTAGTGGTCCCCTCCCTTCCCTGTCCCTTATTGTTCCTCTACCCCTCCCCCCTTCTTTCCCTGTCCCTTAGTGCTTTTCTCCCCACCCTGTCCCTTGGTGCACCACCCACCCCTTTGTGGTCCCCTCCCCGGTGTGCCTCCTTCCTCTCTTGTAGCGTTGTCGAACGGAGCGGTTCCCGGTACAGGAACTTAAGTTTCCTGTACCCGGCCAGGCTGACAGGAAGTGCTCTCTCTCAGTGAGCACTTCCTGTCAGTCCGGCCAGGTGGAGGAAACAGAATCTCCTGTACTGCGGGTCCTCTTCGCTCGGCCACCCTACACTCAGTGGTGTATACACACTGACAGTCACACACACAACGTCACTGACAGACACAGGCTCAGTGATTTGACACACACACGATGATGTCATATTCCGGCATCAGTAAACAGCGTGCGAGGGAGCAGAGCAGGGAGATCACAGCTCCCTCGCCACCTCTCATGCCAAATCCACGCACGCCGTGCCGGGGAGTCCAGAAAGTAGCTTGGTAGGAGGGAGCACTTATGCTGTGCCGCCTTATGGACGCGCCAACCCTGGCTACTGATCAGGATACATTTTATGGCCCCTCGTTGAACTACGCCCCACACCACGCTCTAATTCTGATCCTAAACCCTAACATGTTTAGTGAATCACAAAATGACCCCAAATCCTGGGAGACAGGAGAACTAATGTAAAAAGACGCTAAGCGACTAAACCAAACACTTCATGTGGCCACATTTAATTCTGTGTAGATTAACGCTTTATTATCACTATTGTTTCAGGTTGTTTTCTCACGTAGATGACCCCTTCTTAGACGACCCTCTTCCTCGTGAATATGTCCTGTATCTGCGCCCCACGGGTCCCCTGGCACAAAAACTGTCTGATTACTGGCAGCAATCCAAGCAGCTGTGCGGCAAGAACAAGGCTCACAACATCTTTCCACATATAACGCTCTGCCAGTTCTTTATGGTACGTCACCAGATCGTCACCGAGTTCCTCACCGGCAGTTCGTACCGTGGGTCTAATATCACACAATACCACTAGCAAGAGGTTCAGCTTAACCCCTTAAGGACACATGACATGTGTGACATGTCATAATTCCCTTTTATTCCAGAGGTTTGGTCCTTAAGGGTTTAAAGGGATACGACCCAGCATGGCATATAAAGTGCAATATATAGTTACTGTGGAAGGTATTGTGTATACTGTACACAAAGCTGTGGAGAAAACAGACAAAAGACGGCTATTGCTTTATCCTCTATAGCACTGCCGAACTTTATGGGAACAGCAAGGGCTTCTGGGAGTTGTAGTTCGATTGTCATATTTCTGTCCTAGAAAGCTAAACAATACATTAAAACATTAAATACATACATTAAAACATGAAACTAAAATATATTGTAATTAGGCCACACTTACAGTGCCATGAGAAGAAACACAGAGCCTGCCTCTGAGGGGCCGTAGGATTACTAGCGATATAAAATGATCTGTACTCAAAGCAGTGTTATAATTAACTGTAGTGATTAATCTGACGCAGGGTGTCATTTTATAATACTTTACAAAAGGCAATGAGCTCAACACACATTATCTTGTTTTCATTATTTGTATTCACTTTTTTCTTGTACACATTATCTTGTGTTCAATTCTTAAGCCATTAAAAAACAAAGCACTGTTCCTTCTCCCTCCAGTGCGAGGACAGTAAAGTGGATTCCCTTTGCGAAGCTTTGCAGTCTACTGTTACCTGTTGGAAAACCAAATTCCCCAACCCACTGCCTCTGGAACTCTACATTTCTTCCAACTTCATTGGTCTCTTTGTATCGGACGAGTGTGCAGAGATTTTAAAAAAGTTTGCAGCCGATTTTGCCGCAGAAGCATCACTAAAGACTGGTGAGTAAACGCCAATCATTTTATTTTTCTCATTTGCTGAAACTTCGTTATAGCTCCAGCACAGTAACAATGTGAATAGTAATTAAACAGTCTGCAGTTGGTTGCATTGTGGGAATTGTAGTACAGTGGTAACTGGAGATCCATCATCGCTCAACAATCTTTTAAAATAAACGTTTCTCTTTTTAAGAAGCCACAGTGCAACAATAGCACAATGAGACACATTCCCCAAACCTACGCTCTAAACTGTACAGCGCTGTCCCATTGTACAGCGCTACGGAATTTTGCTGGCGCTAAATAAATAATAAAATAATAACTGTGATCTGTGATAAATAAGGTCAAAATACCCGAGTTAATCTCAAACTTAACTGAACTTTAGAATTTCTCCAAATCTTCTGTTTCACCCTGAATTTTGTAACCCCTTTTTTTCTTATGTTTTCTTGGTAATTTGTAAAAAAAAAAAACTTTTAAACCTTTACATTTTTATTTGCTTGATGAATAAAAAAAAAAGTTTTTTTTGATGATTCCATATTCAGTAAATTTTCACCTTTTTATAAAAGTGGGTTAAAGACAGTTTGCTGTATAAGGAGGATCGGGACCTGGTTTAGTCCTGCAAGGTCGGGCGCTGTATCATGCCTTCAGATATTTGCAGCCGCTGCGTCAGATTGCTAGACCGCAATGCAGAGTCCCGGCCGGGGTCATATTGCACAAATCCGGCTGATTCGGTAATAAATGGAGAAAGTTGAGATCTGCAAAGAGCACAAAGTCATTACTTAGTGTCTAGGACAGAGATACGCCAGGCGACAGGGCTCTCCTCTTGTAATTTAACCACACAGTGAGCGCGCCCTTTGGCACATTCTCTGATTTATTTAATTACTAGACTTCTACAGTTTTATACTGTACGTTTTAGCATTTTGTTAAACTAAAGCTAATAGTCCATAATGATTTATGTTAAATGTGGTGTTTAAACAGTTAAAATGTCAAGGCTTATAATAGCGACTATATAATAGAGCTGTACGTAAGAGCGCAGCATATAGACCGCTCCAAAAAGAAAAATATGCCCCAAAAAGATACCAAAAAGTGCAATTATTGCTTTAATACATGCATGAACCAATCCAAGTATTCCAATGAAGTGAACCTTAAAAAAAAAAAAAAAAAACCCCATAACAGGACAATACAAGTAATAGTGCATTATAGTTAGACAGTGTGCAAATATTCAGTGAAATTTTAGAGTTAACGTAGAGTTCTGCTGAACTGCGCGTGGACGGTATAATCCCCGTTTTAGGATTCATGTAGGTCCAGATGGTGAGAGGTCTCCAGATTAGGTAATGCCAGCGTACTATATGAAAACAGAAGCAAGAGAAACTCCAGTGGTGAGGTAAGTACGTTCAAATCCAATATAAAAGAAGTATTATACTTACAATCCCTAGAGCAGGACTTGTTCTACTGTTATAGAGCTTGGGTGGTATAATCCCCACCTTAGGACCTCCAAACTATACTGACTGCCACCCAAACTATATACTGCCTGCCCACCAAAATGTACTACCTGCCCCCCTAAACTATACTGCCTGCCCCCAAACTATACTGCCTGCCCCCTCCAAACTATACCGCCTGCCCCCTCCAAACTATACCGCCTGCCCCCTCCAAACTATACTGCCTGACCTCCAAACTATACTGCCTGACCTCCAAACTATGTTGCCTGCCCCCCCAAACTAAGCTGCCCCCCCACAACTATCCTGACATCCCCCCTAAACATTACTGCTTGCCCCCTACTTCCCATTGGCCAGTATGACCCCCTGTCCCCTAGAGGGGACCTGTCTGCCCTGTGGTGGTGTACTGCGTGCATGCCCCTGTGGGTGACATTGGTTGAGATCTGCTCCAGGTACATTCCCAATCTGTGGTAACAGAAGTCTGGACTCTAAAGGAAATTCCTGCCGTGTTCGATTTAAATGTAAAATGTATGTAAAACATTCCACCCAAAGAGCAGCTAGTCTGGAAGAATTCTAATAGTGTTTCTTCACCTTTGGTGGTGATGGTGACACACCGCTTGCTGACACGGTCTGTTCAGTGTGGGACTCATCTCATTATCTGTATCTATTGAAGCCTGGCGGGAGTAGATAAGAGGCAGAATAACTGCCATTCGCTATCAGCGACCCTGAGGGTTCTACTCCGACAGTAGACTTTAATCTGTGCAATGTGAAGTCTCTTTTTTGGGCTTATTGAAAGGGAACTACAAATAGTTGGACACATTCCCACAATGCAGCTTTTTTTCCAGTTTTGTATTTTAACCTCAAATTCTCCACAATTTCTGTTTTTAGTGAATAAAACTCTTGTGTTTAAATGCTTTACAAGTATTCAGAAGTTTCTAAAATGAACCTTTTATCCACAACCCCTGGTAGTATGAAAATCTGTAGCTGAGGTATAGATCGAAACATCCATCCATCCATCCAAAATCAGGCTGCGTTAGAATCACACAATTTGTGTCACAGTTCTAGGAAATAATAATAATATTATACTATTATAATAATAATAAACTGCAATAGCGGGGAGATGTTGAGGGTTTTTAACACATAATTGACGACAAAAACCCTAAACATTAGCTGTCGCACAGTAATTTATCTTCTATACATAGCGTAAATGCGAATTGTATCCTTGTATTAGATGGTATTTTATTTTATACAGTGACACTGCACCCTGCTCAGCGTGACAGGGAACTTTGTACCATTATAAAACAATTTATGAAAGGTTGAAAGCAATACAGACTGTGCAGGCGGCAGGAGGAGGTGTGTGTGTTTTAGATTGTAAGCTCTTGTGGGCCCTGTTCACCGAAACCTACTATTCCCGTATGTCATACATGTTTTGTTATAATTAAATGTTTGCCTTTTTTCTTATTGTGCAACACTGCAGAATATGTTGACGCAATACAAGTAATTATTATTGTAATTTTGTGGGGTGTCGCGGGGCATATTTACTACCTAGGCAGTTGCGGTGAATTGAAAGTTGTTGTTTTTTTACATTTTGGCCAAACTAACTGATGGAAAAACATGGAAATTGCAGATTCTATCTAACTGAGCCAATTCAGCCTCTATTGTTTAAACTCATTTCAGTTTGTAATAATTCACCTTATAGTAAATAAACCCCACAGTCCCGAAACCGTTAGATTTAGGAGAAAATAACTTTTGATCTGAAATGTGTAATTCGGTTTCTTTTTTTTCTTACTGTTTAAGTGCAAACGCTCCACAGAAAAACACCTAAAAAATGCAAGACGACTCAAAAAGTACAAAAAAAAATTCATTTTCTGTACTTGTGAATATTATCAAGGTTATTTTTAGGCTACAAAACTGACAAATGTTCTTTCCAAGTTAAAACTGCGTGACCAGCAAATCTTTGATAACCAGTGTATTAAGACATATATATCAATATATGAATGTCATTTATCCAACATGATTTGGTCATTCATGGTTTAACCCATTGATAGCTGAGCTGGTTTTGGAACGATGAGAGGTGTTAGCGGGATGACACAGGATTATTCATACATTGAATAACGGTTTCTCAGGACACCACGTAATAATGCAGACATTATTACCTCGTTTTACTGGGTCTCTAGCTAAACAGATTTTATTCTAGGTCATCTTATGGCACAGTAACAGATGCTGTCTTTATACGTTGTAGGAGAAAATCTGAATGTAATCTTTTTCTTTTTACCCAGCCGGAGGGAAAAGAGTAGCTGTCAGCACGGTGTGCGCACTTCTCATCGTTTCCCTGCCGTGGGTTCAGTCCGAGTCACCTTCGGCTAATTAGGCTGAGTGGGTGGCGAGTGAGTCACAGGGCTACACAGATGTGCAGGTCCCACTTTGATGCAGATCGCATACTGCTCCAACCATAATCTGGGCCCCCACACAAGAAATGGATGATTTTATAGGATTAGATTCACGCATATATTTACTTATGAATTGATTTTTGTTTTTAACTTGAATTTTGAACACTCAGACACTCGGCTTCTCAAGGGGCGATACTTTGTATTGTAGTAATGAATTACTACTTTAGCCCAAGTAGTCAAAACGAGAGAGTTCATGCAGCCAAATTATTACTTTATTTAAAAAAAAAAAAAAAAATACATGAATGTAAGCACTTACAAGAAAGAAGCTACTCTTATATTACCTTTTACAAAATAGCTTCCTTCATGGTTTTCATGAATCACACAACGAAAGATCTGTTGTGAGCGATTCAGTTTGCAGTAAAAGACTGACAGCTGAACTACAAATCCCAGAATCCGGGAAACCACAAGGCCACAATCTGCTTAAAAATGCTAATTGTCAGAGACCTGTGTTTACAGAGACGTTTCCGTTATTTATCGTTTACCAGAATAACCTTTCTTTCAGTTTATTTAGAGACATTGTATCCTTTGGAATTAGAGCGAGTCTGTTGACTGGTTTAGTTACCAGCCTCGTGCATTCAGCGCAGTAACTGTTAGGAAGCTGCGAGAAGCAATGTAAGGCTTCCGGCTTGCCAGCGTTCAATTTCCCTTCAGGAAGTTTACACAGAGATAACTGACCGGGATCCTAGCAATGTCAGATGAAATATATTATCATTAACTGCAAGGCTGCCTTATGGTCAATAAACAAAGCTCTGCTCGTCGCACAGAATTGCGGTTCATGGCGTTTATTCGGGTTCTTGGGGTCGTTCACTCTACCAGGAAATCTGAGAAGGGAATATCTTCTTTTAGGATGAGATAATCCACTTGGATCAGTACCCAAAAATTACAACTGAATCAATACGGCCTAAAACTCTCCCATTCCAAGTCCATTCTTCACAATTCACAGTTTAATTGTTTTTAATTAATTAAAAACCCGATCTTAAATAAAAAAAAAAGTCTGACTTCGCCTGGATATTACAGTTTTTCATTCAATAGCATTTCGTGTAAATGCACGTCTTTTCAACCCATTTATCTCTAATGAGGTTTATTCACTAAACCGCAAATTGCAATAAACTGAAAACCTATTTGAAAAATGTCGACTTAAATAGCAGATATGGGAAAAAAATCTGCATCTCAGCTGTAGTCACAGTTTTACTCTGTTATCCTCTGTTTTGAAGTTCCTTTTTTAAATAACTTCAGTTCACAATTTAATAAATTGTAGCACCCCTCTCCCCTGGCTGTGAAAGAGTTAAGGTTTTGTGGTACTTAAGCCAATTCAGTGAGTTTGCATTTACGGTATCAAAACACACATTCGCTTCCTTTCTTCTAAAAATATACTTTCCTTAAAGAAAGAGGCAATTCAGGGCAACTATCTTCCTTCTCGTTATGTTGCAATCTTAGATCTAACGAGACAATATCATTATTAAACCTATAACGCTCTGGGGTTATTCCGTGATCTTGACATTTGTACAATACATATAATGCAAGCCATGAATTTATTTTACTTCTAGAATTGTGTGAATGTTGCGTACACTCTGCTCAGGACATCAGAAAAAGAGAGAAATCTGTGTGGTTTTGATGATAAAAGCTGGTAAATAAATTAATAAATAAGATGTGATCGCGCATTGTTTCCTGAAGCTCTAATAAAATGTATTTTACTGCCGGAGGGAAGATAAAGCAGCTATTTTCGGCGTCAGATGGAATGTAAGTGTTGGATGTAGTTATACATGTGTCTGCTGTCTCCCCAGATGTTCGTGTGGAACCTCACAAGAAACAGCTGCATGTGACTCTGGCATATCATTTCCAAGACGCGCACTTAGCGACGCTGGAGAAATTAGCTCAGGGCATTGACGTCACCTTGGGATGTGACTGGGTCGCAGCGATATTCTCCCGAGATATTCGATTCATCAACCACGAGGTAACAATCAAAGCACGGGGGATCCGCAGCCGGACAGGTCTCCCCTAAAGCCAATTTATGCCAATCTCACCTTGTAAACAATGAATGGGGAACAATGGGGTTTGGACACTTAAACAGTAACAGCAACAAAATAGCTTAACGGGGAAAAAAAAATACAACTCCGATACATTGGCATAAATATGGAACTGTTTTGGCAATTCTCCACAATTTCTAACTTAGGCCTCAACTTAATAGTGTTAAATATGTTTTTCCAGTGATTTAATACTTTTGGAAATACTTTAAAAATTATTTTTTGTAAAAATAAAAATATGATTTATATTAAAACATTATATCAATATATCAAAAATATTTTTTTCAAAACTTCTAAAAAAAATAATAATAAGGAAATGGAGGCCATTGTGAATAAATCCCAGTTTAGGTGCACACATAACCCCCTACTCGTTGACTGCGGCAAGCTGGGTCAGTGAATGAATGTGTGAGAGGAAGGAGGTTTAGGAACATGGGTGTCCAGCCACGTCCTCAAGAGCCGTGTTCCTGCCAGAAACGCACAGCTGTGTGAAGCAGCAATCAATGTAGCAGCTGGAATTCCCTGTAACTGATCGCTCTCCTACACTCGGACAAGTTAGAAAAAGAACCCGTAAACATTACAACTGCCCTAAACTGGGAAACCACCTAAACCAGCTGTCCCCCCCATAACCCGTACACTGAGGAGAACGGGCGGCATAGGGTGACATACATTTAATATAAATATTGTATTAATGTATTTTGGGGATTAATAAACACTGGTTAAACAGCTGGTTATATCTGGCCAAACGATGTCCTCAATTCTGTTGGCCAAAATACATTGATTGCCAGAAGCCAGCAATCGCTTAAATATTACTCATTTGGACCCAGCAAACGGCAAATTCTGGTCAGTAGGATTTATTCACTTAAACCAACTAAGCTAGAAATATAACCAAAACCGGAACATTTATTTAACAAAATGTGCAATTCTCTTTTCAGGTCTCCACAATTCTCTTTTAGCGAATCCCTCGTTCCTTCACCCCAGTAAACGCATTTGCAGCATATACTGGGGCGAATAATGCAGCGGGAGTAAGTAAAAAGCCAATTTTCATGTTCTGCACTTCCGCCTTGCAGTGACTTTGCCGTTGCATGATGCCCCAGTACATCTGTGTGTGCTCAGGCATCTAATGAGAAATATGACACACGCGCATGCACACTCGGCATTTTATCTCCCAGTTCTCTGTGTGAATGTGTACAGCACTGCGAGGGTTAACTCATTTAGATACTTTGCACATTTTACATATAGACATAAAAGAAACTATAAAGAATATAAAAGAAAGTTTAGTGCAACCAAAAGCTACATTTTAGGTAGCCATTAGGTTCAGCACAAAGTGAGGACGTGTCAGTTCCTGTTTAGGTGAATCAGCCTTATGCGTTATTTGTACCCGTCTCATGCTAGGTGTTTGATAAATTTAGCAATTCATATCGAAGATCCAGCACTGAATTCTAATGGTCGTATTCTGGGTTTACTTCTGCAGACTCTGCAAGTCTTGTACCCATACTTGCCCCAAAATGACGATGAGCTGGAGCTGGCCCCTGGGGATTATATCTTCATGTCTCCGGTGGAGCAAATTAACACCAGTGAGGGCTGGATTTATGGCACGTCACTGGCGACTGGATGTTCTGGACTTTTACCAGAAAACTATATCTCCAAGGCAGACGAATGTGGCACGTGGATATTCCACGGGTGAGTAGATCATGAGGGCCGTGTAATAAACGTTTAACTCGCAAGTTGGAATAAACTTGGAATTAATAATAACATTAATAACTAAAAATAATAACTTAAAAACCGAGTTTAAATTCAGAGTCCACACTCCTTGCTTTCGGCAATTCAATAATATTTATTAATAAAGGCTAATCAAACAAATAAACAATACATATACATTTGAAATAGGCTAGTATATGTTGCTACTAAAACTAATCATTGACTGAATGGAAAGTAGGCTAAATTAACATAGCAAAACAGGCATAGACACGTGATACAGTTACCACTCCATTGATCAGCAGCTGAGAGTAAGAGAGAGAGGGTGTGTACAGTGGGGAGAGGGGATAGGGGAGAGAGAAGGTGAAGAGAGGTAATTCAAAGAGAGAGAGAATGTGCTATTCACAGGGCTTTAAACAGGTTAGCCCCTCCTTCTGCTGGACACACCTCCCTTAGTCAATCCCTTAGGATGTAACAGAACCAGAGTGCCTCCAGGGGGAAGGGGGATTGCACTGCAAGGGAATGGAGGAGGAGTTTATCAACAACCCAACTGGTTTTGCCTGGTGAAAGGCCATGTGCTTCACAGAGGACTCCATTATTGCCTAAGGGTAGAATGGGGGCTTGAATCCCTGTATTAGAACACAATAACACTTCATTGGCATACAGTTTGGCTGTTAATCACATCCCCCCACTTATTACAGGCCGATAGCAGTCCCTGCCCAGTCTCAAATGTATTAGCTGTGTGGGGTCTGAGGGGTAATGGCTGCACTGACTCAGTCCTCCGTGAAGGAGAAGCCAACCATTCTCCCCCCTTCCCCCCCCCACCACCACCACCACCACCACACTTGTGCCAGCAAGCGGTGGGTTGGAGGACACCACCATTCATTTTAAAATATAAAACTATTAATTTCTGCCAAAATGTTTTGCCCTCGTGCCCCCTCTTACTACCCGTGTAACTGTAACCCTCATACATTTTCTGACTGCCCTCAAATCCCCTCTTACTGCCCTCGTATTCCTCATACTGCCCTCTCACTGCTCTCATAGTGCCATCTAACCACTCTCTTACTGCCGTCTCACTGCTCTCATAGTGCCCTCTTACCACTCTCTTACTGCCGTCTCACTGCTCTCATAGTGCCATCTAACCACTCTCTTACTGCCCTCGTATTCCTCATACTGCCCTCTCACTGCTCTCATAATGTCCTCTAACCACTCTCTTATTGCCCTCTCACTGCTCTCATAGTGCCATCTTACCACTCTCTTACTGCCGTCTCACTGCTCTCATAGTGCCATCTAACCACTCTCTTACTGCCGTCTCACTGCTCTCATAGTGCCCTCTTACCACTCTCTTACTGCCGTCTCACTGCTCTCATAGTGCCATCTAACCACTCTCTTACTGCCCTCTCACTGCTCTCATAGTGCCATCTAACCACTCTCTTACTGCCCTCTCACTGCTCTCATAGTGCCATCTAAACACTCTCTTACTGCCTCTCACTGCTCTCATAGTGCCATCTAACCACTCTCTTACTGCCTTCTCACTGCTCTCATAGTGCCATCTAACCACTTACTCTCTCACTGCTCTCATAGTGCCATCTACCACTCTTACTGCTCACTCATAGTGCCATCTAACCACTCTCTTACTGCTGCCGTCTCACTGCTCTCATAGTGCCATCTAACCACTCTCTTACTGCCTTCTCACTGCTCTCATAGTGCCATCTAACCACTCTCTTACTGCCCTCTCACTGCTCTCATAGTGCCATCTAACCACTCTCTTACTGCCGTCTCACTGCTCTCATAGTGCCATCTAACCACTCTCTTACTGCCGTCTCACTGCTCTCATAGTGCCATCTAAACACTCTCTTACTGCCCTCTCACTGCTCTCATAGTGCCATCTTACCACTCTCTTACTGCCGTCTCACTGCTCTCATAGTGCCATCTAACCACTCTCTTACTGCCCTCTCACTGCTCTCATAGTGCCATCTAACCACTCTCTTACTGCCTTCTCACTGCTCTCATAGTGCCATCTAACCACTCTCTTACTGCCCTCTCACTGCTCTCATAGTGCCATCTAACCACTCTCTTACTGCCGTCTCACTGCTCTCATAGTGCCATCTAACCACTCTCTTACTGCCGTCTCACTGCTCTCATAGTGCCATCTAAACACTCTCTTACTGCCCTCTCACTGCTCTCATAGTGCCATCTTACCACTCTCTTACTGCCGTCTCACTGCTCTCATAGTGCCATAGTGCCATCTAACCACTCTCTTACTGCCCTCTCACTGCTCTCATAGTGCCATCTTACCACTCTCTTACTGCCCTCTCACTGCTCTCATAGTGCCATCTAACCACTCTCTTACTGCCGTCTCACTGCTCTCATAGTGCCATCTAACCACTCTCTTACTGCCCTCTCACTGCTCTCATAGTGCCATCTAACCACTCTCTTACTGCCCTCTCACTGCTCTCATAGTGCCATCTAACCACTCTCTTACTGCCGTCTCACTGCTCTCATAGTGCCATCTAACCACTCTCTTACTGCCCTCTCACTGCTCTCATAGTGCCATCTAACCACTCTCTTACTGCCCTCTCACTGCTCTCATAGTGCCCTCTTACCACTCTCTTACTGCCCTCGTATCCTTTCTTACCGCATGGAGTGGGGGTGCTGACAGCAGCTAGTTTACTCGATTTAGTTTAACTGTTCCGTACAATAGACGTAGGCATGCTGTGAAGGTAAGTACCAGATTCAGGTGTAGGTGATGATTGGCTCAGTTTTTTAGTAGTTATTCAGCAGATACAGTGTTTCCTGCTCACTGATTATTCTAGGTTATCTGTAGTATGCCATCCATGGTCCCCAGTTATAAAGATACCCCAACTCTTCACGGAGATACAAACTACACCATAACTAAGGCTCAATTCAGTTACGGACCATGTCACAGAATGAACCAAAGATGGATCTGATGCGGACCAGTTACTGTCTGCGTAGAATGATACAATTCTGGGTCATGGAAGTAAATGTGAATTTCTCTTCTCAGATCTTATTCTCTTCTAAATACGCTGCCCTCCGCCATGTTTTCTGTTGGCGATGGCGTTTTGGAGAAAAGGCAACAGGAAGAGCACGTGTTGGGGGACTCAGCGTCACTTACTATTATTTGCCAGCCAATGCAGGTAGGTCAATCTCTATTCCTCAATCAGAACTGTCGAAATCTGAGCCACGCACGCGTCTGGCTGAACGCAGTGTACATAACTGTTCTGAGTGAGAGTGGAGGTGTGATAAGGGGTGGCACTGTTCTGAGTGTACATAAGGCTGTAATGCTGAATATTGTTCTACTGTTGAATGTAATATACAAATGCCAATTTTACTGTAAAATATGCTGAAATATGTCATGATTTTGTTTTTCTCTGGAGTTGAAGTAAAAATTTAATTACAGTTAGACGGGAGATAAAGAGGAGTTAATTTGTTACCGTTTGCACTCATTGTGTCCAACTACACTCAGAGTTCTCAGAGTGAGCGTTCTCTCGGCCATGTATTTATTTATTTATAACTGGTATTTATAACGCGCCAACAGATTCCACAGCGCTGTACAATTAGTGGAGGACGTAAAATATACACAGAAAAATACAAAAGGTAGAGGTCCCTGCCAGTAAGCTGAGATCTAGCCATTTAAGCTTATTATAAAAAAGTGCTTAGCTAGATAGCCCGTGAGCTTGCAATCTCCACACTCACTGTTTAGTAGATAAACCCCGCTGTGTTTTAGCAGAGAAAGTGCAGCTAATTTGCATAATCCCCTGCGCTGTAAAGGGAACTGGTCCCGGTTGGTCAGTCTAACTGTTCCTGTTTCTCTTATTATTTTTCAATGAAACAAACCTTATGGAAATCTAATTAAAGCCGTTTTTTAAAAACCCTCTGATAGTGCCCCCTAGTGGACGTTAGTAGATCAGCTCATAATTACATCATCATTTTCCAGACAGAATGTCCAGGATGTATTGCTTGTCATATGATTGTATCTACCGCCAGAAAAGGCCAAATACTAGAGAGAATTGTAACCGATAGGATGACATCGAAACAAAGTGCTTATTATTTATTTAAATGCTCCTTCAGCTTATTGTCTAGATCCAGACAGACGTTCTGTAGTGTCTGAAAAATTTAATGTTGTCCCATTTAAAGGCACAAACACATGAAGGATGAAACAGTTTGTAAATCTCTCCGATCCATAACTGGAATGGAAGTGGCTCAGACTGTCACTGGCAAAGACGCCCTGCTGGGTTTTACCATAAAAATTAATCAACTCACTGTTTAGTGAATAGGACAGTAATGTTTAACTACAGAACTGAAGATATATACAGTTTCCATGATGTACTAGACTGAGATAATGTCCCTTTAAGTAGACAGTAGGCAAACCATAGATCTGCAAGCACTTCCTGTTAATTATTAACACATAACCCACACATGTCACAGCAGCTGTAAAACATGAAGTACATCTTAAAGGTACACCACAAGCCCCTAAAGTACGTCACCTTACTGGGGGAAGGGGCGTGTGGACCCCCAAAACACCCCACCTTTATCCATACATGTGTCCATTTATAATGCTGGACTGTTTCTTTAAATACGTTTTATACTCAGACGAAACGGCAACAAATAAAAGAACTGAATGTTATTGAAGTTTTTCTTTTCTAAACACGGTTCTGCTTCCCCAGTTTTGGTTGTAACCGTTTATGGATCAGGCTTTATGCTGTGGAGGTTTTAAGATTTTTTTGTAAAGTTATACACTTCCTTTTCCGATTTCGTTCCAAGCAGCCGCTGAGAATTAGCAGTCAGCCTGGGTCTTCGAAGAGCTGTCTCTTTGTATGTCGGCATGGCGAAAGGATGGATGTCGTATTCGGAAAGTACTGGCTGTCCCAGTGCTTCGACGCTAAAGGTGTGTCTCGTGAAATATGGGAATAATGTACGTCAAGCGTAGTGAACGTTTAAACATAGTGCTAATTATTTCGTATATATATATATATATATATATATATATATATATATATATATATATATATTATTACGGTACATATACTATATCAGCGTATGATTTCATATAATATATTTATTATTTCATATCATATCTTAATTATTTCATATAATATATCTGTTAATTATTTCATATCATATATCTATTATTTCATATCATATATCTGTTAATGATTTCATATAATATATCTATTATTTCATATAAGTAAAGGCTGCTTTAAGGAAGGGTCTCGCAATGACACATAATCACTCAGAGGAACCATTTCTATCTCTAGTGGGGGGTGGGGGGAATTAACAAAAATTAAGTAAAAGGACACCAACATGAACCATAGCACTGTATAATTGGAAAGAAGCTAGACAGGGTTGTTCAGTATTCAATTATCAATAATTCAAAGTAAAATTATTTGCAAAACTTCAGCCGAAAAACAGATATTTTTCCAAATTCTACTGTTTTCACCTAAAATTTTACATTTATTTTGAATTCCAGATAATGAATTCCTTAATGAAATAATCTAGCCCTGTTTTTCACCAAAATGAGAATTCAAAGTGAATTCCAAGTTAAAGACCGGAGTACCAACACTGGAAGCCTAGCTGACTCACACACTTTTTCCAGGTCAGCTATTTTGAACTTAAAGGAGCAGTATAGTGCCAGGAAAACAAATTCATTTTCCTGGCACTATAGGGTCTTTAGGTCCTCCCCACCCTCAGGGTCCACTCCCGGTGGGCTGAAGGGGTTAAAACCTTTCTCCACGTGGCGCTGGGGAACTCTCCTCCTCCTGCCGAATGAGATCCGAATGCGCATGCGCTGCAAGTATAATTTAATGCATTCCTATGGACATCAGTGTCTTTTCACTGTGATTTTCAAAGTGAGAATCGCGGAAGCGCCTCGAGCGGCTGTCTCTAGTTTCTCTGAAACTGCTATGTTTACAGCTGCAGGGTTAACACTAGAGAGATCTAGCACCCAGACCACTTCATTGAGCTGAAGCGGTCTGGGTGCCTATAGTGGTCCTTTAAATTTATAATTCACTTTGAATTCTTACTGTAGTGAATATTCTTAGATGTGTAGAAATCAGTTTCCTATCTTAATGTCTATAAAACTCCTCCCAATATTTACTTGGATAAAGGGGGATCATTAATCCTAGAGGAGTGACTGGGGGCGTGGCCATGGGTGGAGCTGTTCTGAGTGTGAGTGGAGGTGTGATAAGGGGTGGGACTGTTCTGAGTGGAGGTGTGACCAGGGGCAGGGCTGTTGTGGACAGGGGTGGGACTGTTCTGAGTGTGAGTGGAGGTGTAATAAGGGGCAGGACTGTACTGAGTGGAGGTGTGACCAGGGGCAGGGCTGTTGTGGACAGGGGTGGGACTATTCTGAGTGAGAATGGTGGTGAGGCCAAGGGTTGGGCAGAGTGTGGGTGAGGGTGTGGACATGGGTGGGGCTGATCTGACTTACTAACAATTTATAGAACTAAAATGTAATTTAAAACAAGAACAATGTATTTTATTGAAACAAAATGATTTCTTAAAACACATTTATTGTAGTTTAAAGATTACTTTATTAATATAGCTAACATTTATTGTACTAATTGTATTAATATTGCCAGGAATGTAACGGAGCTTTAGTAGTCATAATAAGAGAGTCATGTGAGCACCGTTACCAAGATGGTGGCCTGTGGACTATGTTTTAGTAGATTCTTTGTGTTCACTCTTACACGATTGACCCTGTAGTCAGGAGACACTATGCAGTCCTATATATTATCATACCTAAACATGAAACGTGCTTGAAATGTATTTATTTATTCACTCGGAAAGGTTGATTATTCTGATACTTTTAGGTCGCTACATGAGAACAAATTTGAACATGTTGCCCAGTTTACCTCAGAGGAGTGGTGGCTACCGAGATTATGAGAAGGATGCGCCTATAACAGTACTGGGATGTAAACAAGCCAAGCTCATCGGTAAATTAAAAACCAGTAAAAAAAATTCTATTTGTTCTAATAATGAGTATTCTACTAATCCTTGTCAATGTAGATTTCTGTCTGTGCTGCTGTTACGCGTTGCTTAAATATATTCTGTGATTTCTGTCTGTACTGCCGTTACGCGTTGCTTAAATATATTCTGTGATTTCTGTCCGTGCTGCTGTTATGCGTGTGTTAAATATATTCTGTTATTTCTGTCCGTGCTGCTGTTATGCGTGTGTTAAATATATTGTGTGATTTCTGTCTGTGCTGCCGTTATGCGTGTGTTAAATATATTCTGTTATTTCTGTCTGTGCTGCTGTTATGCGTGTGTTAAATATATTGTGTGATTTCTGTCTGTGCTGCTGTTATGCGTGTGTTAAATATATTCTGTTATTTCTGTCTGTGCTGCTGTTATGCGTGTGTTAAATATATTGTGTGATTTCTGTCTGTGCTGCCGTTATGCGTGTGTTAAATATATTCTGTTATTTCTGTCTGTGCTGCTGTTATGCGTGTGTTAAATATATTGTGTGATTTCTGTCTGTGCTGCCGTTATGCGTGGCTTAAATATATTCTGTGATGCCTTTACGCATTGCTTAAATATATTCTGTGATTTATGTCTGTGCTGCCATTACGCTTGTCTTAAATATATTCTGTGATTTCCGTCTGTCTGTGCTGCCACTCTACTTGTGTTTAATATATTCTGTGAGTCTGTGCTTTCTCACTGTGTGTTAATTATATTCTATCATTTCAATCTGTACTACTACGTGTGTGTTAAACATATCCTGAGTTTTCTGTGTGTCTGTGCTGCCACTACGTATCCACTAAATATATCCTGTGATTTCTGTCTGTCTGAACTGCCGCTACATGTGTGTTAAATATATTTTGTGATTTCTGTGTCTGTGCTGCCGCTATGCATGTGTTAAATATATCTTGAGATTTCTGTACTGCTGCTACATATCTGTTAAACATATATTTTTTTGTCAATCTTATTGTGGCATACGTTTCACATTGTACAGAATAGTAAGTAAGGAGTTAAATCTGATAGACAATCGGCATAAAAAAACAAAAAAAAAAACAACTTACAACAGATGATACTCCTAAGGGAGGCTTATAATAGGAACATGTGTTATCAGGCTAGATATTCATGAATGGGGTAAAGTTTACATGCTAAAAACATGATCTGACAGGCTAGGTATTCATGAGTATTTCACGTTAATATGAAACAAGATAGTTCCAAGTATGCATGGTTTAATAATAGTTAGGAGTAGATAGTACATGTGATACTCGAAAAATTAGAATATTGTGCAAAAGTCCATTTATTTCAGTAATGCAACGTAAAAGGGGAAACTAATATAGGAGATAGACGCATTACATGCAAAGCACTGGACTTCAAGCATCTTGCAGTGTGTGCCTCTCCATTCTTCCTCCAGACTCTGGGTCCTTGGTTTCCAAATGAGATGCTAAAGTTGCTCTCATCAGAAAAGAGGACTTTGGACAACTGAGCGACAGACCAGATCTGTTTTTCATTTAGCCCTGGTAGACAGGGTCAACGCAGCTGTCTACCAGGAGATTTTGGAGCACTTCATGCTTCCTTCTGCAGACAAGCTTTATGGGGATGCTGACTTCATTTTCCAGCAGGACTTGGCACCTTCCCACACTGCCAAAAGTACCAAAGCCTGGTTCAATGACCGTTGGATTACTGTGCTTGATTGGCCAGCAAACTCATCTGACCTGAACCCCATAGAGAATCTATGGGGCATTGCCAAGAGAAAGATGAGCGACATGAGACCGAACAATGCAAAAGAGCTGAAGGCCGCTATTGAGGCATCCTGGTCTTCCATAACACCTCAGCAGTGCCACAGGCCATGTGTAGGGTCTGCATCTGCGTGCCACAGACTCTGAAGCTCGTTGAAGCCGGGTCTTTCCCTTCGTGGGCCCCACGGAAGTCCCTGGTGGTCTGCTGCCGCAAGCGGCAGTCGGTCTTCCGGCGATGTCGCCAATGCTTCAGAGGTGACCTCCTCGGCCCATGTGGGCATTCGGTGAGCTTTTTAGTGTTGTAATGTAATCTTCACCTGGGACAGGCCTTTTGGTTGATGACTGCGTGAGTGCTGGCATTGATAGTCGGGCTGCATCCGCCATGTTGCTGGGCCCGGCACGTCTGGAGCCCAAGCTGTAGTGGGCAGGTGCCGTCAATAGTGCCTCGTGTGCCAACTTGGTGGGGAACGGGACAACTCCCTCTGGTCCATGGGGGCAGGGGGCTCAAGCTTAGTTTTGCAGTGCGTTGAGGCGGCAGAAGAGTGGCCATATCCCCTGCGCCTGCCATGCTTGTAGGCCCTAGTGTCCGGGCAGTTGGAACCGGTGCAAAAGTCCACATGTATGGTATCATTTTGTAGGTCTTGCTATCCCAGATAGCCTGACATCCAACATAAGTTGGGTCTCAGCTTCTGCTCCGTGTAAAGCAGCCCAATGTGCGGTGAGTAGCAAGAGCAGCAGTAACATGCGTCTGCTTCACGCTACGGTCAGGCCCCGCCCCCCTGGTAAACATTCTGTAATTTCTGTCTGGTTGTGCTGCCACTACATGTGTTTTAAATATATTTTGTGTTTTCTGTGTCTGTGCATAAAATATATATTCTGTGATTTCTGTCTGTGCTGTCTCTCTATATGTGTTAAATATATTCTGTGATTTCTGTCTGTGTTGTCTCTCTATGTCTGTTAAATATATTTTGTGCTTTCTGTCTGTCTGTGCTGTCTCTCTATGTGTGTCAAATATATTCTGTGATTTCTGTCTGTGCTTTCTCTCTGTGTGTGTTAAATATATTCTGTGATTTCTGTCTGTGCTGTCTCTCTGTGTGTGTTAAATATATTCTGTGATTTCTGTCTGTGCTTTCTCTCTGTGTGTGTTAAATATATTCTGTGATTTCTGTCTGTGTGTGCAGTGCATGTGGTTATGGTGAGCCAGCGGTTGTGAAATCACATTCATGTGATTGTTCATGCGCAGTGATGTCTCCGTACTGTCTTTTACTGTGTATTTTCTGTTTTACAGGGGAGGCTTTACTGGACAGTAAAACCGTTGTAGATTTTATTTACTGTTCCCCATCTTTACGCTGCGTCCAAACAGCACATAATATACTGAAAGGTAAGCAGATAAGCACCAACTAAAGTTCACCATACCTTCTATGATTTAATTACAACTTTCTGATTAATCTGTGCATTGCAAGTGCTATGTAAAGCTAATCAGGTCTCCTAAAACCTTGCTATAGCAAATTCACATTGCACCATCCGTTGGTTAATAGATTAAGAATTGTGTAATCCAGGTAATCGGAGATATAAAATGCTTGTTTACTTTGTTACCAATTGTTTCAGGTCTTAAACAAGAAAGTAAGGGTAAGATTCGCGTGGAACCAGGATTATTTGAATGGACTAAATGGGTGTCTGGTAACACCCTCCCATCATGGATCCCGCCAGCAGAATTAGCTGCCGCAAACCTGAGCGTTGATACAATCTACAGGTAAAAAACTCTTACTATTGCTTATTTTTAAATAAAAAATAAAAATAGTGTCAATTTAAATGATTACAATTTGTACATTTGTCTGCAAAGCAATCTATATACAAAATGACTGCGTTATGATACTTTATCTGCTAGCTGCGTCTCCTTTCCTTCAGATAAATGTTATGTTAATAGTGTTTTCAATCAAAAAGTGCTTGGTAGTGAAGGGGTTAATATGAGGTGTCACAGTGGTTATGGTGCCATTTTAGAATAGTGGATCTTGTATAATGTTTCACATTTCTGTATTATTATGGCACGTTAGGCCATTATTCACAGCCAGCTGTGTCAGCTGACAGCTCTCAACCAGTAAATAATTTCCATGCTTGATAGGAGTTGTACAATGGCCCTGCATGATAGCAGTCTTACATTGACCGAGAATGATATAAATTGTATAATGTCCCAGCATGATAGGAGTTGTATAGTGGCCCAGCATGATAGGAGTTGTACAGTGGCCCAGCATGATAGGAGTTGCATGTACTATGCCTGCTCAGTCCAGAACGACAGCAGGCGTCTGGCAACGCCCCAGGTCAGTGAAAACCTCTCTCAAACACTATCGTATGGTCCACATTGGAGACTCCTGGCTCCTTAATCACTAGTACCCCCGTAAGGTTGCCATTACTTATTACAAGACTTGTGACATTTTATTTGTCATCTCAGATTAACATCACCCTTAATGTTTTATATAATAACTGAGTGAGATTTTATCGTGACACATCCAAACATTACTGCCGTTTGTTCTGAAAAAAAGCCAGGTCAGAATACAGCGCATTTAGAGATAAATTATACACAGACATGTCAGCTACTCTGACCTTCAATTTGGAATTCACTTTGAATTCTCACTGCAGTGAATAACTCTGTGGATCGTACAGTTCGTATCATGTCATCTCCCAGAATTGGAATGGTCGGCAGTGAGTTGTGCAGATTGCTTCTGATGTAACTGAAAACAATATATTGGGATCCAGAATGTCACTGGAAATAAGTAAATCACTAACCCCCATAAAACATGCAAATCTTTGATTAAAAATAGAATAACTTTTTTAACTGTCAGTTCTCACATACACGTAGAATAGCACAGAGATGTTCAGCTATAGATTGATGTGCAGTGATATTTACATACATTGACACAATTTATTTTGCCCGTTTATGTGTTCACCCTTTGCAGAAATAAATATTTAAATTTATTGTGTAAAGTCGATCTTCTTACAATATATAAACAGGGTCTGAAATATTAGCAGAGATGCAGAAATGCTATTTTATGCAACCATCAATAGATCCAATAGAAATGGATAAATAACTGGCTTATGGAAATCTTAAAGAAATTTCTGGAAGTATTGCTATTGCAGCCTGCAAGTAACGCCTGTAGTGTACTCGTCTGCATTCTAACGGAGACATGAAGAAGCTCGCTGTAATATTTCCTGTAAAGTTTTCAACTGAGGGTGGGAAGTGGAATATGACCCCCATTAGGAGCCCCATTACAGGATTTCCCCTCTCTGTAGGTTAACACTGGGTGCAGGAGTAAAGGGGAGCTGTGTGTGCGCATGTTTGAGTGTAGTAAAATCTGGATTTACTGATTTCTGGAATCTATCAATGTATACGCGTGATTGTGTTGTGCCTGTTATCGCGCCCATTTAACGGTTCCTCAATGTATTATTTCGTCGTAGACCTCACATTCCGATCAGCAAACTAGTTCTGTCTGAAACATATGACACGTATATGAGTCGGAGTTTCCAGGTCACAAAGGAAATTCTAAGTGAATGTAAAAGTAAAGGTACGTATTCTTGAGATCCTCCTCTTTTTAAACTGTAAATGCTTACCCACCATGATCATATTCCAAATCTTTAATCTGCACCTGCGATCATTAGATATCATTTGCTTCTGAGAATGGGGGGGTGGGAGGCTTTGAGATTAAAGTATCTGACTCCCAGGAAGCCAGCAATTCTAAGGAAACACAGACAGGGAATCACTGTAATAAGAAAATGTATCTACTAAGCTAAAACCTGTCTTACTGTAACTGAACCCAGTTATATATGTTCTATACACATGCAGCAATAATGTGTGTTTTTTTTTAAATCAGTTTTTACCTTTTTTCAGGAAATAATATTTTGATCGTAGCCCATGCGTCATCCTTAGAGGCTTGTACCCGGCAACTGCAAGGGCTCCCACCACAAAATGCAAAGGACTTTGTGCAGGTGGTCAGAAAGGTAAGTGGCAGAATGAGATTATGGGACAAGGACAGGCATGCTCCTTCGCAGCCCGGCTGACTAGTTACTCTGAGTATTCTAGAAAAGTCAGCGATTCGGGGTAAGAGAAGGAATCTAATTCTGGAGCCCATTCAGTTATTTCTCTGCTACCTAATTTTGGAGTAAAAGGCATTTTTGCGACATTTTGGATTAATGAATAATGCACTATTCATCATGACCATATTGGTCCCTGTTGCACTATTTATATTCATGGGATAAATCATTATTTTAAGCTGTATATGCACCTTGTGTTTAATATACAGCTGGTTTACTGGCCTTTACAGTCTATATATTAAACGTGCTACATACAATTTATTAGGAGGACCAAAAACACACAAACATTATGGGTTTCCCCTTTATCAATGCTAAAAAGGGAAAACTTGAAAGTTTGTTTTTTGGTCCTATAATAATTTGTGAGTAGCACTTTGTGTGCAACTTCTGTACGTGGATTTGACCCTGCATTGAGCAAAACTACGTTTTATTTGAGATTGTTGGATACTCTAGTAACCCCTGCTCTATCTCTATGTGGCCACATTATAGTCTATATAGTGATCTTTGATTGGAAAGACTAATAGTCCTTTGCCCTCTCTGCAGATTCCGTACCTGGGATTTTGCTGCTGTGAAGAACTTGAAGACTGTGGTATATGGCAGCTGACAGACCCTCCAATACTTCCTCTAACGCACGGACCCACGGGGGGATTTAACTGGAGGGAGGCATTACTCCAAGAGTAAACAGAAACCACTTGGACTGGAATTTAAACCATGTGAACATATCTCCTACGGATACAAAACGCAAACCACCGCGCTACGCCAAACTTACTGACGAACCGTACAGAAGACTCGTCATAGCTTATATATTTATAAAAGATATTTTTGTTGGAAATCAGAATTTACATGGACAGAACCTTAAAACTATAAACGGAAACATATAGAAAGTTAAATTATTCGACCTATGCTTGGAAAAAGGGGGATAACGCATGTTATCTGCCACCATTTTATTAACCTCAACTAAATGTCCGCTGCATGTAAGTCTCTTGATGTCCTTCCAGCTAGCACAACCAATGTCCAGCGGGTATTTAAATCAGTGTCTTCTCAATGTCGAATGATCATTTGTTATTATCTGTTACACCGTGTCTGTTAAGAGTCATTCGGGGGGAGCTGGGTAACGTGATATTTAACGCAGAATGAGTGGTCCATACTCTGATATTTATATATCAAAGTTAGATAAACATTTTTAAAAATCCCATCGTGGAAACTCCAAACGGAACCTCACCTACAAATGGAACCACACAGCCATCTTCCTTCGCCATGTGGATGAATCATGAAGTGAGAGAAATGGACTCTGAATGAGCCCTTTTGTTTATTTCGTGATTCGGAGTTTCTGCCTTTGGCACTAAAAGGAAATTGATTATTGATGGGGAAAAATAGATAATGAATGCTTTAGGAACAGTCACTAAATACTAATTTTATTCACAGATCAAACCAAATCACAGAAGGAGGAGGAACAGAAGGAGGAGGAACGCTAAAAAATCTATATTTATGTACTATAGAAACATAGAATGTGACGGCAGATAAGAACCATTCGGCCCATCTAGTCTGCCCAATTTTCTAAATACTTTCATTAGTCCCTGGCCTTATCTTATAGTTAGGATAGCCTTATGCCTATCCCACGCATGCTTAAACTCCTTTACTGTGTTAACCTCTACCACTTCAGCTGGAAGGCTATTCCATGCATCCACTACCCTCTCAGTAAAGTAATACTTCCTGATAATATTTTTAAACCTTTGTCCCTCTAATTTAAGACTATGTCCTCTTGCTGTGGTAGTTTTTCTTCTTTTAAATATAGTCTCCTCCTTTACTGTGTTGATTCCCTTTATGTATTTAAATGTTTCTATCATATCCCCCCTGTCTCGTCTTTCCTCCAAGCTATACATGTTAAGATCCTTTAACCTTTCCTGGTAAGTTTTATCCCGCAATCCATGAACCAGTTTAGTAGCCCTTCTCTGAACCCTCTCTAAGGTATCAATATCCTTCTGAAGATACGGTCTCCAGTACTGTGTACAATACTCCAAGTGAGGTCTCACCAGTGTTCTGTACAATGGCATGAGCACTTCCCTCTTTCTACTGCTAATACCTCTCCCTATACAACCAAGCATTCTGCTAGCATTTCCTGCTGCTCTATTACATTGTCTGCCTACCTTTAAGTCATCAGAAATAATCACCCCTAAATCCCTTATATATATTTAATTACTACATATATATATTTAATTATTATATAAATAGATATTTTTACTGTTTTTCCCTCTATTCGTCTCTCACTTGATCTGTGAACCAAAATAGTGTAAAAATGGTCCATGCAATGTATTGCAAACCGTATACACTATTTATTGAACAAAGAGACCCAAGAAGGAAAATGCAAATTTTCTACCAAAGCAATTAATCTGGAAGAGTAACTAAGAAAAATACAAACAGGCAGATTACATTGAAATGAGCACTTCTCTCGTCACTGATTCCAGACTTAATGAATCAACTCTTTGTATTTTCCATTTCTTATCGATCCAAGAAGATCTGATGACGTTTCCTATCATTTACATTTAGTACTCCAGAGAATAAAAGGGGCTGGAATGAAAATTAAGGTCATTTATATCTTTACTTGGTGTAAAATCTTCCCATGACTGGCTCTTTAATTAGCACTGGAGAGATATGCCCCTTAATGCACAAATCTCTGAAATGAATCATAATATATAAAGCAAACAGACGCACTACGCCGGGGATCTGACACCAGATTTTCTAAACTGGAAATTGCAGAGAATTGACAAGGGAATTTAACATTTATCTTTTTTTACATTTTTTTTGCAAAATGTTTTATCAATACCTCTTCCATAAAATGCTCCAGGGGGCGTTGTCATAACTGCGAGTGTGCACTCAACTCAATTTATGCAAAAATGGGATTCTTCTGTGTGACGGGGAGAATCCTTTTATTTGGCATTCTACTGGTTCCTGGTAGAGTGCGATCGGTAAATGGTATCAGGCTATCTTAGGTGCTTGTTATACCAACAGTTTAATGGTAGAAATGATTACGCAGACATATTCCATCATTTGAAATGGAAACCAATATGTATTGTTCAGACTGTAAGGTGTATTGAGGCAGAATATCACATCCCTCCATACGGTACAATTTATTATTATAATAAAATAATTTTATTATTATTAGTCCCATTGTAGAAATGAAAAAAGATTTTTATTTGTTTAAATTTTTTTAATTACTTTGGGTGAATGATGTGCAGGACTATTTACTAAAGTAAACATTGTTGGGAATTCATATTTAAGGTCTAAATAGTAGAAGTGGAAACATCCCCCCACTATGTTCCCATTTCAGCAATTTGAAATTCACTCTGAATTCCAGGCAATTCTCACCTTTAGTAAATAACTTGCTACGTTAAGCAGTCACCACGGAAACCTGTGAAATGTTTTAGCTATTCTCCCCATTTATAGTACCAGCTGGGAGCAGGGTGGCAAGGGCAGATTGAGTCATAAATGGGAAATCGCAGCATCTTTCCCTGAAAATAAGACCGGGTCTTGTATTAATTTTTCCCCCCTCGCAAAACACACTAGGGCTTATTTTCAGGGTATGTCTTATTTCGGGGGAAAACGGTAGCAAGCATGTGCTAGAAAGCAGGTCTACTTTCGTGGGAATTCCCCTGGACATAGATGAGTTTCCTAGCACATGCAATTGCGCAAATCTATGTTCGGAGAAACTTCCCCGAACGTAGATTAATGAACTAGGGCGTGGAATCCCACGATTCTATGTTCGGGGAAAGTTCCCGAACCTACATTAGCGAACCTGCGACTAGTAACTAGGGCTTCTTTTCGAGGTAGGGCTTATATTACGAGCATCTCCTGAAAATAAGATAGGGCTTATTTTCGAATGATGTCTTATTTTGGGGGAAAAACGGTATATATGTCAATCTATCGATCCTTCATAACAGAAAATGCATGGAAAAATGAAAATATTAACAGAATACATGCGTAACAGCAGATTTCTTCTTATCGTGTGCAAACAAAAAATGATCAAACCAAGTGTGCTGCCCAATACAGAGTGATCTCTTAGTCTGTAAAGGGTACTAACCTACAGCTGATATGACAGAGGTTTGTCTTATATATTTTGGCTTGTCATTTGAATGTGGGGGGGGGGGGGAGCAATCATTGAAATAACGCAATTAAGATATGCTGCTGCCAAAGCAACAATAAGAATGAGGTTTTAATACTAAGAGTATGTAACCAACGCACAAAGCTTCTCGTTTCAGTAATTGGCCATAATACTGCCGCTATACCACCGTAAATATTACAGATTTATGTAATTATGTTGTTACTTTGTATATTAATACAATGAGTTCCGAGTACCAACCTGAGTTTCTGCCGTCTTGAAAATTTAGGCCTCGATTTAATAAGGTTTAATAAGGTATTCAAACTATTCAGTGTTTTTGGATAAACTTTTTAAATGTTTTTTTTTTAAAATATCAAAAAAATGTATCGTATAAAAAAAAAAATCAAAATATTACAGAATTTTAATATTTTTCATCATATTAAATCATTTGAAAAGTTTATCCATCAATGTTAAATGGAGGCCACAGTTAGGGTGCATTAACTGTTGAAATTATCCCCAAAAGTAAAGTTGCGGAAACCATCAGCATGGAGGGTCTGGGACCCATTCAGGGGAAGGGTTAAAGGTCACGTCAGACTTGTTATAAAGATATATTATATTATTATTAGACTGTGTGTTTGATGTATGTGGAAATCATGTACAGAGGACGCTAGAGATAAGTTCTGTTGTTGTATATTTGAATTGTTCCACGCCATTTTTTTCCAAATGATGTATTATGCAATATCTTTTCTTTATGTGAAACTAAAAAATTGTTCATGTTTATTTAAAGATGACAATCAATCCAAAAAAAGCAGAGACTTTAATTTTTATAAACTGCGCCCGAGCTTTGAGCTTCGCACGCGATCTGCGCTAAGCTGCCTGGAACCGAATGAAAGACTCGGCCGCGTTCAGGCCTTCTGTTTTCTGTTCACAAAGGAGGGAAAATGGAATAAAGGCATTAATGCTTAATATTTGTAGTCAATAAAGTATTTTTCAATGAAGAATGGAAAGGGCGAACGCTGTTTAAACAAACAGCAGGAAGTTTGGAAAACTGTTTTTTCTCCATGAAGAAATATTGTGACAATGATAAAACGGTGATTCTAATTAGAAATAGAATGGATTAGTCAGACAGAGTATCTGGCCATTGCTGTCATTTACTAAATGCAGGTTGGTATGTAATACATTCAAATCCAGTATAAGAGAGAAGGGAGACAATAGACACTGCTCCTCTAAAGGAGGGGTTTGAGTCCTCAGATAGAATTCCAAATGTGTGATGTGTGGATAGAATGGATACAATGTAACCATCATTAAAATATGAAGATCAGGTCATTTTCCAAAACATTATTGTGAAGTGAATCCTAAAAGAAAGAAGCAAAATGAAACCGGTAACTGAACGCGTTTCATGTTTGGACGCTTTCTCTGACGTGAACGTGTTCAGCAAGAAATGTCCAAATTTTGTGTTAAGACTTCCATTCCTCATAAAACGGCATGTAAGACAATGAGTACCTCCACAGTGAAAATTCCCAACAGGGTCATAACTGAACCTCCACAGCACATATAACGGGAGTTTAGACAGTGCCGCTGTATTCATTAAATTCATACTTCTTTTGAATGTAACCCTAGTTGAATGGCGCTGACTGAGTGCGCTATAATGGCGCAGGTTGAATGACCCTATAATGGCACAGGTTGAATTGCGCTGGCTGAGTGGCGCTATAATGGCGCTGGCTGTGTGGCGCTATAATGGCGCTAGTTGAGTGGCGTTATAATTGCGCTGGCTGTGTGGCGCTATAATGGCGCTAGTTGTGTGGCGTTATAATGGCGCTGGCTGTGTGGCGCTATAATGGCGCAGGCTGAGTGGCGCTAGAATGGCGCAGGCTGAATGGCGTGGCTGAGTGGCGCAAGAATGGCGTGGCGTAGTGGCGCAAGAATGGCACAGGCTGAGTGGCGCTATAATGGCGCTATAATGGTGCTGGCTGAGTGCGCTATAATGGCGCTGGCTGAGTGCACTATAATGGCGCAGGTTGAATGGCTCTATAATGGTGCAGGTTGAATTGCACTGGCTGAGTGGCGCTATAATGGCGCTGGCTGTGTGGCGCTATAATGGCACTAGTTGAGTGGCGTTATAATTGCGCTGGCTGTGTGGCGCTATAATGGCGCTAGTTGAGTGGCGTTATAATGGCGCTGGCTGTGTGGCGCTATAATGGCGCAGGCTGAGTGGCGTGGCTGAGTGGCGCAAGAATGGCGTGGCGTAGTGGCGCAAGAATGGCACAGGCTGAGTGGCGCTATAATGGCACTATAATGGCGCTGGCTGAGTGCGCTATAATGGCGCTGGCTGAGTGCACTATAATGGCGCAGGTTGAATGGCTCTATAATGGTGCAGGTTGAATTGCACTGGCTGAGTGGCGCTATAATGGCGCTGGCTGTGTGGCGTTATAATGGCACTAGCTGAGTGGCGTTATAATGGCACTGGCTGTGTGGCGCTATAATGGTGCAGGCTGAATGGCGCAGACTGAATGGCGCTAGAATGGCGTGGCGCAAGAATGGCGTGGCACAAGAATGGCGTGGCTGAGTGGCGCAAGAATGGCGCGGCTGAGTGACGCTATAACGGCTCTGGCTGAATGGCGCTAGAATGGCACAGGCTGAGTGGTGCTATAATGGCGCTGGCTGAGTCTCGCTATAATGGCGCTGGCTGAATGGTTCTATAATGGTGCAGACTGAGTCGCGTTGTAATGGTGCAGGCTGAGTGGCGCTATAATGGCGCTGGCTGAGTGGCGCTATAATGGTGTTATAATGGCGCTGGCTGAGTGGCGCTGTAATGGCGCAGGCTGAGTAGGCTCTAATGGCGTTAAGGGCAGACTGAGTGGCGCTATAATGGTGTTATCATGGCGCAGGCTGAGTGGCGCTGTAATGGCTCAGGCTGAGTGGGCTCTAATGGCGTTCGGGGCAGGCTGAGTGGCGCTGTAATGGTGTTATAATGGCGCTCGCTGAGTAGCGCTGTAATGGCGCAGGCTGAGTAGGCTCTAATGACGTTAGGGGCAGACTGAGTGGCGCTATAATGGCGTTATCATGGTGCAGGCTGAGTGGCGCTGTAATGGCATTATCATGGTGCAGGCTGAGTGGCGCTGTAATGGCGCAGGCTGAGTGGGCTCTAATGGCGTTCGGGGCAGACTGAGTGGCGCTATAAAGGCGCAGGCTGAGTGGCGCTATAATGGCTCAGGCTGAGTGGCGCTATAATGGTGTTATAATGGCGCAGGCTGAGTAGCACTATAATGACGTTAAGGGCAGACTGAGTGGCGCTTTAAGGGCGTTATAATGGCGCTGGTGGAGTGGCGCTATAATGACGCTGACTGAGTGGCGCTATAAGGGCATTATAATGGGGCTTGCTGAGTGGCGTTATAACGGTGTTATAATGGCGCTTGCTGAGTGGTATTATAATGGCACAGGCTGAGTGGTTCTATAATGGCGCTGGCTGAGTGGCGCTGTAATGGCGCAGGCTGAGTAGGCTCTAATGGTGTTCGGGGCAGGCTGAGTGGCGCTATAGTGGCGTTATAAAGGCGCAGGCTAAGTGGCACTATAATGGCTCAGGCTGAGTGGCGCTATAATGGTGTTATAATGGCACAGGCTGAGTAGCACTATAATGGCATTAGGGGCAGACTGAGTGGCGCTTTAAGGGCGTTATAATGGCGCTGGCGGAGTGGCGCTAGAATGACACTGAGTGGCGCTATAAGGGCATTATAATGGTGCTTGCTGAGTGGTGCTATAACGGTGTTATAATAGCGCTTGCTGGGTGGCGTTATAATGCCACAGGCTGAGTGGTTCTATAATGGCGCTGGCTGAGTGGCGCTATAATGGCGCGGGCTGAGTAGTGCTTTAATGGTGTTATAATGGTGCAGGCTGAGTGGCGTTACAATGGCGCTGGCTGAGTGGCGCTATAATGGCGCAGGCTGAGTAGTGCTATAATGGCGCAGGCTGAGTAGTGCTATAATGGTGCAGGCTGAATGGCGTTATAATGGCGTCATAATGGCACTGGCTGAGTGGCATTATAATGGCACAGGCTGAGTGGCTCTATAATGGCGTTCTAATGGCGCTGGCTGAGTGGCGCTATAGTGGCACTATAATGGCACAGGCTGAGGGGCGTTATAAGGATGCAGGTTAGAAGGAGAGAGAGCAGAAGCCCAGGGGTTACAGCCCGCGATGGTTAATAAATATCAGTTTGAACTGACTGGAACAAATAAACCAGACTTGATAATTAAATCTGTTATTTAGACAGGACAAGTATTAATAACATATCCTGTTTATATCATAAAGAAATATTTGCAAACCCCAATAATCATGACAAACATTACATTCTGTGAGAAACAGCCATGTGAGACAGTTCTTCTAGTGAGAGACCCTGTGAGACAGTTCACCCAGTGAGAGACCCTGTGAGACAGTACATTCTGTGAGAGACCCTGTGAGACAGTTCACCCAGTGAGAGACCTTGTGAGACAGTACATTCTGTGAGACAGCTCTTATAGTGAGAGACAACTCATCTAGAGAAAAACCCTGTGAGACAGCTCATTTGGTGAGAGATCCTATGAGACAGCTCTTCTAGTGAGTGTGTCACGGGTGGGAGTCTTCAGCATGGAAGTGGATTTATCAGGGCCTGGTTCAGGGTAACTGCACGTCCTCTGGTGTTGAGCACCAGCGTTTGCGTGGCCAGAACCCTGATGCAGCTACAGCGGATCCCAGGAGCTTGATATGCAGACCTCCCAGGAACTGGATAGGGGGGCTCTGCAGTAGACATGTATCCAGTACAGAAACAAGGCAAGGATAGAACAGGCACCAAACATGAAAACAAGACAGAACTAGTACAACCCAGAACCAGAGAAGGATAGGAAGCTAAACCCAGAACATGTACACAATACATAAGGGAACATTAACTAAACTGGGGCAGGACAGGACAGGACTGTACATGGACTGGGAATACAAACTAAAACAAGACAAGATATAATAGGCAAAACAAGAGGAGACATAACTAAGCACTATATATGAAAAGTATGGGGGTTTAGTTACATTATATGATCATACATTGCATAAGCCTGCCACAACGCCAATGTACCCGATATCTGGCAGGTCCTACACTGCCTAATGTTCGCTAAAAGAACCATACTAAACCACAATAGCACTTACCTGCAAGAAAGGGCAGAGACAGTGGCGTACATACCAGGGTCGCAAGGGTCGCAGCTGCAACGGGGCCCGGCCTAACAGGGGCACGGCCGCCCCTGCGACCCGGTATGTACCCACAGGGCCAGCCTCTTCTCCTGGGGGGTCCAGGAGGCGGCCACCTCAGGGCCCCCCGAGGCTGGCCCTGCTGTCCCTGGCGGGCGGGCTGGGTGGCTGGCGCGCGAGGGAGCACTCTTATCTGTGCGCTTCTTCTTCAGCTCTGATACCGGAGCCGGAAGATTACATCATCTTCCGGCGCCGGCATCCCTATGCGGCGCGCGAGGGAGTTGAAGAGGTAGCGCACAGAGGAGAGTGCACCCTCGCGCGCCAGCCACCCAGACAGCCAGCCAGCCCGCCCGCCTGCCGGGGTCAGCAGCACCACTGGACCCCAGGGAATCACCCCAGCTGGGGATCCCTCCGTCTCTCAGCTCCGAATGCACATGCGCGGCAAGAGGCGCGCGCATTTAAACCGCCCATAGGAAAGCATTACTCAATGCTTTCCTATGGACGTTCAGTGTCTTCTCACTGTGATTTTCACAGTGAGAATCGCAGAAGCTCCTCTAGCAGCTGTCAATGAGACAGCCACCAGAGGCTGGATTAACCCTCAGTGAACCATAGCCGTTTCTCTGAAACTGCTATGTTTTCAGCTGCAGGGTTAAAACTAGAGGGACCTGGCACCCAGACCACTTCATTGAGCTGATGTGATCTGGGAGTCTGTAGTGGTCCTTTAAGTGTGTGTGCATACCGCGGTCGCGGGGTCGCAGCCCTGCAACCCCTGCGACCAGGTGCCCGCTGCCATGTGTTGCGGCCCGACCTGCACCGAGTAAGCGCGGGGGGGGCCCACAGATCAATTTTTGCACCGGGGCCCCATGGGTCATGTGTACACCACTGGGCAGAGACTTGAAACACTGCTGCAGGTCCAGATTGAAACAAAAGGAAAATGGAAAACAAACTGGTGTGGCAACATAAAACAAACATTTAAATGAATCCACGAGACTGGGAAATCCAGGGACGGAATATAAGAATGAACCCAGAAACCCAGCATAAAGAAAATCAGACATGGAATAGAAAACCAGAAAAAAAGCTAAACAAGAATTGTAAAAAGAGTACTGGATACCAGAAGCCAAAGCCAGACATCTCCGCAGAACATGGCAGGATGTGACAGAGAGACCTTATGAGACAACTCATTCAGTGAGAGACCCTGTGAGACAGCTCATTCAATGAGAGACCCTGTGAGACTGTTCATTGAACAAGAGATCCTGTGAGACTCTTCATTGAACAAGAGACCATGTGAGACAGCTCATTCAATGAGAGACCCTGTGAGACAGCTCTCTAGTGAGAGACCTTGTGAGACTGTTCATTCAGTGAGAAACCCTGTGAGACAACTAAGCCAGAGAGAGACCCTATGAGAAAGCTCATCTAGTGAGATACTTTGTGAGACTGTTCAATGAGCGAGAGACCCGGTGCGATAGCTCATTCAATGAGAGACCCTGTGAGACAGCTCATCTAGGGAAAAACCCTGTGAGACAGCTCATTCAGTGAGAGACCATGTGAGATAGCTTATTCAGTGAGAGACCATATGACACAGTTCCTATGAGACAGCTCCTCTAGTGAGAGTCCCTGTGAGACAGCTCTTCTAGTGAGAAACCCTGTGAGACAGCTCATCTAGGGAAAGACCCTGTGAGACTGTTCCTTCAGTGAGAGACCCTATGAGACAGCTCATCTAGTGAGAGACCTTGTGAGACTGTTCATTCAGTGAGAGACCCTGTGAGACAGCTCATACGGAGAGAGACTCTGTGAGACCGCTCATCTAGTGAGAGACTCTGTGAGACTGTTCATTGAGCAAGAGACCCTGTGAGACAGCTCATTCAATGAGAGACCCTGTGAGACAGCTCTTCTAGTGAAAAACCTTATGAGACAGCTGATTCCTTTATGTTTGTCAGCAGGGGAGAGGGCATGACTTGAGGTGTATGCATCACAGAACGCAGGATGAAACAGATCTGCTTTGAATATTGTTTTAAATTTGATTATTTGCATTAAATCTAATGCTCAGAATAAATCATATTTAATGATAAGTAATTTAATAAGAGCCTCAATCAAATGACTGAATCATTAGTTTATGTTAATAACAGTTATAATATTTGCTTTAAATGATTCAACTGCTTATAAACTGTTACTGGAACAATTGCCTCAGATACAGGATGGACGCAAGAGCTGGCACTCATAAGCTCTATCATCAGTATGAATTTAACCCCAAAGAATTTTATGAGATGTACCTCTCACCGAACAGTAACTCCCAGCTTCAGGAGAACTATATTGTCTATACAATGAGACAACTGAATAACGAGATGTCATCAGGTAAAGCGAGTCGCCACTATCCATGCGTAGAGATATATTTTACAATTTACCTGAATATTCCAACCTTTCTTCATTCCCTCCTGGCTGTATTAACCCTTTAACCCCTTAAGGACACGTGACATGTCATGATTCCCTTTTATTCCAGAAGTTTGGTCCTTAAGGGGTTAATACAAACATGGGGTGTCTGCCCAAGCATTATCACAACATTGTGTTACCGCGTGGGCTCGGGCGCTTGGAGCACCAGATTGACATATTACTGCAGCAATTTGCACTTTGCCCACAGAGCTGACAATTAGACGGCTCCTTTCCTGCTTCCCAATATCCACTCAGTCCAACTTGTTGAAACTAGTTGAGAAAACTGTAAAATAAGAATTGCGGAAAAATAGTTGTAAAATCAGAAGCTGAAATGGATTTATTTATAAACTATTTGACCAGGAAAGATACATTTCCCTCGATTTCAAGAATGTCCTGGACCCTTCAAGTATGTAAAAAGCAATTTTAAATTAAAAAACAAAACTCCCCAGGTACCAAAACAACAAATTCTAAATAAAGTTGTTATGGTGCCAAACACTGTTAATATTGTCAACTAACAATTTTAGTCAGATTATAGTCGACTAAAACAATTCAGATTACTAAAATACGACTAAAACTAAAATGGCTTTTTAGTCAAAAGACTATGACTAAAACTAAATTGAAATTTGTCGCCAAAATTAACACTGGTGCCAAAAGGTCCCTGGCACTTTCTTGCCCCTAAAACATGAGCGGTTTAACCCTAAACTTGGCTCTCCAGTATCGGTACTTCTGTCCCCATCTACATCCGGTTTCTGACGCTCGAAGGCCATGAACAAAAAAATTTACATACGTAAGAGGATCACCAGGTACCATAACAACTTCTTTTTTACACTTTTATGGTGCCCTGACAGTCCCTTTAACTCTGTCTGAAGCGTCAAATTAGACAGTATTAAAGGGACAGTCAGAGCACTGTAACAATTCTATAATTAAGGTTCCTTATCAGATTTGTTGTCTGTTTGCAGGTCGTATCACGGGGGACAGAATGACAGAATTTACCATCGGCCCCGTGCTGTTTAAACTCCTGGTTTGCAGTGAATATTTTAAGGAAATTACGGTTTTAGAAAGTAACGCTCAGTGTAAAGTGGAGTTGGAGAAATGGCTGAATAAGGACGGAGACGCCTTGCAGATGAGACATATTACAGACATAGCTTGCACGCTGCAAGGAAAAAGGTACTTTTATTTAATACCGGATACAGAGCGTTGAAAGGAAACAGGGACATTTAATTGGGGCAGTGTGTACGTGGAATGGGGCAGTATGTAGGTGGATGGGGCAGTGTGTAGGTGGGATGGAGCAGTGTTTAGGTGGGATGGGGCAGTATGTAGGTGGATGGGGCAGTGTGTAGGTGGGATGGAGCAGTGTTTAGGTGGGATGGGGTAGTATGTAGGTGGGATGGGGCAGTGTGTAGGTGGGATGGGGTAGTATGTAGGTGGGATGGGGCAGTGTGTAGGTGGATGGGGCAGTGTTTAGGTGGGATGGGGCTGTATGTATATAGGATGGGGCAGTGTGTAGGTGGGATGGGGCAGTGTGTAGATGGACGGGGCAGTGTGTAGGTGGATGGGGCAGTGTGTAGATGTATGGGGCAGTGTGTAGGTGGATGGGGCAGTGTGTAGATGGATGGGGCAGTGTGTAGATGGATGAGGAAGTGCGTAGTTGGGATGGGGCAGTGTGTAGGTGGATGGGGCAGTGTGTAGGTGGATGAGGCAGTGTGTAGGTGGGTGGGGCAGTGTGTGATGACAACGATATCATTAGTGAAAGTGCAGTTGTTGTGTAAAAAATGCAAAAAAAAAATATGAACGCTAACTTTGGCCAGGGTTTGTGACTAAGTGGCTACTAAAAAAGAAAGGACATATCCCATTTTGAATACCCTGGGTTGTCTACTTTTTAAAATGGTATGTCATGGTGGTGGTAATTCTCATTCCTAGGCTACGATCCAGTCTACAAGGCAGCGTAACCAATCTGGCAAATTTCAATGTGTAAAAACAGAAATGTGGATGGGGCAGTGTGTAGGTGGATGGGGCAGTGTGTAGGTGGGACTTGCCTGACAACCAAGGCAGAAAGCCAGAGAATTTAATTTGCAAGCCCTATATTTAACTCTGTAACTTCCCACCATAAAGCCTGTACATGGGGGTACTGTTTTACTCATCGGACTATGCTGAAAACAAATATGAGTGTTTTAAAACGGTAAAACATATGATGACAACGATATCATTAGTGAAAGTGCAGTTGTGTAAAAAATGCAAAAAAAAAAATATGAACGCTAACTTTGGCCAGGGTTTGTGACTAAGTGGCTACTAAAAAAGAAAGGACATATCCCATTTTGAATACCCTGGGTTGTCTACTTTTTAAAATGGTATGTCATGGTGGGGGTAATTCTCATTCCTAGGCTACGATCCAGTCTACAAGGCAGCGTAACCAATTTGGCAAATTTCAATGTGTAAAAACAGAAATGTGGATGGGGCAGTGTGTAGATGGGATGGGGCAGTGTGTAGGTGAATGGGGCAGTGAGTAGTTGGATGGGGCAGTGTGTAGGTGGGATGGTGCAGTGTGTACATGGGACGGTGCAGTGTGTACGTGGGATGGGGCAGTGTGTAGATGGGATGAAGCAGTGTGTACGTGGGATGGGGCAGTGTGTAGATGGGATGGGGCAGTGTGTAGGTGGATGTGGCAGTGTGTAGCTGGATGGGGCAGTGTGTAGGTGGATGGGGCAGTGTGTAGCTGGATGGGGTAGTGTGTAGGTGGGACGGTGCAGTGTGTAGGTGGGATGGGGCAGTGTGTAGGTGGGACGGGGCAGTGTGTAGATGGGATGGGGCAGAGTGTAGGTGGATGGGGCAGTGAGTAGGTGGATGGGGCGTGAGGTGGGATGGTGCAGTGTGTACGTTGGATGGGGCAGTGTGTAGATTGGATGAAGCAGTGTGTACGTGGGATGGGGCAGTGTGTAGATGGGATGGGGCATTGTGTAGCTGGATGGTGTAGTTTGTAGGTGGGATGGTGCAGTGTGTACGTGGGATGGGGCAGTGAGTAGGTGGATGCGGCAGTGTGTAGGTGGGATGGTGCAGTGTGTACGTGGGATGGGGCAGTGTGTAGATTGGATAAAGCAGTGTGTACGTGGGATGGGGCAGTGTGTACGTGGGATGGGGCAGTGTGTAGGTGGGATGGTGCAATGTGTACGTGGGATGGGGCAGTGTGTAGGTGGAATGGGGCAGTGAGTAGGTGGATGGGGCAGTGTGTAGATGGAATGGGGCAGTGTGTACGTGGGATGGGGCAGTGTATAGGTGGGATGGAGCAGTGTGTAGGTGGAATGGGGCAATATATAGGTGGCATGGGTCAGTGTGTACGTGGGATGGGGCAGTGTGTAGGTGGAATGGGGCAGTATGTAGGTGGAAGGGGCAGTGTGTAGGTGGGATGGAGCAGTGTGTACGTGGGATGGTGCAGTGTGCAGGGGGAATGGGGCAGTGTGTACGTGGGATGGGGCAGTGTGTCGGTGGGATGGGGCAGTGTGTAGGTGGATGGGGCAGTGTGTAGCTGGATGGGGCAGTGTGTAGGTGGATGGGGCAGGGTGTAGGCGGATGGGGTAGTGTGTAGGTGGGATGGTGCAGTGTGTAGGTGGGATGGTGCAGTGTGTAGGTGGGGTGGGGCCGTGTGTAGATGGGATGGGGCAGTGTGTAGGTGGATGGGGCAGTGAGTAGGTGGGATGGTGCAGTGTGTACGTGGGATGGGGCAGTGTGTAGATTGGATGAAGCAGTGTGAACGTGGGATGGGGCAGTGTGTAGATGGAATGGGGCAGTGTGTAGCTGGATGGGGTAGTTTGTAGGTGGGATGGTGCAGTGTGTACGTGGGATGGGGCAGTGAGTAGGTGGATGCGGCAGTGTGTAGGTGGGATGGTGCAGTGTGTACATGGGATGGGGCAGTGTGTACGTGGGATGGGGCAGTGTGTAGATTAGATCAAGCAGTGTGTATGTGGGATGGGGCAGTGTGTAGATGGGATGGGGCAGTGTGTAGATGGGATGGGGCAGTGTGTAGCTGGATGAGGTAGTGTGTAGGTGGGATGGTGCAATGTGTACGTGGGATGGGGCAGTGTGTAGGTGGAATGGGGCAGTGAGCAGGTGGATGGGGCAGGGTGTAGGTGGGATGGGGCAGGGTGTAGGTGGGATGGGACAGTGTGTACGTGGGATGGGGCAGTGTGTAGGTGGGATGGGCAGTGTGTAGGTGGGATGGGGCAGTATGTAGGTGGCATGGGGCAGTGTGTACGTGGGATGGGGAAGTGTGTAGTTGGAATGGGGCAGTATGTAGGTGGATGGGGCAGTGTGTAGGTGGAATGGGGCAGTGTGTAGATGGGATGGAGCAGTGTGTACGTGGGATGGTGCAGTGTGCAGGGGGAATGGGGCAGTGTGTACGTGGGATGGGGCAGTGTGTAGGTGGGATGGGGCAGTGTGTAGGTGGAATGGGGCAGTGTGTAGATAGCTAAGAGGGGGTTTTATAGTGAGATTTGTATTTATTTGACACTGAAACAATAGTAGAATTAGTAAGAGTTTCACGTGGTTCCAGGGATATCATGTAATGATTCCTAAAATGCTGTCATTTCACAGTTTAGCGGAACTTCTGCTTTGCATGTTTCAGGGACGGGTGGAAGGAAAAGGAAGAGAAGACGAGGAGTCGAATCAAACAGATTCTAATGTGCGACTTTACCAAGGAGAATCCCACTGATCCCATCACCGTGCCAAAGTCGGATTGCTTCGTTTGTATATGGACCCTGGAAGCGATTAGCCAAACGCAGAGCGAATTCCAAAGAAACCTGAAAAAATGTGCCGCTCTTCTAAAGCTAGGCGGACACCTGCTGTATTTCGGGGTGTTTAATGGAAAGTATTTTTGGGTGGGAAAACACAAATTCCATATTTTATCCTATGACGAGGTGTTTTTAAGACAGGCGTTGGCAGACTGTGGGTTCCTTATTCAGTGTCTGGAGCTAACAGAAGGCAAAGGAGGTGAGGGGCTGATAGATTCTGGCCACATAGTTTATGTCAGGGCTGTGAAGGTGAAGGAAGAATAAAAAAATCATAAAATATTGAGTCGATTTGGGGGTATACAGAGCACCTTCATCTCAATTCAAATAGCTTGTTATGGGAAAAAGATAAATAACTTAAGAAAGTAATAAAAAGCGTAATAAACTGATTAACCACTAAGTAAGGCAGATATCTCCCCTCCACAACTAAAGGCTCACTCCTACTATTTGTATTATATTTCATATTGCCCTATCGGGTGCTTGTAGCTTGGTCACTCCCCTTTTTTCTTTTTTTAAATAAAAACACTCTGCATAAGATCAACAAACTTACCTTTAACCCCTTAAGGACGGAGCCAAATGTACACGTTGTGAACAAAACAAAACGTAAACAAAACCTGGCATTTGCGCTACATGTCTGTCCAACCGTAATTCACCTCTTTCATATTAAATACACCCACCCTTATTATATATCATTTTATTCAGGGGAAACAGGGCTTTCATTTAATATCAAATATTTAGCTATGAAACATAATTTAATATGAAAAAATGGGAGAAAATAAGAATTTTTTAATTGTTTTAGTTCTACATGACATTTTAACTGTGAATGTCATAATACTGTTTGCTTTTACTGCAATAAAATACACATATTTGTATTCAGCAAAGTCTCACGTGTAAAACAGTACCCCCTATGTACAGGTTTTATGGCGGTTTGGGAAGTTACAGGGTCAAATATAGCACATTACATTTGAAATTGAAATTCGCCAGATTGGTTACATTGCCTTTGCGACTGTATTGTAGCCCAGGAATGAAATTTACACCCATAATGGCATACCATTTGCAATAGTAGACAACCCAAGGTATTGCAAATAGGGTATGTCAAGTCTTTTTTAGTAGACATTGTATTTGTTTGTGTGTGAAAAATGCAAAAAACGGCAATTTTGGACAGTGTTTGTGACTAAGTGGCTACTAAAAAAGACTGGACATACCCCATTTGCAATACCTTGGGTTGTCTACTATTGCAAATGGCATGCCATCATAGGGGTAATTTTCATTCTTGGGCTACCATAGGCAACGTAACCAATCTGGCGAATTTTAATGTGAAAAAAATGAAACGCAAGCCTTATATTTGACGCTGTAACTTTTGAAAACACCATAAAACCTGTACATGAGGGGTACTGTTGTACTCGGGAGACTTCGCTGAACACAAATATTTGTGTTTCAAAACAGTAAAAAGTATCACAGCAATAATATTGTCCGTGTAATGCTGTTTGTGCGTGAAAAATGCAAAAAACTTCACTTTTACTGGCGATATCATCGTTGTAATACATTTTACTGTTTTGAAACACTAATATTTGTGTTCAGCGAAGTCTCCCGAGTAGAACAGTACCCCCCATGTACAGGTTTTATGGTGTCTTGGAAAGTTATAGGGTTAAATATAGTGCTAGCAAATTAAATTCCCTTTACTTTCGGTATGGGTTGTCAGGCAGGTCCCGCTAATTGTAATTAATTAAGATACCTAATTATGTAAAAATATTACATAAATATATATGTAGAATTAATAAATGGATATATATATATATACACAAAAAAAATTACCGGCACTCTAGGAGTTTCCAATCTTAGATATTCTTTTATTCCAAAAACAACGTTGTTTTGACTTTGTTGTTGACGTTGTTTTTGGAATAAAAGAATATCTAAGATTTGAAACTCCTAGAGTGCCAGTAATTTTTTGGGGGATATGTTACTATGGCGACCAGAGCACCAGGTATCATTTGTTCCGTTTGGTTGGAGTGTAGGAATTTGTTCTGTTTTGTATATATATATATATATATATATATTTTAAAATATTTTTATCTACATATAGGTATATATATAGTGATATATACGTATATATTTATGTAAATAGATATATATTATTTAGTTCTACGTGTATTTTGATATAAATATATATATTAACATCACAATACAGTTAGAACTAAATAACACACATCTATATATTTTTAAATTATTTATTTTAAATTTTTTAAAAATTTTATTTTCTAACGTATTTACATTTTTTTATATTATATTTAAATATATATTGTAGCGGATCGGCAATATTAAATCCCACGAATTCCGTTGGTACACACAGTAATCCACAGTCAGCGCTGAAAAGCAAGGCAATATCCCAAATCTCCCAGTAACCGGACGAAACACAGTTCTGGGAGTCAACTGAGGTCTTTATTTGCAGCTCCAGTATTTATGCAAGTCCCCATGCAAGGGGTTTCCATACTGACTTAGCAGGGGTAACACAGTAGGGGACTACATGGGGGACTTCACATTCTGGGCATTTCTCCCATCAGGCACTGCCACACGAGAGGGATACTCCCACTGGAATATACCGTTAAGTGGATTATCCCTCCGTGCAGCAGAACCGGCAATTTATTTTAAAATGTATAACTTCCTTAATACTTGGTCGATTTACACGAATGGACGTTGGGTAGATAGCTGGGGTCTGAGCACATCATTCGTGAGATTACCGCCCAGATCCCAGCTAAAACAACCGAACGCCGCACGAAAAACATTGTAATTGGAACATATGCTTAAAAGCCCGATTGGCAAACGGGGAGTAAAATACCGAAAAGCCCGGAGCTCCCGAACGGCCTGGAAGCCCAGCGGTGTTCGCTGTTTTCAGTACCACGCGCTCGGCGGACGAACACCGCTGGAGAGACAAAAGGATCCAAGATGGCCGACCGCCGTGTGGTCGGTAGTCGAACGACGGCCACCTAGGAGAGTCTCTAATTGCAGATTGCAACATTGTTGCAATCAGTTAACAAGCGCCACACGTCTCTTAGTGTGTGGGCTATTACAGGATAGTTAATTCGGTTCACGAACAGCCCGCAAAGGTGAAACGAAATAGAAAATGACTACCTGCTTTCCGCAGATAGCTAATACTGGCAATACGGCACACAGATACAGCATAGTACAACCAGGCACATATACAATTGTAATGAATATACAGGCAACCCTTAAAAACATTGTCTCTGTTTAGTCCAAGTGGCTAGGTTTGCCACATATATATATAACAATAATTATATATATATATATATATATTTAATCAGTATCAGTCTACGTGTAATTTGATATGAATATATATATATATATATATAATTCTATATATATTAATAGTATAATACACCTAGACAGTGTATGTGTGTGTATGTATATGTGTATATATATACTTAGATCTAAGTATATTATTTTATTTTTTTACACTTTTTAACTTTAATTTTATTTTATTTCCAGCCAGCAGGGGGACTACCTGTCATTACAGGCAGTCCCCCTACTGGCAATGCAGCAGGCAGCTAACCCGGCCATGTGATTGTGAGGTCCTCGCAAGGACCTCACTCTCACATGGCCGGAGGGGGGGCTGCAGGAGGAAGGATCTGCCGTGGGGGACTCCCTGGGAGTCCCCCCAACCGCGATCGTCGGCATGGGATCGCTGGCTACCGGGAAAGTAAAAAAAAAACGGAGAGCGTACTATTATGCCCTGCACCGTTTAGAGCCGCTTAGAATAGGGCGTAATAGTACGCCCTCCGGTCTTAAGGGGTTAAAGGGACACTATAGTCACCCAGACCACTTCAGCTCAATGAAGTGGTCTGGGTGCTAGGTCCCTCAGGTTTTAACCCAGAGAAACTGCTATGTTATCATTTGAGGTTAAGCCAGCCTCTAGTGGCTGTCTAGCCTCTAGTGGCTATGCCTCCATCGCGCAGAGCGTCCATAGGAAAGCATTGAGAAATTGACAACTTTCCTATTGACACCTTCGAATGTGCGCATTCGGCTCCGCTGACGTCACGGGGAGGAGAGGTCACCAGCGCCGAGGGAGCCTGGCCCTGGAATAAGGTAAGCTGCTGAAGGGGTTTTAACGGAAGGGGGACCCTGAGGGTGGGGGCACCCTCAGGGCACTATAGTGTCAGGAAAACAATTTTGTTTTCCTGACACTATAGTGATCCTTTAATGACATTAATCATATCATGATCATTATCAAAAATAACGAAAAACATTATATATATATATATATATATATATATATATAATTACATAATATACTTTAATAATATATATATTTAAATTCTATGTGTAATCTTTTCACATAATTATGGGATTTTACCAATTTACCAATTTGAGGGACTTGCCTGACAACCCAGGCAGAAAGCCAGAGAATTTAATTTGCAAGCCCTATATTTAACTCTGTAACTTCCCACCATAAAACCTGTACATGGGGGTACTGTTTTACTCATCGGACTATGCTGAACACAAATATGAGTGTTTTAAAACGGTAAAACGTATGATGACAATGATATCATTAGTGAAAGTGCAGTGTAAAAAATGCAAAAAAAAAATATGAACGCTAACTTTGACCAGGGTTTGTGACTAAGTGGCTACTAAAAAAGAAAGGACATATCCCATTTTGAATACCCTGGGTTGTCTACTTTTTAAAATGGTATGTCATGGTGGGGGTAATTCTCATTCCTAGGCTACGATCCAGTCTACAAGGTAGCGTAACCAATCTGGCAAATTTCAATGTGTAAAAACAGAAATGTGAAAGCCTTATATTTGACTCTGTAACTTTTCAAAACCCAATAAAACCTGTACATAGGGGTTACTGTTGTACTCATGAGACATCGCTGAACACAAATAAGTGTATTTTATTGCAGTAAAAGCAAACAGTATTATGACATTCTCAGTTAAAATACCACTCAGTACTAAGAAAATAATAAAATTTCTTAATTTATTAGTTTTTATTCCAATAAAATTATGTTTCATATCTATATAATTGATGTAAAATGAAACCCCTATTTCTCCTGTATAAAATGATATATAATAAGTGTGGGTGCATTTAATATGAAAGAGGTGAAATACGGTTTAACAGACATATAGCGCAAATTCCAGGTTTTGTTTACGACTTGTTTTGATCGGAACGTGTACAATTGTCTCAGTCCTTAATGGGTTAATAGAAATGTAAACGAAAACCGAGAATCCCATGAAACGAAGGTTAACACAAGTTCCAGGTGATTTCCAATGGTGGGAATGCTAATTTGGTGCGAGTTTCCCTTTATTTGTGGAGTCTTACCTTACGCGTTATTTAATCTATAATCTATTGGTGAGCGCCGATCATTTTGTTTTAATCAGATGTACCTGGATCTTGCTTTGCTTTGTTTTGTATACTTTGCTCTGTTTTGGGTTGTGTGGTTTAGTATAACAATATATATTTGTAATAAACATATTAATCAGCAAACGTATTAATAAACAGTATAATAAACAGGCTTATTACTGTACTAAACCCCAATTCCTTGTCTCTCGTCATTCATTTTGGTCTGAGGATCCAGTTATTTGAGATTATCCTCTTTGGTAACAATCTCATCACATCTTTACATCACACAGTGCTCCCAGACAGACACACTGCAGGATTTCATTTCTTTTCAAATACATAAAACATGAGGTTCTCTTTTTTTAATTTAGTCTGCTATGTCTTGTCCCAAAGTTGTAAGTTTGTGTCAGTTTCGTGTCAGTTTCCTCTGTGTGTAACTATTATGTGTGTATTATACTTTCAATTTGTAACTTTTATGCTTTAGATTAATAATTCATACACTCCTTTTTCCATACTGCACCCCAGATTCCCTACAGTACCCCGGATTCCATATTGTATCCCAGATTCCCTCCAGCACCCCAGATTCCATATTGTATCCCAGATTCCCTCCAGCACCCCAGATTCCATATTATATCCCAGATTCCCTCCAGCACCCCAGATTCCATATGGTATCCCAGATTCCCTACAGCACTCCAGATTCCCTACTGTACCCCAGATTCCCTACTGTACCCCAGATTCCACACAGCACCCTAGATTCCATATTGTGCCCCAGATTCCATACAGCACCCCAGATTCCATACAGCACCCCAGACTCCATACTGTACCCCACATTCCCTACTGTACCCCACATTCCATACAGCACCCCAGATTCCATACTGTGCCCCAGATTCCATATAGTATTTCAGGATTCATACATTACTTTAAGATCTATTTTGTCTAAAGTTGTATTTTCTTTAATAATTGCACGTTGACAGAATGAGTAGAAAGTAATTCATACATTTATTTTACAGCAGCAAATTGTAGATAAAGTATTTATTGTTTTACATAATGACATAATTATTTACTACAAACATTTCCTAAAGATGATGAGAAATGAGAATGGTAACTGGATGGTTATCGCGGTCCTGAAGGACTTTCCTCCTTTACGATGGCTGTCACCGGACTGTGGGGGACAATGTGGCAGAATACAAAACCATTCTCCTGAAATGCCTTCTTCAGTTCCATCTTGAAATGAAGAGACACAATTTAGGATTTTTGCTTCATAAACACAGGTTTGATTAAGTTATTGAATAGAAGACATTCCATACCAGTTTATTTGGATGGAGGCACAATCCGATCACTGCTCCCCCACTGCCAGGAAGTTTCACAGCGGAGCCGTGCTACAGAAAAACAGCAGCTTATAATAATCAGAATGATCTATTACAGAACAAAACAGCAGACTCTGTGTTACATCATTACTAGACAAACACCAAACAACTCCATTGGACATGTAACAATCCTGTCCATTCTACATGGTTACAGGAACTTCACAGATACATCCATAGAACAGACAGAGATATATTTATTTATTGAATTCAGGAGGGAGGGGGTTATTTTCTTCACTTTGACTATAAAAACATCGAGAAAGTGGATAAAAACAAAAAAACAATCCTGCCCCCAACAATAAAAACAAACAGCAAAACAAAACCAAACAGACAGTGTATCCAATGATTTAATTGCTGCTAATTCCAGTGGGTGCTCCTCTCTCCTATTTCTACCTGTCCTCTCCTGATCTCTCATCGTCCATCTTGACTCATGTCCCTAACTGCCTCTCTGATATTTCCAACTGGATGGCTGCTCACTTCCTTAAACTCAACCTGTCCAAAACTGGTCTTTTCTCTCTCAAATGTTGCTGCTCCCTCCAAGTCAACGGCGCCACCATCAGCTCTACCTCCCAGGCTCACTGCCTAGGTGTTCTCTCCGACTTCAACCTCTCCGTCACCCCTCATGTCCAATCAATTGCCAAATCCTGCTGCTTCCATCTCAGACACTGCTCACATCTACCCCCATCTAATGCCGGATACGGCCATGGTGCTGGTCCTCTCTCGCCTTGGCCCATTGCAGTCTATAATGAATGTGGCAGCGAGGTGAGTCTTCCTACCCACCCACGCCTTACCCCTCTGTCAGTCCCTACACTGGCTTCCCATAAGATACAGGGTTCAATTTAAAATTCTGGTGCTTGCTAACAAATAGCTGCACAACGCTGCTCCCACCGACCTATCCTCACTTATAAACAAGTATGTCCTGTCTAGGCCGCTACAGTCTGTCAAAGACCTACGTCTAACCTAACCCGTTTGTACTCCCACCTCTGATGCTCACCTCCAAGATTTCTCCACGCCTGCACTGTTCCTGTGAAACTTCCCTCCCTGCTCTGTTAGACGTTCACCCAGTCTCCACTCCTTCAAAAAATCATTGAAAACTCACTTCTTCAGGAAAGCGTGTCAATCAAACAATAAGAGCTTTCCCTCCCCACATCTTAGTAACCGGCTCTACTTCCTCACCTGCACTAAAGCACTACGGAATCTGTTGGCGCTATATAAATTGCAATAATAATAATAACTGTGTTATCCAATAAACTAACCCTTTCACTGTAAAAGATTCCAATAAAATACTTTTTTCCATTAATGAAATGCATCCCAACCTTTCCTCTAGTTTGAGCAGGCGCTTAACACCCTCTGTTCATGTGCATCTAACTCGTCTGGTTACAAAAACATGTCTGTTAGTCCACCCATTGTACTGCGCTACAGAATTTGTTGGCACTTTATAAATTATAAGTGGAAACATTTAAATTTACAACCTATAACGGACTAATGCTGAGCTACCCAAATTTAGCCACTAGGTGTCACTGCAGCATCCTAGAATTACTATGTTGTATTTTGAGTAGAAGCATAAGCGGTCACTTCTCTAGAATTTAAACCATTGAACAAACCTTGAAAATCACCTATAACTTGAGTAAACCACATTTTTCACGAGTTGCTCCGTGTTCTTTAAAATTTATGTTACAGATTTAGCAAATGACATCATAGTACAGTTCAGGCAAGGCACAGGCAGGGCACACAATGCAAACGAAGAGGAGAAATATTAACATTGTTTCATTTCTCCTCCTCTCTGTAAGCTCTCTCTATGGAATCAACGCTTCCAGAAGAGAAGAATCTGAGTGGCGATGCACGGTGGTTGTCATGCTTGTGCCACAGGTCAGCCTGAGAATGGCTGATAGGAGACTATTACATCACAGCTGCATTTTACAACTTGAATTATCTTAATTATTAAAGGCAGAGGGTGAATCGAATACAATAAAGGAAAATACTAAGGTTAAAGGAACACTCCAGGCACCATAACAACTTCAATGACTGGATTTTAGGGTTAAACCAGCGTTTGTCAAGGTAAGCCGGCGCCAGGGACCACCTAGCACCATAACAACTTAATTCCAATGAATGAGTGTTTCTTTAAAAATATATTTATGTTGTTATTGATCAAAAGGATAGAAATCAAACAAAATGAATAAACACACAAGTTATAGGTGACTCTCAATATCGTATTGAACACTGACATTTCCGTACAAGTGACAGAATATATATATACACACACACACACCCATATGTAGATGTAGTAGAATACGCCTAAAATATAAATATAAAAAATAACATAGTGTGAACTGTTTAAAATACTTTGTGTAAAATAAATATAGGACTACCACTCACATGGCTCAGAGCCGTACCGGGCTCTGTATAGCCGGCTCAAGGGTGTTATATACGTTATTTAAACTAATTGTTCTGTTTCCTATACCGAGATACAAGTAAAAGTATCGGAACTATTGAACTAATGCTATGTTCCGGCGGGACTCCTAATCACATTGAACGCTGCGTTCCATACGTGCGTTCCACCGAGACGTGAGAGGAAGTGGCGTCAAGCACAAAACCGGAAGTGACGTTCCGTGATTCGAAAACTGCACACAGGTGATTGTAAGAAGATGGGACATAAAAAGACGAACATTTGAACTGATCATCAGCACTGGAAGGCGGCTTACCGGGTGAAACGCGTCTGCTGTATTTTTATATTATATATTGTTTTGATACTCCGGGTTACTGTCTTTGTGGTGGTGAGTGGACCCTGTTTTTTTACCATTTGGATTTATGCACTTTTAGTTCCACTACCATTCTAGTAAAATACCTTGAGTTTTAATGTTATACTTAAATAAAGTTCATTTTTGACTACACATCTGAAGTCCCATCTTCTGCTACTTTATCAGTGAATTGAAAAGCCAGTATTGGCACCCTCGAGCCGGCTATACAGAGCCTGGTACGGCTCTGAGCCATGTGAGTGGTAGTCCTATATTTATTTTAGACAAAGTGTTTTAAACAGTTCACACTATGTTGTTTTTTATATTGATATTTTAGGCGTATTATATTACTACATCTACATATAGATGTAGTAACTTATTATTCAACCCATTGGGATTTGTGTATACAGGGCCGGCGCCACCTGTAAGGCGACCTAGGCAGCCGCCTAGGGCGCAACTTAGCAGGGGGCGCGGAACGCGGGACAGGAACCTCTGTTTCCTGTACCCGGCCGCCGGCGGAATGACAGGAAGTGCTCACTGAGTGAGCACTTCCCTTCAGTCCGCCGGCGGCCGGGTACAGGAAACAGAGGTTCCTGTCCCGCGTTCCGCGCCGCCCGGCCACGCTACATAGGCAGGAGGGGGTAAGGACCATTAGGGGAGTGGGGAGGGACTAAGGACCATTAGGGGGAGTGGGAGGGAGCAAGGACCATTAGGGGTGGAGAGGAGTAAGGACCATTAGGGAGGGGGGGGAGTGGGAGGAGCAAGGACCATTAGGGGTGGGGGAGTGAGGCGACCATTATTAGGGGAGGGACTAAGGACCAGGGGGTGGGGAGGGAGAGTGAGCAAGGACCATTAGGGGTGGGGAGGCACCATTAGGGTGGGGAGTAAGGACCATTAGGAGGGGAGTGGGGGAGGGAGTAAGGACCATTAGGGAGGGGAGTGGGGAGGAGCAAGGACCACAGGGGAGGGGGGGAGTGGGAGGGATAAGGACCATGGGGAGTGGGGAGTAAGGACCACAGAGGAGGGGAGTAAGGACCATTAGGGAGTGGGAGGAGTAATGACCATTAGGGAGGGGGAGTATGACCATTAGGGAGGGGGAGTAAGGACCACTAGGGATGGGGGAGTGGGGGGAGTAAGGACCATTAGGGGAGTGGGGGGGAGTAAGGACCACTAAGGGGGAGAAGGACCACCAAAGGGGGGTAAGGAGGGAGGACCACTAAGGGAGGGGGAGGGTAATGACCACTGAGGGGGGGGGATTACCACTAAGGGGGTGGGGGGAGGAGGGGAAGGTCTACTAAGGGGTTTGGGAGAGGGAGGACCACTAAGGGAAGGGATGGAGGACCACTAAGGGAGAGAGGGGGGAGTGAGAAGACCACCAAGGGGGACTGCAGAGGGACAGGGGGCCAAGGGAGAGCACTAAGGGACAGAAGGGGTAGAACACGGAGGGACAGGAGGGAAGGGGAAATCAATAATTGACAGGAGGGGAGAGCACTATGAAATTTTTTTTTAAAAATAAAGAGCTGTTCCCCTCTCAGTCCCTATCCTACCCCACAAACCCTCTCTTTTACACTACACACAAACACAATGCATCCCCCCCCCACACACACACAGAAACATACAATGCATTCCTACTCACACACAGACACACCCGAAACACACAATGCATCCCTTACGTTCACACAAACACTCATTCTCTTACACACAGAAACAAAATGCATCTCTTACACAATCAATGCACCCCTTCCAGACACACACTGCATTCAATTACATACACAGAAACACACCTTGCACCCCTTACACACACAGAAACATACAATGCATTCCTTACACGCAAACACACACTGCATCCCCTATAAACACACTACATCCCTTATACAAATTGGTATCCCTATACACTAGATTGTATAAGAACACACACATTGCATCCTCTACAATAACACATAAAACATCCCTTACACACATACACTACACTTCTTGTGAGAGAACTCATGGGTGGGCCATGTAGGTATTTATGGGTGGGCATTGTAGGCATACTCATGGTCAAGCCCTGGGGGCCCAGACCTTGAGCTGTGTAAGGGGCCCTAAAAAATGGAGCTGCTTCCTGTTCGTTAATTGTTGTGAGCTCTGTTAAAAACAGTCTCCAGAGAGCCTCTTCTACACCAGACCTGTGGAGCCAGACTGAGCCCATCATCAGCCTCTTGTCCTCATCTGGTGGTAAGTAGGCAATCCAATATATTATTAGTGGCACTAATCTCACATTAAATGGATACTATAGTCACCAGAAGCACTACAGCATAATGTAGTGGTTCTGGTGTCTATAGCCTGTGCCTGTAGGCTTTTTAATGTAAACACACTGTCTTTTCAGATAAAAGACACTTTGTGAAGACTGGCGTTGGCCCATATGGGCGGGGCATTGTGATGTTACATGGTGGGCAGGACATGGGGGGGGGGGGGCGGCAAATTTTTATTTGCCTAGGGCGGCAAAAATCCTTGCACCGGCCCTGTGTCTATACACTGATATTTAACTCTGTTTTTGGTATTCCATGGTTACAGTGTTAGGGAAGCATTATTATTATATCAGTCACACAACCCACTTAACTTTGCTCACGTGTATTTATTCTATTCTGAAGCGCCTTACACACTGCATTCTTATCCATACATATACACACGCTTATACAAAAATAAAAATAAAATTGCTATGCACGGTTTCCCAGGGAACAGATTTTCTGACAATCACTTCTTTTAGTGGTGGCTTTTGATGTGATAAAGTATAATCAGCCGGTATTGGTGCCCACGGCTGACGCTGATTGTGGTGGCGGACACAAAGTAAAATAATTCTTTAATCTCAGCACTCGGATATATTGATTACCTGCTTTGCAATCTCTATCATTTTCAGATTCCCTTCTCCCAGGCATGAGTCTGTAAAAATAGATCTGACAAAGAAAAAAAGAACGATTGTCAAATCCTGATCTCTCCAAAGAGGCAATAATGAGTTAATACAGCTGGATGGGCCTGGTTTTATAGGTTTTATATAATATGTGGGGACACACCTAGCTGGTACAGAGCACCCCTCACTCAGCAAACAGCTTCACATTTAATTAAAAATAAATTGTGTTTATTGCAAAAATCCATGTTAGGATGCAAGGAGACAGAAAATATATATTTTTTTCAATCTAAGGTATTTGTTTTGCTGTAGGTCATTAATGAACTTTTGATATATGTTTGCTATATATATAATATATATATATATATATATATAAAGTGTGAATATAAAGATAAGTTACTCCGCTTACTTACACCAGATTTAAAGTGAAATTACTTTGTTTGTAGAACTTTGTGTACGTTATAAAGATCGTATTAATCCCCGTAATAAAGTGCTTTGTATGTACAGATCGAGTACACGCACGTTTACACAAAAACATCGGCCTCTTATCCCATTATTTCTTTTCTAACTGGATCTCGTTTTCTGGTCGTCTCGACTATTACACATAGCAATGAAAGAAAGGCCAGCTGTAACGGCCAATAGGATTAGAAACACAATCCTTTCGCAATCATTAAAAAGTGAGCTCTAAGAGCATTCTACCAGATAAGACGCTAGGAATTAGCATAAGACTTTAAACCCTCTAACACAGAATTAAGTTTCCTTAAAATCATGGGAACGGAGATTCTGAAACTTATGTAAGAAAGTATCTTTGGTTCAGACGCAGCATTATATCGATACAATGTCTCACGTTTTCGGGGATTTATGGAATCGACCTGATCAGGTGCCCCCTGTATAAAGCCCCAGAAATATAGGTCATTATCAAACTATATACATGCCTCCCAAGTGTCAACAGTCCCTATTTTGGGATTTCTGTGCTAATGTCGCTCTTTTCTAGGAGCTCCATATTGTTGGTGTGTCTGAGTGTATAATGGAGCTCCACAGCAGGGGGCGGGGCCTGATAGCCAAGATGGCCGGACGCGCCATCAGCTCCGGCTCAGGCAAGCAAAAAAAAAAAAACGGTCTTACGGTTTGATCCTATATCGAACACTGCTATACGGAACCGGAGGTTCGCTTCGCAATCCAGCGTCAATGCGGGAATACCCATTTTGTCCAGCAGCACTGACCGGCTCTGCACCTCTGCTTTGCACCCTAGCACACAGCGTGGCCCGACATCTAGGGGAGGAGGCCGATCCCCTGACACGGGACATGCTCTTAATAGAGGCACAACTGCAGCCTCGCTGCCACCCCCCCTCTCGAACCCTTTTGGGGTTATCCTGGTCCCCGCTTGCTACACTCGCCTCCACATCAGGGGAGACTATACAGCAGCTGCAAGACTCACCTAAGATGGCTGCTCCTCCACAACCTCTGCAGAAACCTTCTGCATCTCCTGGGGGCAAGCTGACGCACTATTTGCAGACTTTTGGTGCAAACTGGCACACCATCTCCTGGAACCTGCTCAAGGCAACCACAGTGCTGATCCACGTCAGGGTGGCCAGGTGAAGCAGACAATGGCAGCCAGGCCAATATCGCAGCGCTATTATACCAGAACACCTGGACTTACCTCTGCCCCTAAGTCACAGAGCAGAGTGGATGCTGGAGAGGCCCTTCCTTCTTCTGGACCGGTGGTCCATTTGGAAATACATCCGACTCACCGACCATATACCCAGAGGGGTCTCCATAAATCGGGGCTCCTGCGGGCCCATGGTCCTACCGCACGTCGATGGGAGACCCATGGTCACGGGGTAGTGACTCCATCACAGGTCCAGGCTCGAAGTTATGGGACATTGCAGTACTACAGCTCAAGACACAGAAGTAATCTGGCAGCCTGCGTCTCCTTAGGAATCATGAGGGGGCAGGGTGATGCCCAGCATCTGACAGACACGGCAATGAACTCTATGCCATGGTCTACCTGCGGTGTTGGCTGACAGTCAATTGCAGTCATTAACTGTCAGCAGTTTCCAGTGTGTGGAGCTCTATTTCTCTCTCTACTATCCAGCGGAATATACATAATGTATCTAGCTAGTTCATTAACCTACAAGCTACGTCAGGAAACGTGGTACTTATTCTACTTCCAGTAATGTGTCTTTAAACTACAATAAATGTGTTTAGAAATCAGTCTGTGTAAATAGGATACATAGTTCTCGTTATAAATTACATTTCAGTTCTATAAATTGTTATTAGTAAGTCACAGCCTCGCCCTTGGGCCCACTCCCACTCCCACCGCTAATATGGAACCCCTTTGTTCATGTGAAATGTTGGGAGGTGTGCGCATCAGAAATAAACTGGGAATACTGGTTCAGCCAATCAGCACCTTGCAGTATCTTGGTTGGAATAATTAGTATTCGCTGGGGTTTGTTTAAATCTTTATCTGTTGGGGAGAGTACCACGTTGGTTCAGCTCTCGCCCAATCAAACGGTCACACTTTATTAGAGCTTTTTGTTTTTACCCAAATATTAGTTATAGAAAATCTTTACCTTCTGAGTTCTAGGTTCCTGTTCATTAATTCTGCCAGTTCTGGCCAATCTTTATTCTCCATTGCACTTCTGGGGAAAGAGAAAGTTTCAGTGATATGTGCGCATGAGCCAGTTTTATTTCATCATGGCATGATTTGGGGTGGAAATGGATTTTTCTTTTCGTAGCAGATAAGTGGCTTACGTACAGCCACGTTTCCATGTTTGTTGCTGGAAAACAATGGGTCATATTGCAGTTCTGTAAATTGGGGAAATTGTCCAAATGTGGAGCAATCAGCAGGAACGGGTTAGTGGTTTCCATGGTGAATGCTCCACATTCAAAGATATCAGGTTCCTAACATTCCTGTATTAAGGGATTTAAAAGGGTAGAAGTTGGGGTGTTAGGAGAGCCAGGACCTGAAGGTGGGAAGGATCGATTTTTGCAAAAATAGGGGTAAATACACAGAATGGACTGCCAGCAAAGGTGGTAGAAACTCATACAGTGGAGGGTTTGGCACAGACACATCCAGAATAAAGCCTGAGATTTTAGTTTGAGAATGGCCAGAATTACCTCGATCTAGATTATCTGCCATTAGGATTAAGTTTCTAAGAAAGTTTCCACCGAGTGAAATATATTTTCTGTGTATTATTTACCGGAGAGAACAGCAATCCTCTGGAGGTTTATCCTCATTATTCCATTTACGGAATGTTCTACCAGCCCACTCACCTGGCTTGATCGGTCAGCTCTGCAAACAATCTCATCGCTTCCAGAACATCTGGGTCTCCTGAAACCAAAGCAGAAACCATGGATTATTATAAGATGGATCTGAGCAAAATCCTGCAGTATCAGCATAAGGTCTGTTTAAAGGGGCTCTCCGAGCACCATAAGCACTACAAAATAGTGTATAATTACAGCTTATTGTATTATTACAGCCCATCATATTATTAGAGATTATTATATTATTATAGCTCAGTGTCTTATTACAGCTTGTTTTATTACAGCTCATTGTATTATTACAGCTCATTGTATTATAACACCTCATTGTACTATTGCAGTTCATTGTATTATTACAGCTTGTTGTACTATTACAACTCATTGTATTATTACAGGTCATTGTATTATTACAGCTTATCATATTATTGCAGCTTATCGTATTATATCAGCTCATTGTATTATTACAGCTCATTGTATTACTACAGCTCATTGTATTATTACAGTGTGTTGTAATATTACAGCTTATTGTATTAATATAGTTTGATGGTTATCAATTGATGGCAGTGATTTTCCAAACGCACTAGGGGTGTGTTACACATCTTCACTATATTTCTTATAATTTGACAATAATATGATAAAAGAAACCATTCTAGTAACTCACCGTTAATCCATCGCTGGCGCACATTACTATGAATTACCCCGGAATCGCTCGGATCTCTCATGTACGCCAACCAAAACGGAGGGGCGCTGTCCATGTCCATGTTCTCATAGTTTCCTGCGTTCAGAGAGATAAAATGAAATTCCTTGCTTTGTTAATAGAGCCGCGTAGTAAAACAGGCTCCAGAATGTTATAAAATCTATAATAAAGCAAGATTAACGAGAACGATGCGTACCGTAGCCCTGCTCCTCCATTAAGGATTTACTGAAATCCATGTACACCAGGCCTTCGTACACCTAAAATAACACAGACGAATCACCAACTCACGTAACCATGAACTAAAGGGAATGAGCAATTCAAGGAATTATATTATATGAGTGATTCATATATCGCCCAACGCCCCGCACTGTGCCGCACTCTGTAACACTCCCAGCCTGCACTGCTACGGGTTTCTGGGCGCGCTGAAACTGCAGACTGGACCATGTTTCTACCCGCAGGGGCTGAAACTCCAAACTGGACAATATTTCTACCCGCAGGGGCTGGTTCTCAAGGCCTGATGATATTTCTACCCGCGGGGGCTGAAACTCCAAACTGGACAATATTTCTACCCGCAGGGGCTGGTTCTCCAGACTGGACAATATATGGGTGGGTGCTGGAGCTCCAGAGTGGACAATATTTGGGTGGGTGTGCCTTCACCTTATTATTACATTGGAATATATTTAGTGTGCTCATCAGTAGACTAACAGGGTAATTAATTAAAGTGAGAATTAAAAGTGAATTTAACTATTTAAGGTCAGAGTAGTCGAACTTGAAAAAGTCTCCAAGTCAGTTATTATTATTTATATAGCGCCATCAGATTCCATAGCGCTGTACAATGGGTGCATCCAGTTTGGTTATATTGGCCTAAAATGGTTAAATTTACGTTAAATTCTCACTTTAATGAATAACCGTCCGAGTGTTTATAAAGATGGCGTACATTTTATAGGGAAATGAATAAATAATAATAAGTTAAACCAACACGATATAAGATTGTTCAGAAAGAATTGTAGTAAAATAAGAGCTACGCACAGAGTGTTTACAATACACGGCGAGCACTTAATGGGGTCTCAATTAATAGAAGCTGATCTTTGTTACGAACATGATGAGAGACTGAGAAACATACCCAGCCGCCATTTACCTGGACGACGCGGTCTTGTAGTCCTGCCGTAATAAACAACTCTTCCTTTTCCACATCGAGAATGAAGTTTGGTCTCATCGATTTTGGCAGATCCTAAAACAGGCATTGGATACGTATTACAAAGAAATGTTTATTATTCATTATTTACGGATAAAATCTCCGGCTAGATTCGCATCTCGCGACAATTAACGCTTTTCTTTTTAAAATGATTTTGCCAAATTAAAAAATGGCGGCTATTTCACTGCTAAACCGTTACTAGCTTGATGTCATGAGCACAACGGTACATTCTATACTAAATAAAGCAACGGAAACTAATATCAGAAAACATGTTTTAAAATGTGTTTTTTTCTTTATCTTTTTTTATTATTATTACCTCATACACAGCAGTTCTAAAATTTGGTTTTCCACAAAACTCCCAGAATACCGTGCAGAATATTCAAATGAGCACAGATTCTAAATAAAAACTTTTTCAGGGTTTCACAGTAATGACACGGATTAAAATGTAGCTTTTTAAACATGAAGATACACAGATCGCGCACACACCGTATAGAAAACTGATACAATATACAACATTCCGAAACGCCTCAGAACGGACTGGGCCATTGACAAACCACAGATTGTACTTTTTCTAAGGTCTGCCCTGGGATTTGTAGATGTATTGAAATTTTTGAACTGATTTAAATGACTGGGGAGTTTTTATCTCCTGTTTGGTATCATCACATCTTTAACAATTTTGGCTATTTGTTGCCAGTCAGATTGCAACCACCTGACCAGGAGCGAATTATAACAAAGAATCCCAAAAGGTCCAGTGCCAGAGTTTAGTGCGTTCGGATCATCCCCCATGCATCGCTTGTCAGGACTGAGGACATCGTCAGGAAATATGTCATTTGTATGTAGATATTTGCTTATTCAACTAGGTGTTTCTGCATGTTGTATATTGCATCAGTGTATCTCAGCACTGTGTGTGTTTGCATGTTTTTGTTTCTATCTTTCCCCAGGTGCAGGCTTGCTTTCAGTACAAATATATCACAACAATAAAATTAAAGAGACACTCAGAACTGCTTCAGCTTGTTAAAGTGGTTATGGTGCCAGCACCCTGTCCCCCCAGGCTTTTATTTGGAAAATGTGTCAAACTGACAAGCCAGGGCTTGTAGAATAATAAAGTATTGCCGATTTAAAAAAAAAAATTACTATTGGAATAACGGGAAGCATTTAAATTTGATAAAGGGAGGAATTAACAAAAACTAGTCACTACAAATTTCTGTCAGTCCAATAAAAAAAAAGGTATTGAAATATACTAAATAAAATCAAAATATAAAAGAAGGGTTGGCGCAGCCCTTCTTTTATATTTTGATTTTACTTTGTATTTTTAGGGTTTTGGGGAGATTCCCTTTTTGGGTTGCTGCCTTATAGGCTGATTGGCGCTGTCTCTTCCTCTTGTTTATTTATTGAAATATACTAGGATAGGGCTCTGAAGTGAAGTTCATAGCTCAGTTTTATATCTGTGTCAGTCATATAGATAATATAATAATAATTATATATTCCAGGGTTACACCTCTTGCATGCGTAATCAGAGAGACGGGGGAAGCAAGCTCCTTCACGTCAGCACCGGTGTGCCAGTTTATTGGTATGACTTGGCTTGGCCAGGAAGTGTAATTCCCAGCTCTCTGATTGACATAGATTGGAGGCGGGGCTACAGGCTCTAATTTCCGAGCCCATTTTAAAAGTCTGACAAATTTATTAAGCCGAAGGCTGCAAAGAAAGGGTCAATAAAGCAAAGTGGTTATGGTGCCTAGCATGACCCTTTCATTTTACTATTTTATATTTGTTTATAAATAGACAAAACTTTAAAGTATGCGAGTTTGGTTTTTCTTTAAGAACGTTTTAAGAGCTTTGACAATGAGAGTACGTGAGACTTACATCATCCGTCAGATTATAAAACTTCATGAGGCATTTTAATGTTGCAGACACAATTGCGCTGAAAAAGAAAGTGTTTCTATTTGTAAGACATGTAAAGACACGGAGTAAGAAGTGCTGGGTCTGTAACACACAGTAAGTGCCTCCGAAATGAGCTAATAAAGGCCACTATTCTTATAAAGACCCTGTGACAGCGCCAGCGGCTCTGAATGTATTACAGCCATTTGCAGGAGAATGAACACATTATTATGGATGCAGTTGAATCCCAGCTGAACGGTTTGTTAAAACCGCTGTCTGCGCTCCTGAACATATTGTGCGAGTGATAGAGGAGAGTGTGGAAGAAATTGTAATTTAATATCTTTACTTGGAGTGATTCCTAAACACACGGACACACAGCAATCTTCATTTAGTAGATAATTCCCTGATAAATTAGAATATATTTACAGCATCGCTGGAATCCATGCTAATAATCTCCCATGTATGGGTTTAAAGAGACACGCACATCCTTGGCGGCAAGCCGTGTCGTTGGAAGGATTTCTCATTTGTACAATGTGAGTGGACGATTTCATTGATTTATTTATGTGTTGTTTCTAAAATACACTTTATTGTGTGGTTTCTATGTTTTACAAATACAAATCACAGTCTGAGAACAATTTAAGTCAATGACTATTTTGTATTCTAATAATAGTTGTTTTGTTTTTTTAACATTCTAATATACAAATATGAAATAAAATAATTGAATTCACTCACCTGCTCCCAGCTAGACCCTGCAAACATAGAACACAGAATTATAAAAAAAATCTGCTTTAGTAAGTAGTAATAATATTAAAGAATAAAGGTTAAGACTGTGATTTTAACCTGCGGAGTTAAACAGAAATACCCATTTTTAATACACTGCACAACTCTACAAAGAATGCATGAAGACATTTAACCCTGGGATCTATTTATTTGGCGATATTGAACTATATTAGTCTCTACCACCTCTACTGGATGGCTATTCTCTGTACCCCTGTCAATCATTGTAATTATTATATTTACCTGCTTGTTATCTGTGTTTGTTATATTATTATTCCAACATTTGTTTGTCACAAGAAGAAAGGAGGAATAGAACTAATTCTACAGATTAATCCTTAGCTAAGTGAGCAAAGGATTTCAGATAAATATCACAAATTCTCTCTTTTTCACTAATCTTTCTGTTCACCGGGAATTAAACATGAAACCGTGCTGAGTATATAACCTGTACTGTAAAAGGAGAGCGGGCAATGCCACTGCTGACTGGTCAGTTTCCAGGAGGTGCCATACAGATTGAATTAAAGTCTGATTGCGGATATGATGCCCAATTGCCCATATACAGTAAGTACAGTTACTCAGTTAGAACCAAGTATCTGCACTATCTGTGGCTCTCATCGCATTCCAGGTACAGAAATCTCTTTCCCCCGCATGAATTGACTGCTGGAGTGGAGGGTAAGGTAAGTGTGGCGTAACGGGTGTAATTTCACTTACCATTACTCTGCAGGGAATATTTTGCCCGTGTAAAAATGGCGTTGGAAGGGAGAGGTTAAAGCGGACAGCACTGCAAACTGTACTATTAATATAGAAAACGCTGTAATTTCTCTGTAACTATTTGGAACAAGATTTCAGAAAATGGCAGAATGTGCAATTTATTATAAACTCACCACTTGTCTTGGGATGTTCACATTATACTTCACTGTAAAATTCTGCTTCGACAGAGCGATGCTGCAATTATAGATATCAGACTAATTCACAAATACCCAGAGCTGGGAGATAATGTGATCATTTAACCGGAAAATGGATTGCGTGAAATAATACAAATAGGAAGCAAATGGTGATACATTAACCAAGAGTACTTATACCACTCCTAGTATCACAGTAAGCACATTATTCATGGTATATCAAGGGCTACTAATACCCATAGTACTCACAGTAAATATGGTACACAGAGCACTTATACCACTCCTAGTATCACAGTAAGCACATTATTCATGGTATACCAAGGGCTACTAATACCCTTAGTACTCACACTAAATATGGTACACAGAGCACTTATACCACTCCTAGTAACCATACTGAACATAGTATTCATGGTATAGCAAGGGCTACCAATACCCACAGTACTCACAGTAAATATATCACTCCTAGTACCGATAGTGAGCATAGTATTTATGGTATAACAAGGGCTACCAATACCCACAGTACTCACAGTAAATATATCACTCCTAGTACCGATAGTGAGCATAGTATTTATGGTATAACAAGGGCTACCAATACCCACAGTACTCACAGTAAATATATCACTCCTAGTACCGATAGTGAGCATAGTATTTATGGTATAGCAAGGGCTACCAATACCCACAGTACTCACAGTAAATATATCACTCCTAGTACCGATAGTGAGCATAGTATTTATGGTATAACAACGGCTACCAATAACCCACAGTACTCACAGTAAATATGGTACACAGAGTACTTATATCACTCCTAGTACCCATAGTGAGCATAGTTTTCATGGTATAACAAGGGCTACCAATACCCACAGTACCAATGTACTCATAGTACCTATGTATACCAATCACATACATATTCTCAGACTATTCCTAGTTACCAAAGTACCCATAGTACTCTTAGTATTGATAGTGCCCATGCACTTATGATAGCCATAAAACACAAATCACCAATAGCAACTACAGAACCCAAGTACCCTTTGTACTTATAATATCATTAGTACTGATAATACCCATAGTACCCATATTATCCTTAGTACTGATAATACCCATATTATCCTTAGTACTGATAATACCCATATTACTCATATTATCCTTAGTACTGATAATACCCATAGTACTCATAGTATCCTTAGTACTGATAATACCCATATTACTCATAATACCCATTGATAATACCCATAGTACTCATAGTATCAGTAGTACTGATAATATCCATACTACTCATAGTATCCGTAGTACTGATAATACACATATTACTCATATTATCCTTAGCCCTGATAATACCCATAGTACTCATATTATCCTTAGTACTGATAATACCAATATTACTCATAGTATCCTTAGTACTGATAATACCCATAGTACTCATATTATCCTTAGCACTGATAATACCCATAGTACTCATATTATCCTTAGCCCTGATAATACCCATAGTACTCATATTATCCTTAGTACTGATAATAACCATATTACTCATATTATCCTTAGTACTGATAATACCCATAGTACTCATATTATCCTTAGCCCTAATACCCATAGTACTCATATTATCCTTAGTACTGATAATACCCATAGTACTCAGATTATCCTTAGCCATGATAATACCCATAGTACTCATATTATCCTTAGTACTGATAATACCCATAGTACTCATATTATCCTTAGCCCTGATAATACCCATAGTACTCATATTATCCTTAGTACTGATAATAACCATATTACTCATATTATCCTTAGTACTGATAATACCCATAGTACTCATATTATCCTTAGCCCTGATAATACCCATAGTACTCATATTATCCTTAGTACTGATAATACCCATAGTACTCAGATTATCCTTAGCCCTGATAATACCCATAGTACTCATATTATCCTTAGTACTGATAATACCCATAGTACTCATATTATCCTTAGCCCTGATAATACCCATAGTACTCATATTATCCTTAGTACTGATAATACACATGGTACTCATATTATCCTTAGCCCTGATAATACCCATAGTACTCATATTATCCTTAATACTGATAATACCCATGGTACTCATATTATCCTTAGCCCTGATAATACCCATAGTACTCATAGTATCCTTAGTACTGATAATACACATGGTACTCATATTATCCTTAGCACTGATAATACCCATAGTACTCATATTATCCTTAGTACTGATAATACACATGGTACTCATATTATCCTTAGTACTGATAATACCCATAGTACTCATATTATCCTTAGCCCTGATAATACCCATAGTACTCATAGTATCCTTAGTACTGATAATACACATGGTACTCATATTATCCTTAGTACTGATAATACCCATAGTACTCATATTATCCTTAGTACTGATAATACACATGGTACTCATATTATCCTTAGCACTGATAATACCCATAGTACTCATATTATCCTTAGCACTGATAATAACCATAGTACTCATATTATCCTTAGCCCTGATAATAACCATATTACTCATATTATCCTTAGCCCTGATAATACCCATAGTACTCATATTATCCTTAGTACTGATAATACCCATAGTACTCATATTATCCTTAGCCCTGATAATACCCATAGTATTCATATTATCCTTAGCCCTGATAATACCCATAGTACTATCTGTATTTAGGGGATAGTTAGGGTGAATATTTAATGTCGGATTTCTATCCATTTGTAAAATCTTGCAGGTGGTAACTTCTATATTTGTTCAATAAATGCAATTATATCATAAAATATTGTAGTGCAATTCGGTGTGTTGACGGTTCCGTTTTTACAGACAGCACCTGACGTTTCTCCTCATTTTAATGCACAGATCGTTTATAGTAGTAAAGTCTCAATATTATCCCGGCTCTTTACATTATTTGTATCATATCACTTCCAGGGAACCTGCTTTTTACTTAAAGGTACAGTAACCATTTTTGTATTGACATCTTGTCTTGGGGAGTATTAGGTGACATTATTATACTGTTTGATAAATAGTATGATTAAACTAGATTTTCGATAATGTGAGATTTTAATGGAGTGCGGTGCTTTTTGTTCAAATCTCATGATCCCTGAATTAGCCTCAAACATTAGTGACAACCACAAGTGGTGGTCATCGCAGGCGATGGAACGATAGCGTTTTCACTGCTGAGACGGCAGGGAGAGGTTCTCTGCACCACAACCACTGCATTAAGTTATAGTAGGTGTTATAGGTAGCGTGTCCCTTTAAAACATATGAAATTACTGACTCCATAAACAATAATTACAATTACAATAAAAATTTTTTTTAAAAATCACAACCGCATAGAAATATAATGAAAGTCATCTTATGTACTTGGGTACAATAAATTTGCCTCACCCTTTCTCTGAGCAGAACTCATAGAATTTCTTACATGTGGCCTGTAACAGCCTCAGACCACCCAGGTACCTGGGAAACACAGAGAATTATCAGAATTACAGCTTTTATCAATTGTATGAAACTCAAGAGAAATGATTTGTTGAATCAATTAGAATTCACAAACTGACAGACATGATTAGACATCCCAGTAAATGTTATTAGCTCACCCCTCCTTTCTACTTATGTAGAACAAATCGAGTAAACTCCCAAATTCTGTCGGATCATTGAGTGGGTGGGGAACAAGTACCTGAGACAAAAAAAAAGATTCATAAATAAATATGTATATATAATATATATTTTATTACTTTATACCATAATGTGTTACATAATCAAATTAATTAATTATTCAAAAATAAATCCAGACTCAATGACCGGCACTCACTCCTGTATTTTCGTGAATTGGTTGATTTGTAGAAGAGAGAGAGTTTGGTGGAGCGACATGTGAATGGTGACAAGTCTGTCCACGAATCACGTGTCTAACAGCAAGCAACGAAAGGCTTCTGAAAAGTGCGATAATATTTCACATACTTTTACACTGCTAAGGATAAATGTTATCAAATATAGATGAACTGCTGGCTGCGTTAGTACCAGGTTCGTTCTCCTTCCCCAAGACGCGTTTTAAGTAAGATTTATTTGCCCTGTATTTATTAATCAGAAAGTAATGAAGTATTTTAGCGCTCGGATCAATAGGACATCGATGGCGATGTGAAAGGCAGGAGGATTAAAATCCAGTCCATTCCCTTTCACATGGAACACAGTTTAAGCTCTAAGCTTTGAACCAGTCTGAAAGCAATCTTTAAATTAGAACAGGCTCTTCAAGGGACAAACAATGCAACGTCAACTTCTAATAGCAAACATCCCCTGGGGATCATCATTCGCTTCACAATACGGAGTGAATCATCTCACTTTGATAAGACACAGATTTACATATTTGTCGCTTGTCTGCAGCTAGTTAGCGTAAAAGACATGGCTGATAAAGTGAATAATCTCTTTGAGTGTTTGATGCACGCTGCATCAACGGACAACAAACACGTCCGCATTTCCTGTGAAACGGCTTTCATCCCATTTAATGCCAGATTAATCAGTAAGGAAAGGCTTTGATTTCCATACAGGGCGGAATTAATCATAGCTAAATAAAATGCTCTCACCAGTTTTTTACTTTCTGATATTGTGACTTCGGCCCAAAAGTTCGCAATACTCATTGAAATGGTCTTTCCATAGTAGCCGTCTGATGGGTTTCCAATTATTCCAATTCTGTAAAAATGAAATGATTAATAATATTAATAATCAGAAGAATCCATTGGCACAAAACAGAGTGTATCATGGAGTAAAACCTGGAGAAAGCACATTTCAATGAATTGATCAGCAATTTACAGACTCAGCGCAGGATACCTCTTAATGACAGGTGAGCAATGAGAGGGTTAATCAGGGACTCATAGCGTGCCATGAGCTGGAACACACAGGGTTAACTAGAGACTCATAACGTGCCATGAGCTGGAACACACAGGGTTAACTAGAGACTCATAGCATGCCATAAATTGGAACACACAGGGTTAATTAGGGTGTGATGTCATTACCGATAATACAGGAAGCTTCGCCCCGTAATCCCATTACTGTCAGGCTGTGCAAGGGTGGGCAACCTTCGGCACTCAACATGCTGTGGACTACATCTCCCATAATGCTCTTTCAGTCAAAATGCCAACAATCAGGGTAGATATAGTCCACAACATTTGGAGTTGCTGACCGCCGAGATAGAGGGTCAATACAATTCCTCTCCAGCCTAAATAATGTATCAGTAGTGAAAAAAAACTAAATACAGGGAAAAACCCTACTTCATGGTTATTCTGACCCATACCAACACTCACCTCCTTTACCATTTATTCTAAAACCACCACTTACCTTGCATAAGCTCGACACGTTATTGACTTCACTTTTGGTTCATTTTTCATTGTGGAATAGTGAGTCAGCCACTTGGTATAATCAGCCAAACCCTATTAACGACAGAGAAAAAAATAAAACCACGCGTCAGGCGGTAATTAGAAACTGGTGAGCGGCGTGGAAAGTTTCACCACGCGGGATTTTAGTAAGGACTGACATAGCTGCCATTCTCCTCGCTTTGTACGATTCTCTGCACCAGTCTACTGATCCATATAGAACATTGTCAATTCTTACCACCTGTCCAATCAGCTGGAAGCCCGTTGGCAGCTTCATTCCGTAGACGGGGACCTCGACGACATTTATGAGCCATTCCTGATAAACAACAAATGTGGAAACAAATCTGAATTGGGTGTTTTGTTAATCCAACAAAAACGAAAATGATTTGTCCAATTAGCAGTATTTTCTAAAAACAGGAAGGACATCTGGGTCTGGGTGCCGAAAGTGTCCCTTAAAATATATTGAAAATCTCCTGTAACTTGTGTTAAACTTTTTTTCCTGAGAAGCTCTGCTTTCATTTAAATTTATATTAACGATTTAACAGACAACCTCGTAATCTAGCTCAGACAAGGCACAGTCAGGGCACACAATGCAAATGAAGAGGAGAGATTATAACATTGTTTAATTTCTCCCCCACTCTCTCTAGGCTGACGGCAAGGTCTAAATTTTATCTTTTACAACTCAGAAATATATTTTTGTTAAATATAGGAAGAAGTAAACCTATATTAAAAATTCTGGGAGTGACAATTCTCCTTTATATATAACTCACCATATATCGGCCCAGAACTCGCTGTTCGATATTTGGGAATTCGTTCAGAAAAGATTGCAAAGTTTTTAACGTTTCCTTTCGGAAACAATAAAACACAACGCTCGCCATTCTCGAGGTAGTTTCCCCAGGTTGAGGCTTCTCAAAAAAGTGCAAAATTCTGGGAAAAACATAAAAAAATATTTTTAATGAGCATTTGGCAAAACAGTGCAGCTCCACAACGGATTCTTTAGACATCAATGGGGACTTGAAAAGGAAGTGTTAAATCGGCCCATTTCAGCAAGAATGAAAGATTAAATGAATTCAAGCAAGAATTTGGAATAAAACAAAGTTTGCTGAAATGGCTCAAACAGATATTATTGCAGATATCATCCAGAAAAAGTATCCCTCACACTGCAATCATCTCCTCGTGGAACAATAAACACAGGACGTTTTGAAATTGGAATGAAAATGAAAATAGGATTCCTTGTGATTCTTTTAAATTAAATAAAACAAAATATTTCTAGAAGTGAATTGTCTGTGTGAGAAGGATTATGAAATCCAGACACCACTTATAACAACTATGGGTGTCTCAACTTCTCTAGTTTACCACTGGAACCCTCAAGTACAACTTCAACACCCCAAAAACATATTACAAACACAAGTTCAACACCCCAAATACACTGTACATATTATAAACATTAGGAATTAGGTCATACCTGTGTGTGTCTGGACAGACCTCCACTATCCCTCTGGTGGATGTACACTCCCAATCTTCCATCTCATAATAGATTGCAAGCTCACCTGCCTAAAACAAGAAATAAATAAGCATTAAAGGAGAATGAAGCTTTTTAAAAAATAGAACTATTATAACACTATGTGCTTTTAAACAAAATACGGTAACTACAACCAAAATCACAATCAGCGTAAGAGGTCATGGCGCTTAAAGTGACCCTTTAAAAATTAAGCTTAATGGGGCAGATATTGCTAAAAGAAATGTTTAAAACCACAATTTCTTACCTTCAGCCGAAAGAATTTAAGTACTTGAGCCATGTCAAAATCCTGATCGGCACACAGCATGTCCCCTGCGATCTAAGAGACAGACGCAGTCAGTGATTGGATAAAATCCTGTGACAGGATGTGTCGCTATAACAAAATGAGCAGTGCGTTGTGCATTCCTATTACGGTTTATTTGCAAAACACAATTTTTCTTAGAATAAGATCAAAAAAATGTATGTTGTAAAAAAGAAAGAAAGAAGGAAGATTGCAAAATATTCACTGTAGTAATTCTGCCCCAGATGTCAGACTTATAAATTACCCATCAAAGTGCAAATGAAGCTGCTTTGTAGCGTGTCACAGGCGTACGGTTTATGAATTTTGAATAATGAATTTGGATGGTAAGTGTGTGTTTGGGCATTTACTCTCCAGGTTTATCAAGTGAGCGAGGAAGCGAAGGATTGAGCACAGCCGCGACGCTGACATTATACTCTCCTTTATCTCCCGCTGATTGGACAATCTCATGTTCAGCCATGATGTCTTCTCAAGGAAAGCTCTCTCATCATCCAAAGTACAGATATTCATTCTGCCATTCAATCTCGGCTTCAGAGGAAGATATGGAGGAAATATTAAGGGGCTGATGATCCAAATATGCAATTTACAAGGCAGATAGCTGTAAGCAGGAATTCCAGCATTTCCAATCCCCGCATTACAGCCGTGTTAATATTCTCTTCCTCAGAGAACAGGATGAGTTCGAGAAGACAAAGTGGTTTATTATTTGTGTGTTTTATCAACCCACGCTCTTCAAGATCCTTCGCTGCAGCTCACACTGTGGCTGTCGGTACTTTTAACATATACCGGGTTATTCAATAAAGGGAGAATTAAAAGGTCAAAAAGTTTCAAATTTAAGGCCATAGTAATCGTACTGCAAACATAGCTGATTCAGAAAATTTGTCCATTTCAACTACTTTTACCTTAAATTTGATATGCACCTTACAGTCACTTTGAATTCTCCCTTTAGTGAATAACTGTGTAAAACGATTGCAGGAATTGGCTACAATATAGCGTCATTCATTTTACCGGCAATGTCATGGCTGCTGGGAAGGGGAAAATTCCAGATACCCAGGGGGAAATAAAGCAGTACAAACACTTTATGGGGTAATAGGAGAGGGTGTAACTGATCAGCAAGCTGCGATATCTATTAACTGCTCAAACAGGGGAATGTAAAACACATATTGTCTGCCGGGTTTAACACAAACAGGGGCAAATATAGAGTAAACCAGGTTCCTGGGTTGTTTCACCTTGATAAATTTGTGTCTGTGTGTTTATAGATTGACATATATTACATTCCATGTATGTAAGGAATACCACGTTTTAGAAAATCATCTAAATTCTTATCACCCTCTGTGCTGTATATCAAATGTCTCTTTCTCACACTGATTGATGAGGAAAGAACTAATTTATCAGAAAATAAATAAATAAAAACTATGCTCAGTCGCCAGACCCGCCTTTTTTCCACAGAAATTTGAAACCTGTATGAAAAGCCCAGTATTTAGCCAATGACTGAGGGCGGCAATGCCAAAATACATTGGGAGTTTTTATCTGTACCCCAAAACAGCAACTCTATTGAATCTATTTAAATATGTATCAATGCTTTTATTTTTTGATTGACTTGGGATTAATGTAGATAACGGAACAGTACTGACCACCATGATGTCATCGTGTAGCTTTTTGCTGGAAATTGCAAGCTCAAGGTCCGCAACAGCGCCGAGCCTCGTGTCATACGTGGTGGTCCCATCATTAATAATATTCTCCACTGGAAAGTCGTTTGCTGTAGCCCACCGCTCGTAATGCTTATACCTGTACAGCGATACGGGGGTGTTCAGGGTCACACATAGTTTAATTGATTCAGATACAATGTTTATATATTTTATATTAGATTGCCAGCTCACAGGACTAGTCTTTCATTTAATATCCCTGTGTACAGCACCAGCACTGAATAAATCCTAATAATGAGAATAATGTAACAATAAAGATTAATTATCGTGTTAATTCACATTCTGATCGCCGTATTAGCAGATTATTAACACATGCAGAGTTATTCACTAAATGGTGAATTATCAGGTATTGGAATTGATCACAAGTAAACGGATGGCTATTTTATTTGGGATTCACGTTGAATTCACTGCAGTTTACACAGTAATGAAGAACTGGGCATTTATAGACATCTAATGCTATCCAGGCTACGCTTAAACATATCAGACAAAAGATTCAGTTATTAACCACTCAGTGGAATGAAAATTTAAATTATTGATAAAATTAAAGGGGACACTATAGTCACCAAAACAACTTTAGGTTAATAAAGCAGTGTATAGATCAGGGGTAGGCAACCTTCGGCACTCCAGATGTTGTGGACTGCATCCCCCATAATGCTCTTACACCCATAATGCTGACAATGCATCATGGGAGGTGTAGTCCAAAACATCTGCAGTGCCCAAAGTTGGCAATGCCTGGTATAGATCATTCCTCTGTGGTCTCACTGCTCAATTTCTACCATTTAGGAGTTAAATCACTTTGTTCATGCAGCCCTAGTCACACATCCCTGCATGTGACTGACACAGCCTTCCTAAACACTTCCTGTAAAGAGTCATCTAATGTTTACACTTCCTTTATTCAAGGTTTTTTTTTAGATTTTTGCACTTTTGATAGCCTCCTGTAAATAATGTTCAATTTACAGAGCAGGAAATATAAACCTTTAAAGCACGCTACATCTGATTGAAAATGAAACCACTTTGTTTTAATGCAGGCTGTGTCAGTCACAACCAGGGAAGGTGTAGCTAGGGCTGCATTAACAGAAACAAAAGTGATTTCACTACTAAATTGCAGAGAATTGAGCAGTGGAACTTCAGAGGCGTGATCTATACACCAAAACACCTTCATTAAGCAAACGTTCATTTGGTGACTATAGTATCCCTTTAAGCTTATATTTATTGATACCTCCAACAAAATCTGTTTAAACATGAAAAATATGCTGTACATCAGAGATTAATCCACACAAATGTTTTAGTAGGTAGCAGGGGGAGGCAACTGATATTGATTGGTAAAACTATATTAACAAATTTAAACCTATTTAGTTTAGAAAAACGTCGCCTGAGAGGGGATATGATAACATTATACAAAAATATTCGGGCCAATACAAACCATTGTGTGGAAATCTATTCACAAACCGGACTTTACATAGGACACGAGGCCATGCGTTTAGACTGGAAGAAAGAAGATTTCGTCTAAGGCAAAGGAAAGGTTTTTTTACTGTAAGAACAATCAGGATGTGGAATTCTCTGCCTGAAGAAGTGGTTTTATCAGAGTCCATACAGATGTTCAAACGGCTACTAGATGCATACTTGCAAGAACAGAATATTCAAGGATATAATCTTTCAATGTAGGATAATAACTGCTTGATCCAAGGATAAATCTGACTGCCATTCTGGGGTCAAGAAGGAATTTTTTTCCTAGCTTGTTGCAAAATTGTGCCTCAAACTGTTTTTTTTTTGCCTTCTTTTGGATCAACAGCAAAAAACAAATGTGAGGAAGGCTGAACTTGATGGACGCAAGTCTCTTTTCAGCTATGTAACTATGTAATATTAGAAGAATGTTATTATAGCTTTTCGGCTTGATTTTGTCCAATTAGTACGAGCACATTGTTTTCGTCAAGGTCAATATGTATTCACAACAGCAAGATTGCATGTACTGATAACAGCTGATACTGAGGGGATTAGTTTACCTAAACGTTTTAATAAAGAGGGTTTGAAGGTCCTAAAAAAATCTCCAAGAATAATATACTGAAAAGCTGGCAAGCCAATGGGGCCACTATTTCTCAAGCAACAGGCCAGCGCACTCATGTGCTAAGACAGCCCTGTTCGTGGGGACTCCAGGTAAGTGGTCAAACTGTTCTAAAACATGTCTCCTTACAATGGTGGCGTCCACTCTCTCCTGAGTGTTACTTTAGGATAATTGTCGCCAATTGTCAAATATCACGAATAAATCAAACCATAAATAAATCAAAGACAGCATTAAAATCATTGGATATAAAGTCTCTTGTATAAACAGAAAGAGGCGGACAATAGACTGTGTCTTGGACGGATAATAAGTGACATTTACTAACAGATGACATCAGTTATAGCAAGTGTCTAAAAAACGAATAGTTTAATTATTCATTGTCTGAGTTTTTCTGCAAGATACTTTAAATGCTGTGATTTCATCTTTTTAGCTATGACCAGGGGTGGACTGACCACTGCGCATTTTATGCAGAATTTTTTTTTATTAACAATAAAAGGCATGTAACACTTATTGAGAGAATTTTATAAATGACTTTAACGAAATGTTTCTTACTTGTCTGCATTGGTCACGAGATAAACTTCACTGAAAAGCTGTCTCCTAGAATCAGAGAGATTAAAAAACAAAAGTAGATTTAAAAAAGTGATAAAATAAAAAAATAAATATATATATATATAAACATATATAAACATCCTGTCCATTGGGAACTGACAAACTACAAATCCCATCACTCCAGCCTGATCCAGACTGGCTGACAATGACCAGTGTTAGTTTAGGTGCCCGATATTGGTCAACCTCATTTTGGCAGTAATATTTTTTAGATAAAACTATTTTTCAAATAGAATAGCAATGGAGACACAATTATTGTTAATGCTAATGTACAAAAAAAAAATCTTTGTAGTGTCACAGATTTGGGGTAAAAATAAATGCAAAAACTGTCTTTTGTGTCTTTTTACACCACTTTACAATTACAATTATTTATATAGTGCCAACGTATTCTGCAGCGCAGCACTATTGAACTATGAAGCATTTCCACTTAACATTTGCCATTTTCTGCATTGTAATAAATGGTGCAAATGTGAGAACAGAAATGTACAAACTTGTCTTGTCCAATGTTATTCTTATACATAGAGTCCATTTACACAATATCACACCACATGTACAGGCAGAAATGGCAAAATATGGCCAAAAAGACCACACTTAGTGTCAGATTGTACATTACTAGTTATATGTAACCCCCCAAAATATCTATGTATTTTTTAATGATTTAATTTCCTTTAAATAACTTCTGGTGACAGACTAATGGCTTGTGGCCTCACTAATTAGCCTGCTTGTTGTGATGAAGGCAGCTTTCCCTGTTGCAGGTTAATTTGTGTTAAATTAATTATTCACCATCTAGGCCTATCACTCGCGAAGTGTAAGGGGGTGACCCAGGGATCGATCGCTCCCAGAATATCATTTTATGGCTTCACTTCCATTACCATAATCTAATTTGGTGCTTGTTGATATATTAAGCAGTTCACATATTATAAACATTGCGTTTAATGTTAACGTTTAAAATTGAATAAACCCAGAACTTGTTTGACGGTTTTGTGGAGTAGATGTGATGCAAAACGGTGCTGTGTCAATCTGCGATGTTTAATACGTGTAATATATGTTAATCCTCTCACTAATCCACTTAACCACTCCCTGCATCATTAATAGCCTTCGCTACAGACACTGGAGGTCCTTCCATCTGCTATCACAGCATGGCTAGACATCTCATGCCAAATATTAACACTGAGCCCCTGACAGCACATCTCAAACCTCATCATTGCCAAAATGCAGCAAGTGGGATCAGGCACCGTCTGGGGGTAATTCATCTCAAATATCGGCAGAGGGAGCTCAGAGTATGCTAGACCTCCAGAGAACCAACCTGTATGCACGCACACAGGGGGAGTTACATACATTTTATTCCATACATTTTATTTTGGCATCACACAGGTCAAAACAAAGGGCAGGATTCAACGGGAAACACAGACAAGGACAATTTCCTTCTTCACGTCTACGCAAGTTACAGGTTTAGATAAATTATAATACAACTTCCCAAAGTTTCTCACACAAAGCTGTGTTATATTAAAATAACAGAGCTACTCATTAAAGTGAGTTCTATTTTATACTATTTTGACTTAAATTTTGAAATTCAGTTTGAATTCCCAGAAATTCTCACTTTAGAAAAAAAAAACTGAATATGATCAGCATGAATGTAATTAAACATTAAATAATTATAGCTAACATATAATATGAACAAAACTACATTGAAATGTGTGGTGTTTGAGTAGAAGACCTGGAACACATCCTAAATATTATTAAAGTGCACAAATACCGCACTTTATCAGTATCACAGCATAAATATTACCTGAACAAGTACTGCACTATATCAGTATCACATCCTAAATAGGACCTGAACAGGTACTGCACTATATTACTATTACATCCTAAATAGGACCTGAACAAGTACTGCACTATATCAGCATCGCATCCTAAATATTACCTGAACAAATAACACACTATATCAGTATCACATCCTAAATATTACCTGTACAGGTACTGCACTATATCATTATTACATCCTAAATATTACCTGTACAAGTACTGTACTATATCAGTATCACATCCTAAATATTACCTATAAAAGGTACTGCACTATATCACTATTGCATCCTAAATATTACCTATAAAAGGTACTGCACTATATCAGTATCGCATCCTAAATATTACCTATAAAAGGTACTGCACTATATCAGTATCGCATCCTAAATATTACCTGTACAAGTACTGTACTATATCAGTATCACATCCTAAATATTACCTATAAAAGGTACTGCACTATATCAGTATCGCATCCTAAATATTACCTATAAAAAGGTACTGCACTATATTAGTATCACATTCTAAATATTACCTATAAAAGGTACTGCACTATATCAGTATCGCATCCTAAATATTACCTATAAAAAGGTACTGCACTATATCAGTATCGCATCCTAAATATTACCTATAAAAGGTACTGCACTATATTAGTATCACATTCTAAACATTACCTGAACAGGTGCTGCACTATATCAGTATCACATCCTAAATATTACCTATAAAAGGTACTGCACTATATCACTATTGCATCCTAAACATTACCTATAAAAGGTACTGCACTATATCACTATTGCATCCTAAATATTACCTGTACAAGTACTGTACTATATCAGTATCACATCCTAAATATTACCTATAAAAGGTACTGCACTATATCAGTATCGCATCCTAAATATTACCTATAAAAAGGTACTGCACTATATTAGTATCACATTCTAAACATTACCTGAACAGGTGCTGCACTATATCAGTATCACATCCTAAATAATACCTGTACAGGTGCTGCACTATATCAGTATCACATCCTAAATTTTACCTTAAAATTACAATTATTATTATTTTATTATTTATATAGCGCCATCACATTCCATAGCGCTGTACAATGGGTACTGTACTATATCACTATTACATCATAAATATTACCTGTACAAGTACTGTACTATATCAGTATTACATTCAAAATATTACCTGTACAGGTACTGCATTATATCAGTACTACATCCTAACTATTACCTGCACAGGTACTTCACAATATCAGTATCGCATCCCAAATATTACCTGTGTAATATTATATCTAGTGATCTCCCGAACGGTTCGCCACGGACGGGGAACATAAACATAAACTTTGACCCTGTACCTCACAGTCAGCAGACACATTCCAGCCAATCAGCAGCAGACCCTCCCTCCCAGACCCTCCCACCTCCTGGACAGCTCACTAAGAATGCAGCTTCACAATGAATGTAAAATGGATTCTGTCCAGGAGGTGGGAGGGTCTGGGAAGGAGGGTCTGCTGCTGATTGGCTGGAATGTGTCTGCTGACTGTGAGGTACAGGGTCAAAGTTTATGTTTATGTTCGCCGTCCGCGGCGAACCGTTCGGGACATCACTAATTATATCAGTATCAATATATTACTATATTAGTATCACATCATAACTATTACCTGCACAGGTACTTCACTATATCCTTATCACATTCTAAATACTACCTGTACAGGTACTGCACTATATCAGTATTGCATCCTAAATATTACCTGTACAAGTACTGTACTATATCAGTATCACATTCAAAATATTACCTGCACAGTTACTGCACTATATCAGTAATGCATCCTAAATATTACCTGAACAGGTACTGAACTAAATCAGTATTGCATCCTAAATATTACCTGTACAGGTACTGCACTATATCACTATTGCATCCTAAATATTACCTGTACAAGTACTGTACTATATCAGTATTAGATCCAAAATATCACCTGCACAGGTACTATACGATATCAGTATCACATTCAAAATATTAGCTGTACAGGTACTGCATTATATCAGTACCATATCCTAAATATTACCTGTACAGGTACTGTACTATATCCGTATCACATCCTAAATAGTACCTGTACAGGTAATGCACTATATTAGTATCACATCATAACTATTACCTGCACAGGTACTATACTATATCAGTATCACATTCTAAATATTAGCTCTACAGGTACTGCATTATATCAGTACCATATCCTAAATATTACCTGAACAGGTACTGTACTATATCAGTAACACATCCTAAATATTACCTGTACAGGTGCTGCACTATATTAGTATCACATCATATCTATTACCTGCACAGGTACTATACTATATCAGTATCACATTCTAAATATTAGCTGTACAGGTACTGCACTATATCAGTACCATGTCCTAAATATTACCTGTACAGGTACTGTACTATAACAGTTTCACATTATAAATATTACCTGAACAGGTAAGGCATTATATCAGTATCACATCCTAAATATTACCTATACAGTTTCTGTACTATTTCAGTATCGCATCCTAAATATTACCTGCACAGTTACTGTACTATATCAGTACCATATCCTAAATATTACCTGAACAGGTACTGTACTATTTCAGTAACGCATCCTAAATAATACCTGTACAGGTACTGCACTATATTAGTATCACATTATAAATATTACCTGAACAGGCACTGGACTATATCAGTGTCATATCCTAAATATTACCTGTACATACTTACATAGCTCTACCCCCACACACAGAACCGCTACCCCCACAGCGTAGCACTCCTACCCCCCACATCACAGCACCCCTGTCCCCCCACACACACAGCACCCCTACCCCCCACAGTACAGCACCCCTACCCCACACACAGCACCCCTCCCACACACACAGAACCCCTCCCCACACACACACAGCACCCCCCCCTCACACACACACAGCCCCCACACACACACAGCACCCCTCACACACACACAACACAGCACCCCTCACACACAACACAGCACCTCGCACACACACACACACACACACACACACACCCCTAACACAGCACTCCACACACAAGAAATACACAATAGAAGGGAAAAGGGCACTATACACAAAATACTACAACTGGTGCAGTTTAAAAACACCTCGGTGTACAGTTACTTATTACACCAAATGAAAGATATAGTGAACAGAAAAAAAAAGGTGAAAGCAAACAAACAGTGGAATATTTCACAATATTCCACTGTTTGTGCGCTTTCACCTTTTTTTTTCTGTTCACTCCACACACACTCCACACCCTTACACACAAACACATACACTGCACCCCTCAATGCAGTATATGTGTGTGTGTGTGTATTCAGCAGCCTTTATGTATTTAGCAGTGTGTGTCTGTGTGTATTCAGCAGACTGTGTATGTATTCAGCAGTCTGTGTGTGTGTGTGTACTCAACAGTGTGTGTATGTATTCAGCAGTGTATGTATTCAGCAGTGTGTGTGCATTCAGCGGACAGTGTGTATGTTTGTGTGTGTGTATTTAGCGGACCGTGTGTATGTATTTAGCAGTCTGTCTGTGTGTCGGTGTGTGTGTATATGTATTAAGCAGTCGGTGTGTGTGAATATGTTCAGCAGTCGGTGTGTGAATGTGTTCAGTAGTTGGTGTGTGAATGTGTTCAGCAGTCGGTGTGTGAATGTGTTCAGCAGTCGGTGTGTGAATGTGTTCACCAGTCGGTGTGTGAATGTGTTCACCAGTCGGTGTGTGAATGTGTTAAGCAGTCGGTGTGTGAATGTGTTCAGCAATCTGTGTGTATGTATTGCATTTGTTGAAGATACTAAGAAATATAAGCTTAATTTTATCTATAATTTATATCATTATTTAAAATGTGTATCATTGAACTCTCTGTTGTTGTGCTCTTCTTTTAAAACAAAAGATGTTAACTGTAACGGCACCCCAGGTATAAAAGGGGTTAACAGTCAAAGATGTTCCCTTCCCGAATACAAGATCAGCTACCGAACACTCCTAAGCGCCGAACAGGAAAACACACGAATAATCCTCCCCCAAGTATGAGACGAGGCTCTGTATTGAGGGTCAAGCAGGAATCTCAGCAGTCTGAGGGTTTATTGTCATATATGCAACTTTTCCCACAAGGTTACCACCCACGTGGTCTTGTGGGACAGCCAATCAAACACATACAGTCAGACACTCCCAGTTAAGGCACACAAACCCTCCCTTCTGCCTGTGATATAATGACTAAACACAATGGGCTAACTTAATTATCACAGGCAGAAAATATACAGTTTTACACAATATTCATAACTTTCAAACTATACATGCAATTCACATAAAACATACATTTTCAGAACAAGCATACTTGGGGGAACAACATATTCGAAAATCAGGGCAATCGGTTCAGGGGTTCAAAAGTTAGCTGGAAGCCATATATGACTGACCACAGCATGGCTTTCCTGCCCAAAACGGTTCCACAGATTTGGTGACAGTATCAGAGTCTCGGCATTAAACTTACACATTCACAGCTTTCCACCAGAAATTCAGAATTTTCTTCCCTCCAACACCGGGCAGCAGGGCTTTGGGAACGTCTTCCAAAATGTCATATAACCCACTCTGATCATTCTGAAATAAAACAGCAAATATAAGAGTCACGCAACACCCGGCATTCTCTATAGGAGCATATTAAAGATTAGATCTGTCCCAAACCATATAAGTTTGTTTCCAATGATCAATTACAACAAACATGACATTTGCGTCGCTCGGGGGTCTGTGCGGGGTCCACGTCTCTTTAATCTGTTTTTTAATACTCTTACAGTGGGGATTGAGGAGTGCCAGTGTTTGCTGATGGCACAGGTAAGATAATACGATAGGGGCAGTTTATTGCTTCTCTGTGGAGGGATTTCAATATGTGGAATTCATACATTGCGGGCTACAAAATATACCTGAAGTGTCTAACTCTAAATGGAATTAAACTACAGCTATTATTTAAGGGACACTCTAAGCACCAATACAACCTTAGCTTAATGATGCAGTTTTGCTGTACAAATCCCTGCAGTCTTATTGCTCAATTCTCTGCCATTTAGGAGTTAAATCTCTCTGTTTATACATCCCTAGTCACACCTCTTTGAATGTGACTCACACAGCCTCCCTAAACACTTCCTGTCAAGAGAGATCTAATGTTTCATACCTCCCAAGTGACCCTATTCAGGAGGGACATTTCCTATTTTTGGCATAAATCCCTTTTCTACTGTTATGTCCCTCTTTTCTAGGAGCTCAATATTGTTGTTGTGTCTGAGTGTATAACAGAGCTAAACAACAATAATACTCCCAGTAATGTGTCTGAGTGTATAACAGAGCTCCACAGCAATAATACTCCCAGTAATGTGTCTGAGTGTATAACAGAGCTCCCCAGCAATAATACTCCCAGTAATGTGTCTGAGTGTATAACAGAGCTCCCCAGCAATAATACTCCCAGTAATGTGTCTGAGTGTATAACTGAGCTCCCCAGCAATAATACTCCCAGTAATGTGTCTGAGTGTATAACAGAGCTCCACAACAATAATGCTCCCAGTAATGTGTTTAGAAATCAGTCTGTGTAAATGAGACACATTGTTCTTGTTCTAAGTTACATTTTAGTTTTATAAATTGTTATTAATAAGTCACCTAAAATTTCTCAGAACAGCTCTGTTCCTAGCCTCACTCCCAACCACTCCCCTAAAATTAAAGTGCCCTTCTTTGTCCATTTGTAATGTGAGGTACGATATTTGAACTTTATTGTACATTCTGTTTAGTTTAGAATTTCCTGCTCTGTTAATAGCCTGCCACAGTCTACAGCAGCCTCCTGTGTGTGATCAAAGTTCAATTTACAGAGCAGGAGATAAAAACTTCCAAAACAAGTTTACATCTGATTGAAAGTGGAACCATTATTTTCATTCGGGCTGTGTCAGTCACAGACAAGGGAGGTGTGGCTAGGGCTGCATTAACAGAAACAAAAGTGTTTTAAATGACCACTATAGTGCCAGGAATATAGTCCTTAGGCTCCCCCAACCCTCAGGGCCACCCTCCTGCTTGTCTGAAGGGGTTAAAACCCCTTCAGACACTTACCTTAATCCAGCGCCGGGCTCCCTCGGTGCTGGTGACCTCTCATCCCCCTCCGACGTCAGCTCCCGAGTGGAGCAGAATGCGCCGCATTCAAACCACCCTTAGGAAAGCATTACTCAATGCTTTCCTATGGACGTTCTGCATGCTCAATGCGATTTTCACATTGAGCGACGTGGAAGTGCCTTTAGCGGCTGTCAGGGAGACAGCCACTAGAGGCTGGATTAACCCTGCAATGTAAACATAGCAGTTTCTCTGAGGGTTAAAACCTGGGGGACCTGGCACCCAGACCACTTCATTGAGCTGAAGTAGTCTGGGTGACTATAGTGGTCCTTTAACTCCTAAATGGCAGAGAATTGAGCAGTGAGACTGAGGATGCATGACCTATACACCAAAACTGCTTAATTAAGCTAAAGTTATTTTGGTGACTATAGTGTCCCTTTAAATGAAAAGAATTTGGTATAATTACAGACAGCAGACTGGGTAACAGGGTACAATGTCATTCAGCAAATTCAGATAAGTAAGTGATGTTTATTCATTAAAACGGCATTTATTCATATAATAAAATTTACTTATATGATCTATTTGTGATTTTGGGGTTCAGTTTCATCCATTTTGTCCCCCAATAGTTACAGCACAGAACTTGCTCTGAGTTTAGTCTGTAAGGTAATAGGATGAAACACTAACCCAATGTTAAACTCCAAAAGACTAAAAACGTTTCATATAATTTATGTCAGGAAACAGTGAAGCGCAGCTTCCCACAGTCTGCGCACTGCGGTTGCAACAGTGAGAACAAACATTTTGTGGCCTTTAACAAGGAGACAGAGAAAAAAAATAATATTACACAGCGTTAACGTGTCATTTCTTCCTGCGGCAGATAGTTTGTTATTTACCTCAACTCATTTTACAGCCACTGCCACAGTGACCTCCTGGTATATCGTGGCAGACTCGGACATTGCATATTCCATGTTCTCCCTAAATAAAGTGCCCGTTATAGGAATATCCAGAGTATGTGCACTAAACTGTGTGTAGGGTAGTAATAATACGGAGATTACAATCCCTCCTGCTCAGGGATAGCCAGAGCATTGTTATATAGAAATTGGGCTCAACTCTTCTAATTTCAGCTTCTCTTCCCCTTACTTGGAATTAAAGTGTAAAATAATTAATAATAATAATAATAATAATAATCACCTTTAGATATAGAAATAGACTAAACAGAGCAAATGAACCCCAAAAATACATCCTGTTCCGAATAAATTACGGATATCGCCTGAAGTGCAGTCTCCATTGTGTCTGTCGGGTTTCTTATCTCAGTGATAATGTGTTAAATTAGCACGTTTCTGTTACATTGTTTAACGATAGAAATATAAACTTTATCAGCGAATAAGAATGGAGAAACCCATCACATCTGCCATGTAAGAGGTGGAGGACTGGGCACCCCAATCTCAGTCAATCTCAGGCAGACCTGTCACAGTCCTAAGATTAAAGAAACCGTTTTTTAATAAAGTCATGTAATTTACAACTAAGACAATGGGTTCGTGTTACGGGATAGGTATTTCGGGGTTCTTGAGATTTGACCTGTGCCTGCGTGGTTTATGATGCTCTCTCCATCGCCTTATGATGTCATTGTTTCCCATAATGCACGCTTCAATGTTATGTATCCTATATGTGCCACAAACATCTCATTTCCCAAGGTAATTTTTTACTAATTAATCACAGCATTTTTCAATCTTTTTTCCACCCCAGGCTGTAGAGCGTTTAAATAATCCTGCAAAGATGAAGATATTTCCATAGTAACGTTGTGATAGAATGTAGCCCGTCCCATGTTATGACTAGTAAGAATGTTGCAGGAATTTAGACCTTGATGTGACTTTCCAGCAGCGTCCCGTGTCCTGCGACCAGCAATATACAGATCATGCTGCAGCAAGTCCTGGGCTGTCACTCAGTTCTTCCGGGTCAGGTCTGGGGATCACTCTGCTATCCAAACCTTGAGCCCACGGGGCTACACAGAGCCTGGCCACGTTACACAGTAACACTCTGTGGGCAGGGATTTCAGCTAAACATTCTAGGTTCCTTCATTTGGCCAGCACAACATAACATCCCCCTCCCCCACTAGCCCTCCCCCTCCATTACATGACAGCCTCTTCTTGCCCTCCATTACAATTACCAGTCATTTTATAGAGCCAACATATTCTGCAGTTCTGTACAACAGGGAAAATAGGCAAACTATTTATTCTAAGAAAACTTGTTTGACATACAAAAACAGCAGTTATGAGTTACATCATCCCCTTCATTACATGACAGCAACACCTCCCCCTCCATTACATGTGAGTAACACCTCCTCATTCTATCATAGTATTACCTCCCCCTCCTGTCCATCAGAGCAGCTCCACCTCCCTCCATTACATGTGAGTAACACCTCCTCATTCTATCAGAGTAATACCTCCCCCTCCTGTCCATCAGAGCAGCTCCACCTCCCTCCATTATATGTGAGTAACACCTCCTCATTCTATCAGAGTAATACCTCCCCCTCCTGTCCATCAGAGCAGCTCCACCTCCCTCCATTACATGTGAGTAACACCTCCTCATTCTATCAGAGTAATACCTCCCCCTCCTGTCCATCAGAGCAGCTCCACCTCCCTCCATTATATGTGAGTAACACCTCCTCATTCTATCAGAGTAATACCTCCCCCTCCTGTCCATCAGAGCAGCTCCACCTCCTTCCATTACATGTGAGTAACACCTCCTCATTCTATCAGAGTAATACCTCCCCCTCCTGTCCATCAGAGCAGCTCCACCTCCCTCCATTACATGTGAGTAACACCTCCTCACTCTATCAGAGTAATACCCCCTCCTCCTGTCCATCAGAGCAGCTCCACCTCCCTCCATTATATGTGAGGGGCTCCACCTCCCAAGTCCGTCAGAGCTGTGCTCCTCTCACAGAGGGTCTGAAAGACCTGAATCAGCTTAGAGCAGAGATAAACTTACACTATCTCAAGGGAGAGTGATGGTTCTCTGATGAACAACAATTTAAACATGTATAAAAATATGTAGCTGCTGGAGGGAAAGTCAGGAAATAACATGTTACAGAGAATGTTGTCAATGAGTGAAACAGCCTTCCAGCAGAGGTGGTATTGTCAACATCAGTATCCAAAATTTTCACTCAGGTGTTTATTTAATAAATACTGAATTGCAGTGAATTAAATCCAAAAAGTAACATCCAGGGGACGCTCTAAGCGATAAAATCACTGTATGTTAACATCCAGCTTGGTCTTCTGGTGCTTAGATTCTGATTGTACAAAACTTATCAGAATTGATTAATTTTCCAGAGGAAGATTGGCTGCCAGCGGCCGACTGTCGGTGCGCTGGAATATAGATCAGTTAAATGGAAAATGTACGGATTAAAAACAATGGGTAAAACAAATAGTTAACAATCTAAATAAAATATATTGTTTTTGTTTGTTTTTAGATTGTTCCTTTCAGGTTAAAAGCTTTGACTATAGCGGAGATGGAGAGTTTAGTTCCCACCTCTAGGGGCTGATCCTCATTTTAGACGGGATACTTATAGTGGATTGAATGGCTGACACCTTGCTAAATATTCTACACAATGTATATAAAGAATTGACATTGCACAAACCATTGAACTGTCCTCTTTTACACCTGTATTCTGCTCAAACAAGAACCTGGCTGAAATCTCTCAGCCAATCCCTGTCCTCAGGAAGCTGTTTATAGCATCCATCCACCCTCCCCCCCAGTGCGCGCGTCATCAATACAACCATAAACTGCACAAAACAAACGAAAGACAAATGGGAACGTATAACCCAAGAGAAATGTATTTATTTATTTCTTACAATCCTGATACAGAAAGTTTTCAAACTGAGAAGCTGAGGGGATTATTCACTAAACAGTAAAAATATCCAAAGTCTACAATTTTAACCTCAATTTTGCAATTTGGATTTCAGCTCGCTCCAGTATATATTATAATATAGACCATAATGTCGGCCAAGCTCACAGTCTGCGCAGCCCGGGGTGGGGGTAGGAGACTATCGTTCTATATCTTTCACTTTCATTCTTAATGTGGTTCCCTAAATAGGTTATTACTGCAGACGTTCCGTCAATGGAACGCAGAATATGTTGTTTTAAAGGGGAAACGTCACGTCCACGGTTTAAATATTATTACATATTCCCTATATTATACTATATTACATATATATAAATGTAATGAAATTATGGTCTGAATTATTATGTTATACAATAAATGAAGTATGGAGAAACTAATTAATAAAGGCCATAGCCACCTGGGTGCTAATCCTCACTGGTACTCCCTCAAATACCAATATAAATAGTAGAAAAATAAGAAAGAGAATGCACACCAGAAATCACAGGTAATAACTAACCTGATTTAATAAACCAATACTAGGTTCAAGCAAAAAATAACTAATACATAAAGTGACACAAAAACAGGCACAAAGCATAGATAATAAACAATAATAGTTCACCAAAATTCTCACAAGCCTAATAGGGCAGATACAGGAATCAAAAATAACCCCCCAATGTTTCGGCACCTCCTGGTTGCTTTTATCAAGGGGGTTTAAACTCCCTCTTGCCGAATATAACCCTTTCTGGCAGAATATAACTCCCCCTGGCAGAATATAACCCTCCATGGAAGAATATAACTCCCCCTGGCTGAATATAACTCTCCTAGCAGAATATAACACTCACTGGCAGAATATAACTCCCCCTGGCTGAATATAACTCCCCCTGGCAGAATATAACCCCCACTGGCAGAATATAACTCCCCCTGGCAGAATATAACCCTCACTGGCAGAATATAACGCTCCCTGGTAGAATATAACTCCCCCTGGCTGAATATAACTCCCCCTGGCAGAATATAACCCTCACTGGCAGAATATAACTCCCCCTGGCAGAATATAACCCTCACTGGCAGAATATAACCCTCCTTGGCAGAATATAACACAACATGGCAGAATATAACTCCCCTGGCAGATTATAACACGCCATGGCAGAATATAACTCCCCTGGCAGATTATAACCCTCCCTGGCAGAATATAGCTCCCCCTGGCAGAATATAATTCCCCCTGGCATAATATAACCCTCCATGGCAGAATATAACCCCCTCATCACCCCGGAAGAATATAACTCCCCCTGGCTGAATATAACTCCTCCTGGCAGAATATAACCCCCCAACCCCCTGTGGCAGAATATAACCCTCCCTGGCAGAATATAACTCTCTCTGGTAGAATATAACTCCCCTGGCAGAATATAACCCTCCCTGGCAGAATATAAACCTCTCTGGCAGAATATAACTCCCCTGGCAGAGTATAACTCCCCCTGGCAGAATATAGCCCTTCCTGGCAGAATATAACTCCCTCTGGCAGAATATAACTCACCCTGGCAGAATATAACCCTCCCTGTCAGAATATAACTCCCCCTGGAAGAATATAACTATCCCTGGCAGAATATAACCCTCCCTGGCAGAATATAACCCTCACTGGCAGAATATAACTCCCCCGGCAGAATATAACCCTCCCTGGCAGAATATAACTCCCCCTGGAACAATATAACTCCCTCTTGCAGAATATAACCGTCCCTGGCAGAATATAACCCTCCCTGGTAGAATGTAACTCCCCTGGCAGAATATAACCCTCACTGGCAGAATACAACTCCCCCTGGCAGAATATACCCCTCACTGGCAGAATATATCTCCTCCTGGCAGAATATAACTCCCCCTGGCAGAATCTAACTCCCTCTGGCAGAATCTAACTCCCTGTGCAGAATACAAACTTCTCTGTCAGAATATAAATCCCTCTGGCAGAATATAACCCTCCCCTGGCAGAATAATAGCCCGCACAGTATAACCCCTCTCTGGCAGAATATAACCCTCCCCAGAGTATAACCCTATGGCAGAATATACCCTCCCTGGCAGAATATAACCCCTCTGAGCCGGGCAGAATATAACCCTCCCTGCAGAATATTACTCCCCTGGCGGGAATATAACCCCCCAACCTGCCCTGGCAGAATATAACCCTCCCTGGCAGAATATAACCCCCCCGGCAGAATATAACCCTCCCTGGCAGAATATAACTCCCCCGGCAGAGTATAACTCCCCCTGGCAGCATATAACCCTTCCTGGCAGAATATAATTCCCTCTGGCAGAATATAACTCTCCGTGGCAGAATATAACCCTACCTGGCAGAATATAACCCTCCCTGGCAGAATATAACTCCCCTTGGCAGAATATAACCTTCCCTGGCGGAATATAACTCTCCCAGGCAGAATATAACCCTCCCTGGCAGAATATAACCCCCCCTGGCAGAATATAACTCTCCCTGGCAGAATATAACTCCCCCTGGCAGAATATAACCCCCCTAGCAGAATATAACCCTCCCTGGCAGAATATAACCCTCCATGGCAGAATATAATCATCCTTGGCAGAATATAACCCTCCCTGGCAGAATATAACTCCCCCTGACAGAATATAACCCTTCCTGGCAGAATATAACTCCCCCTGGCAGAAAATAACTCATCCTGGCAGAATATAACTCCCCCTGGCAGAATATAACTCCCTCTGGCAGAATATAACACTCGCTTGCAGAATATAACTCCCCCTGGCAGAATATAACCCTCCCTAGCAGAATATAACCCTCCCTGGCAGAATATAACACTCGCTTGCAGAATATAACTCCCCCTGGCAGAATATAACCCTCCCTGGCAGAATATAACCCCCCCTGGCAGAATATAACTCTCCCTGGCAGAATATAACTCCCCCTGGCAGAATATAACCCCCCTAGCAGAATATAACCCTCCCTGGCAGAATATAACCCTCCATGGCAGAATATAATCATCCTTGGCAGAATATAACCCTCCCTGGCAGAATATAACTCCCCCTGACAGAATATAACCCTTCCTGGCAGAATATAACTCCCCCTGGCAGAAAATAACTCATCCTGGCAGAATATAACTCCCCCTGGCAGAATATAACTCCCTCTGGCAGAATATAACCCTCCCGGCAGAATATAACCCTCGCTTGCAGAATATAACCCCCCCCCCTGGCAGAATATAACTCCCCCTGGCAGAATATAACCCCCCTAGCAGAATATAATCCTCCCTGGCAGAATATAACCTTCCGCTTGCAGAATATAACTCCCCTGGCAGAATAGCCCCCTGGCAGGAATATAACTCTCCCTGGCCGGAATATACGGCCCCTAGAATATAACCCCCTAGCAGAATATACCCTCCTGGCAGAATATAACCCACCAAGCAGGGAATATAATCATCCTTGGCAGAATATAGCCACTCCCTGGCAGAATATAACTCCCCTACAGGAATATAATCCTCCCTGGCAGAATATAACCCTCGCTTGCAGAATATAACTCCCCTCTGGCAGAATATAACTCCCCCTGGCAGAATATAACCCCCCTGGCAGAATATAATCCTCCCTGGCAGAATATAACCCTCGCTTGCAGAATATAACTCCCCTCTGGCAGAATATAACCCTCCCTGGCAGAATATAACTCTCCCTGGCAGAATATAACTCCCCCTGGTAGAATATAACCCCCCCTGGCAGAATATAATCCTCCCTGGCAGAATATAACCCTCGCTTGCAGAATATAACTCCCCCTGGCAGAATATAATCCTCCCTGGCAGAATATAAGCCTCGCTTGCAGAATATAACTCCCCCTGGCAGAATATAACCCCCCTAGCAGAATATAACTCCCCCTGGCAGAATATAACCCTCCCCGGCAGAATATAACTCCCCCTGGCAGAATATAACCCTCCCTGGCAGAATATAACTCCCCCTGGCAGAATATAACTCCCCCTGGCAGAATATAACCCTCCCCGGCAGAATATAACCCTCGCTTGCAGAATATAACTCCCCCTGGCAGAATATAACCCTCCCTGGCAGAATATAACTCCCCCTAGCAGAATATAACCCTCGCTTGCAGAATATAACTCCTCCTGGCAGATAATATCTCTAACTGGCAGATTTAGGACAAACTAATCACACATAACTGTTTAGTACTAAGTCACCGGATAGTAAACCCCCCCCCCCCCCCTCCGTTTCCCCCTCAACTCTTGTGGGTTTAGTAAGAGATCTGGAAATCCTCATCTGGTCTAAAGTCATTAATAAAAACCACTTACTTTCTCAATGTGGAAAAAACCTTAAACTTGCTCCACTAACTGGTCTTCAAACACTTCCGTACTCCCCCATAAACAGCTCACCCCCCTCATTGCTGTCGTACAGTCAGTGTTTAGAGGAAACTCAGTGACAGTGTGTGTTGTTTGACATTGTATGCGGGATCATGTTTGTCGTTTTGTTTTTCTCTTGTCTGCTGTTTTTCCCTTTGAAAGGTAAGATGTTTCATTCACTGCTGGCAATCAGAGCTTGATTAACCAGTAGGCAGCTGCCTACAGCCCAGGGTTTAGACAGGGCCAGGGGTCCACTTAAAATACTGGCCAAGCTTGGAGCCATTTACCATCCCTATATGATGAGTGAGGGGGGCTCAAACTGGTAATCTGCCTACGGCTGGCATCACACAGTGACTGGAACTGTGCCACCTATGGTATCATTCATTCTGCAAAGTGAATGCCACACATCTGATACAGGTTAATAATTTGATATGTTATTGTTACTCAGAGTTATGGGGTCTTTTTGGTTGTGTCAATATTTTATGTCATTTGTTTCAGGTTTTTTGTTGCGCAGTTAAACTGCAACATCATTATATATTTACTATTTCAGTTTAATTTGTTATATTTAATGTAGAATTGGCCAGCTCCTCTGTGTGGCTGGAAATAAATAAATAGCAAATATTGGTTTGGGGACACTTTGTCTTGTGTCATTTCTATTGGGGACATATAGTTTTGGGTCGGTTGGTTTGGGGTCACTTAGTCTTGTGCCATTTCTATTGGGGACATATAGTTTTGGGTCGGTTGGTTTGGGGTCACTTAGTCTTGTGTCATTTCTATTGGGGACATATAGTTTTGGGTCGTTGGTTTGGGGTCAGATGGTGTAAGGCCAGTAGATGTTTGAGGACTAATATGATTGTTGAACAGGTAGCAGTTGGGTGGGATATCCAGTGAAATTTATAAATGCGTATTTTCCTTATTGGTTTTGGTTCAGACAATGCGAGAACCCTCCTGGTTAATAGTGGAAATTTCCCATTTTATAGCCTTTGTTAAGAACTAAAATCTATTGATGAATACACTGTCACAACTAGTCGGGTACCGTCCAGTGACTGCAATGTCCAGATGTTGATTCACATTCTCAGTTCAGCCTACAAATTAGAGTGATTACAGAACTTTTCTGTCCGTTGGAAACCAAATAGCTGGAATTCAGAACCAAATTATTGAAATATGAAGCTGAACTCTCAGATCCAAAAGTATTGACCACTTGTTGTCTGCAAATTGAGTCCAACCACATTTACACAATTCTAATACAAGATACAGCACATCTGTTATCAACAGCATTTAGATAACTAACTCCCAGCGAGATAGAGAGATACATTATACCCCAATAATTAAATCATAGATGTTTTTGTTATAAATGGCATACTACAGAATTATGATATATATATGTGTGTTAAATTAATGTTATTATGTATATATATAAATTTTGACCCTCTGCATGCTGGCTGCACGTGCCTCCATTACAGTGGATTTATTAGATGTGTCCACAAAATGTAGATTCATTTATTTTACAAATTGTGAGAATTTAAGCTGACTTCTAAGTGAATTTCAAATTTAAGGTCAAATTTGCTGAACTGAAAAAGTTCTCAAATGCAGCTTGGCTTCTAGTTTGGTTACTCAGGATTTAAATTTGAAATTCACTTTGAATTCTCATGTTAGCAAATAGCCCTGTAAGATTTGCACGTGATAATTACTGATTGTAAAGCAGACGTTGGTGCATTTGATTCAAAATGATTGAAATGCGTCCGTATTTGTCGTCAACTAATAAGGAGAATTGAAAAATTGGCTGTAAACTAATTATTTTAATGGAATTTTGCTGATCCGGACAAAATTCGGTCCTTATTAAGTGAACCGAGACCGATGCAGGAAGTAAAACTAAAACCTTTTAGATTCACTTTTGAGCACTTACAGTTTAATTTAAATCCCATGTTTTATTTATTCTGTTATAAGATTACGTGGAAACTTTGCACCCTGTAACATTACCCTGTGAATTGCATCTCACTGTAGGTCATGTTTAAAGAGGAATATACTGTTCCCTCTGGGAACGTGCTCATTAACAGTACAAGAGAACATCTTCACCAACTGAGATTTTACCTAGAGCAGCAGAGAAGTACTTATACTAATGGTTCAGTATTCGCTGTCTATGGGGGGCTGGCTGTCAAACTGTGAGGGGGACGTAGCGAGCTACACTTAATGTTAATATAATGATTACTTGGGGATTGACGGGAAAAAACAGTATTGGCTGCCACTAATCTTGAGCTGCAAGTCGCTGTTAGGGCCCAATCCAGCTCTATGTCTGCACAAATGGTGCATGATGCTACATCGCCTCGTGGACCCAGAATTATAATGTTTACGTTTCGTACCCTGGGTAATAACACTCTGTGAGGACCACCAGGCGTTCATTCAAACAGCATTCTCTAAGATTTACACTTTATGTTGAAATATAAACTCCCATGTCTAAGGGTCGCACAGCCAGGATGTGTAAAGAAAATGAAAAGGTAAAATTAGGCACGGGAGATAGTTTTTGCATGAATTTGCAGCGTGCTAGGATGTAGTGGCCAGTTTCCTTTCGTGGTTACTGTGGCTTTTAAATGAGCGAAGGAGTTAACTGCTCTCACTGCCGGTGAATCTCACTCTGTGTGCGGAAACATTTACTTTCACAACAATTTGACCACGTTCTTTTTTTCTATCAGCGGATTCTCACAGCGCACGCCGTGTGTCAGTGGAGGAAGGAGATACGTTAACATTAAAATGTGTGTTTCCTGCTAATGACGAATCCAGCATGCAGTGGGCGACACCGAGGGGCTTTACGTTATATTTCAATGATCAGAAAGGTTAGTGGAAAGCCCGAGGGGCAATAACAGGAGGGAGGGGGAGAACTGTAATAATGGACGTTTACCAGCCATCCACTGAGGCCGAGAAATGGTGGGAGGAACCTTAAACTCATGAGTCAAAAGTCAATTATCTCTGCCTCTCATTCATTCCGTTCAAAGGGGAGATTTACAAAAGTGTCCAGGCCAGACAACTGGAGCAAAATGTGGAGTAATTACCATGGAAAGCTAATCTCTTAGATTGTAAGCTCCTTTGAACAGACCCCTGTTCACCTCTTGTCCACATTATTGGCAATTACTTGCCTATCTACACTGCGGAATATGTTGGAGCTAGTTATCGAAATCAACTCATTGCTCGAGTTTTATATTATGACATTTTGATAAATCTCCCCCCATTAGTTGTTCTTTATACAAAGCAATTAAGGGGAAATTTCCAAAAAGTGCAGCAATCAGCATGTTATTCTATTGGTTGCCATGGTGAGAACTCTACTTTTACCCCAGAATTGCTCAGTATAAATGTGTCCATAAAGCTTTCTATTCTAAATTTCTCCTTTTTCAGAAATACAAGCCATAATATAAATACTCTCTATGCAGGAACACATCTTGTGAAATTGTAACTTGAATGTGATGTGTTTTGTTCCAGTTTTAAAAGACAGAAGATTTGAGCTCATTCGCTACTCAAAGAATAGGCTAATTATTCGCCTCTCCAACGTGACAGTAGAAGACGAAGGAATGTATTCGTGTTTGCGATACAGCCACCCAACCCAGAGAAGGGACATTAATGTAACCGTGTTAGGTAAGTCACTACCAGATATGGAAAGATAGCAACACAAGATTGGGACTACAAACATTAGAAGAATACAAACATTAGGAGAACAGAGAATTAGAATTAAAGTAGGATGGGCTGCACATAGAGCCCCCTGGCAGACACAGCTTGGAAAATGCTGGAAAGGTATTCCAGTTATAGCATGGTTTCAGATCTAATTTCCAGCTATATTATGGTAAACTCCAGGGGTTAATTTCAGTTATTTTATGGTAAATTCCAGCGGTTAGTTCCAGTTATTTTATGGTAAATTCCAGGGGTTAGTTCCAGGTATTTTATGGTAAATTCCAGCGGTTAGTTCCAGTTATTTTATGGTAAATTCCAGGGGTTAGTTCCAGGTATTTTATGGTAAATTCCAGCGGTTACTTCCAGTTATTTTATGGTAAATTCCAGGGGTTAGTTCCAGATATTTTATGATAAATTCCAGGGGTTAGTTCCAGTTATTTTATGGTAAATTCCAGCAGTTAGTTCCAGTTATTTTATGATAAATTCCAGGGGTTAGTTCCAGTTATTTTATGGTAAATTCCAGGGGTTAGTTCCAGTTATTTTATGGTAAATTCCAGCAGTTACTTCCATTTATTTTATGGTAAATTCCAGGGATTAGTTCCAGTTATTTTATGGTAAATCCCACCGGTTAGTTCCAGTTATTTTATGGTAAATCCCACCGGTTAGTTCCAGTTATTTTATGGTAAATTCCAGGGGTTAGTTCCAGTTATTCTATGGTAAATTCCAGCCGTTGGTTCCAGTTAATTTATGGTAAATTCCAGGGGTTAGTTCCATTTATTTTATGGTAAATTCCAGGGGTTAGTTCCATTTATTTTATGGTAAATTCCAGGGGTTAGTTCCATTTATTTTATGGTAAATTCCAGGGGTTAGTTCCATTTATTTTATGGTAAATTCCAGGGATTAGTTCCAGTTATTTTATGGTAAATCCCACCGGTTTGTTCCAGTTATTTTATGGTAAATTCCAGCCGTTGGTTCCAGTTATTTTATGGTAAATTCCAGGGGTTAGTTCCATTTATTTTATGGTAAATTCCAGGGATTAGTTCCAGTTATTTTATGGTAAATCCCACCGGTTTGTTCCAGTTATTTTATGGTAAATTCCAGCAGTTAGTTTCAGTTATTTTATGGTAAATTTCAGGGGTTAGTTCCAGTTATTCTATGGTAAATTCCAGCCGTTGGTTCCAGTTAATTTATGGTAAATTCCAGGGGTTAGTTCCATTTATTTTATGGTAAATTCCAGGGGTTAGTTCCATTTATTTTATGGTAAATTCCAGGGGTTAGTTCCAGCTATTTTATGGTAAATTCCAGCAGTTAGTTCCAATTATTTTATGGTAAATTTCAAGGGTTAGTGCCACTTATTTTATGATAAATTCCAGGGGTTAGTTCCAGTTATTTTATGGTAAATTCCAGCAGTTAGTTTCAGTTATTTTATGGTAAATTCCAGGGGTTAGTTCCAGTTATTTTATGGTAAATTCCAGCAGTTAGTTCCAGTTATTTTATGGTAAATTACAGGGGTTAGTTCCAGTTATTTTATGGTAAATTGCAGGGGTTAGTTCCATTTATTTTATGGTAAATTCCAACGGTTAGTTCCAGTTATTTTATGGTAAATTCCAGCGTTTTTTTCCAGTTATTTTATGGTAAATTCCAGCAGTTAGTTTTAGTTATTTTATGGTAAATTTCAGAGGTTAGTTCCAGTTATTTTATGGTAAATTCCAGCAGTTAGTTCCAGTTATTTTATGGTAAGTTCCAGGGGTTAGTTCCAGTTATTTTATGGTAAATTCCAGGGATTAGTTCCAGTTATTTTATGGTAAATTCCAGGGTTAGTTCCAGTTTTTAATTTATGGTAAATTCCAGCAGTTAGTTACAGTTATTTTATGGTAAATTCCATCAGTTAGTTACAGTTATTTTATGGTAAATTCCAGCGGTTAGTTACAGTTATTTTATGGTAAATTCCAGGGGTTAATTCCAGTTATTTTATGGTAAATTCCAGCAGTTAGTTCCAGTTATTTTATGGTAAATTCAAGCAGTTAGTTTCAGTTATTTTATGGTAAATTCCAGCAGTTAGTTCCAGTTATTTTATGGTACATTCCAGGGGTTAATTCCAGTTATTTTATGGTAAATTCCAGCAATTAGTTCCAGTTATTTTATGGTAAATTCCAGGGGTTAGTTCCAGTTATTTTATGGTAAATTCCAGGGGTTAGTTCCAGTTATTTTATGGTAAATTCCAACGGTTAGTTCCAGTTATTTTATGGTAAGTTCCAGGGGTTAGTTCCAGTTATTTTATGGTAAATTCCAGCGGTTAGTTCCAGTTATGGCATAGTTAGTTCAGGTTATATCACGGTTAGTTATTTTTTTAGACTACCTGCAATGTTTATAATGAATGAAAACGTAGTTATATATAATAAAGTTTGTTTATAATATTCTATTTTTCTTTAGCTGTTCCCACTAAACCTGTGTTGGGTTTTACTCTAATCCCTGGGAGCAGCAACGCACATTATGCAATACTGAACTGTTTTACGAGCGGATGCAAACCTCCTCCCAAAATCACATGGCTAATCGATAACACAACAGAAGTATATGGTAAGAGCTGTCTGTCTGCCCGATCTTAATTTCTTACAACTGAAGAGGTTATTGTCATTGATTACGAAGACTCCAGTTTAGAGACATGCTCACTTATTTTATAATTTAACTTTTTTAGGAAACACTTTTTTAGTTATTCTCATATTGGGAGTCTGTTTGGGGGGGAGATTAACTCTTAGACCCAGTGTGTATTTTCTGGCCATTACCTGGATCAGAGGAGCACAGATAAAGTTACCAAATACATCCTGTAGGGGGCTTACATTAAAACAAATGATTGTAGTTCTCTTTGTATTTGTTACATTTTCTAAAGATGGTCTAAAACAAACATGTCAAACTCGCAGCCCCGTATGCGGCCCACAATGGGGACATCCTTGCAGCCTGACAAGCCGCGAGTACATGCTTAGTGTTAAAGCAGAGTAGGCACCTGCTTTCTCCACATTGCAAGTGCCTACTCTGCTAAAATTTACAGGGCAGGGGGAAGAGGTCACTGGAGGAGCTCAGTCTTCCTGCTCCTCACTACTCCCTCGAGCGCGCCATCTGTAGTAATGCTGGGTGCCGATATATGACGTCATATTCCGGCACCCGGCATCATTACAGACGGCGCATGTGAATAGCAGTGAGCAGCAGGAAGGAGATCTTCAGATAGAAGATCCCCATTTGACCTCCTGGGATAAATACAATGATGTGAGTGTGTGCAAGAATGTGTAAATGTGTGTGTGTGTGTGTCTGTGTATGTTAGTGAGTGAGTGTGTGTGTCTGTCTGTGTACCAGTGAGTGTTTGTGTGTCTGTCTGTCAATGAGTGTGTGTGTCTATCAGTAAGTGTGTGTGTGTCTGTCTGTGTGTGTATGTCAGTGAATGTGTATATCTGTCTGTGTGTGTCAATGAGTGTCTGTGTGTCTGTCTGTATGTGTCTGTGTCAGTGAGTGTGTGTGTGTCTGTCTGTGTGTGTCTGTGTGTCTGTCAGTGTGTGTATGTGTGTGTGTCAGTGAGTCTGTGTGTCTGTCAGCGAGTGTGTCTTTGTGTGTGTCTGTCAGTGAGTGTGTGTGTGTGTCAGTCAGTGTTGCGATAGCCGCGGCTGGACCTTGGAGGACCTGGAGGCACACGGAGGCATGCAATGCCACGCCACATTTCAATGTGACGTCAATGTGCTCCACCTTCACAGGGTTTCAAGAAGTAGCGGGAGGATCCGCTTTGGCACAGGGTGCGGACAGTGACATTTGAGGTATACCAGAGGCTGGACTCCAGAGTCGCATACTGGCAGCGGCAATGTGAGTGGATTGGAGTGCAGAAATAAATGACTGAAAGATTAATTAATCCGTTGTGTCGCTAAACAAATGCAGCACATTCAATGAAATGAGAAGAGACAAAAAAAATTCAAAACAATAGTTTGTGAGGAAGATATACCAAAAAAAGCACAAAAACTGTCTGTGACCCCAATAACTCTCTCTTCTAGTACGTAAGTGAATTTTCTTTGAATGTTATTTTTTTAAGGTAAAACAAGGGCGAGTTTTGAAAATAATGGAAAAAAATGTAACGCCACCAGCACGTTACGGATCAACGCGTTTACATACAATTCGACCATCACATGCATCGTGAGACACAGAACGCTCCTTCCCGGGCACCTGGCGGCTTCTTTCGCATTTCATGCATTGCGTAAGTAAATGGCGAAAGCAGGAACATATCCTATCCGGGTCTTTATTCAATAAAGACGGAAACAGTATAAATACAGTTATTAAAGGGAATTCTGAAATCGCTCCAGCTGCAGAGATTAACAGTATCAGTCAATTAAACGGAAGTTCCAAATCTGAAGTTTTCACGAAGAGTGGGGCGAGGCTGACACTTTTAGTACTATGTATAGCAGGCACTTAGATTATGTCAGTAATATTGTTAAATCTTGTCTCCAATACCCAATTAGAACATTTGGTTGGGGGAGGGAGGCTGTAAATTCTCGGCTAGGGGATATAGATCACTGGCCAATATGCTTTCTGCCAGTTATGTAATTCTTCCATAAGTGATGACACTTCGCTACACAGATAAGGAAGATGTAAATGTAGCTGTTTGAGATGGATTTGCTGAGAACATACAGTTGTTAATTTCTTTAAATCTGCTGTGACAGGGAAACAGGGAAACAGCATAAGGATAATAATTACAGAAGTTGTAGTAATTATGTCATAACTAATAACACGCAAGGTTTGCCAAATGCAGTGTGTCTGGAGCACTGGTAGGATTTGTGAACATGGCAATCTTAGATTATGTCAGTAAACCCCCTGTAGTGAGGCATTTTATGACCCATTGGATTAATTCCACAAACATAGTTGTTCAGGCTAATGAAAGGTTTAAGGTACCAGTTGGCGGAGGTGACAGATTCTGTCTGTTATGTAAGAGAGAAGTTTTGGGGATTTTTACTTTTGGGACGAGGAGGCCACTAGGATTGAACAAAGAATGGGATTCCATTTTTATTTTTTAAGTGAAATTGTGTGTACATGGGTTAATAATTATTAAATGGACACTCCACTGCCCAAATGAATAAAAATCCCTGTTTAATATATATCCTGCCATTGAAAACATGCATGTATTTAATTATGCATTTTTCCATTGGAGGTATATATAAAACAGATTGGAGAAGTTACAGATCTTTTGTCTGTAGCCTTTTACAAACCATCCTCTTCTAATCCCACCCAGACTATTTTTGGCTGTCCAATCACAGACTTTCCAGTGCAACTCAATGAGAAGTCTTTGCAAGGCAGGTGCTCTGGGCAAATGTTGCCTACTGAGTTTATCTCTACTGAGCTAACCAAACCCGGAAGTAACAGCACCAGTTCTTTGATTGACAACCAAGGGGGGTGTAGCCAGTATAATTTATAAATGTTTTAATTTCTATTGAAATCTGCACTTTTTGCAAAATGGAAAAAAATAGCACACACTCTTCCCACATAAAGCTTTTAAGCAAGATAACGTGCTTCAGGGGTCTGGAGTGTCCATTTAAACTTCTTTTTATACATTTTTGATGTCATAATTATTTTAGAGAATTTATACAGAATCTATGTCACATATATTTCTCTTCAAAATTGAATATTTTTCTGCGTGTTCTATGGTCTACCTTTCTCTCATAATACTGTTTGTTTCACTCTATATTTTTATCCTTTATGGTGATTATATGCTCTTAGGTGAGGATGGGGTTAAATTGTTTTCAACACGGCTATGTACCTGCAAACTCTTGGACCCCCCTATTGCTATTTGATTAAAATTCCCCATAGTTCTCATAATTATTGACCCTTTGTAATGCAATAATGTCATTTATTATGTTTGCAGCTGCCCAGACATCCCAAAGTTCAGTTACTTTATCTCCCATTCCCGTTACTTCCCAGGATTTTACAGGTGAGTTTGAAATTTGTAAAATTACAATATCTTCATGGTTTCATTGTTTTTCTTGCCCTTTACCATTTTGAAAATCCTTGTGGATACACTGGTTTAATTCACAGATTAATAAAAAAAATGAGGTTACATTAAAGGAAATCTAGTTGGTGTTAGGGTTATGCAGACCTTTAGGGTTCAGTGTTTAGTGTACAGAGAATTGCAGAATCCAGGGTTTAGTCTATAGAGAGCTGCAGGGTTCGCTCTGTAGAGAGCTGCAGGGTTTCGTCTATAGAGAGCTGCAGGGTTCGCTCTATAGAGAGCTGCAGGGTTCGCTCTATGGAGAGCTGCAGGGTTCGCTCTATAGAGAGCTGCAGGGTTCGCTCTATGGAGAGCTGCAGGGTTCGCTCTATAGAGAGCTGCAGGGTTTACTCTATAGAGAGCTGCAGGGTTTAGTCTATAGAGAGCTGTAGGGTTCGCTCTATAGAGAGCTGCAGGGTTCACTCTATAGAGAGCTGCAGGGTTTAGTCTATAGAGAGCTGCAAGGTTCGCTCTATAGAGAGCTGCAGGGTTCACTCTATAGAGAGCTGCAAGGTTCACTCTATAGAGAGCTGCAGGGTTCACTCTATAGAGAGCTGCAGGGTTTAGTCTATAGAGAGCTGCAGGGTTCGCTCTATGGAGAGCTGCAGGGTTTAGTCTATAGAGAGCTGCAGGGTTCGCTCTATAGAGAGCTGCAGGGTTCGCTCTATGGAGAGCTGCAGGGTTTAGTCTATAGAGAGCTGCAGGGTTCGCTCAATGGAGAGCTGCAGGGTTTGCTCTATAGAGAGCTGCAGGGTTCGCTCTATGGAGAGCTATAGGGTTCGCTCTATGGAGAGCTGCAGGGTTTAGTCTATAGATAGCTGCAGGGTTCACTCTATAGAGAGCTGCAGGGTTCGCTCTATAGAGAGCTGCAGGGTTAAGTCTATAGAGAGCTGCAGGGTTCACTCTATAGAGAGCTGCAGGGTTCACTCTATAGAGAGCTGTAGGGTTCGCTCTATAGAGAGCTGCAGGGTTCACTCTATAGAGAGCTGTAGGGTTCGCTCTATAGAGAGCTGCAAGGTTTAGTCTATAGAGAGCTGCAAGGTTCACTCTATGGAGAGCTGCAGGGTTTAGTCTATAGAGAGCTGCAGGGTTTACTCTATAGAGAGCTGCAGGGTTAAGTCTATAGAGAGCTGCAGGGTTAAGTCTATAGAGAGCTGCAGGGTTCACTCTATAGAGAGCTGCAGGGTTCGCTCTATGGAGAGCTGCAGGGTTAAGTCTATAGAGAGCTGCAGGGTTTAGTCTATAGAGAGCTGCAGGGTTCACTCTATAGAGAGCTGCAGGGTTTAGTCTATAGAGAGCTGCAGGGTTCGCTCTATAGAGAGCTGCAGGGTTCACTCTATAGAGAGCTGCAGGGTTTAGTCTATAGAGAGCTGCAGGGTTTAGTCTATAGAGAGCTACAGGGTTCACTCTATAGAGAGCTGCAGGGTTCACTCTATAGAGAGCTGTAGGGTTCGCTCTATAGAGAGCTGCAGGGTTCACTCTATAGAGAGCTGTAGGGTTCGCTCTATAGAGAGCTGCGGGGTTTAGTCTATAGAGAGCTGCAGGGTTCACTCTATAGAGAGCTGCAAGGTTTAGTCTATAGAGAGCTGCAAGGTTCACTCTATGGAGAGCTGCAGGGTTTACTCTATAGAGAGCTGCAGGGCTAAGTCTATAGAGAGCTGCATAGTTTAGTCTATGGAGAGCTGCAGGGTTAAGTCTATAGAGAGCTGCAGGGTTCACTCTATAGAGAGCTGCAGGGTTCGCTCTATGGAGAGCTGCAGGGTTAAGTCTATAGAGAGCTGCAGGGTTTAGTCTATAGAGAGCTGCAGGGTTCACTCTATAGAGAGCTGCAGGGTTTAGTCTATAGAGAGCTGCAGGGTTCGCTCTATGGAGAGCTGCAGGGTTCACTCTATAGAGAGCTGCAGGGTTTAGTCTATAGAGAGCTGCAGGGTTCGCTCTATAGAGAGCTGCAAGGTTAAATCTATAGAGAGCTGCAGGGTTAAATCAATAGAGAGCTGCAGGGTTAAGTCTATAGAGAGCCGTAGGGGTCACTCTACGGAGAGGTTTAGGTTCAAGGTTCAGACTGTAAGATATTCTGGTTGAATGCTGCAGGATTCAGTCTTGGAGGAATTCAAAGAGAATTTTAAATGTTAGGCCATCGTTTTCCGTGTAAGTTACTGATTTCCATATCTTGGCATTCATTTCCCAGTCACTGCCTCCCCAGTGGGATTTATTCACTAAACTTGGGGCGAAAGTCCAATGGGCTTGGAGACTGCATTTCTGCATGAATCCAGTAGATGGCGCTGTATATCTGATAGATAGACTATAATTTTTGTTCACCCAATTAAAACACTATGTGCGTGTTGTTATGGTGGCTTCTGTGCTGTAAAGTAACTTCTACAAATACCTAAAATTTTATCTCAGATAATTCCGTGTAAATGAGGAAACTGAGACATGTGGTTCAATCTCTAATGGATATTCCTCCCGCAGGGGCACTCGCTAGCTCATTTACCATTTTGTGTGTTTCCTCAATCAGTTTCATGTCCGCTTTAGTGATAGGATTTTTGTCCATATTTGGCTGGCCCTGATTGGTCGATGGTTGAAACTGTCCTTACTGATTTAGAAGTGGAGCTTTGTCCGAAGCAATCCGGTCTCTGGAAACTCGTGGACACGCAAGTTTGGTCAAACAGCTTGAAAATGGTTTAACTTAAAAGCAGGAAAGTCGGCCGCCGCCTGCTTGAACCAAATGTACTGTTGTGGCTTGTTCTCAGGGACCAGATTCGCAGGATTTCGGATTTCTACCATTTACTTGACTATTTTCCAGTGAAGATATTGATTAAACCTCCACAGTTAGTAGACTTTTGCACAAAAGCTTTTTAACGGGTGCAAACAAATCAAATTCCTTTTAATCTACGACCGAGCCAAAAGATCTATAAAGGAATTACCTGTCGAGTATGAAACGTTTGTGCTCAAGTCTGGTAGTTATTGTTTAGTGAGCGACGGATTGGGAACCACACATTAAAGTGGTAAAATCTGCCTTTTTCCGTAAACAGCAGTGATTCATGCTAAACAGGGTGACAAATAAAGGACAATTTAATTAAAATAATGAACATCCACTTATCTGAGTCATAAGGGTATAACATTACCTTTGGCGTTATTCTCTAAACCACGATCTTTGGGGAATTAAAACGTCTAAGCCAAAATATGTGAATTTTAAAAAGATTTCAAAATTGCCTATTTTTGGCATCTGGCATATTTCCCATCTCCCTATCAAATTCCCCCAGCACCCCACAAGTAACATTGCCACTTTAGCCATGTTTCCCCAGGCACCCTACAGGTTCAGGAAGAGAGCTGCCCAACAAGATATAGAATTCACATGATTCCTTTAATCATGGCAGAATTGCTCAGTCCGTCCAACTGCCAGACAGAACTAATCACTCACCGCTCAGCAAAATAGGAGATTTATAGCTGTCTGGGAGACCTTCCGCTGTTCAGACATGCAAGCGTTTATTATTTTATTTCCATTTGTCAAAAAAAAAAAAAGGATTTGCCATTGTAGGAATCTTTCCCAAGAGTCGCTGCTGCGTCTCTCTCATTTCTGTGTGATAAAAGGTTAGATGTGTGTTCCTTGCACTTACACCTCAGATGTTTTTTTTTTTACTGTTTAACGTTTGTGAGAAGCTGTGAAAGGTGCCAGCAATAAAGAGAGAGGCCGTGTTCGGCGTAGCTCATAATGGCACCAGCATTCCGGTCAACTCGCACATTTATAGAGCGAAATTGCTTTCATTTTCTGCAAATGTGCGGAGTCTCAGCTGGGGGCACTAAAACCATCTGGGATTAGTCAATGGAGTCTCAGAACACAACACCTAGTACGCGAGTAATACCAGCGACTAATGCGCCACGTCCGTCAATCGCTCCGTTTAGAACACGGAAAACCCCAGTCTGGAAGGATCAAATTTTCTCAGTTTTCATAATAGAAAAAAAAGGAAATGTTCAATTGTCAGACACTCAATTCATTGCACTTAAATAAAATGGTGTGACTGCTATTGTCAATGGAATATGACTAAAATTACATAGAATTAAAGCCTGGAATATATGAAAATCTACTTTTTATATATAAGTGAATGTGTGTACTGGTGCTGTCCAAATATTTAAGGAGCTTGAACCTACATCTTAAAAAAAAAATCATGTAATATAAACTATATCTAATGCTGAGGCATTTATTAGGGGAAATCGAATAACATTCTCAAAGTGGAGCAATTGCCATGGCAACCAGTGGAATGTCCCAGCTAGTGGTCCTTTTAGAATTTTGCCCATGAATTGGTCTATATACAGAAAGCTATATCAAGATTATTAACTTTACACGGGATTGAGGGAATTGAAGAGAGAGATGCAAAATCCAGGCAAAAAAAAAAAAGCTGAATTGGAAAAATTCACCAACTAAATTATTGTTTCATATTCACTATTTTTGCTTACAGTTTGCAGTTACCAATGTAGTAAATGAATCCAAGAGTGTGTGTTGTTTATGGCATGTTAAATTTAAAGTGGCGGTATCACCTGTATGATGTTTACGACTTACAAGGTGCTCTCGCCACCTGTGGAGGTGGCCAACGGGGGCAGATAGGAGATATACTTACCTTAAGCTGTCTGTCTGTGGTACCACCATCTTCTCGCCGGCGTACTACTCGGTTTCGGGTGAATTAATTGTGAATCCAAGATGATATAAAATGGGGTCTATAGAAGATTAAACAAAACCGAAAGATATTCCATAGGCAATTTGGCGCAGGAACAACATGGTGACCTGAGCATCTATTGCTCATAACGTCAAATTGCTGTCAGGCATTGTGAATTTTTGCCAAAGATGAATAATTTAATGCTACTGTGACAGACCACCTGGCACCCCGACTGGGTGCCTCCGCCAATCGATGTTTCTTAGCTGTTGCTGAGTACCATAAGCACAGCACTGGACACCATAAGCACCGAAGCCCGTTAGCCGCCGCAGCTTGGCTGGGGCCTCGTCGTCCCTTCCCACCCTGCACCACACTCCTGGATCCAGCTCCCAGTGGGAAGGCCTCTCCTCCAAGAGAGTATAGCAGGTATAATAGTGTAGCTCTTACAAGAGCTAGTGATTATAGCAATCCAAAGAACAAGCCCAGAAGCAGGGATTATAGCAGGTATAGCGGTACCCTCAATCACGAGACTCTGTGTTGAGGGTAAGCAGGAACTTTTTTTATTGGTAGCCACAACTGGCCTTATATGCAAGTTCCCATGCAAGGGACACTCCCCCCTGGACCTGAGAGTAAACCACAGCAGAAACAAATACATGATTACATTATCTCTCAGATCCAGGACACTCCCACACATATCTAGGTCAATCCCGCCTCCTACCTGGGAGATAATTGAGTCAAGAACTGTATTAACCTAATTATCTCCAGACACAAAAACACACATTTTTATAAAACCCCCCCAAATACCTTTAAAATATACAAAACCCCCACAAAAGTTATATCCCCTCATAGTCCCAATCTGGGTGATTCCTGGATATGTTCGTCACCCAGATCGGGGCTACGAGGGGATATAACTTTTGTGGGGGTTTTGTATATTTTAAAGGTATTTGAGGGGTTTTATAAAAAATTGTGTTTTTGTGTCTGGAGATAATTAGGTTAATCCCCTCATAGCCCCGATCTGGGTGACGAACATATCCAGGAATCACCCAGATTGGTTCAGGGGTTCATGAATTTCCTGGAAGTCTTATTTTTGACCGACCACACGCATGGCCCCATGTCCAAAACAGTTCCAGAGAATCAGGACTTGCGGTCGGTCTAGTTCGGTAGTTTAAAAATGAACAAACTACCGAACAGAATCAATGTTCTTACACTGGAGCTTGTTCCACTCATCCAGACGAACGATTCCACCAAACAGTGCCCTTCTAAATTGTATACAACTGAACGCAGGCGATGATGGAAGTCCAGCGGTGTTCGGGAGTTTCTGTGTCCGAATTTAGTTCCATGAGATTCATGCCCAAACACTGCTGCCTGCGTTCATTAGAACAAGTTGGCCGCCACCTTGTGGTTGTCCATAGGAATTGCGGCCACCCAGACGAACAATTAGAACACTGCGGTGAGAACTGTTCCAATGTGTTAATAGGTGTTAACAAGCTCCCAGGTGGTCCCTGGTTCGTGCGGTTGTTCGGTAGTCAAACGGGACAATGTTAGAATAGGAGGGTAATGCAATCTACCGAACAAACAGGAGAATGGAACAGAAATCTTTTTCATCTGTCACAGCTACAAACTAATCCCTACTTTATCTCATGAACATCTTTTTTGATTGTGTTGGAATTTCTAAGAAAGTACAATTTGTTCTAAAAGAGCCTTTCATTAAGATTCCGTATTTACAAAAATGTGACAGAGCTGATTTAATAAAAGGTTTGATTGAATGTAATATATACAGTATATCTGATATATATTAAATCATGTAGAGGAGGAAATCATTGACATAGAAAAGTTTAAAAAGAACCAACTGCTTTGAAGAAGGACTGCAATCGATTGGGTTTAATAAAACACATCGACAGGAGCACTTGAAAGATTTTATAAGTGAAATAATATTCTCTTTTGCATAATTAATACGGACTAGAAGTGCAATTAAAATCATTAGTTATAAAACTGCCTTTTCCTTTCATGTACTGCGCCATTAACGCCTCATCAGACGCGCCACTTGAATATGTCTGGACCTGGCAGATAAAAGGCCCCTTGCTTCTCAGTTCTAAAAAGTCAGTGTTGTATCATTAAAAGAAGGGAACAAATTATTAGAAAATTAATTGAAACTTATTGCGGATGAGTTTAATTTCAAGCTTGATTTGACTAGATAGAATTAGTCTTCCTTTTGAAATAAACCCATTGAGAGGTGCGACTATTACACTGGTTTTACCTCCAAACGTTCTTTTTTTTAATCAGTTATCAAAGTTCTAAGAAAAAAAGAGCAGATTTTAGCAATCTCCAAAAACGTGCCTTTATTTTGCGGCATTTATAGGCACTATCTTGAACAGAAGTGTTTAAATACAGAGAAACTTTGATATAGAAACCCAACTAAATTTCTGGGTGTTAGAAATTATAGGGTAACTTCCAATCCAGTATCTTTAACCAAACTGTTATTTTTTCTGGCTTTTCACAGGAATCACAGGACAGTTTCAAAACCATCACAAACATTCATAGACCCTTTTAGTGGCAGAATTTCTTTAAGGAATGAATGTAGGGTTTCCCAGAGATATGTAGCCAAGTTTTCAGTTATTTTGACATTAAATATAAAAGTCACTTTGAATTCCGAAAAATTTCAAATTCAGTGAATTCAATCTCTAACCTATCATATCATTATATATGTCTTTGTTTTTAAGATTAAAAAGAAAGTTGTAAAATAATTGCGTTTTGGAAATTCACAATCTTTTTTCCGATATTTTTTAAAATTAATATTACATTGATATCAGTTAATTCCTCTTCTGCTTTCTAAAAAAAAATGCATAGAAACAAAATTTCGTGCAAAATATCTTCTCTTCTTATAAGTCCCCTTTCTGTACCAAATTATTTTATTTAGTGCCCATAATTCACTAGTTTTTAAGAATTTGCCGCTTCATCATATCCTAAACTAGATTCGCAGGTTACTGGACACGGTCACTGATTTACCATGACTTGCGCCTCACGATTAAAGTCCTTAATAAAATCAGTTAGGACTTAATTCTGCAAATTCAATTCATTTTCTTTAGGAATATAGTTTATCAATGAAGTAGCAGTTTTCCGTTTAATGAAATCCTATTTGTGATCTTTTCCCCTATAGGGTCGGTGACATATGATGTTACGTCAGACAGAGATATATCGTTATCTGCTGACCCCACCCCCAGAAATGAATTAAATGTAACTGACAGCATAGATATCACAGCAGGTAATAACTGTTACTTAACCCTAAAGTCTTACTTTGTTATTTATGACCTTCAGGTTCCTGAGAGTTATAGCTAACAAACATTTGCCAAATTTAGCCAAGGCTACCGGCTACGGCATACAGAACGTTTTCTCGATAATGATGAAATTCTAACTAAGTTTTTTTTACCCTTTGCATGTTTAAAGAGACAGTAACATCTCCTCACATCCGCGGAGAGAATGTATCGTCAGTCCATGATGTGAAAACAGCAAGCGAATACAATGTGACCAAAAATGAAAATTCAACGTCTGGTAGCTATCTATATCTCCATTCTTTATAAATAGAGCCGTATGGATGCCTGCGGTGAGAACAGTGATGCCACCATGCCATAGCTGTGCCAGGAATTGGCTGAAATAGAGCTTTGGGGGAAAAAAAAATATAATTTCATAGCTGTGACAATGGTTTTGTTATCGCAATTTCTGGCTATTTGGCTATATTTATAGTAAAGGTTCACTAATTAATCCCGCTCCCATATTGAAAGGATGTAATTTAGATAACTATACAACATCCCCCCCCATAGCATTTCATAGGCCTTAATACTTCCCAGCATGCACTGGGTTTTTCCGGTTGTTAAATCATTCTGATTGGTTGTATAAGTTGTGGTTGTGGTGGGATGGGTTTGGTGCCTTTTTATGGTAACATTTTACTGAATAATAAAAACATGACGCCCCCTTTGTTTCACAGAATTCGAAGTGCGTGACAGGAAATCGAGCAGCGTCCTAGTTATGGTGATGGTATCGCTCATGGTTTGCGTTCTGCTGTCCATTTTCTACCTGTTCCTAATGAAGCTAAAACGAGAACATTCTAAATGGAGGAAAGGTGAGAACTCCATGTCTTTAAGATGTCGGTAAATACATAAAAAATATAACATGGGATGACCTGTAATTTTTCCATAAATCAGTTTAAATCAGCTCCCCCCACAGCGTCACTTTATGTCTGTGAAATATTACATATTCTATATGTTCCTGTATTACAATGTCATTTGACCGTCAAGAGACGGGCAGTAAAACTGTAATCACCACTCGAAAAGAGACAACACTTTCTAGTGAGGCAGCCATTTGGAATCACAACTTTTCACACATTTAGTGGCAGCTGGAAAAATAATGCTAAAATCATGTTATGTCCTTCATCTCGTGTTTTGGTGTAAAACTTGCTGTTTATATCTGACACATACATTTATATTCACTAAAGTATGAATTGACAGAAATTTAAAGCTCCCAACATATTTTTAAGAATATATATTTATTTATTTTTTGCATAAAATATGAAATTTACTTAGAGTTAAAGGGATTCTCAAGACCCCTAAAGCACTTTATCTTGCTGAAAAGCCTTATGTTTAAAGAGTGTATCCTCTTTTTATTATTTTGCAAAAAGTGCACATTTCAACAGTAATTAACACTTTTATAAATGTACCTTGTTACACCCCCCTGGCTGTCAATCAGACAACTGGTCCTATTACTTCCCGGTTTGGTTAGTTCAGTGGAGATAAAGACAAGAAGCAGTAATTGCTCAAAGCACCTGCCTGGTAAAGACTTCTCATTGAGCTGCATTGGAAAGTCTGTGATTGGACAGTCATAGAAAGTCTGGGCGGGGTTAGAAGGGGAGGGCTTGCAAAGGCTGCAGACAAGAGATCTGCAGCTTTTGCAAACTGTTATTATATTTACCTCCAATAAACAAAAGGTAGAATTAAATTAATACATGGAGGTATATTTACCAAAGAGTTATTTTATTTATTTTGTATTTGGGCAATCAGTGTCCATTTAACTTTGAATTCTCCATATACCTGGTTAGGCAGGATATAGACCAGAAATACAGAGGAATTAAACAAGGCATGGGTCATAGATGAACATATATCAGATATATATTTTAACGCTCACTACCTTCAAACAGAATCTCACTGTGCATCATAAGAGTTGTAGTCCAGCTCCAAGTAACCTCTCACACTTAGTTTGACGGGACATACATTTCCAATTGCCAGAGTGTCTTGTGGGTGAGGTGGGGTTTCGCCTCGCATTTGGGAAAAGCAGATATAAAAACCCAGAACAAATTTATGATTTTCTTTATAAGGGAGTTAGAGAGTTAAATTGTCTGAGAGCCTGCAGAAGCTTTGACATTGTACGTGTAACTCTCCCAACCATGGGCAGACTTTCTACAACGTCTGAGTTTAGCATGTGGAGTGTGATGGCGCAACATTTAAAGGACCACTATAGTGCCAGGAAAACATACTCGTTTTCCTGGCACTATAGTGCCCTGTGGGTGCCTCCACCCTCAGGGTTCCCCTCCCGCCGGGCTGGATGGCGAGGAAAGGGGTTAAACTTACCTTTATTCCAGCGCTGGGCGGGGAGCTCTCCTCCTCCTCTCCGCCTCCGATCCTCCTCTTCGGCTGAATGCGCATGAGCGGCAGGAGCTGCGCGCGTATTCTGCCAGTCTCATAGAAACGCATTTACAATGCTTTCCTATGGACGCTGATGTCTTCTCACTGTGATTTTCACAGTGAGAAGCACGCCAGCACCTCTAGCGGCTGTCAATGAGACAGCCACTAGAGGCTTTAGAGGCTTGATTAACCCATTTATAAACATAGCAGTTTCTCTGAAACTGCTATGTTTATAAAAAAAAGGGTTAATCCTAGAGGGACCTGGCACCCAGACCACTTCATTAAGCTAAGGTGGTCTGGGTGCCTTGAGTGGTCCTTTAAAGTTTATTGGCCAACCAGTATTTCAGCTTTATGGTCCAGGAAGCAGCCATACACTCATTTTCTCTATAATTAAAGGGACACTGCAGGCACCCAGACCACCTCAGCTCATTGAATTAGTCAGGGTGCAGTGACCCTTTTGCACTTAGTGCTGCAATGTAAAACATTACCATTCCAGAGAAACTGCAATGTTTACATTAAAGCTCTAAGTCTGCCCTCAGTGGCTGTGTAACAGACAGCCACTAGAGGGCTTCCGGAATCAAAATGGACTTTTGGCCTGTTATCTGATGCTGGACTTCCTCAAGGACCTCCAGCGTCAGATTTTCCCTATACGAAAGCATTAAGTGGGGAACAATTAAACCTATAGTGCTAGGAAAATGGCTTTGTTTTCCTGGCACTATAGGATCCTTTTAAACTGTTATAAAAAGAAAGGCTGCAAGGTAAAGTTGTTATGGTGCGTCAAGTATCCCTTTAAGCATTTGTATCGGATGATAATGTCCCTTTAAAAAGTGGAAAATACCACGGCAAGGCTTTACGAGGCATTTATAGATGCTTTTTGTGAAGGAAAACTATTAGTGGTTTAAAATCTCCCCACAATCCTATGATTAGACCCAACTAATTTACTTTCTTACTTGGAATAATTACAGTACGGAGCTTTTTAAAGCCCTATCTCTATTTATTGCTTTTCAAGGGTCTGATTTAAGTTGTGTATTACAGCGATTTAAGCATCGTTAATTTTAAAAACCTCGAGCACGTTGTGTGTAACCCATTAACCCAGCTTCCACCGTTGATGCAGAATGATGGCTTAAGTAATGGAGGCCGGCTCCTGAACGTATGCACAGCTCACCTAATGGGATTCTAATTAATTAATGGAACAGGGATGTTTATTTCCACCTTTCAAAAGGCGAACCTACAATTTAATCCACAAACTGACACAATCAACAAATTATGATGAGTTTTACAAAATGAATTAGATGCCAAACACAGGAAACCGTGGCTGCCGGCAGCTGGGCCTCAATAGACCTGTCATGTCTTTGTTAGTTGTACGAGTGTGCGAGATACACCTGGTGCTTCACGTCTTTCAATTCCCCCATAAAAGGCTGATTAGCCAATGTTCCCCACTTTGGATGAATTATCCACAAGCTTTGTGACCAACTGTTATTGTGTTGCTTTAACCTATTTTCTCTGTTTTAACACAATATTTCGCAGGGACCTGAGTGGCTGCGCAGTCTATAAATGGGCGCACATTATGTTAATGTTACGCATCACTTTTCAGCAAATTTCAGCCCAACTGACACACCGTGTTTTTGTTTTTTTCTCAGAGAATGAAATATCGGACCAAACGCTGGAAAGTGCGAGATCTAGGTCTGATAACGAAGGCAATTTCAACCAGACAAAGACGGGTCAGGGTAAGAAGGGGGAAGGTTGGGGTAACATGGTCAGTTTAACAAACAGAAATTTCAAAATAAATAAATAAATCTTCAACTTCAGATCAGGCATGACATAATTATGAGATATTGGAATATATATATATATAATTTGTTTTATAAGCCCCTCGCCAGTCTCCCCAGCACTGCGCTGGACCCCTTGGTATCACAATAGTAATAATAATTATTTTAACATTTCCTCATAGTTGTGCTCCAGAGTGCCTCGGTCCAGTATACAAAGGAAGAATCGTTGTGAAACCGTGGAGAATCCAGAATCAGCGAGGAAATATCTGGCGCCGCCTGTTAATTACCGCTCTTTGCTACGTGATACATTTTACATTCTTTCTGGAAGTTTTAAAACATTTGTGTTTCCAGAGGGAGGATTCTAAGTGGTTAATGTTGCATTTACTAATTTTTACAGAAAGTAACATTTACTTCTATTCAAGAAACCGAGGATTTCAGGAGTAACCGGGCATTCCTAATATTAGCCAAGCTGGGAACAGCTAACTTGGAGATTGTCCAATTCCTGGTAAAGTCGAACAATTGACATTCTAGTAACTAGCCCTGCTGGTCGGGATGAGTTGCCTAAGGATGCAGAGTATGTTCCAAAACGTGGCCATCGACATCTATATACTTCATGCTAAATGCCACGGGAGGAAGCTGGGTTTGGGCAGAGGCTCAGAAATAAATCTAAATATTATACATGAATGTCAAGGACTACTTGGAAAGCACTTTATCCCTCACCCCTTAACCCTGCGTGTGCCACGAGAGCTGTGAAAGGATTCAGTTTGGAGGGTCTCTGCCCAACATGGACATATTCTGTTTGTGAAATGTTTTCTGACGTCCCATATTTTTGTCACCTAGTGCAAGCAAGCATGGCTAAAGGGAGAGACGGGAAATGTAACACTGCGGAAATCAAGAGTTATTTATTAGAAAAGCTTTAATGTTCCAATAAGTATCAATGTTGTTGTTATAGTTAATAAACTTTTTATTTTGAATAAGAAATTGATGTAGAGTTGTGCAGTGTGCTAGTAAGGTGTTGGGTGAGAGATTGCTCGGTGTCTTGTGAGTAATGTTAGAGAATCACAACTTTGGGCAATGAGTGCTGTGTGGGCAGTGAGTGCTGTGTGGGCAGTGAGTGCAGTGGACAGTGAGTGCTGTGTGGCAGTGGGAAGTGAGTGCTGTGTGGGCAGTGAGTGCAGTGGGCAATGAGTGCTGTGTGGGCAGTGAGTGCAGTGGGCAATGAGTGCTGTGTGGGCAGTGAGTGCAGTGGACAGTGAGTGCTGTGTGGCAGTGGGAAGTGAGTGCTGTGTGGCAGTGGGCTGTGAGTGCAGTGGGCAGTGAGTGTGGCTACATGCACCGGATGGCATAAACAATGTAAAGATGGACAAAAGTGATTAAAAACTGCTGACTTTCAGGGGGTGCGCCAAAGAATGTCACCCCAAGCTTCCAGACAAATGCCTTGTTTGCCTCGTGTTCTGGGGCTGTCCACCTTACTGTAAGTGAGTGAGTGTAGCTATCAGTGTGTGTCTGTGAGTGAGAATAGGTGTGCCTGTGAGTGTGTGTCTGTGTGTGTATGTCATTTTATGTGTATCTGAGAGTGTGTGCCTGTCAGTGAAAGTGTGTGTTTTTTAAACAGTGTGTGCCAATGACTGTATGTGTGTGCCAATGACTGTGTATCTGTCAGTGAGTTTATATCAGTGCATGTATCAATGAGGGCATGTGGCCTTGACACAAATTGGGGGGGCAAATTTAGATTTTGGGGGTGCCCGAATTTAGTTGTGCCCAGGGCAGCAAAAATCCAAAATACACCACTGTCTGGATGTAAAAGTAGTTGCAACAGTGGACGTTAGGAGGTTTGCTAATATTTTAGTAAAAATCTTTAGATTAATACTGATTAAAGAGATCGGGTGGGAACTTCCACACTCAGTGGGATCCTTTCCAGGCTTTGGTAGTAGGGTGATATGTGCTTCTACAGCCGAATCAGGTAATGTGCTGGTCGTGGTCAGTGAATTGAAGCCCTGGAGAAAAGGAGTGGAGAGTGTATACAGAAAGGTGCTATAATACTTGGCGGTAAAGCTGTGCGGGCCTGGGCTTTCTCCCATCGGCGTACGTTTTACTGCCAGTTGGAATTCTTTAAGAGTAAGGGGTGCATCAAAGGTTCTGAGGATGTTACGTGGTAGGGTTTGTTTTATTCTGGTGGAAATGAAGGTATCTGGCTCCATGTCTGAAGGGGGTTTATCCTTTAAATTCTAGAAAGTAGAGTAATACTCATGGAACGTGTCCATGATCTCCGGCAGCATTTGGGTGGTTTCTACAGAGGATTTTTTACTCTTGGCAATAAAGGTGGCCTGTCTGGTTCGTTTTAGTGCATTAGCTAGCATGCAGCCTCATTTGCCCACTTGAGAGTAATAGGAGAACTTGTGTTTGGTTTGTACTTTGAGTCGTGTCAGTGCGGATCGTTTATTCACTAAGGCTTTATATGTTAGTAAAGAGCCATCCTGTTTATGGGACTTCTCAAATTGCCTGATTTCTTTGGTTAAGGTTTCAGTTTGGGCCTCTCTGACTTTCTTTCGTTTGGAAGACAAAGCTATAAAAAGTCCCCAAATTACACACTTATGAGCTACCCATGTAATGATAGGAGTTACCAATGGGGTGCTATTTTCTGTGAAATATTGTTCCAGATTGAGTTTTATTTGGGATATTATGTCAGGGTCATTTAACAGCAAGTCATTTAATTTCCATTGGGAGTATTTGATTGGAATAGATGGTATTTGAATGGCCAGAGACAGGGGCGCATGATCCGACAATGTGATAGGACTGTATGATCACGATTGGACAAGATGGAGAAACCTATGTGCGAGAAAGAATAAATCTATCCTGGAGTTAAAGGAGTAGTCTCTCATTTTTGGATGAGTAACTCGCCAACAATTAAAAAGTTGGGATTGATCGAGAATATGATGTATCCTTTGTCGTGCTGATGTTTGATAGGTGTATGTACCTGAGGTGGTGTCTAGTGTGGCAGACTTAGTTCAGTGTAATAATTGCTATGCATTTGTTTCACGTTCCACTTTTGGAGATTTGGTTGTTGTCTAATCTGTAGACAGTTCTCTATCTTGCGGCAGGAGATTGTATTTTTGAAGTCTGAGATTTGTAAATTATCTGGTGAACAAACTCAGACTGGAACTGCTACAAAGCCACTGCCGCAGAGACATACTAGGAATGGCAGATGGATTACTGTAGGATCTGGTAGACTTAGAGTTGTGGATAAAAGGCATTTTGCACAGTCTGTTGCTCTTCATAATTCATTTTCTGCACTTTCAGAGTGTAATGGTGTTGTGGAGAGAGGCACTGAGGCTAGTGGTGTTGTGGAGAGAGGCACTGAGGCTAGTGGTGTTGTGGAGAGAGGCACTAAGACTAGTGGTATTGTGGAGAGAGGCACTAAGACTAGTGGTATTGTGGAGAGAGGCACTGAGGCTAGTGGTGTTGTGGAGAGAGGCACTGAGGCTAGTGGTGTTGTGGAGAGAGGCACTGAGGCTAGTGGTGTTGTGGAGAGAGGCACTGAGACTAGTGGTGTTGTGGAAACCGGCTTGGAGACTATGGTGAGGCCTAATAGAAAGCAGTTGTTGTTGGGGGATTCCATCATAAGAGGTGTGGAGATGGACAATGGTGGTCTTGTGAGGTGTCTTCCTGGAGCTACTGCTCACAGAGACAGGAGACGTATCTGTAATATTGTTAAGCAAGCAAAGCAGGAAGAAGAATTGAATGTACTTGTCCATCTAGGGACAAATGACTTGGCTTGCAATGAAGTTTCAGAGGTTAGGGAAGTTTTTAGTGTTTTTGCCAATGATATACGGCAGGTTGTTTCCACACTGTCATTCTCTGAAGTTCTGCCTGTGCATAACACTCAGAACGACAGGCGGATGCGTATTAGGGACTTTAATTTGTAGCTTGGTGAATGGTGTCGGGAGCAAGGATTTGGCTTTATTTCTCATGGTAGCTCTGTTTGGAATGGAGATAAGCTGTACAAAAAAGATGGTTTGCATCTTTCTCAAAAGGGAACAAATATTCTCAGTGAGCAGTTCAGAGGTTTTGCTAGGATGTATTTAAACTAGGAGGGGGGGGCAAAAGGGTGATAAAACATCAATCCAATTGTCCCCCAAAACAAGGACAAGAAGGTGCCTGTAGCAAGTGTGTTAAAAAATGATAAGCTTAGAGTCATGTCTACAAATGCTCGCAGTTTAGGGAATAAGATCCATGAACTTGTGGCAATAATGGCAACTGATAGTGTAGATTTAGTCGCAGTTACTGAGACATGGTACAATGAGAAAAATGACTGGGACATAGCAATACCAGGGTACTCTCTATATAGAAAAGATAGGGAAGGCAAGAAAGGGGTAGGGGTGGCCTTGTATGTGAAGGATAGCATAAAATCTAGCCTATTAAAAGTTAGTGAGACAAACATAGAGTCCGTTTGGGCTACGTTAGAATTTGGTAATCACACAGTAACTCATGTAGGTGTGATTTATCGGCCCTCAGGACAAATTGAAGAGTTAGATAATCTACTAGTTAAGGAAATAGCTAAAATGACAATGAAGGGGGAAGTTATCATCATGGGTGACTTTAATCTTCCTGATGTAAATTGGAAAACAAAATTAGCTACTTGTGCCAGGAGCACACATATTCTAAACTCCCTACTGGGATTGTCTCTAAAACAAGTTGATGAGGAGCCAACTCGTAAAGAGGCCATACTAGATTTAGTGTTAACAAATGGAGATTTGGTATCAGATATTACTGTAGGTGAAAGTTTAGGATCCAGTGATCATCAGTCAGTGTGGCTTAATATAAGAACAGTGACTGAGTCACACCACACAAAAACAAAAGTTTTAGACTTTAGAAAAGCAGACTTTTCTAAAATTAGAATATGGGTAGAGGAGTCATTATCAGACTGGAGCAATTTAAATGAGTCCAAGAGAAATGGGATTATTTAAAAGTTGCACTATTGAAGGCAACAGAAAATTGCATTAGGCTTGTCAGTAAAAGCAAAAATTCAAGAAACCACTGTGGTACTCCGCAGATGTGGCCAAAATAGTTAAAAACAAAAAGTTAGCATTTAGGAATTATAAAAAAAACCAGAGTGAGGAAGACAAAATGATCTATAAGATTAGGCAGAAAGAGGCTAAGCAAGTTATAAGAGCTTCCAAATCACACACACAAGAGAAAATAGCACAGTCAGTAAAAAAAGGGGATAAAACATTTTTAGATACATAAATGAGAAAAGAAAAGTAAAACAAGGATTAGTTAAATTAAAAACAAAAGAAGGAAGGTATGTAGAAGAGGATAAAGGTCTAGCTGACTGCCTCAATGAATATTTTTGTTCTGTATATACAGATGAAAATGAAGGAAAGGGACCTCAGTTGAGAAAAAGGATAAATGAGTCATTTATTACAAGTGAGTTTACAGAGGAAGAGGTTCTATTTCAACTGTCAAAAGTAAAGACAAATAAGTCAATGGGACCTGATGGAATACACCCAAAGCTATTAAAATAGCTTAGTGGTGTACTATAGGCCATTAACAGATTTATTTAACCAATCATTGTTAACAGGAGTAGTCCCAGAAGATTGGAAGTTAGCGAATGTTGTGCCCATTTACAAGAAAGGTAATAGGGAGGAGTCGGGCAACTATAGGCCAGTAAGCCTTACTTCAGTAGTGGGGAAAGTGATGGAAACCATGTTAAAGGATAGGATTGATGAACATCTAAAAACACATGGATTTCAAGGTCAGAGACAACATGGGTTTACTTCAGGGAGATCATGCCAAACTAATCTTATTGATTTTTTTGATTGGGTAACTAAAATTATAGATCAGGGTGGTGCAGTAGACATTGCTTACCTAGATTTCAGTAAGGCTTTTGACACTGTTGCACATAGAAGGCTTATCAATAAACTGCAATCTTTAAGTTTGGATTCAAATATTGTTGAATGGGTAAGGCAGTGGCTGAGTGACAGGCAACAGAGGGTTGTAGTTAATGGAATATATTCGCTTGGGTTGTATGGGAGAGGTATTAGCAGTAGAAAGAGGGAAGTGCTCATGCCATTGTACAGAACACTGGTGAGACCTCACTTGGAGTATTGTACACAGTACTGGAGACCGTATCTTCAGAAGGATATTGATACCTTAGAGAGGGTTCAGAGAAGGGCTACTAAACTGGTTCATGGATTGCGGGATAAAACTTACCAGGAAAGGTTAAAGGATCTTAACATGTATAGCTTGGAGGAAAGACGAGACAGGGGGGATATGATAGAAACATTTAAATATATAAAGGGAATCAACACAGTAAAGGAAGAGACTATATTTAAAAGAAGAAAAACTACCACAACAAGAGGACATAGTCTTAAATTAGAGGGACAAAGATTTAAAAATAATATCAGGAAGTATTACTTTACTGAGAGGGTAGTGGATGCATGGAATAGCCTTCCAGCTGAAGTGGTAGAGGTTAACACAGTAAAGGAGTTTAAGCATGCGTGTGATAGGCATAAGGCTATCCTAACTATAAGATAAGGCCAGGGACTAATGAAAGTATTTAGAAAATTGGGCAGACCGAATGGTTCTTATCTGCCGTCACATACTATGTTTCTATGTTTCTACGTTAGTGTGGATTCTAGGGAAATGTTGAGGTCACCCCCATAATCAAGATAGCCTCTGCGAAATGGTCGATAGAACATATGTATCATCGTAATGATTTGCTTTGTTGCCTGTTAGGTGAATACATATTCACAAAGGTCACCATACTATGGCCTAAGAGTCCTTTGACCATCACTAATCTACCATTGTTGAAGCTTTCATGTTATACATATGTGAACAGGACATTTGCAGCAATTAGAATGGCCAGTCCCCGTGCCTTGGCCTCTGTGAAGTTACTAAAATACGCGGTAGGGAATGTACGATTAGATAGTTTAGAAGTTGAATTTTTGCGGAATTGGGTTTCTTGCAAAAGTGCAACATCTGCCTTGAGTTTATGGAGTTCTGTAAGGGCTAGGGAACGTTTTTCAGGAGAAATAAGCCTCTGACATTTAGAGATACCAGTTGGATAGTAGCCATGGTAGATGTAACACGATATACGTCATATCCCTCTCGTGTCCCCAGGCAGCGGCTAATAACCACAAATATAATGAACTATATACAGAAATGCAGTAGGATGAAGTTCAGTAAATACGGCATTTGTACCACCCCTGTACATGAAAATTGTCAGTGTCTTTCCCTGTAAATGGTTTGCTGAACCACAGGAATCCTTTGTAGCACCGCTGGGTTGTGCGTGTTAGGAGGGGTATAACACCTCTTAAGCAGAGGTTAACATTAACTGTAAGTGCTTATGCAGAGGTAGGAATGGATTATTCGTAATCTGTGGGGGGGCAGTAGAAATGAAACCTTTATCGGGAGCATGAGGGTCTTAGAAATAGATAATTAGTGGGCTATGGATGATGGAGGGAAGTCGGCTTCGAAACCAGTGACAGACTCGTGGGAATTGGATACAGCGATTATTTTACAGAGTAATTTGGAAGGTGATGGGCCTGTTTCATCCGTGTGGATAGGATCATGAGGCTGGCATGAACGAACTATGAACAGAACGGGATTATTCAGCATAGGGTACTGTAACATCCATTGTTGGATGATAGTGGGAATATGAAAGGCGTAAAGGCGGAAATGGGACCTGCTCCAGGTTGAAGGTCAAAATTGATAAGGAGTTTAATTGTAATGCAGCCGATATTGTGCCAGTATTGGTGTAACTATCATTTCCCTGTGGTATTGCTCAAAGGGAGATTTGCTCTGAAGTATAAATATTCGAGTCTGCTTTATCCCTAATCCCTTGTGGAAGATCTTTAGGAGCGAACATGTTGGAGGTGTATGGTGATATAGGATTGAGTGGTGGGGTCCCCTCACATTTTATTACTTTACAAAGTTTTGTGTCATCTGCAAACACTGATACATGGCTTCCAATGCCTATTTCAAGATCATTTATAAATATATTAAATAGTAGCAATCCCAAAGCAGAACCCTGAGGGACACCACTTACCACTTTTGTCCAGCTTGAAAATTTACCATTAATGACAACTTGTACTCTATCCTTAAGCCAATGTTCTACCCAAGAACAAAAATATTCATATTAAATACTTTATATTATTAGGGATGATGGGACTAGGAGTCCTGCAGTTACTACATAGCTAATTATCCTACCTCATTAAATATTTTATATAATTTATTATTAGGCATGATGGGATTAGGAGTCCTGCCAGTAACTACATAGCTAATCACCCTCACTGGTTACATACATTATATTATTATTATGGATGATGGGACTAGGAGTCCTGCCAGTAATCCCTCCCAGGGAGGAGGTGTTTCCAGCCGTGTTGTGGATACGGGGGTTGCCATAGTAACTGCGGTCAGTCTCTGGGTGGAGCTGGATGCGGCGGTGGGTGACAGGTCAGTAATGAAACGTGCCCATTGCCCCGGGGGGGGGAGTACCGGGGGCCGGCCGGGTACCGGGGGGAGTACTGGGGGGGCAGTACCAGCTGATACATTGTATTGATTTATATTTTTGTTAAGTTTTCTGTCATGCCCCCATTAGCCCTTACTGACCCGAGACTGAGCAACGGAACTGAATCAGAGCAGAAAAACGACTGTCTGTTAACCCTTCACTGACCTTTAACCTATAATTATTAACCTTTCATTAGCCACGGACTGGATATTAACCCATAGTTAGCCTGGGACTGGATATTAACCCATAGTTAGCCTGGGAGTGAATATTAACCCTTTATTAGCCTGGGGGTGGATATTAACCCTTAGTTAGCCTGGGAGTGAATATTAACCCTTAGTTAGCCTGGGACTGGATATTAACCCATAGTTAGCCTGGGACTGGATATTAACCCTTAGTTAGCCTGGGAGTGAATATTAACCCTTTATTAGCCTGGGACTGGATATTAACCCACCATTAGCCTGGGAGTGAATATTAACCCTTAGTTAGCCTGGGACTGGATATTAACCCATAGTTAGCCTGGGACTGGATATTAACCCTTAGTTAGCCTGGGACTGGATATTAACCCTTTATTAGCCTGGGAGTGGATATTAACCCTTAGTTAGCCTGGGACTGGATATTAACCCACCATTAGCCTGGGACTGGATAGTAACCCTTAGTTAGCCTGGGACTGGATATTAACCCATAGTTAGCCTGGGAGTGAATATTAACCCTATATTAGCCTGGGACTGGATATTAACCCTTAGTTAGCCTGGGACCGGATATTAACACTTAGTTAGCCAGGGACTGGATATTAACCCTTAGTTAGCCTGGAACTGGATATTAAATCTTCCTTAGCCTGGGACTGGATATTAACCCACCATTAGCGTGGGAGTGAATATAAACCCTTTATTAGCCTGGGACTGGATATTAACCCTTAGTTAGCCTGGGACTGGATATTAACCCACCATTTGCGTGGGAGTAAATATAAACCCTTTATTAGCCTGGGAGTGAATATTAACCCTTTATTAGCCTGGGACTGGATATTAACCCTTAGTTAGCCTGGGACTAGATATTAACCCACCATTAGCGTGGGAGTGAATATTAACCCTTTATTAGCCTAGGACTGGATATTAACCCTTAGTTAGCCTGGGACTGGATATTAACCCATAGTTAGCCTGGGAGTGAATATTAACCCACCATTAGCCTGGGAGTGAATATTAACCCTTAGTTAGCCTTGGACTGGATATTAACCCACTATTAGCATGGGAGTGAATATTAACCCTTTATTAGCCTGGGATTGGATATTAACCCTTAGTTAGCCTGGGACCGGATATTAACACTTAGTTAGCCAGGGACTGGATATTAACCCTTAGTTAGCCTGGAACTGGATATTAACTCTTCCTTAGCCTTGGAGTGAATATTAACCCTTTATTAGCCTGGGACTGGATATTAACCCACCATTAGCGTGGGAGTGAATATAAACCCTTTATTAGCCTGGGAGTGAATATTAACCCTTTATTAGCCTGGGACTGGATATTAACCCTTAGTTAGCCTGGGACTAGATATTAACCCACCATTAGCGTGGGCGTGAATATTAACCCTTTATTAGCCTGGGACTGGATATTAACCCTTAGTTAGCCTGGGACCGGATATTAACTCCTCCTTAGCCTGGGAGTGAATATTATCCCTTTATTAGCCTGGGACTGGATATTAACCCTTAGTTAGCCTGGGACTGGATATTAACCCACCATTAGTGTGGGAGTGAATATTAACCCTTAGTTAGCCTGGGACTGGATATTAACCATTTCTTTGGCTTAGAACTGAATATTAACTCTTCACTGATCTATGATTCCAAATTACATGATGTTATATTTCTGTCTGCCTGTATGTCTTTCTCTCTGTCAGTCTTTCTATATGTAACAGTCTGTCTGTCTATTCGTGTTTTATTTTTAATGTAAACTGGCTAAGATTGATAGGGATTGCACACTAGGCCCATTTTTCTTAGTTGTAAACAGATAACTAAACACGAAGCGTCTCCTTGTAAACACGAAGCGTCTCCTTGTAAACACGAAGCGCCTCCTTGTCTTGGAAGATCTGCACAGTTAAATGAAAGGGGCGATGTCACTGGTGAGACTGGCTTGTGTTTGTTTTAATTATTTTTTTATTCTTTATTTTTGCACAATGTGAAACAAGCATAGCACCATTGAGAGACATAGCAGGTACACGATAAGTGTGAGGTATAATGCAGGTATAAATAACAATACCCTTAGTACATTGTGGATTTTATTTAACAAGTAGTGCAGTTTAGTTGAAGGTGGCTATGTTTAGTCGCCCTGGTGTTTTGTTAGCTTCATTAGGATCTCATAGGCTGTATTAAGCATGTCTCAAGGAACAACAAAAAAAACTGATGAAACAAAAAAGAATAAAACCTGCCAGGTGGCTTTACAGTGTGGCTGAGAGCAGGCCTAGTTACGCTGGTTATTTCCTCCCAATGGGAAAAATGTTCTCACCGAGCTAACTTTGAAGCTGAGGTGCGGAGGGTGTATGGGCAATAGATAGTCAGGTAGGTCTGGGCAGTTGCATAGAGTCTATGGTACCAGTGGTTGCGAGATAATAAAAACAAAACAGGATTAGAGCGTCAGAAACAGAAAGAAATCTAAAAACAGAAAGAACTTTGCAAGATATAACATTTAAACTGGGAGGGTTTTCCGGCAAACTTTCAGCTTAGTCTAGCCGGGGTTCAGGTCGTGACTGTGGCATACGAGTCTGGGGTTGTTCGTCTAGGTACGAATTCCGGAGCATTTACTTGGTCCCAGCTATGGGAGCGCGTGGGCCTTGCAGCTTGTGCGGACTGGCCAAGCGAGTCTGGAGGGAGGTCCAGATGTTGTAGAGTCTATGCAAGGAAGTGTATGGTATGCGTTGTGTCCCCTCGGGTGACTATCAAGGTGTGGGACAGGCTCCAGCGGTAGTGGATATTTTGTGCAGGTAGAAGGGAGGTAAATGGTCCTTCTCCATGCCAGAGTTCCCCCGGATAGGTCTGCATAGAATGTTAGGGACATCTCTTCAAAGAGGTAAGGTGATTGTCCTCTGGTGGCCGCTAGGACTGCAACTTTATCCCTATGACTCTGGAACTGTATCACCAGGTCCCCAGGAGCAGTAGGTGGTGCCTTGGCTGGTCTGAGCACACGGAATATTCCCTCTAGTGTGACCGCTTTGGCCAGCTTCGGAGTCAGCAAGGCCACGAGGAGCTGCCTAATGAAGTGTGGAAGTTCAGCCTCTGTGATATTCTGCGCGGCCCCCATGATTTTCAGGTTCTTTTGGTGTCGCCTGTCTTCCTCCGTGGCGAATCTGTGCTCATTTGTGAGATTCTGTTGCTGTAGCTCTTGAACCACTAGTTGTAGCTCCTTAATCGGCCAGTTAGGCGCCGCAGGTCCTCATGTATCATGGCCACATCGGCCAAGATTTTTTTGTGGAGGTCCGCCATAAGACACATTACTGGGAGTATTATTGCTGTGGAGCTCTGTTATACACTCAGACACATTACTGGGAGTATTATTGCTGGGGAGCTCTGTTATACACACAGACACATTACTGGGAGTATTATTGCTGTGGAGCTCTGTTATACACTCAGACACATTACTGGGAGTATTATTACTGTGGAGCTCTGTTATACAATCAGACACATTACTGGGAGTATTATTGCTGTGGAGCTCTATTATACACTCAGACACATTACTGGGAGTATTATTGCTGTGGAGCTCTGTTTTACACTCAGACACATTACTGGAAGTATTATTACAGTGGAGCTCTGTTATACACTCAGACACATTACTGGAAGTATTATTACTGTGGAGCTCTGTTATACACTCAGACACATTACTGGGAGTATTATTGCTGTGGAGCTCTGTTATACACTCAGACACATTACTGGGAGTATTATTGCTGTGGAGCTCTGTTATACACTCAGACACATTACTGGGAGTATTATTGCTGTGGAGCTCTGTTATACACTCAGACACATTACTGGGAGTATTATTGCTGTGGAGCTCTGTTATACACTCAGACACATTACTGGGAGTATTATTGCTGTGGAGCTCTGTTATACACTCAGATACATTACTGGGAGTATTATTGCTGTGGAGCTCCGTTATACACTCAGACACGCCAACAATATGGAACATCTAGAAAAGAGGGACATTAGGGGGGGGAAAAGGTATAGAGGGATTTGGGCTTTAAGTAGGGACTGTCCCACCTAAACTGGGATACTTGGGAGGTATGATTGCTAACAGAGTTCTGGAACCCCATGCAGTTGAAGATTCCAGGATGGTCAAACAGGATATGTTGGAGGAGGAATTAAGAATAAATATTTATTTCTGTTTTTCAGGTGGAAGTTGGACATTTGGTATCTCATGTTGTGAAATTAATGGAGAGTTCCAAGTTACAGGCCTCATCCCAAGATAATTATCCCAATTCGTTTGCGAAGGACATGGAGCTCAATCTAAGTCTGGATAGTTTGCTGGATTCTGACTCTGACAGTCTGACGCAGGAGATTCAGTATCAGTCTGAGCTAAAGCATAGGATATCTGACCATGAGCGGCCGGCATCGCATTCCTCGCAAGGAGCGTCAGGCGGAAGCTCCAACGAAAGTCATAACTATAATGAGACAGAAAATCATTATATCCTGAGTGAAAATCACGATATTTCAAATGCGACTGTTGATGAAAACAGCAGTGAATTTCACAAACTGAGGTAAGAATTAATATTGTGAACAGCCACAAGACGTTCTCACATCTCCTATCATCATATCGTGTCATATAACATGACGTCCTCACTGCAATACAACTATGATATCACTTTATTATTTACTTTGCTTTCAGGTTAAGTTGCAGTTATACCGGGTGCAAGTCTTCCTAAAAGTAACACTTGAACCGCTACAGTGGTAGAGATGGAATATAATGTCTATTTAAATAGAAAAGAAACAGTGAAACAAATTAAGTGCTATGCCGTGATCAATGTGCAGTGTACAAAGTGAAGAAATGAAAGGCCTGACGCGCGTTTCGGTGCTATCCAGTGAAGCACCTTCGTCAGAGGCAAACAAGCTAATGCTCGAAAAGTCACTTATATACCTTATTCGCCGGTATCCCAGCGGTGATTCCTCCACCGGCGAATAAGATATATAAGTGAACATTTTTTCTATTTATTTTAATTTTGAATTCACATTGTATCTGGATTCCTCGATTCTTACATTTAATGTACATAGTATACTTTTTCTAGACTACTGTATATTTCCAGTTAACACAGCTAGCCACATGTGTCTTTTGGCACTGTGGCTAGTATTTTGTGAGTTTTTTCTGTTTTTTCTGGAGTCTCCCCTTGGAACTGTTGATGTTTTTTTTCTTGTCTGGAACACCAACATTGTTGGTTGATTTCCAGTAGAGATTAACCAAATTTATCTTATATAAAAATACACTTAGAATGAAACTATATATATATATATATATCTTTGTATATATGAATAAACAAAAATAATACGAAATATATGTATAAACCTCCACGGGTCCTGCACTCACTGCTCCCGGTCTTGTTATTGCCTAGGTGCAATCTCCGACCTTGGTATATACAATGTCTTGTTGAAGAGCTCTCACAGGACAATTTCTAATAGTGCTTTTTTATTGTAGCATCAATATTCCAATACAATGTGTCTAATATATTATCCATATATCCATATACATAATTACATAAATAATTTCATAAATATACACATAGGCTTCAAATATAGAAATATGTATATATATTTAAATTCTACGTGCATATTTATGTAATATTTTTACATAATTAAATAATTTTATTGTTTGCAATTTGAGGGACCTGCCTGACAACCCAGGCCGAAAGTCCAGAGAATTGAATTTGCTAGCACTGTGTTTAACCCTCTAACTTTCCTGCACATGGGGGTTACTGTTTTACTCAGGAGACTTCGCTGAATACAAATATTAGTGTTTCAAAACAATATATGGTATCACAGCAATGATATTGTCAGATAAAGGGGTCTTTTTTTTTTGCATTTTTCACACACAAATTGAACTTTCACTGGTGATATCATTGTTGTGATATGCTTTACTGTTTTGAAACACTAATATTTGTATGCAGCGAAGTCTCCCGAGTACCCCACTATGTACAGGTTTGATAGTGTTTCTGAAAGTTACAGAGTCAAATAAAAGGCTTGATTTTCCTATTTTTCCACATTGAAATTTGCTACATTGTTTACGTTGCCTTTGAGAGCATATGGTAGCCCAGGAATAAGAATTACCCCCATGATGGCATACCATTTGCAAAAGAAGACAACCCAAGGTATTGTAAATGGGGTATGTTCAGTCCTTTTTAGTAGCCACTTAGTCACAAACACTGGCCAAAGTTAGCGTTCATAATTGTGCTTTGCATTTAACACACAAACAAATATGAATGGTAACTTTGGCCAGTGTTTGTGACTAAGTGGCTACTAAGAAAGACTGGACATACCCCATATTGAATACCCTGGGTTGTCTACTTTAACCCCTTAAGGACACATGACATGTGTGACATGTCATGATTCCCTTTTATTTGAGAAGTTTGGTCCTTAAGGGGTTAAAAAATATGTACATGTAAGGTGTGATTCAGAGATTTATGACAGATTTATGTCACTATTGATACATTTTAAAAATATATATTTTGAAACAGCAATGTCCAACTTGTACTTATAGCCCTATAACTTGCAAAAAAGCTAAGAACATGGTAACATCCCGCCAAAAAGACCCAAGGATGACACAGCAAGCACACTGGTCCATTTCAATCGAAACTCATATAACGCCCCCTTTTAGAAAATAGCCTTGCATACTCTATCAAAATGTTTGCACAGTATTGTGGGAGTGTTGTAAAAGTGATGTGTGTTTTGCATTGCGGTATGTTCTTTTAGGTCTTATTACCAGACTTGTGATGGTAAATCAGTCTGTATTGTGTCACTCAGTACCCAGCGCTACATTTTACTACATTTCTAAACACAAACAATAAGAAGGAAAGAAAAACAATACAAATGTCGATTCCTTGCTGTGATTTCATTTTAGCTGCAGTTTTGTTGTGTCTTGAAAATTAAACATTCACAAAACAAACTTCCAGCTGCGTCCAGTCTATTAAGATGCATGTAACAAAGTTAATAAGATTGAAATGACGTGTGTAAATACCTATATATGTCAAAATACAACAGAATAATGAAAAATAACATTTTTCACTCTTGAATAGTGATTAAACACTGAATTCTGGGGGTATGAACTTTGTTGCATTTTTTTCTTAACAGTCAAGCTGTGATTATAGAGTTTGTTTCTTTTTCAAAAGGTTATTTTGCAGGTCAGTTTTCAGTTCACAATATAGTTTTTATTGAATAGAGCCTATAAACAAATTCTACCTGTGGAGTTTGTTTAGTTTGGATTATTCGTTTTGTGGGCTCGAGTTATACACAGGCCAGCGTGGTGTTTAGTTAATAATCCCCGTGTGCACGCTCCTTCGGTTATTGCGGTTTGTCTTTTATTTTTTGCTCCACTCACAAGCATGAGTGGGCTAATGCATAAAGAGTGAACTGAACATAACAGCAAAAATGTATAATGCATGAACATAAACATTGGTAGACATTTGTAACGTCCTGCATAATGGGCCAGTGAGTCGAGGTTTTTTTAATAAGTAAACTAGATGGTCCCGATAATCGACCTTTTGTCGGGCAACTGTTGGCAAGGTCCCATGGGGACCCAATAGGGTCAGTTATTGCTGTGGAAATATATGACGGTTCGTAGGGTGAACTTCCGCTTGGGTCTGGTGGTGTACCTAGTTGTCATCACTATTCAATAGCGCTGGTTGTCTGGCTGAGATATAGCGTGAGTGAGAGGGGAGGCGAGTGGCAACCAGCCCTGGAGGTGAGCCTTGTGACACCCCCTGGGTTCGCTTGGCTAATTTAAGGTTGCTTGTGGGTAGTGAGATGGTGGCGCATTACAAAAAAGGCGGGATAAAAAGGAACCAATGTATAAAGGGTGGAGTAACCGCTGCAAATGTGAAAACGAATTAGACTTTTTTTTTTTTATAAAAAAAAATAATCCAATGCGTTTCCATGGAAACTGGGTTTAGTATTAAACTCCTGTCTATTTACATGTAGAAACTGGGGCAAGGACATGTTATTTACGGGCGAGACCAGAGTCCACATGACAAGGCAATTGTACATTTTCCGCCGAGAAGCTGTGTTTTGCCCTAAATGTTTCAAATTCCCACATTTTCATGGATCAATTAATAAATCCAAACAATAAAACAATCAAAGCTTAATCATAATTTAAATGAAATCCCTGTATTAATAAAACACAAACGCAAAAATTATGCTAAATTTTCTAAAGCTAATAGCGTCTTATCAAATATGCAAAAGAAATTGTAAATAAAATATATATCGACAACCTGAAAACTTAATTTGAATAATTCATCTTTTTATCCGCATTTCTGATGAGAACCATAGCCTGATTCTCGAATTAACCCCATGTGCGCCAGGAGTGAGTTTGAGGAAATCGCGGATTGCTGGAAGTGAAAGGATTAATTGGTTGAACCAATATAAATGTGTGGTTTTTTTTTTTCACTGTTGTAAAAAGAAACTGCGGCTTTATAAACTTGTTGAATAGATCAGTGCGAGAGAAGCTGGCATTAGGATCCCCCGCAGGGTGGCACTGCTCTGATGAAGACTAATGGAATGGGTACAATACAAATATCCACAGGGAAGACACTGCGCAATGATCACTTACACATCCATCTCCTCGTCATGCTGGGTTATTACATAATCTTTCAATAGCCTGGGACAGCAAATTAATTACTTATTCTATAATAAATCACATTCACTGTCCCATTCAAAATACACATCTTTTATTTTTATCCCTTAAAATGTGATATGTTTGTCCTTAATAGCTGCAAACTGGTAAAATAAATGGTTTCTGTGCCTTTTTTCTAAATAATGAAATGTAAAACTCTTGCGTTTTAACTTTCCCAGTCATTCGATTTGCTGCCCAGTGATTTATTTACTTAACTCTGCGGAACATTTCATTTTATAACAAAAAACAAGTAGAAATGGAAAGAACGATTCGAATCTTTAGAGAACAGGTTGAAGAGGCAGGGAGCAGCCGAATGCATTTTACAGGCTTAGAGCAAACATTCAACTGCTACTTAAAAAGCCAATCATTCTGTATATGTAGTTCTAGATATTCACATTTTGTTAGTTTTTCTTTCTGTATATATAACTATATGATATATACATTGTATTACCTTTAAATATAACTATATAGTATATACATTGTATTACCTTTATATATAACTATATAGTATATACATTGTATTACCTTTATATATAACTATATAGTATATACATTGTATTACCTTTATATATAACTATATAATATATGCATTGTATTACCTTTATATATAACTATATGATATATACATTGTATTACCTTCATATATAACTATATGATATATACATTGTATTACCTTTATATATAACTATATAGTATATACATTGTATTACCTTTAAATATAACTATATAGTATATACATTGTATTACCTTTATATATAACTATATAGTATATACATTGTATTTCCTTTATATATAACTATATGGCATATACATTGTATTACCTTTATATATAACTATATAATATATACATTGTATTACCTTTATATATAACTATATAATAATTACATTGTATTACCTTTATATATAACTATATAATAATTACATTGTATTACCTTTATATATAACTATATAATAATTGCATTGTATTACTTTTATATATAACTATATAATATATACATTGTATTACCTTTATATATAACTATATAATAATTACATTGTATTACTTTTATATATAACTATATAATATATACATTGTATTACCTTTATAAATAACTATATAATATATACATTGTATTACCTTTATATATAACTATATAATAATTACATTGTATTACTTTTATATATAACTATATAATATATACATTGTATTACCTTTATATATAACTATATAATATATACATTGTATTACCTTTATATATAACTATATAATAATTACATTGTATTACCTTTATATATAACTATATAATATATACATTGTATTACCTTTATATATAACTATATAATAATTACATTGTATTACCTTTATATATAACTATATAATAATTACATTGTATTACCTTTATATATAACTATATAATAATTACATTGTATTACTTTTATATATAACTATATAATATATACATTGTATTACCTTTATATATAACTATATAATATATACATTGTATTACCTTTATATATAACTATATAATACATACATTGTATTACCTTTATATCTAACTATATAATATATACATTGTATTTCCTTTATATCTAACTATATAACATATACATTGTATTACCTTTATATATAACTATATAACATATACATTGTATTACCTTTATATATAACTATATAATATATACATTGTATTACCTTTATATATAACTATATAGTATATACATTGTATTACCTTTATATATAACTATATAATATATACATTGTATTACCTTTATATCTAACTATATAATATATACATTGTATTTCCTTTATATATAACTATATAGTATATACATTGTATTTCCTTTATATATAACTATATAACATATACATTGTATTGCCTTTATATATAACTATATAATATATACATTGTATTACCTTTATATTTAACTATATAACATATACATTGTATTACCTTTATATATAACTATATAATATATACATTGTATTTCCTTTATATATAACTATACAATATATACATTGTATTACACTCTTTTTCTGTATATATAGCTATATAATATATACATTGTACAGTGGAACCTCGGAACTCAAACTTAATCCGTTCCAGAAGGCTGTTCGAGTTCTGATTTGTTTGAGAACCGAATCAACATTTCCTATAAGAATTAATGTAAATTTGATTAATCCGTTCCAGACCCCCAAAATGAAAGCATTTTAACACAAATTTTACAGTTTAATAATACCTTAAATGCCTAAAATCAAATAGAAAACAAATAATAAACACAATGTGCAGTAAATTAAAATAAAAATGTAAGTTCACTTTACCTGTAATGATGAGAGTTGATGGCGTAAGTGGAAAGGAGAAGAAATATTTTTGGTTGGATGGGGCATTTAAAATATGTCTAAAGTGAGACATAGCTTTATAATTGAACATGTTTGTGGCATGTTTTGTTGGGTACCGAGAATTGTTTGTGTACCTAGACATTTTTTTCTTGAATTATTCGTTCGACTACCAAATTGTTCGGGTAAGGGACCGTTCGAGTTCTGAGGTTTCACTCTATATATGTCTGTATATATAACTATAAAATATATACATTGTATTACCTTTTATTTCTGTATTTATAGCTATATAATATATATACATTTTATTATTTTTATATTAGTAGGTTTAGCTATAGGTATTTCTACATATTATTGTTTTTTTCTACTGATTACAGAAATTAGAATAGTTAGGGCTATATATTTTAACGGGGGTTTAATTAAGATGCTTGTTACATGTTCCAGGGGAGTATTCAATGTCTCACTTTAACCCCTTAAGGACCAAACTTCTGGAATAAAAGGGAATCATGACATGTCACACATGTCAGGTGTCCTTAAGGGGTTAAAAATGTTGACATGCGCGCTCAGGTCATGGGTACGTTCCTGGCATTTAACAAGGTTTGGCTTCCTTGTGAAAATGTACAGCATGTCTGCCCGTGGCTTGTGGCCCGATGGCTCAGTTTTCTGTTGCTCATTCTGTCTTCCTTCATGTTTCCTTTTTCCAACACTATCTCTAGCTCTCTGTCGCCTTCTCTCTTCATTTTTATGTTCTTAGCTCCACTGCCTCTTGTAGTGGCAAGATACTAATTGTTTGTCAAATACTCTGTTACAAGTTACATATTGCCGCGTTCGTATATGGATTGTATGATGGTTTTCTTGCTGTCTATACGTAAATAAAGAGTAGGGGATAAAAATGTCAACATCAAATGTTGAGTGTCATTACAGTGCCTGGCCGAGAATCATGACAATGACGGTCCACAGCATCTTGAGTGCAGATATTTCCTTGTCATAAGTCTCCCTTAGAGCTACCCGCACACCTTAAACATTCCCTAAACCGTAAAGCTTTCTCACTCCAAGCCTACCTTTCCTGTTGCAATGGGACGTTATTGACTCTTATGAATGCAGCCATATTCAGCAAGAAAAACCGCAGCCGTTAAATGCATGGCCACCGGAATCTACCCATCAGCTATCCTCTGCCTCCACCCCAGTAGGTATATGGAAGCCCTCACAGTGGGTCGCAAAGGTTGGGGATGGGAGGGTATTTGTGTAGGAGCAGACTCTACTGTTATCTGACCAATGCTGCTCGACCTGACTTGCTGTGGCTGTGATTGCTGTTAGTGAACCTGCAGCAGCAAGAATGTTATTCTAACAGTGTCCATGATTTGAAAAGCCCGATAGATACTGTTTCCCACTTATAATGAATAGCATAGAATATCTGCACTGCTAGGGTATACAAGTCTGGGAGAGCTGGTCTTTTCTTCTATGTTAAATTGCTCCAGCTGTGTCCAGCTGCGTCTGCACAGACACCGGTCTTGGTGCTGATTCTAGCAAGAAGGAAACAGTGAGATTTCTGTCTGTCCTTGGTCTGTGTCAAACCACCTGTCGGGCTATTCACTAGAGTGAGAATTAAAAGTGAATTTCCAATTTAAGGTCAAACCGAACTAGAAAAACTCACTCGGGCATTTCATTTGAAATTCACGTTGAATTCTCACTTTAGTAAGTAACACTGTCTGTCTTAACATGCGCCAGCCGTGGTTTAAATCCACATTGAATTCTCCCTTTAGTAAGTAACACTGTCTGTCTTAACATGCGCCAGCCGTGGTTTAAATCCACATTGAATTCTCCCTTTAGTAAGTAACACTGTCTGTCTTAACATGCGCCAGCCGTGGTTTAAATCCACATTGAATTCACCCTTTAGTAAGTAACACTGTCTGTCTTAACATGCGCCAGCCGTGGTTTAAATCCACATTGAATTCACCCTTTAGTAAGTAACACTGTCTGTGTTAACATGCGCCAGCCGTGGTTTAAATCCACATTGAATTCACCCTTTAGTAAGTAACATGCGCCAGCCGTGGTTTAAATCCACATTGAATTCTCCCTTTAGTAAGTAACACTGTCTGTCTTAACATGCGCCAGCTGCGGTTTAAATGCACATTTCGGATTTAGGTGATGCCAGGCACTGATCCAGATGGTGCCAAGGAGAGCAGCTGTTATGTTCCGACTTCCAGAAATGTCTAAGTGTGAATTTAAATGTTGCAAACCATTTCACGGCAAGGTGGCCAGATGTTCTGTAGGTTGAAATGACCCTGGATTTGCCAAGTTTGCTGAATTTTTATTAATATACTTCATATGATTTCGTTCTTATATGTGTCTGTCATTGGATTGGCTGTGGTTGTATAAAAAACATGAGTTTTATTCAGTATGTAACAATGTTTGGGACAATCTGAGCCGACATGTTTAGCAATTTACATTTAAAGACTATTGCGATCAATGTATCGCTAAATTAACATCTTAATAACGCATCAGCTTGCAAATAAGTAAAATGCAGTATAGATGGTAAAATAAATTAATTATAGATACAACAATATTGTCATTCTGCTTGATATCATATAATTGCATACAGTAAATGGTTAATTAAATTGATAAGAGGAATTTCTAGCTTTAAATCGAATACCTTTTTGTTTTAACTGCAGTCATTATCCACTATGACAGCGACGCAGAGTTCGCTGTTCCGTGTAAATTAATACAGAGATTGCTGAATTTGGGTGAATTTATTTTAACCTTTCAGGAACTTTCTAAGTGGCATTTGTGTTGCCAAATCGCTCATTTTTACTGGGCATGAAATTGCTTCCCATGTAATTTATGCGCTCGCGTGTGAAACCGGTTAATTACTCTGTATTACATGTGCGGTATTTTCCATGATTGGTTAATTGTTTCCACACTAGAAGCACATCAATCCTACAAATGGAGGGAAGCTCCTTGGAACCACGTACCACAGAATGCGGAATACGTAACAATCCCAAAAACCTGGCGATTGGACTACCCTGTGTGAATCGGTGGTTTATGAAGGAATAATTAATTGATGGGTATTTTTTGACCTTTGTGTTAATGAATCCCTCACGTGTTTCTGTCTTTCAATTCAATTTAAAACAGGTTCATAAAACGTACATTAAAATCAGGAACCTGCATAATTTTCATCAAAAGAAAGCACTGGGTGCGTTAATTTCTTCCACTTCATGTAAATTTCATTAACAAACTATTACAGTTTGAAAACGATGAAGACTTATAGCAACAATCAAAAGCATTTATTATTTTTCACGCTTTGAGTACTTGTATATTTGAAATAATGCACTAAAAAGGTTTGGTTAATTTCGCCAGAGTTTGAAACTGCAAATTAAAACTAACTGACAATTGTCGCATTAGTGGCACGTTAATTTAGCGTGTGTGTAATAGCTTTTCTTGTCGCGTTCGTTGCACACACTATTTACATTTTTAAAAATGCCTTTTTAATTGATTAAGATAAATGTAGTTTAGTAATGAGTGGCTTTTTCGTATATTATCGAGAACGAGCGTGATTGCTGAGAATTTTCTTTAATATAGTCAGCTAATTGCACCTTTAATTCCGTGTTAAGGACGCTAATTTAAACACATACTCTAGGTATGGGTTTTTTATAATTCAGAAACATTCTATAGGTAAGGCTGCTAATTAATTACCAGCCTTTTTTCACATTAAAAAGGAACAATTCTAAAGTTAAATAAAGCTACTATTCATTTTGCTTTTATTTTTCTCTTTTCTTTTTTTTTCTTTTAATTTGGATTTTAAAATGAATCTTGCAGAGCCTGGCATTCAATGCAAATTAATGAGTCACATGACTTCTTGCTCACACTCTGGCAGAGCAACACGTTATTCTAATCTTTAGAAGTCTAGTGTGAAGCCTGATTGCTAACACTAGTTGCCTGATTTTCCTTTGTAAACATGTTCCCTGCACTGAGGCTGTGTTTGTATGTGGCTATCAATAAACAGGAAAACGGTTAAATTCACAAACCCTTGTAGTTATTGACCTTTAGGGAAAGATGTAGATGCATTGAGATTGGCTGCAAAGATTGAGTTTGTTTCAGTGTTCCTAATGTGGATCAATCAGCAGGAACATTTCATTCATTTACACGGTAACTGCTTACTTCTTTTTTTTTTTTATTATAATTTCTTTATTTATAGTTTTTCAATATTTCGTTTAGCGAAAGCAGGGATTACAGAATAAAGAAAGGGACGTGGGTACATTTCAGGAGTATTACAGTATCATTGGTATCAAAAATGAAAAGCATGTCATTTTAGTGTACATCAGATTACATCTGTGCAGGTAATTCAAACTTCGAAGCATACCAAAGGCACAAATGAATGCAGGTACAAATAGGTATATTGATTACACTAGGAGACAACACAGCTGTGGAAGTTAGATCATTTTTAACAGTAAAATTTAGTGTTTCGTGCCTTATAGCAATTACTGAGCCAGGTATTTATGAAATATTTATATTCTTGTGGCAAGAGTCCCACATAGACAATTTATATATTTTCTGCAAAAAGATTCATTTGTTCCTAGTTTTTGTGCCATTGTGTTAAAGAAAGTTCATTGTCCATTTGTAAGCCCTTTATTGTACATTTTTAAATGGTTCCCTTTTTTTTGTTGTTTTTTTCTTTAGCGCACAAAAAGTCGATGTCAGTTATTCTAGTTTACGATACAACCCTGACTGGAAGAGAAATCAGAGTTTGGAAGACATTGCTGCGTCATTACAGGAGCTAGAGGATTTCTCTGATGATTCCTTGTCAGGATATGATTCAACCCCAGAGGAGCCATCACTAAGGAAACTGGAGAGACGAGTGAAACAGCCGGATAAACTATCCACGGATCATAAGGTTATCGGTTCCTCACACAAAAATAAAGCCCCTCTGGACACCACCGCAGAGCACAATAAAGATTCTTCTGTAGCAATGCCTTCACATGGTACACGGGAAATCCCTGCCATGAATGAGAATAACAAAAGCCAACTGGGAAAGTCAAAAAACTCACAAAAGGACTTAATTGAAAAGAACAAGCATACTTTAGGGGTGCGCGGTCCCAAGGCACATTCATACCTAGATATTCACAGGAAGAAAGCAGACGAACAGATGCCAACTAAGGTAGGCAATGCAACGTTGGGTATTTTCGCTGGCACCCTCAGAACACCGAGCTCCAGCTGGTTAGGAGTGCCAAGGTTGGATCACTAAAACAAACTGAAAATATAATAAAACTGAGAACGGGCAGAAACCTAATAGTTTGCCATCTGCTTAGCCCCCGCTCAGGTTACACGCAGGTTTTACTTACCTTGTGTCGTGAGAAGCCAGACATGCTGGATATTAGACCGATCCCACTGACAAAGACTGCAAGGTCTCAGACCTGTCTTTGTTCCGGGGGGTTGCGTACAACACTTCATGGCAAGTGTGGTAGGTTCCCTCCCCCCCCCCAGAGATGGAACACTGCTGGTGGAGGGAGTAATGGGGGCAAGCCAGTGATGTGATTGTATCACTGGTTCCGCTCGAAGGGTTGAACTGTCACAGAAAAGGGGGTATGTCCGCCAGAATTACTGGCAGGTCAGGTGGTTTGTCAATCACGCTGGCTAGCCCACTAAGGGCTGCTCAATGCAAAGAATACTGTTTCAATCTGCTATTACCTGGTACCATGCTATGCATGTTTGGGACAATTCTGGGATGACAGGACAGACCCAAATATTAGGACTGTCCCACTGAATTCAAGATGATTGGGATGCATGTGTAGGTATATGGAATCACTTTTCAGCAGACATTGTAGAGGTTAATACAGTAAGGAAATACAAACATTTATTGTGTAGGTACCGAACTGAAAGGGGTTAAATACATGGACTCACCCTTCAGCGGAGCTGGTAAAGGTTTAAAGCGTAGAGTGTGGTAGAACTGAGACATCCAGAGCTAGGACCTGAAAATTTTTAAGACTTAAGAAATAGAATAGGTAGAAAGCTAGACAGAATAGTGCGCCAAAAAATGTCCGCCTGGATTACACAGCTGCCCTTTATAATAAAAGCACCTCCAATAATGAAGGAAATCATTGTATTGCTTCCATTTCCCTCGTATTAAGCTCTAAAAATGAATATTGAAAGCACGACGCGGTGCAGGTATTGACAAACTAGATGCAATTACTTGCAGTAAGTGGACTGATTAAAATTGAAATAATTACACAGTCAGTGGTTGAATTATTGAATATAACCGCAAATCCAAGAGAAGAAAAGAGATTTATGTGCAAAGAGCACAAAAAACAGACCAGAAGGGAACAGGAATCCATCTAAAGGTACACGTACAACTTTACCATTATTATGGCATAGATTGCTAGCTCAGTGGGTCAAATTGTAACTACTGTATGACGAATAGCACTTTCTGACCTCGGCTAGATTAAGAGCCCATTGGGCTTGGTGCTGATGATTACGATGGGCTTAATTACTGAATTTTATTGACAAAAAACAGCCTTTGCTCCCGGGGGTCCTGTATCTGGTGGAGGTGGTGCTGGAGGGAAAATCACAGGATGCAGCTCTAAGAAAATGCATACCCTATGCTAATCTCTCTCTTTCATCTCTTAACCAAATACATAAGCCCATAACAGCACCGTCCAGTGAAGTGGGATTTTGAAAACCGGGTAAACGGTGGGACACTGACGTGAATCATGCAGTCCGCACCGCCCAGGTGTTAGAGAGACCGAAGCAGCAACAGCATTTACACAGTGCACAAACTCAGCTTTACCTGAACTAATTTATAGACAACCAGTCCACATACATTTTGGTCCCCTACATCCCCTATAAATTCCTGTACGTAATTCCCTCTGCACAAAGCAAGTGCATTTGAAGAGTAGTAAAAAATATTTTTTATTTTTTTAAATCAATGGGCCTGGAGCTTCAACTCCATCAGCCTCTATGTTAATCCAGCCCAATTTCATCCTACAATAGAGGGGATTGTGATCTGCTATTTAACTTTCTCCTTGCCAAAGCTTTACATTAATAAATAAATGATATGTTATTATATATCATTAACAAGAAATGTTAATTTATCTCAATTACAACCCACTATTAATAGCAGACATGATAATTATGAACTGCAGCCCCCATAAGGATACCTGCTCTTTTCTGAGTCTTGCACCAACTTATACATTTATGAAACAAGACAAAATGTGTAGCCAATTTGGAAGATGCCACCAGTTGCAGAGTGAGTTCTAAATACAACAGAAAAAGAAGTGAAAACATATTCGGTATTTTTTTTAAAGTTTTTTTTTCTCATTTTTAGTGCGTTCTCTATGTAAACTTTAAACGACTATACTATCAAAACAAGAGCGATTTAGCAAGGAAGCAGACGTTTAGTCTGTAAAAACCGTCTGTCTCCTCCCCAACATGCAGAGGGCGTTATTGTGAACTTATTATCCGGAAATGCCATTTATATCGCTAGGTGAATTACAAATGTTTTAAAATTCCCTTTATCCGCAAACAAAAAACCCCGAAGTTTTCAATCTACCAAATAGTAAGAAACGTGGAATGACATCTTCTAATTCCAGCATTATCTGCCAATTTATCCAGCCGCAGATATTATGCCAATTGTGTAAAAGCATAATTGTTTTTTAGATATGCTGGTTTCACATTCAGAGGGTAGTTATGGTTTTTGTATGCGTGTTGTTTTGCTTGTAATATTCTCTCTAATATGAACTTTTTAGTGTTTTCTTATTCTCTAAGAAGAATCCTGTGTGTTTCTTTGAGAGAAATGGAGCTAGATGCCCAATCTAGTTCAGCTGTCCTCCGAGAGAGTTGCTTTCTTACCTATAAACCATTACTTCAAAGGAAGGAACATAATGTACAGTTTTCTAATGGCACTAGAGTTGCTCCACTCAGACTGCGCGCACCGTAGCCGGCCTCACTGTAAACACCTAATCATGATTGTGTGCGCTTCTACAATAGCAGCCAAATGCAATTCGAGGAGCTCAGTCCTTTGAAGTCCCTGCAGCGAAGGCCGGTTTCCTAGTCTCACATAATGACGGGGTATGATTGCTGTCTTTGTTGTACCTTTTCTGTAGAGAAGCAATTATAGGCCTCAATTTAACAGAAAAAGACATTACACAGCTTATGTTGCTCAAAATGCAATTTCATTTGATCATTTTCTCAATTTGATTGGTATTAATAGAATAGTTCACAAAAAGATGCAGCCAGAGGTTGTGTCCTGTTCCACTTTCAAAGGGATAATGTGGAAGTATGCCTCGCCGAGTGAACCAGCTCCGCTCTGATACCATGTGTTTTCCAAAACAAGATAATCAGGAGAAGGCAAAAAGCAGGCGAACGGATGATTTGTTTCCTATTTTTACAGAGTTGTAGGTGTTTACCACGTAGAAAAAACAGCTAACTATCAAATAATGAATCATTTCTGACACAAGACTTTTGCTACCCCCTGTTTAATTTGATGGGTTCATATTATGTATCACGGCTGATGTTGTTAGTAATTATTACGATTTAGCGCGCCCATAGACTTGGTTGTTTTTTTTTATCTTTAGTTTTTGTAAAGTGCTGCAAAGTTTACTGTTTGGCTGTAATCCATTGTGTGAGATAAAAGAATCGTCTGATCGCCTGTGTCTCCTTAATATCATTGATGACAATAAATGCTAATATCGGTCCGACTGCGCACCCTTCTCGTCAGCTTACGGCTCCATTATCCGACCAAACACTTTCTGATTCAGTAGGACGACTGCCTTCAGACCTCAATTAGCACAACAGGCTGTCCACATTAGAAGCACTTTAAACTCTTTGTAGGAGAAAATCAAGCATTATTTTAAATACCAAATTTGGAAACGGCTGCGTCTGAATGCTACATAATCAATGTGTATGATACAATAGGTCACGGAGAGAGGAAAACGGATCCAACAAGCATTGCGCAGGAAGTTCTATGTACTTAGTATGGATCGTGGTTTAGAGAATGAAATGTTTTCCTTTAAATAAAAATCCCACTTGGATGAATTCAGGAATAGCAGCATTGGGGACCTGGTTTGGGGCTACCCTACCGAACTGCCGTGCGAGCCTGTATAGTGACAAAATAGGGCAAAAATAATATCAGGGACTCTCGCACGGATCACGATAACACCAATTTCTATCTACCGATATTTTAGGCAGAGATGTAGTGTAGCAAGCCTAGCTCTATGTCTTGAATACATTGTACTTTGGCAACCCATTGTACAGCGCTACGGAATCTGATGGCGCTATATAAATAATAAAATAATAATAATAATAATTGTGAGCAATGGGAAGTTGTGTTATGACGTCATTACCCAGCATGGCTTTGCGTCACTCATTATTCTGGCAGCTCTGGGCCAATGGACAGGACTGGAAGAGATCAGTGTTAGCCAAAACTCAGATTGCCTTCCTCTCGTTTGCATGACTTGCCTTGTGGGAGCTATGGAGTCCAACAAGTGTCTACTTAATGCAATAAAAACCTAAAGAGTAATTAAAAAGAAATTCAATTTTATATTTGATATTTGTTTCCACTGAGGAAAATAAATTTCATGTAACATGGAAAGTTTCCATTTTGCCTCAGTTTTGTTTTTTCCCTCTACCTGTTTGGTTGATTTCTGTCTTTATCCAAATTAATGCATTTTAAAGTATAACTGCTACTGTAGCCTGCTGAGAGCTCTTTGCAGTCGCCTTTGTTCTCAGGAACCATTGACGAATGAATGGCAGAGAGTATGGCAGGCCCTCGGCGGGAAGCTGCGGCCAGGATAGCACTCAATAAGCAGGCGGTGTGCCAGACAGAGTAAATGCTATCACTCGATGGCCTGGATAGTTCTGTCTTCTCAAAATAACATTTCAGTTGTGTTTTAAAAGTGAATGCATAATGATTCTGATCTTTTATAAAATCGAACCTTTTTATCGAGAGCTCCTAAGGAAGAGAGACACATTATTCAGTGCATCATGAACCCTAGAATTCTGAGTTTAGAACATCCTTTCCTTATTGATAGACCATGGCAGAATGTAGTGGAAGTCAATTTCTGATATTCGTCTCAGCAAATTCAATTCAGTCTCCATCTTGTCGCCAACAGGCAACATGACCGCCAGTTCACTGATTTTTAAATGGTAGCAGTATGTAAAACCTGGTTTTTCTGTTTTTTCAAGTTTCCAAGTAAGTCAACTTGTCACATTTCACCAGTCACTGTAGAGATCCCTGTATGTTTTCTGGTTTAATCAGATCTTGGGGCGCAATATTATTATGCGGCGTCCCTTGTCATGCGTATACCATGACATACACATTGTATAATATACTATGACATATGTCATAATATGATATACACATATAGTATAATATACACATTGTACTGGAATATGTGTGAAATCCCAATACAGCCAGATGTATCTCCTGTAAGTGTGCGTGGGAAAGTGCACGTCATGTCGATATTAAACAAGGTCTTTGAGAAGTTAATATTTAAGGAAATTATAATTAGTTGTGGAAAGAAAACAGTTTAAACACCAGGATAAGAAGGTTAGTAGAAAGTTGATTTGTCCGTATGAGAAGATCACAGCAAGTTTAGAAGTCTTAAATTAGAGAATTGTGCAAAAAAATAAACAGAACCATCGAGGGGTTTAGAGAATAATTGCAATGAATGTGATGGGGTATGTTATTAGGCTTTATTGATAGAAAATGATGGAATGGTGTCAGAAATGCTAATAATGCAGAATTTCAAGCACGTTTAGGTCCAAATCTATGTCACCACGTATAACAGCTCTTCCAGCATAGTTCTGTCATACAAACTGTAAGCAGGCCTTAATTTGGAATTGGGTCAATGTATTTTCAGAGAGGGGACAGTGCTGCTAGAGTCAGGTCTTTCTTTTACTTAGGTCGATTAGAAATGTACTTTGGGATCTAATTTTCTTTGGGTTTTATTGTCACACATCACCTTTAGGAGAGGGTACAAAAGCCAACATGACATAAAACATTGTGTAATAGTACTGCACTTTTCTGAACATTCTATTTTCAGTCGATGGACACATTTACTTCAATAAACCGTTGTAATTTCAGTTATTAATGCTTAGAACATATAATTTCTGTGCACAATGCTTTACAAACGCTAGCATATATCTATTTTAGGATCAGAAGAAAGAACTTGAATCAATAAAGAAAATATCAAGTCACTCTGTCACTGACAGACACCTAAAAATAAAATGTCCAGCTTCCGAACAATCTGAAGACACTGAAAATTCGAGCACAGGTTTTTCCACAATTATGTCCGATAGAAATGCGTCAGGACCTCAGTGTTATCTTGAGAATAGGACTGAATTATCTAGTAAAAACCAGGCAAGCGAAAGCACTTCTTCCTTTGGTTTTATAGACTTAACTGCTTATTCATATGAGGAACCGCATGGTATGAATTATAATTCTGAAGGCCAACCCCCGAGGTACTCCTTGCCAAGAGAGAATCAGAGTTTACTTTGCCATCAGACTATTTCCGATCCACAAAGTCATATCTTTCTCAGGTAAGAATTCAATTGTGTAGTGCTGTTATTTTATGTTGAAAAATGTAAAGGAATTAATGGATTTTTTTTGCCAATGTTTAAAAAGAGTAGTTGAGTAATCCATTGTAGGATTTTAATGAGCTCTGAATGAAAATACAAGTAATTCATTTAATTCTGTATAATTTACAGTAAATAATTCTGTATTTGTGTTTCCATTATTTAATTTAGATAAATTACTGTGATGCAATATTACAAGTCTTGTATAGCTATACTGTTAATGACTTGTAATCTCCCAATCTCACAACCTACTGTCTGTTCCTCCCTTTCGGTATGGTCCCCTGTGTTATTAGGTCCCCTATTTTTATACTGTCCCCCCAAAGCTGTCCTCGCCCCTCTTTATAGGCTATTATCTGCCCTCCAACTTCTCTTCGGGTTCTGTTACCCAGTGATGATGAGACGTGATAGTTAATGGTTATTCATTCTTGATTGGTTATTTTATTCTACATCCTTGCTCATGAATGTCCAATATCCAAGTCTGATAGTCCGATACCTGTATCCCTTTCATTGTTATTTACTATGAATGTGTGCGCTGTGGGAGATAATATCTGAGTCGTAAATTAATTAAGATGGAAATGTCTTGTCTTTCAATGAACAGATTGATCGACTCTTTGTCAGCCATCATTGATTCCTGCCTATTGTCCACAGGCCTTGTTCCTTGTCCTGTCTAAGATCAGTTGTCTTCGTTCTTTGTGTTTCTCCTTTCTTATATTTTTGGGTGACTGGTTACTTAAATACAAGCAGAAAGGTTTTTCTCTGCCCCAGTGCCAATTAGTGAAAAATCTGAAAGAATAGTCAGGAAAAAAATAGAACCCAAGGATTTACATTACCAACATGGGATTAGTGAAAGGCAGAAATAAAAACAAACAAACTGTTAATACATGATGTGTACCTTTTAATATTCATAGTGCTTTTTTAGTAGAAGGACATGTAACCTCACCTTTTTACTGTATTAATAAAACTCACTTTATTTTGTATTAAAGGCATTTTTATCCTGGACCGGAGATGGACTCGGAACCATTCTTACAAAACCCTTCAAACGGTAATTCCGAATTCCAAAATGATAGGAATATTCAAAGACATGGACAGAGGGAGGGGACCACATCGTACACCCATGAACTAAGCCCTCCATTACATGGATCTAATGGCTTCTCTCTGATTGACACTGAAAGCGAAGGAAACGTTAACAGTAGCGACTCCATCTCAGAGTCTGATCCACATCACATACCCAGGAATAAGTCGATGGACAAAGCAGAGACACAGGTAGGGAAGGAAGGGGACCCCAACACTTACCAGAAAAATATACAATGCAGTACAATACTATACAGTACCTGAATCTGGAATGAGATTCCGAATATGTTGATAAATGATAAACGTTGAACAAAATACATAACAATATCCATTTTTAATGTTTAGGTGAAACTGTTGCCTATCTGTTGTCTGCCCAAAAATCTCTCTACACTAATCTATAGATGCATGCAAACGATGTTTAATAATCCATAAATCAGTCTTTTTACTTGAAATTATTTATAAAACCTGCTGTATATATCGCAAGCTCTCAAACCAGCTTTAATTTTTATTCTTCATTTTATAGGCAGTCGTGATTATTCCATCTTAATAAGACTATCACATTCTTTTTTTCTTATGTTGTCTTTGTTGAAGGTTTATTTTTAAGTAAAGTAGCGATCAGGGCCCAAAAGTACCAGTTCTGTAGTGGAGTGGTCTGACTGGCAAAAAAAACGACACATTGATGATGCCGCTAAAATATGATGTCACGTGACATCACTCAAAGAGGGAACACATGGTAAGGGAAGTCCCTATTATCAAGTGTTTTGGCGACACTGATGACTCGAGAACCACATAAAATTATACAGTATTCTTTATGCAGCCCATGTAATGTGAAATCCAAAGAACCCAGGTCCACCTCGCAATACTCACCTAATACTGTGTTACCCTGTAAATGCTACTCTTTCTCTATCTCTCTCTCGTTCCATGTTTACTCTCTCTATCTCTCGCTCTCGTTCCTTGTTTACTCTCTCTCTCGTTCCTTGTTTACTCTCTCTCTCTCTCTCTCGTTCCTTGTTTACTGTCTCTCTCTCTCTCGTTCCTTGTTTACTCTCTCTCTCTCTCTCGTTCCTTGTTTACTCTCTCTCTCTCTCTCTCTCTCTCTCGTTCCTTGCTGCCTAGTAATTTATTAGCAGTTTTATTATAGTGCTCCATGTTATTGCCAGCGGGATTATGTACCATGATTTTGACTATGGGATCATATCTTATTGGAAAACCTTTTAATAGAAAATATTAAAAATTGTTGATTATGGTTGAATAATCCACCAGCATCAAATGTGGTGCGCCCCAACCGCAAATGCTGAACGTCGCAGCCTGTCCTTGAAGTCGACCATCTTGGAGGAGGAGAAAGTGATATATTTGTAATCTATGTATATGATGGAGATTTCACTACCTCACTGTATAGATAACATGCACACCTACCTGAAGACTAACTAATCAATCTTACATGTTGTAGATGCTGAATCTGCTTTAAGTTTCCCAGCTCCTAAATTTGTGAAATAAAATGTGAAAAGGGAAAATGGAAGTTCAGCAGCATTGAGCTGATATGTATTTAATAGCAGGCCTTGGAATAGAAAATGATACTAACAGCTATAAGTACTGGAGCTTGTTTGCTGCCAAATTACCCCTATTAGCTGCTCACCAATCTATGTACAAAGTGAAAATAGAACAGGAAATTACATGATAGCAGCACACCTTGAGTGTTGGAATAAGACGCAAGGCTAATTTAGTAGCATCAAGTACCTCGAGATTACAGGGAGAGAAAAGGAGCTTCGTTTGTGTAATTTTACTGGAATATGGGCTGAAATAATGCCATAATGGTCTGCATTAGTTCATTCTTTAAGGATGTACAAGTATTTATCACAGAGCTACATTGTTCCTCTTTAAATACAGAAATCTAAAAATATAAACAAACTGTTAGGAATGAGCATCCTAAACATCACGAGAAATGGCAATGTACAGGCGATGCTGCGTACCAGTAATGGCATGTGCAGGTAACCTTTTGTATCATCAATGTGTTCTGTACAGGTGAGGTTATATACCAGTGCTGTTATGTACAGGTGATGCTCTGTACAGGTAATGCAGTGTTCAGGTGATGCTCTGTACAGGATGCTGCACTGGGAAGATGATGCTCTGTACAGATGATGCAGTGTGTAGGTGATACCCTGGGAAGATGATGCTGTGTGCAGGTGATGCTGTGCATGTGATGAAGTGTAAAATTAACAGTCTGCTACTAAATGTTTTATAGTAGCAGAACTACCCTAATCAGACTCTCTTCTAGTCTTTTATCGTGTACGTCCCTCAAAACTCATCTTTTCAGAAATGCTTATGGCCTCCCACAGTAACTTCTGTTTCACAAATCTGTGTCTTTCTCTCCCCTAGAGGGCCGCACTCCACTCTCACCTCCAGTTCTGATACTTTCCCACCTTGTTTGTTTGCTGTCCCCCTTGATGCCTTTCCTGTGTTTTTATACCCCGCCTCCTCTAGACTGTTCGTCTGAGCCAGGTCCTCATTATTATTTATAAAGCGCCAACATATTCCGCAGCGCTGCCTATTGTTCCCGTATCATTGTGAAAATTATATATTTACTAAATGACACAATTCTATAAATGATTTATTGTTAAATTTCCCGCTTGCACAATAGTGTAAAGCGCTGTGGAATTTGTTGGCGCTATATATATATACCAATAATATTAATAATATAAACAAGCATGATTCACTTATTTTGTTATTTTATCATTTTCTGTTTATAAGCAAATTGTTATATATATTTTTTTTGTCATTTGGTTGTTTCCATGTTTTTCCCAATAGTGATATAAATCAGTAAATGCTGACAAACACTGTATTCTTTCTATCCATTTTGTTCTTATGGAAATCGTAGAAGGTCAATCCGTATTTACCAGCCACCGATAAACCACATGTTTGAATATTATATTTTAATTACTATCCCCCGCGTTAATGAATGACTGCTTATTGCATTAAACAATATCACATTAAACAAATTTACCTGGTCTGCTCTGTCAATACTATTTAGGATAGAGTGTGCTATGTGAGATCGCCTTGTGTTGGGCCTCCGCAGGAATACCTGATCTTTGTTTGCTAATCCACTTGTCATTTGGTCTGAGTATTGATTTGGAAGCCGGATCAGGGCTGCAGTGCAGCGCATGTTGTTTTACATTGCAAATTGCTGCTTCTGTAAAATAGATTTCTTGTTAAACGCAGTTGCAGACCTTCTACATTCTATTAAATTACAGCCATGTTTATTCAGAAAATTCAGAGCCAGTAATAATTAATAGAACGCAATTATATTTTAACAATGAGCATCAAAGGGCCCCAACAGGTAAAATAGTGAAATCTTGACCTCCCATTGAGATAAAAAGCCATTTTCATTATGTAAGATTTAGTGACCAGAGTGCGCGGACACATATGGTAATGTATGGAGGGGAGGGAATAATGTTTCCCTTTATTAAATGATTAAATAGTTGATTTCAGATCCTGCTAGCTGACAGACAATGAGTCCAGCTTGTCGCTTACATTAATAAACTGAAATTCAGCACATACTTAGATTTTTCTCTTTTTTTGGGGGGGTGTGGGGGGGCAGGAGGGGGGCTGAATTAATTACTTGTTGAGTTCACCATCATTCTGTGAGCAAGTAAGTGGACTATCAGCAGATCCATTGCAGGTGGATCATTTGTTAGCTCTGTAGGCAAAAAGTCACTGTGAGAACGTGGATTGTACGATTAAGTAATAATCTCCCAGAATGTCTGACAATAAACATGAGATACAATAAAATAATAATTAATTATGTTAGTATTGTATCTATTGTACAGACTGACATACAGACAAACTGATAGCTGGACTGACCGACTGATAGCTCGACGGACAGACAGACAGGCCGACTGATAGCTGGACAGACAGGCAGACTGATAGCTGGACAGACAGGCAGACTGATAGCTGGACAGACAGACAGGCAGACTGATAGCGGGACTGACAGACAGATAGCTGGACAGACAGACAGACAAACTGATAGCTGGACTGACTGACAGACAGCTGGACTGACAAACAGGCAGACTAATAGCGTGACTGACAGACAGACAGGCTGATAGCTGGACCGACTGACTGATAGCGGGACTGAGACAGACAGATAGCTGGACTGACAAACAGGCAGACTGATAGCTGGACTGACAGACAGACAAACTGATAGCTGGACTGACAAACAGGCAGACTGATAGCTGGACTGACAGACAGATAGCTGGACAGACTGACAGACAGACAAACTGATAGCTGGACTGACAAACAGGCAGACTGATAGCTGGACTGACTGACAGACTGATAGCTGGACTGACAGACAGCTGCACAGATAAATGTTCTGGTAGTGTATTAAATGAAATAGAAAGTTCTGCATTTATTAAACAACTTGCAATAAGCATCATGGGAATTGTAGTTTCCAGCTGCCGTAGATCTACCTTTTGGCCGTCACAGCATGACTATTAATAATGAATCCCTGTACGAATTCTGGTCATTTCTGATTTCTTATTATTTATAATTTGTTATGTTTTACATGTATTTTAGAGGTGTCTTAGTTTCCTAAAGCAGGAAGTGAAATTGGGAGGAATCGGCCCAACCTACAGAGTGAGCAAAGAAAAAGTAAGAATATGACATTTATATTTATTGTTGTAAAATGTGTTTTATAAAGTATAGGTTGCAATGACAATAATGGAATTTAATGTTTTGTATTTAACATTATCAATGTTATAGATTTATTTATTTTCAGAATAATACAAGAAATTGAAATCATTATTCTCTTTCCGAATACAGGCTACGGGTTATATCTTTAAACAATAAATTGTGGCTAATTGAGAACAGAATTTGCTAATTTGTGTCCAAAGTAGCCAAATTCGAAATATATCTGCTATGAATTCAATTTTGACAGCAATTGATTGTAAAGTAAATTAATTTGTATAGCTGCTAAGAGCAAAGCATTTTCTATCTGTTTCAGATTGTTGGTCATAGTATGTTTGCTAGGATTTAGTAATCTTGTGTAAGTTAACTTTCATTAAATCCGAATATTGCATTTAGTTTGTCTCTGATGTAAAGAATGGCAGGCTGTGGGCATACTATAGCACGTTTGGTACATTAAACCTTATACTATACAGGGCTAAGCAGCATAGAGACCGAAAAAAACCTGTACTAGAGAAATCGATTTCTCACCTCTTTGGGGAGAGGTGAAATAAAAATGACAGATCAATTTCTTGTGATGCAAAAAAGTTAAAATAGAAATGCATACATTAAGATGATAAAGGGGCCAGTGGCCTTACAATCGAGTACCCCTAGCCTGTAACGAAACACATATGCCACGCCAGTTTTCCATCTAACACCTAACCTAAATTACTCATACAGGCTTTTATTTTGTACCCACTCTCAAGCACCTATTTATGCCAGTTACTTCACTATTGTTTAGTATAGATTGTTATTTCAGGCAAATATGTTGTTTTCTTTACTTCTAAAAGTGGCACGCTTTCTCACAAAGTGACCTTAACCGTATGTTAATGTGGTGTATAACTTGTCTTCATGCGGATGTTGGTCCCAATATGCTTGTTTTCTCAATACGACTTATCCTGTCTATGTCAAAGACACACTGCTGTAGCTCATGTTCATTCTATGCCACAATAAAACAACGATTTGCAAAAAGATGATTAAGGGGAAATGGTTAAATCAAGAAAATATTCTATATTTCCAGGAAACACAGTTACAGAAGCAAAAGACGTATGCTAAACTGGTTAAGGAACGCAACCGCTTACAGAGACAAACGGTTCCCAAAGTCCCAGAGAGCCAAACCCAGCCAAACGACGGCAAGAAATGTTCCCGGCAGAAGGTGAACCTGTCTTCCTGTTCATGATCTAAATCACTCCGAAGGGAGATAATGAAACCTACTGCACACCAATTAAATGGAAATAATGCGTTATTGTTATCAATAGAAAAATACGCAAATATATGTAGCAACAAAATGAGATATATCTCTCAATGTATAGCGATATAAACAAATGTATGTTAGTAAAACCTGCCCTCTATTCTCAGCATCAGTGCTGTATGTCCAACAAAAAAAACAAATGTAGTATACAAACTTAGAGGAAACACAATGTAAATAATAACAGTCTGTATAAAGCACGGACAGGGGACACACAGCGACTCTGGAGTCAAACATCAAGAATTATTTAAAAATAAAAAACACCTCTATCCCCGATAGTGACTTTGCTGATGGGTGCCCGGATTCAACAGTGTGCAGGGGAAGGTGAGTTATACCGGCACTGCCAGTCCTTTTCAGCTCCTTTTTGCTTCAGCTGCCATGGGCCCAAGTCAGCGTTGTACTCTTGCGCATGTGGGAGAGGACAACACTGAGCTCTATGGAGGCTCCCATGAGATCACAAGACCCTCCATATACAGAGCCTTTTCCCCTACACCCATCACCGGTGACGCTGGGGCACATAAAAAAAAACCCGACAGAAGTAGCTCCACTTTTTGTCACATATTGTCAGAAACTTTAAAAAAGTAGTCACTTCTTTGTTCTATGATATCTTTTGACTGCACTGGGATTTCAGTGTAATTCCATCACAGTTAATGTAAATATTTCATAGATTTTATCTTTATGAAATACCCATTTGGGGCGGGAATGTACAGTCCCACTTTACTGAGATTCTTAATGGCTGCTATCTCATTATTTTATTATTACAGAGTTTGGAATACGCAATAAACATCCCGAGGCCACAACCACTGCCGAAAATATGCACCCAAGCTAAGAAAGAGGAGACACCCAGAAATGCCGTCTTTTTAGATAACACATCCCCGCAGTTAGAGCGGATATTGGAGTTACAGCTTAGACATGAGAGAGAAAAGATCGCAGTGGCCGCTTTTAATGCCCTTCACATACTTTAGTTTTTTTTAAATAAAGTCAATTTCTACAAATAGTAAATATGTGCAGCAAATCATGTTTTGGATGTTGTGCTATAATCTGTGTAAAAAAATGTCTGTTTGTGTTTCCTCTTCGCTTGGCCAAGGACACACCTGTGGTTTTACCTTATCACTTATCGCTCCTTGAGGTTAGGAATCGCTGTAGAAAGCTGGAATTTTACCAGTAATAACAATAATAATACACAGAATCTCCCGCTAATGAAGGGATAAGACTCTGGTACTCTTACAACAGTTTCTCACTTGGCTAATGTGCAAGTTCATAAACAGAATTAATGGCGTCTGCTTTGAATATTAAGATGGAGAGTTGGAATTTATTTCTTATTAGTTGCTGCATGATCTATATTCAAAAACCACGTTGTTAAGCTAAAGTAACTTGGAGACCCCTGAATATGAAACTCTCCAATCATTCAGGATATTTATAGAAATGGTGTCACCTTGCACCAGCCCAGCACAATGCGCTTCCCATAAGCATTGCTAACAGAGTGTGAACTGATTAATAATAGGCTATTATTCACCTACAGAATGCTGTATCTAAGGGCCCACAGTGGATCTGAAACATTGAAATTTAGTGTAATGTGTTAGTTCAAACGATTAGTTAGTCATATATAACATTTATTAAACACAGTACAGAGAGCACACCGATATATAATCAGGACAATCCCAGCTCCTTGGGGCAAAAACAAAGTCTATTCATTGGGAGGGGTGGACTATAAAAGGGATTTATTACATTCTGAATTTACAAAGATAGTTAATTTTTGAGAATATGTCAATACTAAATGTATTTTCACACTACTACTCCCATCACTGCACTCGTTCTCTCTTCCATCTCTCTCTCGGTCTCTAACAATCTGTCACTCTCTTTCTCTCAATCTCCAATATGTCTCTCTCTGTCTCTCAGTTTCCAATATCTCTCTCTGTCTTTCAATCTCTAAAATATATTTCTCTCGATCTGTCACTCTCTTTCTCTTAATCTCCAACACGTCTCTCTGTCTCTCAATGTGCAATCTATCTCTCTGTCTCTCAATGTGCAATCTCTCTCTGTTTCTCAATGTGCAATCTCTCTCTGTCTCTCAATGTCTAATGTCTCTCTCTGTCTCTCAATGTTCAATCTCTCTCTCTGTCTCTCAATGTCCAATCTCTCTCTCTCTGTCTCTCAATGTCCAATCTCTCTCTCTGTCTCTCAATGTCCAATCTCTCTCTCTGTCGCTCAATGTCCAATCTCTCTCTCTGTCTCTCAATGTCCAATCTCTCTCTGTGTTTTTCAATCTCCAATATCTATATCTATCTCTCTCTCTCTGTCACTCTGTCTGTCAATCTCCAATCTCTCTCTCTCTGTCTGTCAATCTCCAATCTCTCTTTCTCTCAATGTCCAATATTTCTCTCTGTTTTTCAATTTCCAATATCTCTCTCTGTCTCTCAATCTCCAATATCTCTCTCTCTCTCTCTCTCTCTCTGTCAATCTCCAACATCTCTCTCTTTTTCTCTCATTCTCCAATATCTCTCTGAAACTGTCATTTTTCCAGGTCCTTAGTGGTTACAGTACTTGGTGCAATTTTAGCGGGTCAATCTTTGCTCCTACCACATGACACAAACACTATGACTGTCCTGAGGGAGAGAAGGAGTGACCGTAGCAATGCTATAATTATTAGAATTGCATAACTCAGGGCTCATAATTTACAAAAGCCTCTCCCCATGGCTGAGTGTTAGATGGACGTTCCAGGCTGGCAGTGACGAGTACATTTTAAGGACTGGCTAGAGCATTTGGTCATTATATGTTAAGCCATAATAACAACGGATCTAGCAAATTGCAAACACTGATGGGAAATAAACTCTGACAAGACTATTCTGGAGGTGGAAGATGATGCAACTACCCCGTGGAGCTTGCAATCTAATAATACATGTGAGCATTGAGTGAGTGCTGGCTTTATAACCATGCATTATACATACCTTTTACAAACAATTGGCATGGATGTAGCATGGACGCTCTGCACGAGATACATCACAGATCACGGATATGAAATGGAATATCCTGCAGAGATGCCGTTCCATCGCACCGCGCAATTTTTCCGATAAGAGCATGGCAGGTCCCCCCACATTTCAAAGAATACACAGTATGACTCGTGTTGCTACTTAATATATCATTATTAAGTGACACAGAAACACGCCATACCTCTCAGAATTAATGTGAATTATACAGTTAGCTTCATGGATGCCAACCGTGTATCTAACAAAACGTTCTAAAAATGAACAGGAACAAACACTGGCTGTAATGTAACATTAAACTGCACAATTTATACTGCATTACTGAGTATGTTATAACGTTAAACAACAATTCATAACGCATTATAGTGTACATCATAATGTTAAACTCTGCAATTTATACTTAAACAGTACATTACAATATTAAACTCTACAGTTTATAATACATTACATTGTATGTTATAATATTACACTACAGTTTAAAATACATTACAGTGTATGTTATAATATTACACTACAGTTTATAGTACAGTGTACGTTACATTACAATACAGTTTATAATACATTATAGTGTATGTTATAATATTACATTACAGTTTATAATACATTACAGTGTACGTTATATTGCACTACAGCTTATAATACATTACAGCTTATGTTATATTACACTACAGTTTATAATACATTACAGTGTAAATTATAATATTAAACCCTACAGTTTATAATACATTAGTGTACGTTATATTACACTACAGTTTATAATTAGAGATGTCGCGAACTGTCTGCCGAACTGTTCGCGAACTGTCCGCCGGCGAACAATAGCGTGTTCGCGTTGGGCGAACATATCCGATTTCCGGTCCGCCCCCTATACGTCATCATTGAGTAAACTTTGACCCGGAACCTCACAGCCAGCAGACACATTCCACCCAATGAGCAGCAGACCCTCCCTCCCAGGAAGTGTCTGCTGACTGTGAGGTTCCGGGTCAAAGTTTACTCAATGATGACGTATAGGGGGCGGACCGGAAATCGGATATGTTCGCCCAACGCGAACACGCTATTGTTCGCCGGCGGACAGTTCGCAAACAGTTCGGACAGTTCGCGACATCTCTATTTATAATACATTATAGTGTACGTTATGTTAAACTACAGTTTATAATACATTACAGTGTACGTTATATTGCACTACAGTTTATAATACATTACAGTTTATGTTATATTACACTACAGTTTATAATACATTACAGTGTAAATTATAATATTAAACCCTACAGTTTATAATACATTAGTGTACGTTATATTACACTACAGTTTATAATACATTATAGTGTACGTTATATTAAACTACAGTTTATAATACATTACAGTGTACGTTATATTGCACTACAGTTTATAATACATTACAGCTTATACTTAAAATTATAAGGTGCGCTGTGTCTTTAAGACCCAATTATAAAAAGTGCCATAAGTGCAAACACTGTAATAAAGTGCAAAGTGATACAAAGTGCACATAAAGTGTATAGTGTTAATAAAAAAATATTATACATACATATGTCCTCTCAAATAGAAATGTACATAAGAGAAAGAGAGACAGAAAAAAACAAATAGTGTAAATCTGTTTTGAGAAAATAAATATAAAATATAAATGCCAACTAATGCACTCACAAAGGTAGAGCAGATAAAGCCTGCTCTAACTATAACAGCTTCTTCAAATATAGGACTGCACAGACGAAATATTGCAAAAGATATATTTATTGCCCAGCACCTTCCTCAACATTCAGTACAGGGTTACAGAGTGTTCGGCTATATGCAGCTTAGGGTGTCGACTATTCCCTCTGTTTGTTCGCCGCCGTTATTACCGTTTCCACTGCTGCTTCCTCAAACTTCCGGGTGGAGGGGACTTCCAAGAGTGCGTGATGTATGGTGCGTAACTTGCGTGATGACGCGTTTCGCCATGTTCACGGCTTCATCAGATCTTCCCATCCATGTCCTTTTCGTTCTTATATACACACCCTTATGGGTGTGTTCAAGTAGCTGTCGTGCAAAGTCTTTTATCTAATCGCTGGTATCAATCCAAATCTATTAAGTTTATAAGTCAATGGGTGTCAAACCTGGTCTCATATCACAGATATATCGACGATTTAATTTTTATATGGGATGGATGTGAAGAAGATCTTATTAAATTTTTAGAAAAATTGAATAGTAATAATTGGGGTATTGTTTTAACTAGTGTTTTTAGTAAGTTAAACATTAATTATTTAGATTTTTATAAATATATATAGAAAGGGATGAGATTAAAAAAAAAAAAAAAAATTTGAAAAGGTGGACGCCAATAATTATGTTCTGTATAATAGTGGCCACTATACTCCTTGGCTTAACAATATTCCTTAGGGCCAACTACAAAGAATTAGAAGGAATTGTACTGATAAGGATAAATTTGAAGAACAAGCCAAGACAATTATAGATAGATTCAAGCAAAAAAAGTATCCACAACAAATTTTAGAAAAAGCATATAATGAAATAATAAATTTAGAACCCAATCAGTTATTAAGTAACCATAAGAATGTAGGGAATTTAAATAAAGAAAGATAAATAATATTGCCCCGGGTTTTCGATTTTAATCAAGAGTGTAATAAAATCAAATCAATAGTGAATAAACATTGGCATGTCTTAAAGAAAGATAATGAACTTAATAAAATTATTCCAGAGAAGCCTTTTATTACGTTTAGAGGAGCACCAAATTTTAAACGTATTCTAACTTTTAATCATCCTAAAAAGGAAATTCCCAAAACTTTTTTAGATAATAAAAAAGGGTTTTATTCTTGTAACAAATGTGCAGGATGCAGATGCAGCAAGAATGCTACTCTGAAGGGGGCTAGTAAATTTAAAAATAACACGAAAGATGCTGAGTTTTTTATTAGATTTTATTACGTGTTTTAGTAAAAATGTAATTTATTTATTAATATGCCCATGCGGATTACAGTATGTGGGGCGGACAATTCGCCCACTACATAAAAGAATAAATGAGCATGTAAATAATATTGTTAAAGGCTATGACAATCATAGTGTTTCGGCACATTTAAAAAAATACCATAACAAAGACCCTAGGGGCCTTGCATTCTTGGGAAAAGAGATAGCGAAGAAATCATGGAGAGGAGGAAATCATATTATTGATATAGGCAAAAAA